GAAGAGACTTATATACATGCATAGAGAGGAGGCCTGTGCGCTATTCTGACCGTTCAGATGCCTCATGCAGGAAAGGGGACCGTGCACTCAATAGCGCTATCCTGCCTGCTTCCTCCACCTCGAGCTGTGAGTGAAGCACGTTCAGAAGCGTCACTGGTGCTGATGCTAGATGGAACCTTCGGGTGGCTAATGCCTCCCATTCTGATCCTTCTTTTGCAGTCTTCAATCCATATTACAGCTGTAGGTACACCAGCAGCCGTGCCGCAGTCATCATTAGCAGCCGACCGACTGGCTTACAAAAATAGCCGACCCGTTCTGTCGCTGCTACATCAGCGGGACTTTCGATTGCTAGAAGACGTCCTTCGAAAGGTCATTGAAACCGCCAAACTTCGCGAGCAGATGTGCGAAATGATTCCCGTGAGTCTGTGCGGCAGGTAATGGCCGCTTCTAGACTCAGAAGGGGCTGAGCGCTCGACATGTACCACTTAAGCAGAATAGTAATGCGGCCTTCTGGCAACTGGAGAAGGTGAGCCCACGCTTTCTGCGCGATTAAGCATGCCTAGAGATGTTGCACGTCTCATCACTCGTGGAGCTTTATGTAGTTACACTGACTCCACTCTGCTACGAACATGGCAGGGTACCAAAGGTTTGCCAAAGGTTTACCTTGAGCAGTCCGTTCTCAAACCTCGCAGCACCGATGGCAACAGCATATACGCTCGATCAAAGCGCGCAAGAATTCCCAAAACCGCCATCAATTCCGCTCACGGACGAGTGCTTGTGAGTTCTGCTTCCTTCTCTTGCCAAATTTGCTTGCAGAGCTTTCTTCTGAAGTTTCAATTGTTGTATCGGGACGGAACGCTCAGCGAGGTCTTCAAGAACTCGAAGCAGGCAACTTGACGGACTTGGAGCAGCTTCTCTCGCATAAGAAGATGCGAAATGCTTGTAAATTCTTGGCAAAGTCCCTTGTGGAGCTGGAGCTAGATGATCAATCGCGCAGACAAGCGCAAAAGGATCTGGCCTCTTTGCAAAGCAAGCTAAGGTATCTCTGGGCTCAGGCACATACCAGGATCAGTACAGCCTCGGACTGGGTGCTGTTGCACCGTCAACGCGTTCAGGCAACCTCGCAAGCTCCAGGTGCAGGACTGACAGAGAGTGCGTTGCGGGACCTCGACCGCCGTCTCACCAATTATGTGGTGGACCATGGTGTAGGATTGAGCTCCGATTCATGGCTCGACATCGGTACGCCGACGATGTAATTGTAAGCACAGAGAGCACCAACAGCCCTTCCGCAAGTGACTGGAATCGAACAGCTTCGCAAAGTACTGACGACTTTTCTTCCATTGCTCTTATCTAGTCAAGAGCGTTCACCTAGACTGGCCTATGGTCTGGCTCTTGTTGCGCCACCCGACGCCCCTGACTGCGCAAGATGCCAAGTCAATCTGCGCGTCACAGCACGATCGTGCCATCCCTCCTTCAGTCCGTATCCTTCTGCCACGAACTTACAGTCGAAGGTCACGTACTACGGAGTCCCTTTCGAAATGTCGAAATCTTTTGTTGCGCTTTGGTTGACTGAAAAGCTTTACGAATAAAGCCTAGTGCTGTGCGTCACATAATGAACATGAGATTGATCGATGTTGCGAAGGTGTACAGTCAGATTCGGTTGATTTTAGGGTGGAATTAGATCGACCAAGGATGGGGTTAGATCGATCAGGCCTCTAGGCGAGCTTGCACCGTACTAGATATCGTCACCAGATCACTCCGGACGCTGTCTCTTGGCCTTGGGCTGAGCGGTAGAGGGCCCAGAGTCATCTTAAGCGGGGGAAGGCTCAGCGTCATCTTTAGCAGCAAGATCTTTGACTACGAAATTGGTCAGGTGAGCCTCGGCTTCGTCTAGCTTTTGGTTTGCATGATGGCGGAGAGCCTTTGAGATGGGGATGGGGCCAGACTCAGAATATAGCTTCTTGATCTCGCTATATGCTGCTTGCACTGCCTGCTGAGCTTGAATGTAATCTGAGGCTTTGCTGACCCCATTGATGACCGTGACCTTGAAGTCATCCAGCACCCCTACCATCTTCTGAGTCTCTTCAAGCATCTTGAGCGCTTCCTGATTGGTCTCAGCGTAGTGAAACAGACGTTCTTCGTTGGTCAGACTCTCCCAGCGCTTGCGTGCGTTCTGGTTCAAATACGGCAAACAAGGAAGGTTCAGCTAGATAGCTCTGCAGCATGTGCGCCTGTCCTTGGGCGCTTACCGTCAGCTTGGTTACAGATCCAACAATGTCAGAAGAGGCCGAACGTGATCCTCGAAGGGTAAAGCTGTCTTCAAATTGAAATGTCGGTTTAGGAAGGTAGACCATAGCCTGGAGGTGTCTGGCACGCTGCTCCCTGGTCATGATCGGCTAGTGACGCGAGCGTGAGCGTGGGCACGTGGCCTGGGATATCGCCCTGCTATCCCACTCACTCCAGTGACTGCCCAGAAGCTGCTATTTTTCTGTGCAATTCGCCGAGGGGCTGAGCGCCGTCACGAACAGAGTTCAAGGGGATGGTGACACTTACGGGGAAGACTCTTTCCATCTCCCTGTTGTACAACATATGGTTGTGCGTGCTCGCCATAATCTTCGGTGCGAGTGCGTACATTGCCTGATGGACCACTGAAAGTTCAGTTGGCTGAGTCGAACCAATCCGATAATCTTGCACTCACGCGAGAGACGACGGTACGATTTCGAACGCAGAGATGCGTTGGGCATTGACATCCGCCACGAGCGACGTAGAGAGTACGGTCACGGTCGGAGATGACGCGCGTCGCCAGCGCGTCGCGGGGGTGAACAGATGATCACAGTCGCCGATGGTGCCAGAACACAAGGGCGGTGCCGTAATTGATCAAAACGTTGAGTAAAGGATGACACAGACGACGTCCAGAGGCGAAGTGTGTTGGTGCGATCGGCAGAGAGAACAGGCATGAGACGAGCGTGCACAGGCGAGCCAAAGATCCAACACGATAGTCGCAATTGCGAGAGCGAAGATGATGGTGGCGGAAAGTTGGCAACGAATAGTATTCATGTAAGATGGATGGTCAATCGCGCAGGCGAGATTGAGGAGACAGGTGTTGGGACGTCAGCACGTACTTCCAGCCACACAGATAGCTTCTCGCGGCCCGTTTGTCAACTCACGTCCTTAATGGGTTCCTGTAGTGCATGGGGAGGAAGCCAGGAAGGTAGAAGTAGGACAAAAACAGAGGCGGTCAGCGATTTGCTGACCAAGTCCATGCGTGCACACCATTGCGGCGCGCATTCGTGGATACGGCAGGATGACGCAAAGATGGTCGTGGATATATGCGTCGTGATGCGAGACACTTCGGGATGTGCAACATCTGCACGCAGGCAGATAGAGCACTGATGACGTCCCATGCGCGATACATCCGACGTACGGAGCCTCTCCCGCAAGCGAAGCAAAACGCACCAGCCTTTCATTCCTTTATTCAGGTCTTTGGGGATTTGCAGCGGTTGCAAAAGAGCTGAGCACGTACGACGTCCAGTCCATGCGCGATAAATGACCTACCGACCCTCTCTCGCAAGCGAAGCAGACCGCACCAGCCTTTCGTTGCTTTGATCAGGTCTTTGGGGATTTGCAACGCTTGCGAGCGATCCATCCAGCACCACCACGACCCATCTCGACCCACATTTACAACGCGTACGAGCGATTCATCCAGCACTACCACAACCCATCGCGTCCCACGCGAAGCAGACCGCACCAGCCTTTCGTTCCTTTGATCAGGTCTTGAGGAATTTGCAACGCTTGCGAGCGATCCATCCAGCACAACCACAACCCATCTGCTCCCGAGCGAAGCAAACCGCACCAGCCTTTCGTTCCTTTATTCAGGTCTTTGGGGATTTGCAGCGCTTACGAGCAGTCTACGATCCATGAAACACGAGCCAACACGAGCACAACCTATCTTCGCTCCCGAGCGAAGCAAACCGCACCAGCCTTTCGTTCCTTTAATCAGGTCTTTGGGGATTTGCAACGCTTACGAGCAACCCACGATCCATCCAACACGAACACGACCGAACCGTACGGAAACCTCGAGCACATTTGCACTCACAGACATCTTGATAGGCTTGTCGGGCGTGGGAGCGAGGTTGTTGAGGCTGAATTTGAGGCAACAATGTGGTCGACGAATCCGTGAGAGCGCTGATGTCCTGCACCGGCGCTGAGTGCTTGCGAAGGGAGTGCTGAAGAGCGATGGGCGCGTCAAGCGTTGAGAGATCTCGGAGTCCAAAACACGGAGCGGAGAGGGATGATGGAAGACGTCTCGAGCGAGGTAGTGGGTGGATGGATGGAGCTTCATATTGCGCACGCGTGTTGACCGGCCACGCTTCAAGGCATGCCAGCGTGCGCGCGCGCCTTGCGCACTGCGCACTGGCCACCGCGCAACGGCGCGCCGGTTGCAGAGTTGGCATGCGGCAAGCCGCCGTACCGTCAGGCACGAGTGACACCTGCGTCGTGCCTCTCATTAATGGGCCTCTCTCGTGGACAAGTTCATGCTCAAATGAAGAGCTCATCATGTCCAGTCCGGAAGATTCAACCCAGAGGTTGCTCACACGCAGATGCGGAAAAGTCGTTGCCACAATTAGAGTTGCTGACAAGTCCGAGCACTCAGTCCCCTCGCTGCCTCATGCTCACACGTCAACACGGTCAACGCAGTGTATGACTAAAATTCACGAGCACATGCCATTGATTCTCCTCATATAGCGCTCGGTCTCCTGCTAGCTCGGGGTCCGCTTTCCAGCGTGCCACCGCAGTCTTGCCCCAGAGTATGTAGCCTTCTCTGGGCATAGGGTGTGGGAAAATCTTGTCACGAGCGAACCTAGCCTGTGGTTGTCTCGGATGCCGTGAGAACATTAGTGATAGAGTGTGAGCTCCGCATGTCTCAGTCTCTGATTCGGCCTGCGCTGCATCGAGCCGATGGATGCACGTCGGGGCTGCAGGGAGCGCGAGCGGGAAGGAGCGCTCGCTATGTACGACGGCAGCGTTAGCGGCAGCTGACTGCGCTTCGCGTCTGACAGCGTTGGTGGATGGCAGCGAGGGTCGATGGATGTATAGAGACTTTGACGCAACTGACACAGCCTCATCACCTTCTGCTATTCTCAAATAGATCGTATCTCGTAGATCCTTGATTCAATCGGTCTGAGGAAAGTTTCGGCGGCCAAATGAGAGCGATGAGCGAGAGAGTCTTCGTGCTGTAGGTGCATCCTGCAGGTCGCGTTCGGCGCGTCTGACTACGAGCGAAGGTTCGAAATAGACGGAGGATTTTGTAGTGGTGAGTAGGTCTGAGATGAGGATGCTTCGGGATATCGACGAAGACTTTGAGCCTTCCGAAAGGCTTGACTGACCGCTCTCCTTCCGTTTCACACGTCGAGCTTAAGGTAGTATGCCAGCGGACTACAAGGCCCCTCCCCCTCCTCGCTCAAGCGCCAATTGTCCACGCCAGAGGTAGACGTCTCGCTTTGTTGTCCTGGTGCGCATACATTCCAGAATGCTAATCTTTCTCCTTCAAGGCAAGCTTGACGTTGCCGTACTCTCGAGCGTTACGGTGGGGGCTGTGTCGAGGCCGCGAACGACGTGAAGTCTGCTGACCACTGATGGCTATCAGCGGCTTGCTCAGAGAGAGGTGCAACTCTTGGGTCGTCGATCGATATCCGGACAGGAGTCGCAAGTACGATCTTGAATGGCAATCTGATCTGATCAGATGGGCCCCTCGAATCTTCAGATGAGATAGCACTGAGGCGCCAATGATCGGAGATAGCGAGACCCACTAGGTCAAGAGTTGCAATCCTTTCCTTGAGAGAGCAGTGGTGCGAGTCCGCAGTGGGGAGGCGTCATGCCTGTCAAGTGGAAAAGCGAAGGCAGAATTCGAGCTCTGAAGAGGTGGTCAGAGCCAGTGGACTCCACCTGCAGGATCAAGTCTGATCTTGAGTGCCATTCCGACAAGACCTATTCCGCTTCTCATTCATCAAAGAGGACCAACCAAGTGTCAAATTTGCTCGCTGTGGACATCTTGTGTGATGTGACGCTGGCGACTACCGAGCATTTATCAGCCATGGCCAAGGCGATACGTGACCGAGGCTGGATACTATGCTGGGTAGAATGGCGAGTCGGGACGAGCAATTAGGCAGGCGTTCGCTTTTCTCCAGCTGAGTCTTCTGTACGAGGACTTTGCCCGATGCTTTCCACGCAAAAGAGGTAAGCTCCATCATCTTCCTATATCATCTCCTCATCATTAGTGAGTGAAGTAGTTGAGTCCAATCGGAGGTTGTGAGTGATGAGTTTCAGAACTTCTACGCGATGTTTGAGAACTAGCGTCGTGGCTCGCCCGTGCGTTCGAGCTTTCCTTTGCTTCCAACAGGTACTCTTCTGAGGCAACATAGTCTCATCGGGATCTGAGGCGAGCAGACCCGAGATGCACAACTACGATCACTTCTGGATCCCATGTGCCGGCCGACTTTGATGATGGGCGCACTGATTGAGTTAACGTGCTCTCGTTGTAGATCGGAACGTTGGGCTGTTTGAGTGAGTGCCTGACAAGCTTTATCGTGCGCACATGTATGCGCTGGAGTTGCGACTGCCTTCATAGCGTAGGCTGCACCGAAGTTGCGAGTGAGGAGGTAGTCGCTCCATGAAGCATGACTTCGTGGTCGCTATCATTCTTGATTGTTGGATTTGATTGTATGCACTCGCCTCAAGCCGCAATCACAATGAGGGACTCCACACGCGTACAGGTTGCGGTAGAACATCTGCGATTCCGCGCAGCCCCATGTATAAATCCATGCAGGCTGCTTTATACTTTGCTTCTTGATTCGCGTTTAAAAATTAAGTTTTTGTTCTCTCTGAATCTGAATGCGTATGGCACCTTGCATTCAAATTTGAGTTTAAACCGCTTTTTCTTACGCCGCCTGTCCGAACAAGAGAGAGCGGCTCGACCAGTTTTGAGTGTGGAAGGGTGAGAAAGACGAACCTCTGGCTTAGACCCAAATCCATGGCTTTGACTCGATCACTCCTTGACTTTTGACTGTCGTGAATCATTCAATCACGAATATTGAGTCAGTGCAATCGACCTTTCTTTTCTCGACTCTGGACTGGCTTCATGGTTCCAATTTCAGATCAAAAACTCCATCTGAACGTTCATATTTGGAAAGTGAAGACGGCTGCGAGTCAAGACCTGAATCTTGAATGCTCTCAACAATCAAGAATCACAATCATGAATCGAACATTTCGGATTCAAAGTTCCGTCTTCGACGGACTGAAACGCCTGACCGCGAGCTTGGACTGAGTTGCGAATCTTGAATGTGGATACAGATTCAAATTTGAAAGTTCGACTCAATGTCCTTATATTCAGTCACCAAGCGCAAGCTCGTGCTGACTCTTGATTCTTTGTGGTCGGTCCTATACTTTGACTACCTCACGAGCTCCAACCGCGGAAGAGCCGGCGATGATCCCGTCTTCTTCTTGTCATTTGATTCTCGAAAAATTGGAAGGTCTTCCAATTTGGCTTGACTCAATCTGAGCACTGCAATAGCGTTCATCAGCCGCCATCTTTAAATGAAATGTGAATGTCAAGGAAGTCGTTCATGATTCAAGATCGATGTCGCATTTTTGCGCTGAAACGAACGATTCATGACCTAGATTTGGTCTTCCGCCCATTCGTGATTTTAAATTAGACCTTCATCCCACATTCACCCAGGCTGGCTTGTATTGAGCGCACGGTTCCCTGCGATCTCGAGGTAAATGAATGGTCTAAGAACGCACGCCCCCCTACCTTATGCATGTATCTACAAGTCTCTGCTAAGTCTTTTGCAGCTCCTACAGTCGAGCTTGCACTCGATGCGTATTCAATCTCTTCTCACAACAACCTAGACCTCTCCGAGACGAAAAAATTACGCGAGCACGACTGTGTCATTCCTGTTGCCGTTGTACGCATACAATCACAGTGCTGTCCGTTTGCGCTGAATGACGGGCCCTTCCCGCCGTGGGCGGTCTGTCAAGGTACCCTATGCGAGGACAATATTATTTCTAGTGGGTTCCACGTAACAGCCAGGGATGTCCGAGAGTGCTCATCCAGCGAGGCGCTTGAGGTTGCAAAATGCCTCCAAAGGGTGGGCAGGCATCTAGCTAAGATTTGGAAAGCACGAGGGGCAAGAGGGAGGAGTGAGATTCCGCAGTCATCAAAGAGCGGCGCATGCGCTCACAACTTACCTGCTCTGCGTCCAACTGTAAAGCCAGGAATCCGTCTCGGACGGAACGCCTTGCTCCACCTCAAAACGATCCAAGACTCCCTGTGCGATTTGCAAAGACACTCTCGCATCCTCGAGCGCCTCACTCTGCCCGCGCTGCCGCATGAGAGCAAGATGCTGCTCGCGTAGCCTCAACGATTCCAGTTGACTCAAGGCAAATCGCGCCACTGCAGGCACCCGATCCACGAACCCAGCTTCGAATCTGTCGAGCTTCGAGCGCACGGACGCGCTATCGCTCCGAACGCGCGAGCGGGCGGCTGGATCCGTGATCCGTCGGACTTCGTGGCTGAGCGTGAGCAAAGCAGCGCGGAAATTGCCGTAGTGCTCTACTCGCTCGAGGTCGGAGTAGCTGTCATACTCTTGGCGAGCTCTCTGGAGCGCGAAGGGGTGCGTGAGCTCAAGAAAGGCGTCGATCTAGCCGATAGCAGAGCTTACCATGATGCACAAATGGGCTTCGCTGATAGCCTCTGTCTCGCGCTGGCGGGTAGAGCGACGGCTCGTGCGGCTCGTGTGCTGGGGCGGGTCTCGAGGACGCAGAGCGGTTTGAACTTGCAGGCTGTTGAAGCGTGGTAGCTCCTGTCAAGCGTGGACGGTGGCAAGGAGAATGAGTATTTCTGTCCACCATTGCCCACGCTAATGGGGCTACTTTGAGCGCTGACTGACCGCTTTGAGCTGCCAAAAGGGAGAATCGGTGTCCTTTTGAATTGACATAGAGGCAAAGAGCGCACCGATCAGAACGTTTTGGACCAATTGCGAGAGGATGATTCGTACAAGCTTTGACCTACCGGCAGCAGCTGTTGCAACGTCTCCAGGACAGGGATCGAGAGAGCCACTACGCTCAACAGATCTTCCAGGAATCGATGATCAATCTGTGTATATCGAAGGTTCAGCCTTCTTTGATCAGGACTCATTCGCCTCAGCCGAGCTGAGACTGCTCTATAGACTCTAGACTCACCGCTCTGACTCTGATTCGACCGCTTCCTGAGAGCGCGCCTTCGTAGGCGTCGATTGAGTGAAAGAAGTTACGCTATCGTTTGCACAGAGGGTTATGGAGACCATAGCGGAAGACAATTTGGACGGATGAGTACGACTTCGACTGACCCGGCGTCTAGGAGGCAAGTCTACTCACCTCGAGCTCGCGCTGCTACAGTGCTCGCGGAAGTAGCGTGATTGGAAGCATCCAGGCAAGGAAGAGCGGCAACAGTCAGTGCTTGTACTGGGGCTCACAGCCAGCGAAGGTATGCCTTGTCTAGTAGGTCGATCGTGCCTGAAGGCAGCGAGACTGTTCACCTGCCACGCGTCGCTACAGCGCCCGTCCGACCTTGCAGACTGATCACGCCCTGAACGCTTCCGCTTTGCCGCTTTGTGACGTCTTAAGCAGCTCAGTAATGGCCTGCAGAACTTACGAGAGGCAACGCAGTCCAAAGAGGTGTAGAAGCAGCCCGAGCACTCGCACTAGAGGCGGGGCCTTCGGCAAAGTATTGACTTGTCAGCTGTCCCATGTTGGCTTGGGTCGTTCTGAGCGTTGAGAGTACGTGGGAGTCGAGAAGGTGGGTCGCGCACGCAAGAGCAGTAGAGTACGGCTTTCGCCACGAGCTGCTTTGCGCGCCAGCGCTTGTTAGCGCGCGCGCGCTCACGACTGCTCGATCGCTGAACGCTTCTGCATACGCTGATGTGCGCAACCGAGCGGTCAGCAGCAGTCAAAGTGCGTTTGCGGTCGTCTGGTTTCTGGCGCCGCTCAAGAGCAGGCTTCCTGCCTGGCCGCCAAGCAGAATACACGCCATCAGCCAACTTCGGCATCGCGTTGTTGGATACAGCTCACGACATGACTCCGGCGGTCGATCAATAATGTCAAGCTCTTGCAGCTCTCCTTCGCCAACAAGCTTTCAGCGCTCACGCATGCAATCGTTGACTGACATACTATCTGCGTCTCTGACCACGAAGCATTCAAGACTCATTTCATGAGTCCGAGATCTGTGCAAAGTGGATGCTAGACTCTGGCTATGTTTTGTTTTTACCCTGGAATGGCATCGTGAATGGAACCCTTGGAGGCAACGTTGTACAACGATGACGAGGTATCTGTTGAGCATAAAGAAAAGCCCGGAAGTGCAACTGTAGCACCGGGATCCATGGTCAGAGGCCTTTTGATACTCGAGCACTTGAGACACCAGGACAGTGTGGGTAGCTGGCAAAACCTTCAAATACGCATGTGTGCATATCTCTGCCAGTCTGTTCAACTTGACTTCCCCCTTAGTGAGGACTCTGTTCAACTTGACTTCCCCCTTAGTGAGGACAAAGTGTGGGTCAGTGAGCACTTGAACCGTACGAGCGATGGGGGAAATGCTCAGCGACTGCTGCGACGAGAGATAGCGAAGGACGCTCCTTTCGAAGAATTAGCAGCGCGTTGCGCCAAGACCTGAGTGCCTGTGAATTGAATTGTTTCGCTGTCACTTGCATTCTCGGGCCTGCTCCTGACTGCCCACGATGACTTCGTGGTCTTCTTCACTTCTCTCCACGAGTCGCTGGATCGCCACGCTCTTTTGAAAGTCCATGCCGCTCAGCTAGACTCAAACCGCGGCCTTGAGGCGACTGTATCGATCTAGCTGGGCTCGGTGCATCTGGTCAACCGCGGCAGGTAAGTCGACCGAGAGCTGCTTGAGAGGCTCGTGCACGAGACCTTCCTAGACAGCCACATCCTCCTTGGTCATCTCGCGAGAGGCGTCGCGCAGGTCCTTGCCAGAGAGTAGACAGTACTCAGCGAGGCCAGCGTCATCGCGCATATCTCGAGACTACTCACCTTGATCGCGCGCAGCATTTTTTCGTGCGCCTTCTCTGGCTTTGGCTCCTCGACTGAGCCCGTGCTTCTTGCGTAGGGTAGAGTCGATGGCACAGGCGGGGGGAGGGGGAGAGGAGAGGGGGGGAGGGGGGTAGGGGGATATTTTGAGGCACTGTGACCACGTCAGCGATGGGCTGGCCCGCCTTAGCCTGACAACGCAACGAATTACGGCTCAGTGGTATTCTTAGACGGCATAGCCTGTTCACGGGAGCAACGACTGACCACGACATAGCGCCAGAAGGCGCTCGGCATGTTCTGACCGCAGGCGATGAGGTCAGATTCAATGGCTACCTCAAGCAGAAGACGCAGGAGCTTGGATGCGCAACTTACCTGGTGTGAAGTTCCGTAGAGGGCAGCGCGGCCCGACTGGGTCTGCGGTCAAGGAGATAGAAGTTCAGTGAAAGGTCGACAGTCATGAAGGCTGGAGTGAGCTGAAGCAGTGCGGACCTGGACGGCTGCGCGAGCAGACTCCAGCAGTGCGAAATCGCTCTGCAAGAGAGTCGAGAGAGGGTGTCAGCCGAAGGTACCGACTTTCGAAGATGACAGCAGACAGCTCACCATTTTTCCAGGCTAGGAGGTGGAGCCTGCGTTCTGCTTGCAAGGAGGACCATTATGGCCGTCAGATATGGAAGTCGCAACCATCCGGCATCAAGCTCTGCGCTCACGTATGCAGCGTGATTGTTCTGCGACGAGAGAAGCGTCGCTCGCAGAGCAAAGCGGAAACGACATCTCACATCTTGCAGAGCGCCGTACCAGCTTCGAGAGTGCCAGTAGAAGGAGCTCGCGCTTTTGCTGGCATCTCTCAAGAAGCCCTTAGATCTGTCACCTGAGCTGACTTTCTTGAAGGAAGTCGGATCGAACCACAGAACCAAGGGCTTCTTGAGAGCTGCGAGTCTAAGCAGGAGCTCCTGTGGTGTTGACTGACTCGCCCTCATCTCCGTCAGACGCATTGGCGTACTGCCGATCCTCTGCATCGAGATGAACAGGAGACTGGTCAGTTGATGAAGCCGAATTGACTCAAGGTTCAGCTCACTTGCATGCGCCAAAGAAGGTCCCTCGTCCGCTTAGATTGCTAAAACATGGGGCAGTCAAAGCGCTCAAAACCGACTGTGTCGGTCCGTCTGCCAACAGACTCTTGCTTTGGAAACGAATCCCTTGATGATGGGTTGCGAGTTAAACCTTTGAGCTACGATGGCTACGACGCGGTCCCTCAACCGCTTTGAAGAGGTAGCAAGTCGTGAGTCTCGAGCGGTCAAGCAATGCTGCTTAGGAAAGCGTATGGTGTAGGCTGCTATGTCGAAGCGTGGTAGCGTTGAATATCCATAGGCCGCTAGAGAAGCTTTCAGGATTGCTGAGTGCCCTTTATAGATCTTGCGGTTCGTTGAGGGATAGAAGGCTTGTCTTCGCTAATTCCTCTGAAGGCGGTGGGATAGCTGCGGAGAACTGGCTGGGGGGCATTGGCGCTCAGCAGCTGCTATTCCAAAGGGCATGCAGCTGCTGCGCCTTTTACTGTCAGGATGTGACGTCGTCAGATGTTCCAGCTCCATCAAGTTGCAATTCGAACCTTGAGCGCTCAGCGTGAGGCCTTGCGATTGGTGACTGGATAGCAGATAAGCACAATGGTGAATGAGCGAGCAGCCGGCCGTAGCTGGGCACGCCCGAGCCACATGCATCAGTTGCAGTACGAGTGGTGACTCTTGCAAGAGGTCATACGGATGCATTTGCAGGTGCCGCCCTCGTGAGACGCTTGCTTCGTTGCGTCATCGGTGGCGCGCGCGGACTGCGACCCACGCGTACATGGCTATCTCAAAGATAGCAAGTCTAACGGCTACCCGCCGCAGTGAGAGTACTTCCGGCCCCTCCGTACGTGCCCCTGGTTGGTACAGTCAGAGTGCTTGACCGGGGTAGAAAAGCTAAGCCCTCGAGCGCTTAGCCATAGGTGAGGATGAACCACATATTTCTACTCACGACTATACGTGTACATGCTGGTCATCGTTGCTCGTGTCGGAGACGGCGTGTCCAACAGGCCTGAGGTGTCACGAACAAAGGGGCTGCTTGTGCGCAAGGAGGGCGGAGGGGGCGAAGTTGTAGCCAGGCCTGCTGCATGCGCTGTCTCCATCATTTTGCCCTTCGCATCCTGCGATCTTATCGTTTATGTTCAATGCAGGAGGTGATGATAGTGGTAGCGACTGAAGAGTCAATGTCTGGGAGCGGATGCTGTGAACTAGCGTGCCACGATCTACGCGTACCGCCGCCGATTCGATGTGCGCGCAGCAGGCACACTACTCAAAGTTCAAGACTGCCCGCGCACAGAGCAAAGCCAGGCATCACGTGAGTGATTCGTGATTTGACTCTCCTCACGACTTTTTTTGACTTTCGACTTGCTGTGACGAGGGAGCCATGCGTTCTCACCTCAAGCAAGACAAAGCCTGCCCCCATCCCCGGCCCGCCACTTGCACGCCGTCACGACTCCTTGGCCGTGCTCCCATACATACACATCACGAAATCTCCAGAAAGTCATCCTTGAGGCTGATTTGCGACAAAGCCACACCGATCGGAGAGTGTACTCTGCGTGGGCAAAGGACTTCTCACGACGTGACTGCTTTCGAAGCCACCCGCAGTCCCGCAGAACCCATGCAACGTCGCTCGCGGGGACCTGTCATGGGCTTCACGCAGAACGCGCACGCAGCTCTGGAACTCATTCTGGTGCCCCGCGACTCTTGACTCACACTTTCCATCAATCACGAATAGAGCACCGGCGCTCTGAGCGAAGTACAAGCGGGTGTAATTAAAGCGCCCTTCAACCTCGTCGGCTAGCGACTTTGGCTCGGCGTCAAGCCCCGGGGGGCGACGCTGCGCATCGGCGCTCGGACAGTCCACCCTTGCTGCTCTGGGGTCTCGAGGCAGCTCAGATCGGTGCAAAGGAATGCGCCACCGATTCGGTCCTGAACCAACTCCTTCGCCTCCTTTCCGATTCGTGCGAGCTCAGCGAGAACGAGCACAGACTCATGTGCCCCCTCGACGCACTCCGTCTCAACTCAACCACGAGTCATGCAGCCACACCGAGACCACTGCCGGCGATGTACTTTGATAGGTGAACCTGTAAGATGATGGGATTATGGCGACGGCTTGGAGCGAAGCGCACGCGAGGATAAGTGGCGAAGTCTATCTCCGTGGCGTTGTTTCTGGCCTCCTCAGCCTCGAGACATCCCTTCTCCAGGTCCAGCTCGAAGTCAGAAAGAACGCATCGTTTCGGCTTGGGGCGAAAGCTGACGAGGAGACCGTTGGAAGCCTTCATCCAAACGGAAGCACAACGTGGCAAGGCTTTGATCTCGCGCTGGGCGAGTAGAATGATTGGATGCTGCGATGGTTGGAGGCAAAATTCGACGTGTGGAGTTCAGCCAGCGGTCGAGTACGATCAGCTTGTGTACGCGAAGGCACTCACATTGGCGCGCTGCCATGCAGGCAGAAAGAAGGGCATGTTGGTGTGTGGCCTAGGGCCCGCGACCAGTTGCCGTCACGAAGTGCGCATATCAAGACTGGGCGATGTCGCCGAATTGACTGATGAGCGAACGGATGGATGTGGCGGAGATCAGCGACACAGTCGAGCAGCGCCATCCAACACTGGCCACCACCTCTGCTCGAAACACGGGACAAGGCCGCTGGAACTACTCACCCAGTTGGGTTCGGGTCTCAATGGCGAAGGAGTCACAGATGCTCTTTCGAACAAGAAGACTACATAACAATGAATGGGGTGGTCAGCTTATGCTGACCGAGCTAATGAATGCAAGAAAGTGGCATGCAAGCGAGTGGCAAAGTCGGTGAAGGCGCTTCCACCTCTATTTGAGTGAGATGGCGACTGTACTGCAACGTGTAGCCTTCCGAAAAGCGACCAGTCGATGCAAAAGCAGAATCTTTGTTTCGGAAGTACTCGATTCACACACATACGTATGAGTGGAACTTGCCCTGGTCTTCGCACTGTCGTGCGCGACATCAAGGCTGCCCGATTCTGCAACGCCTAGACATCTTCCACTACCCGAGCGACTCTATGCCTTGTGGCACGTCTTTCTCGAGGCGTATAGCCCTGGCCCAAGGACCAGTCCTGCGACTTCCACGACTCGCGACCCGCTCTAAACCCCCGTGATTACTCACCAATACTTGAGTTGTCGTGAGTGGAACCTGTGTGGAAGAAGACGAAGGAAAGGAATGGGCGGATGATTGATCAGTGTAAGACATGGCACTCGAGTGTCGAAGGCGAGGCGAGGAACACTTACGAGTTGGGAGGGATGATGAGGATGAGGAAAAAAGTTGGAAAGAGGGAGAGGCGAAAAAAGGCCCTATTTATAGGCGAGAGCGCCCTCCTAATCGCACGCCAAACATGCTTGGGTGTGCGCGTACAGTCTCAAGTGTAGCAGCTGACCAGTGTTCTGGCGACTGGCGCGCAGACCGGTGTGCCCAGCGCGCTGCCATCCCCCGTTTCCTGAATGCATCCCCCGTTTCCTGGATGCACGCCGGACGGCATTTTGTGTTTAGTAGTCTTTTATTGGGACACGCTCCACGCGAATGTGTCGCTCTTTCGCGCGATGCCTCCGCTCCTCCATCAGCGTCCGGACGCGAATACAAGTTGAGTATCTCTTTATGTGGTCCGCATGCCAGACGCGTTGGACCTGTGGCCCACGTCACCGGTGGATCCAGCACGACGCGCGCATGCATTGTCCGAGCAGACGATGTGCCTGGCAAAACCCACGTAGAGCAGAGCAAGTCTTGCGATTGTGGCCCAACAGCACCGAGCGCGACGCAAGGCATCCAAAATAGTTGAAGAGGACGTCCATTGGTGTTGTTGGGCCACAGAGATGCATTTGGCGAAGTGACAACGCACTTTGGTGTCCTCAGGCCACAAACGACGAACGCTGCTGGGCCATGCGAGTTTGCATGGATGTGGAATTTGCAAGCATTCGTGTCCAACAGCGCTGACAGATCGTTGAGGTCGTGACGGCGATGGCGTGATCGGAGAGCCTTTGCTTTCCTGGCGGATGAGTAGGAATGCTTCATCGGCTGGTGAGCATGCCAGTGCCAGTGCCAGTGCCAGTGCCAGCGCGGCAGTCGAACAGAACAGTCCCATCCGTTCAAGCAGGGCCTGCGAATCGCGAATGTCGAGCACGCTCTGCAGCGTCTCCGGACTCGACGACAGCGATCTGTGGATGACTCCTCTAGGCCAAATCCCGCACCCGAATCAACGATCCCTGTGACTGCGCCAAACGAGCGGATGCAAATGAGTGTGGCGGTGCTCCCATCCTATCAGGATTGATCAAGCTTAGCATCTTCGAGGATATTCTCACGACGGACAGAGGCTGGCGACGCGCAGGCGTAGGAGGACGAGCGCGTGCCACGGATGCCTCACGTGCTTGCATGAATGCCGGCAATCTTGATTCAGATTTCCCAATTTTGAATTATTGAATGCTGCTCTTGCGACGCTGCCGGACTGCGTGTGGAGGAGCGTTGAGGCGGTGACGACGCCGAGTCCGCCCGATAGCCGTGAGCCAGTGCAGATGCTGCGTCACGTGCTGATCCGACGCGGAGGACATCGAAAGCTTGAGGTGCGGCAAGCTTGCGGTTCCGAGCGGTGGCCGTTGAGGTCCACGATGCATGACCTGGCGAACCACTAATGCGGCACTAAGGTGTAAAATGGGATTGATTATTGACATTGGGCAAAGTGTTGTCGTTAACAGACTCCGCGTTCTTCCGTAGTGTGGTGCGCGCGATTGAGCACGCTAGACGATTGACTGTGTCTGAGCAGATCGATCGAACGTTGCACATGTGACGAATTATTGAACGTTATTTTGGTGTTGTTAATGTAGCCAGGGCCGTGCTGTGAGAGACGATGCGGATGAAATTGTGGAGGCGAGCAGCGCACAGAATACTGATCTTAGTCCGCTCTTGGTCATCGACATTCTCGTAAAAGAACCACGTTGACCAGATGTCGGCACCTGCTAGTCTTGGACACGTTGCAGGCGTGACTCAGTCTTTAGCTAATCCCAATCATCGTCGTTAGCCCGGCTGCTATTTGTTGAGCCGAATCCCAGGACAGGCTGACTTGCTTGTTGCTTAGCTCTCGGCGTCAAAATACCTATGATGCGAAGGTTGCGAAGGTCAATTAGGCGACGAAGACAAGTCACGTGACTCCGTACCAAGAGATGCCGCAAACGCGCGCGCTCAGCTTCGACGCCTAGCGTGCAGCCCTTCACTTACCGGCTCGCCCGAGTCTCCATTCCAAGACGCCAGTACCGAATTCGTCTTTATTGCCGAGGTCTTCGAAGCCCACGATCTGATCGAGGACTTTGCCGCCTGATCCAAACAGAACAATGCATGGAAGCGTCTGAATGCTGAGCTTGTGTACCAAGAAAGGCGAGTTGAAGACGCTGATTTTGAGGAAGAGGGTGCGTGGATGCAGAGGCGCGAGGAACTGTGGTGCCGAAAAGTGCCGCGTGCTGCAATGTCAGCCAGCGCCAGCGGTGGATGGAAGCGCGAGGTAATCTGCGAATGCTGATGGCAACTCACGTCAAGGTGCCTGTCGACAATACCGCAGCGTTTGAAGTCGGCCTTGTAGAAGTGAACGACGACGCCGTCGTTTTCGGCCAGTTGGCGCATGAGGTCTTTCTCTGAGCTAGGCTCGGTGAACTTGCCGTGCGCATCCGATGACTGAGCAAAAAGGGCTTTCTGAGCAGCTCTGTGGATGCAAAGGAAAGGCTGATCAGGACTGGCATGCGAATGATGATTCGACGAGGACAAGGTGGGAGCCAGCCGGGTGATTCATGGAAACACAGCAGCGACCGATTGGGATCGCAGGCAGCTGCACTCTGAGGCCGGCGTCATAGACGTGGCTATGAGGGACGTCGACGCGTTAGGAAATTGGATCATCAAAAAACTCACTCTTCTCTCATCTGTCGCATCCGCTTCTCTTTCCATTCTCCGCTCAATGAGTCAGCCTCCTGCTCGAGCTGTTCGAAGATGTCGTCGTCGTCCTCTTCTTCATCTTCATCGGGGTCGTCTTCTCGTCGAGCACCCACCCTGCTTCTGTGTCCTCTGCCAGCGCCATCGGCATGGATGGAGGGTACGACCTGAGCGTGGTCATCTGAGTTGCTTGAGAAGGAGGGGTGGTACGTTGGTCCACTAGGTCCTGCTTCGTTAGCGCTGGACCCGGGCGCGGGAGGGATTGGAGCAGGGAGACTGGAGGGATCGGGCAGTGGCGTTGACATGGTAGAGGGTGAAGCCAGAAAGGGTGTCGTGAGTGCTGAGTAGGATCAAGTCTTAATGATGATGCAGCTGCTGCCCCTCGTAGGGCGTCTGCGTTCTCTTCTCAGGATGCAGCACACGGGCTATGCTGTCGAGGGAGGTAGTGCCGAGTATTTGCAGCAGGAATTGCGGCGACCAGTGCCTCACCTTGCTAGCTGTCAATTTTGCAGGACCGGCGATGTTGATGGCGAAGGGCGACAAAGAGAGGTTTGGAAAGTTGTGGCCTCAGAGTCAAAAGTATATGGATGCTGCGAATGCGCAGAGGCCGCGAAGCGCAAAACGCAGCATTCCCTCAAAAACTATGTTCTGCGAAAGCGGGAGGAGTCCCCGCTAAAATCTTGAAATGCCTCCGCGCACCGCGCGCAGGAAGCAAATTTTTAATCGTGAATTTTATAATCGTGAATAATCACGAATCAATTAAGAATGTGTAGCGCCCGCCATGGACGCGGCGCGTCCTCCACAGGCTCAGCGCACGGACACCAGACGCGTCGCGAACGATTCAGGGCGCGAGCATTGAACTTTCCACGTGACGTTCACCTTCCTTGATCCCATCCTATTTTTTGATTTGACTTAGGTTGCTCGAAGCTCAAAATCGGTCAACATCAGGAATCACGAATGGACATGCTTCTTCGCTCGCGACGACGTGAAGCCAAGCGCATGGGGATCACTTGACAGCCTTTCAACATACTCACGACTGCGAGCGACGCATGCCATTGGGAGTCGTCCAAGAATAGACCGACTGACTGTACTACTATCCTCTCGTTACCGAGCTTTACCTCGGTCATCTTAAGAGCTTAGAAGCGGCAGCCAGCTGTCCGACTCTTCCGTGGACCCACGCCCTCGGCGCTAACGCATTCATTTAGCCTTTGTGGCATCGCTCGTGAGAGTTGCTCTTCGCGTAGCCGAGGTCTCGAGAGTCCCTAGGACAGATGGCAGATCCTGACAGCCCTGCATCACCTCAGCTATCGTCATCGGCATCCCGCAATGTAAGCCCCTTCCATTCGCTGGCCCTCGGAACACGTCTAGTGCACCGGTCGACCAGCCAGCGCTGCACACTCCGATACGTTGGTACTATACCGCCTACTTTGGGACAATGGTGGGGTGTAGAATGGGACGATCCATTGCGTGGGAAGCACAGCGGCACGTATGTTGACCCAGCATCAGGCGAAGCCAAGCAATACTTCACGTGTCGCCTGGAAGGAGCAGGAACCTTCGTCAGACCCGACGAGCCTGGCAAGCCTCCAAAGTTTGCCAGAGGCGTCAGCTTTCTCAAAGCCTTGCGGGCCAAGTATGCGCCTGATCTTCGGCCCACGCAAATTCAAGAGCAGGACAAAGTGCAATACACGCGCAAAAATTTGGCCGATATCGAGATCGAAACGCCCAATATGGATGGTGTTATCAGACGAGTGGGAAGATTAGACAAGCTCAGGGAGGTGGGTCTGGGAGGATGGAAAGGTGGCAACGCTGTGACGCAAGACTCCGATAAGGAAGATGCTCTTGATGTAGGCTGCGCTTTCGACGAGTCGTCTGGCGAGACGGTCGGTGACATCGCTCGCATTTGCCCGAGTGAGTAGCGCTGCATTGCAGGCTCTACAGAGGCCTCAGGCTATACATGTGTCGTCTGCCTAACGCTTAGTATCGCGCATGTACCCGATACCAGACATTCGATTGCTCGACTTATCGAGATCGTTGCTACCAAGATGGGAGGACGTAGCATTCATCTGCAGAGAGTTGCGGCAGCTCAATACCCTCATATTACAGTGAGCGGCTTGCCACCTACCAGAGCTATCTCGTGAATCTCACTCTGCCACTCATTCTCGCACGATTCCCATCATTGCAGCTTCAATCGCTTTGAGCCTTACTGCTCGGAGGACGCGCGCGTCTTGCAGGGAGCCTTCGACAAGGTCACTGATCTTCGCTTGGATGGCACATTGATTGGATGGTCAGAGGTGAGCCTTAGTCGCTCGCCTACGGATATGGCGAGGCTCGCTGAAGCAAGCATCGTCCCTTGCTAGATCCTTTTTCTATCCAAGTACTTTCCATCCCTGGAGACTTTGCAGATTGGTAGTAATGCATTGGATCGCTTGTCACCACCTGGTGATGTTCAAAATCTGCTCGATCCACCTCACCAAGCTTTCGCGCACCTCCGTCAGCTCAATCTGTCCAACAACAACCTCGGCTGTTGGTCAGACATCTATCAGGCGCTCATGGATTTGCCTATGTTGGAACGCTTGTACCTGAGCGACAACCGCATCGGCCGAATCGCGGTACCGCCCAATCTTTGCGCTGGCTTCCCAGCTCTGCAGCACATTACTCTAAACGACAATCCGGTCAATGAATGGAGCGATCTAGAAGCGCTTGATGACTGCGTCAGGTGGGCGCCTCAACACGAAGATGCTGCTGCCAAGGTTGACCAGACCTTGCGCGGGCTACGTAGCTTGACTTTTGCAATCGGAGCCGGATCTGTGGAGCACGAAACTTCAAGTCCAAACGAGCCGCGAGGCACACGCAATGACAAGGATAAGGTCTTAGCGCAATCATCCCTCGAACGACTGAAAGGTACGTCGTTGCGCTTGCGGTATCTTCCCCTTCGCGAGCATCACGTCAATAGCACACGCGCTGCGCAGGGTCGCTGACTGTGTCGCATCGTGTTCCGTTTCGTTAGATCTCCAACCAGGTGACATCCGCCCAAGCATCATCGCTCGGCTTCCACGCCTAGAGATGCTGAACGGTTCTCCAATATCTTCTAGCGAACGCAAAGATGCCGAGCGGTGGTACATCGGGCATGTCCAACGACAGCTTCCCGAGGCGGACGACGAGCAGAGAACGCAATACTGGAGACGGTACGCGCGGTTGGTGCAAGGCGAGTATCCTTGTCGTGCCAAGTGCTCCGTAGAGTGACCACATGCTCATCGCTCCAAATCCTTCTTTCCTGCTTGTGCAGAGCACGGAGCCCCTTCTTCGCTACCAAACGCCGTGAAGACAACCAGTACTCTAGGCAGCAAGCTTTTGGGTGAGTGGTACCCGTCAACGTACCTCGATGAACCGTACAGCGCCAGAGCGAGAGGCACTAAGGCTCACCTGCTTCATCACACAGAGCTTCGCATACAGGCGTCATCATCGGTGCCAATCGCTCATACTCCGCATACGACACCAACGAGTATTCGACATTCAGCCATGCGAGTGCTACGGAGCACACCGATCAGGCAATTGCGCAGCAAGTTGGCCAAGCAGCTCAAGATTTCAGGCGGCGCCGCGGCTATAGGGTCTGTCTGGGCAATGCTCGCAGAGGCGGCGCATCCAGATGAAGCTGCTGCTGAGGCGGGCAACGGAAGAGGAGACGAGCAGGAGAGGATCGTCTTTGAATTGGACGACGACGCTAGGCAGCTCAGCTGGTATCAGCTGTCGAGCGGAGACTCGATCATTGTGGTCATCGACAGCCCTTGAGCGAGACAAGACAGAAACGCCTGTTCACTTTTGTAACATACTCATATACCACTGTGCGATCGCAATGTCACGGGTTGTACTAGCACTGAGCTCCACAGATCCCGATTCGCTCGTAGCACGCGTCGAGAGAATGCTATTGGCTGCATGATGCAAGTAGAACGCTACAGCGTCAGCGGTTCGGGGTAGCTCTGATGGTAGTATACAGCAGGAGATAGAGCAAGCTAGTATCGATATTAGTTCAGCGAGCCAAGAGGCAGAGATGAGGCGCCATGGGATGCAAGGATGGCGTGCGACGCGTTGGAAAGGCGTAGAGAAGGCTCATGCGTCGGTGTCAGGAAAGGTGTCGAGTTCAGGTTGGCAGCGATGTGTGTGCGGTCTGAAGAAGGAAGCCTAAGCAGGATTTTCAGATCCCAGTAAGGCCCAGCTCGCCCCAGAGCGCTTCGTGGGCAGCTCTGCTTACAGGCTGGGCAGGCTGAGCTCGGTTGGAAGGGCGGTATTGGCCAGGATTGAATCGGTCTTCGGGGATCTCATCGCGCTTAACGATGCGAAGCGCCTGCGTTCGCGCCACTGGAGAACGAGGCACGGATTTAGGCGAAGGAGCTCCAAACTCCAAGCCAAGACCAAAGCCGAGGGCGGCAGCGTGCTCTTCCTTGCTCATCGAGTGGTCGCCGTCAGGAGTGTGTGGTGGGGTGATGGGCGAATGGCTGCGCGGTTGGTGACGCGGCATGCCGGCAGCGTTCGTCGTGATAGCCAAACCTCGCTTGCGCGACTTGGGAGGCTTGCTCGGCGAGACTTTGACAGGCTCGTGGGGGGAGGGAGCTCCGCTATGCAAGAGGTGGGCACCTCGAGGTGGGCTTTGACGACTAGCAGCGGCGTGAAATTCGCGGTGAATGTTCTCGGAGTCGAGGTTCAGAGGCAAACTGAGATCCAGCTCAAGAAGTGGTGACTCCAAGCGGGTATGAAGGGGAGGGGAGGGTCGCAAGACGCCTGGTGAAGCGAAACGAGTCTGCTGAGGTCCTCCGGAGAGGCGAGGAGTCTCACAGTCCTCCTCATCGTTTGCTGCACCTGCGTCTGCTCGAATTGCGGCGACACTTGGGTTGCTGACTGCAGCGCCAGATTTGCCATGAAGGCCGGTCGCAAAGTATCCTTCCGAGGAGACTCCGAGGTCTAAAATACTGCTGCTGGCAGTCAAGGCGCTGATCTGGCTAGAGCTAGACGTCATGCCGTTGCTGACGAGCGACGGAAGGCTCGAAAGCGCGGCGGAAGATGCGACGCTCGCGGGACTTGCTGCTAGAGAGACATCACTTGTGATGCTTCGTGCTGGGCTCGACATGGGACTGTACACCTCACCGTGCTGTCCAAAGCCAGCGCTGGTCAAAGAAAAGGTAGAGAGGCTGCGAGCCAGCGCGAAAGGTCCGTCGTCGTCAATGCTCGAGGCGGCATCCTCGCTGAACTCGCTGAGGTCAGACGTGGACGGAAGACTCGGCAGCGCGGCGCGACGAAGCACTGTCTTGGGGGACGTGTGGTAATGTTGATCACTGGAAGGTGGACAGTAATCCTCGAAGTTGGCTGCGGCCCAAGTGTTCTGGTTGATGATGACGGTGTCGCGATGCTTGGAGGCGAGAACGCTACGAGGAGAGGGTCTCGCAACTTCATCGGTGTGTGGGAGCACCACTGCTCCGTCGTAGGCGTCGGCTTCGTCCATCTCCTCCACGAGACCACCGGCCGTTACTTCAGGGCTTGGAGGCTTTCCCTCGAATGCTTCTTGCGCCTGCGAAGCGAGATCTGGCGTGGGTGGCATCACGTTGACGACCACTGGAAGAGCGGCTCCGCGTTGAGTTTGGTGGCTGGCTGCATCATCAGTATAGCCATTGCGCAGTGGCGAGTGCGTGATCGGCATGGATGGCGAGTTGGATGAACTCGATAGAAGCGAGACAGACGACGGCCCTTGACCAAGGCGCGGGCTACGAGTCGTCAAGGTGGGGCTAGCTACTGCGACGGCTCTAGCACCATTGCGCCCTCGATTGAGGTTGACTCGACGAGCCGAACGCGTCTGCACTTCTACAGCCTGACCGTCGATAATCTCGATATCAGGCTGCGCTGGCGTGCCTTCAGCGCTGGCGGGATTGCTCGTGTCGCCGTCACGATCCCAGGCAAAGAGTGGGGAGAAGGCCGCCACTTCGTCTGTTAGAGGAGTGAAGACGGGGGGCAGACCAAATTGGCTAAGGCGGGGTGGAGCGCTAGACATGAGAGCCCCGACGCTGCGACTCCGACGACGCAAAGTCTTGTTTTGATTGTTTGCGTCCAAGCTGCTGGCAGAATTCGCCGTGGCCAAAGGTGCGTCCATGCCAAACCAAGCTTGATTGTGCTCTTCGTCAAGCACAAAAGCGCTGCCACTCCCACCGATACGTGGACTCTTGAGAATTGGCGATTTCAGGGATTTGGGACTCATCGCACCTCCATAGATGCTGTCAACACCGGCTCGTCGTGCGCTACCACGGCCAACGCTAGAAATGCGGCAACGAGCTCCGGAGCCCCAAGAGGTTGTGCTCGTCGATGCAGTCATTCCAGTGGATGTCGAATTGGAGGTTGACAATGTGCCGCCGCTCTCGGATCCAGGGAGAACGTCGAAATCGCCATCTATCGCGGGAAGCACTGGAGCATTTGATGCTGTCTCATAGTTGCCGAAAGTGGCCACGCCGCTCGGATGGCTCCACTCTGCGCCTGCATGGTTGTGTTCGGCAGGGGACTCTTGGGGTTGAGCTTGCGCACGTCGGACTTCACGCAGCGTGGGCATGCTGTACTTGCGGCCAAGCCAGTTGCGATTGGTAGAGGAATTGATGAAGCCTGGTTGCCTACCGCCTGCTCCTCGCCCAGCTGGCAATGAAATCTCCGGAGCTGTCTCTTGTGAAAGCGCTGAGTCGCCTACCGTCGAGGGACCGGTCATGGCACGCACTGGAACAAACCGAGCAGGTACAGTGCGGGTAGTTGTAAGGTCCGCGCTCGAGGGGTCGAGTGGGGCCTTGTACAACGTCTGAATTGCGGGTCTGGTCCGGGAGACACTGACAGAGTCCGCAAAGCTGGTCACTGTTGGGGGCGCACTTTGCGGCACCGAAGAGCCGATTGCCGAAGTGTTGAAAGCAGGCAACGGAGGAGGCGCACCTTTACCCAACCCGCTCTTGCCCGATCGCTTCCAGGAAAAGAATCGTGAGAGAGAGGAGCCATTCTGAATCTTGTTCGGGTTGCTCGACTTGCCACTGTCGCTGGGGCGACGTCCCGAGAGGCTGGGCCTTGGTGTAACGTCCCTTGACGAATCCTCATCAGAAGTGTTGAGATCCAAGGAGTGAGCGAGATCTTCCCTTGACATAACAGGCACAGGGATGTCCGTGTCGGCGCTGTCGGATCTACCTGCAAAAATCTCCTCCATGGTGAAAGCCTCGAGCTCGGGCGTCGGGCTTTGAGTCCACGTCTTGTCAACGACGATACGCGCAGAAGATCCTGCATCCTCATCACAGCTTTTCGCGTTCCAAGCTGCTGGGCCCGCGAAGCTCTTGTATGCCTGCCGCGTGCGCTCTCCAGCCGAGGCGGGTCCACCGACGCCCCATTCCCGCAGAGAATCATACTCGTGGCTATGGCTTTCAGCCTCGTGGTCTTCAAGGTCCGAGACGGCCTCTATGCCCATCGCATGCGCCGGATTCAGCATCGCTAGAGATGCTTTCGATACGACATTGATCTTGTCTTTGCGCGTCTGACTGCGCACAGGTTTTCCGCTCCGTCTAGCCTTCGTCGTCGAGGTCGTGCCAGAGTCTGACATGATGCAGAGCAGGCTACAATGATGCGGTGTGGGGTCAGCCTCGACTTGGTGGGCTGCGAGGAAGGATGGCCTGCGATCCGTCAACGCACCTTGGTCGTCGCGCTTCGTGCTGTTCGCTGATGCTTGTCGTCTAGGTGAAGGGAGAGTGGTGGCAAGCGAGAGCTAGGTATGCGAGCGCTTGTTCATGGGAATTGATCAGAGAGTGAGGGGAAGAGGAGAAGAGGGAGTAGAATGAGGAGAAGCGACTGGAGTGAGGAGGTAGAAGTGATGACGTTAGAGGCAAGACGTGTCAGGAACGTCCAAACGCTGGTGATGTGGATATAAAGGAGAACCTGGTGCGACGATGGACCGGGAGCGATGCAAGCCTGCTTGGCTCAAGGCTACACAGGGCGAGCGGTCGAGGAGTTGAGCGACGGTGCTGCAAGCTCCAAGGACAGCATCAAGAAAGAAGAGCTTGGTCATGATCGATTGATTGGGCGATAGGACGGCGCATGCAACTCCGCACACTGTATGAGCGCAAAGAGCAAGGGGCTGCTTAGTCTAGTGTGTGGCCAGACTCGCCCAACGGTCCGGATCGAGACGGAGATCACTACATCATGAGTGCCTTGAGGCCTCGATTGCTGGTCTGGAGTTGAGCACTTGCACAAGCGGCGACTAGGACGGCAGGCAGATGGCACCGCAAAAGGGTGGAGACAAGCTTCATGCGTGCCAATGTGCGTTGTTGTGTGTTGCGCCATGCTGCGCGGCAAAGGGCCGTTGCAAGTCGCAAGGGTCGAGAGAGCAGGGACTCGTGCACACAGATCTTCCTGTGCCTGGATCTGCTGCTGTGCAGGCTGCTACCGCCTTACGTATGTATTTGGGGCTGTCGAATAGGCCGAAGTGAGCTCCATGGAGCTACAGGGATGATGATGTCGTTGGCCGTTGGAGAGGCAGCAGATGCCCTGGCTGCAGCAAAGACGGGGCTCAGCAGCGCACACGCCCCGCCGTCATCTTTCCAACACCAGCAGCGCAAGAGAGACAGCAACACAAACAGCACATGTGCGGCAGAGCAGCAGCAGCAATCAAGCAGCACACGCGTCCAATCACCAAACACACGCGCGTTTCGCGTCCAACGGTTCTCCTGCTGCATGCTGCTGAGCGCGTGTCAACGGCTCAATGCTCTGGCGTGAAGCAATCAAGCACCTTGCTTTTGCCATGCGAGATCGGATCACCTTCATCTGCGCCCCCCCTTCGCCTTCCCCTGATGGTGATGTTTGCTTCTCCGCACACTTTTGCCGAAGGAACTCTTGTCAGCAGCATACAGTACATGCGATGCTTTCGAATTCGATACTGCACAATGCGCGACCTGCCCGATCGAGCGGCTGCCACTTCCCCTACAGCCAGCCACCCATGCAACCCGGCCGCATGTGCTGCTTGTGCATCCCAACGCGTCGATAGGTTGAGGCAAGTCCTTTCTCCCCCGCGATGCTAGCTGCTGACCCGTACGCCCCCTTCCACAGCTGCATGGCCTCGCCGCCGCCCTCAGTGTCCACCTGAGAGCGAAACCACCTCAATCAGAGACCTTTGCTTCCGCCGGCAAGGACATGTGGCGCTCGGGTTCAAGCACAGCAGATTTGCAGCGAATTGTGCCTCGGAAAAGTCGACGTGAGGGTCCAGCCCTACTCGCGAGTATGACCCTGCTCTGAACCTAATGCGCCCGAGCAATCAATCCGACCGACCGATCGCTCGAGTGTCCAAAGCCAGGGGCCGCCATTTGTCGTTGCGTGGTCCTAATCCGAACCTTGAAAAGATGCCCTGTGGGTCTGGTGTCGCGCACGCGTCCTGCAAGGGGTCGACCTCTGGCACGCGACGCGCTCCCTCCCTTTGCCTCAGAGCTGCTGAACGCTGCCGCCCTGCAGCAGCACCACTTAAAAGCACGAAAGTGGCGATCGCGAAGAGTCACAAATGCTTGGGTCAGGGATGGGTCTTTGCTTCATCGCGACACCGCTTTCAGATAGGCGCGCATAGCCAGTGTCGCACGCGTTCACCTCGCTCGAAATTCGGCTGACAAGCAATTTGAATCGAGGTTGAACAATTGGAGGAGCGCGGGCAAAGACGTTGTGGGGTGCGGGAGCGCAGCGATGATCGAGGGATGGCGGACAGTAAATACAAGTACAGTGTGAGTGCAGAAAGCGCATACGTAGCAGGCAAACAAAGCACCTCTTCAGCCCAGCATCGGAGGTCGCAAAGTTGGCCAAAGACAGCAGGAGTAGTATAGTCCAGCGAGACATTCTTGAATTAGACGTAGTAATCCCGTGTGGGTCTACAAGTCGCGCTAGATCTCAGAGAAGGGGTGTGAAGTTTCCCAGGACTTCCGTTCGGCGTAGCGTGTCCACAAACCGCGGGCTCGAGCAGTTTGCTCTTGGCAGCTTCCACCCGGGGGCTACTGGAGAGGGTAGCGAGATCATTCTCGATGGTCCGCCGAGGTCTTCTTCGAGAGGCGGAGGATGCAGCAGCTTGCGCATCTGATAAAGGAAGAGGCTCGGGTCCACTGCCCGGTATGTGCGTCCATCCGCTCGCAATCGATGCGTCTTTCTTGGGCGAGCTGGGTAACAGACCGAGACCTGTCGGTGCCCTGCCAAACGTGTGCGCCCCGTAGTAAGGCGAAGAGCTACCGTTGTGGCGCGCATAGGGCGAGATGGTGCTGCCAGTCCTTCGCAGAGCTGGCGAACCTTCGTGTAGAGGAGCAGTCAACGAGAAACGTTCTCGAAATGGAGAAGAGATGGCTGCACCACTACCAGATGACAGCCGCTTGCGTCCGTTGTTCAACGTCACCTCTTGCAAATGGGATTTGCCAAGTTTGTCGCCCTGCCTCAGGCCTTGCGTGGGCTCCAGATCACCGTCCATTGCGCTCTCCTTCGAAAGCCGTTCGATGATGCTTTGTTGGGCAATCAAGCGCTCCTTCCACTTGGCCACGCTGCGTTCCAAGTCTGCCATGATGGCTCTCTGAGAAGCAATGACAGCATTCAACCTTTCGATCTCCTCTTTCTCGGCTCTGACCGCCGCTGCCACCTCTCGCTGCGTGGCTTCAGAAGCGCAGGCTGCAGAGAGGTCTCCGGCGGCAGTGCTGGCGGTGAAGCGAGACGCAAGCCCTGCTCGTCCAACGAACGGCGACTCGGTCGGAGCGTAGCGTCGATACTCTCGAAGAGAGCCACCACGATTGAGTGCTTGAGAGCCTGTGTTCAAGGTGGTGACCTGAAGCGCCCCGAATCGGTCATATCGACGGACAGGCGAGGCAGGTGCTTGTGGCAATGTCCCCTCTGCAAGAACAGGCGACGAGCGCTGAAGATCCACTCCTGCGTCTGCTAGCTTTCTCGGCGTGCCAGGGATTGGCGTCCCAGCAGCTGTGGCGACAGAGAGTCGTCGACCTCGCACTCGAGCCTCGACCAGCTGCTTTTCCAAATTAGCGATGCGTGATTGCTGCACCTCGACCTGCACCTGAAGCTCGACGATAGTAGCGCGATCGTCCACACTGAGCTGCTTCACCGAGCTAGGTGGTGAGCTGGTTGTTGCATTTGTCAGCGTTGAGCGCTTTACGACATCGAGCTGACTCTGCAACTGTTCCACGTTGGTCTTTGATCTGCCCAGCTCGGACTGCAGGCTCGCAGTATGCTGCTGCATGTCAATGACGCTCTGCTCCAATTCTCGAACGCGTGCTGATTGACTTGCGGTCGAAGCGATGCTAGGCGAAGTCGGGACAGGCAGCGCTCGAACGTTACTTCGCATGGTCTCGATTTCCTTCGCCTTTTCAGCGACCGCTGCTTCGCGAGCTGCCACATCCTTCTCCCTTCGTTCCAGGATAGCTCTAGAAGCGGTGCTTGGCGCAGCATTCGCAACAGTCTCTGCACCGCCCCGAACAAGCTGTTCGAAATCGCGCTCAGCGTTTTCGTTCAGAGTAGCCAGCCTAGCGTCCGAAAGCTCCTTCTGCGCGACAGCCAACGCTTCTCGCTCAGTTGTCAATTCTCTCGTGAGTTCTTCTGAGCGCTGAACGGAGGCCTGCTCTTGCTGTGTCCATTGCGCTCTGAGCTCTTGCACATGCTCGGAATGCGTCGCAGTAAGCTCTTCCCTCAAAGCAGCCAATGCTGCTTCGTGCTTCCGCTCAAGTTGTCGGACCAATTCAGACTCCTCCGCGGGACCCTGCTGACGGGCTTCCTTGCTCTTCGCAACCAGTTCCAAGATCTTGTTGGCCTCTCTTGCTTCTCTGGCTTCCATTCGTGCTTGCTCTTCCCTCCTCTCTGCCTCAGCAAAGTCGGCCTTAGCTTGCTTGCACCAAGCATCAGCCGCATCTAGATCTTCCTCTAATGCGCGATTGGCAGCCTCCAGCTCCTTTGCTCGAGCTGTGATCTGTTCCATTTCGACGCGATGAGCATTCTCAGAGTCTCGTTGTGTCGAGTGCGCATTTGCAAGCTCCCGTCTTAGAGAAGAGAGCTCAGCTTCGAGTGCAAAAGGCCGAGGACCTGCTGGCAACGTGGCAATCGGAGAATTAGGATCCGACTTATCGTCCTCCAAGAAGAGTAGAGAGGGACGATGCATCAGCCCTGCATCCGTCCGTCGAGGTCCACGTCGAGGTGTGGTATCATTTCCTGCACAAAGCAAGGTGCTGGATTCTCGCATCGAAGCAATGCCCTGCTGCGATTTTCTATCCGAAGCGATGCTCTTGCTAGTGAGGATCAGGCGTGTAAGGTGTTCCACTTGACCTCTCAGCTCTTGCTTCTGCTTCTGAGCAGCTGCGACATCCCGCTCTGCTTCTTCACGGCGGCTTTCGAGATCCTTTACCGAGGAGTCATCTAGCGCTGCTCCTGCCGAGGAAACGACGCCGCCGACACCCTTTTCCAGCTTCGCTCTCAGCTTGTCAAGCTCCCGACGGTAGCGCTGAAGAAGCGCCTTGTCGTCCACTACTGTGCCACGTCTTGCGCGAGTGGTGACCATCTTGCATCTGCGTCCAAATTTGAGGGTGCTCAAGCTTTCCACTGCGTGCTCTTTTAGCGGGCTGAGCGTACAGACGACGGCCACTCTAGCGTTCCCTCCAAGCGAGTTCTGCAGAAGCCTAGTCAGTTTCGAGTCGCGGTACGGAATATGCTGAGAAGCGGCTTGGTTGCTGCCTGTGCCATCATCCTTTTCACAAGCTTCGGACAGTTTGGCAATGACGGTGCCCAGAGTGAGGAGAGACTTGTTGATGAAGGCTCCCTCCTTGCGTCTGTCCTGAGACGATGCAGCGCGCTCGCTGCCCGCTAGATCAATGAGGTTGAGCTGGCTGATGCGCACTTCGCTGCCATGCACTTGCTTATCGCGACTCTCGATTGTGATGGTAAAGACGCAGTGGGACCGGCTGCTGCGTTCATTCCAGTCCGTTGCTGCTTGGTGTCGGTGTCTCTGTCCAGCTTCGAGCAGCGACAGCACGTCCTCGGGCGATGTCACAATGTCCTCCCGCAGACCCACCACCTGCACCCTGCTGGGCCCTTCGATGATGCGCAATGCTCCTCCCGAGGCTGCATTCGAAGGCGTGTGACCACCTTTGGTGGGCGAAGCTGGACGAGTATCATCGCCGCCATCCTGAAGCGAGCCGCTCTTGACTCTAGCTGGCAAGGGCGCCAGGAGATCCCGCAGCGTCTCATTGTATATCTCGAGGTAGGACACGCGCAACAGGAATTCTCGCGAATCGTCCTGCGGTGCGCAAGCAGGGACATCAGCACGTCATCAGCGACCCGCTGCTCATGTCAACGTAGACGTGCACTTTTTGCAACTTACGCTTTCCACGCCTCTCCACACTTCATCAACCGCTCTGCTGATCACACCAGGCTCTTCTTTCGACCCGCTCATGGTGTGCGTCTTTCCACTACCCGTCTGTCCATATGCGAATACGGTGCCATTGTACCCTTGGACAGCAGCAGTGACAAGCGGACTGATGTGTTGCTCGTACATGACATCCGTGGACGCCTCTGGGGTTACGAGCGAGTCGAAACAAAAGTTGTAGGTCGAGCTGCCATCGAGCTCGCTGTTGGATGGTGAGGCGGCCATGAGCGCGCTGCTGGATGTCGAAGGCTGAGGAGCTGACGAGGGTGCTCGCTTGGCCAGCGAGGGATGTTGATCAGTGGGGCATATCTTCTGATTCGCTGCGTCCAGCGTCCAGATGGGTTCCATGGGTTGAGCATTCGACGCCGGCCGCATCCTTACGCAGACGACGACGTTCTGCTTGGCAGGAGCAGCGCTTGGTCCCGGACCAGAGCTCAGCTCAGCCGGATCCTCCAGCTCGATATCACTCATCTCTGCGCTTGTTGCCAATGTGGAAGCGCTTTGCGAGTCGTCGTCTTCCAAATCACCGAGTGAGAATGTGGACGAAGAGCGAGAACCTGTAGCCGTGATGCCCGTTATGCGCGTCTCTGCCACTTTGCTTTTGATGGGCGAAGAGCTGATCCCGGCAGGGCGATTGTTACTGTGGGACTTGTCAGGCGAGGTCTTGGAGCCTTTGGCTATCCTTGCCGACTTTCGTGTAGGTGTCGAGGGAGCTGCAGAATCCGAGTCGATGGAGTGGGAGGAGATGGAACGTCGAAGGGTGTTGAAGGGCGAGTGATCGGCATTCGTCGATCGAGAGGGTGACAATCCCGCGCGAAACATCGCAGAATACCGCCGTTGAGGACGAAGAAAAGAGAAGCGCGTGCAAGCAGTCACTTCCCGCAACTGGCAGTGTTGATGGAGCTTGTCGGAGGCAAGGGGGGCGCAGATGGGTGGAGATGCTTGGCCGGGCGGTGGAGTGACCTGCTTGGTGGTGAGTGTCGGTCGTCCTTGTTCTGAACCAGATTAGGAAGCAGCAAATAATTAAGCGTCGCAGTCCTGTTCATGTGTGCGATATATCCGACCTTCGTCAATGATCCATGGCCGCGTCACTGTGATGAGAGCAGCTTGGCTACAGGCAGGCAGGCCGCATGGCTTGATTGATTGAGCGTCACACGAGACAGCATGTTGAACAAACACCGGCCGGGTAATTGAGGCGCAGCTACAGCTAGGCAGGCAGGCAGGCGGGCAGGCCGGCAGGCCGGCAGCAGCCTCCACACCAACACTATACAACGCGCGCGCGTGCAAGTGATGTGGATAGTCGCTCAACCCGCGGCTATAGGAGGGACGACCCGCGATGAGAAACGCGCGTGTTCGAGAACATGCTGCACGCAGTACATGCGGCTCGCGCACGAGCCGAGGCCTTGCCGGCGCGAGGGCCCGGCCCATCAAGGGCCGCTCCAATCACGAATGAGGGACCATTCAAGTCGAAGTGCAGCGAAGAATAAGTTCGGACGATCGTGGGACTACTCACCACTCAAAACTGGTGACTGCTGGGTGCACTTGCAACGCTCCTTGTGTTTCATGCGAGGCAAGTGTTGTTCTCCGTCGCGCGGTCATGCTCATGAAGCCGCTCTTGAGCGCAGAGCAATCAAACGGCTGGTGGAGCGACTTCTCGTGGAGATTGGTGATTGCGGGACAACCTTCCTCACCAATTAGCAACGCGGCGTACGCCTCCACATCCCCACTTTTCGAAGCGCGATGGCATGATGGCATGGCGTGGCATGCTGAGGACGCCGCGTAGTGCTGCAAATGTAACCGGTCTGATTGGTTGCACTGCCCCAGATTCGTGGCTGGAGCGCTCGCGAGTCACCAATCTGCTCCCTTCTTGATCAGACTCACTCACAAGCATTCAGCAACTCTTGTCCCCTATCCACGCTTGTGGCGAAAGCTTTGCAGACCTGCCGAGTTTCCTGGCTCCAGCGTTTGCGACTCTCGTAACACCACATGTCTTGACAGCGCAACCACCTCAAAGTTCCTCTCATCGACAGTCCTGCGACCCATCAAGATGGCTTTTGGAGAAGTGGACATCAAGTCGACGAGGCCCGTAGGCTCCTCTGCCGGCTTTGGAGCAGTAGCAGGAGCAGGCGCAAATGCGCCGTCTGGCCAAATACTCAACAAGCATTCTCGCCTCATCACACAGAGCGAAGCAAGAGGGGCGAGTCAGGCCATGCTGCACGCTGCCGGGCTCACAGTCGAAGATCTCGACAAGCCGCAGGTGGGAATCAGTTCGGTGTGGTGGGAAGGTGAGCGGTGTCAAGTGATTTTGACAAGCTCGCTCAGCGCTGATCGTCACAACGATGCTGATACGGTCTACATGCGCTGCCTTCAGGCAACCCTTGCAACATGCATCTTCGGACATTTGGGGATGCCATCAAGAAGAGCTGTCAGGAGGCCGGTCTTGTCGGATTGCAATTCAATACGATTGGTATATCCGATGCCATCAGTATGGGCACACCGGGCATGCGGTACTCCCTCGCAAGTCGGGAGGTCATTGCGGATTCCATCGAAGCGGTCACTATGGGTCAATACTACGACGCCAACATATCAGTCGTCGGATGTGACAAGAATCCACCTGGTGCACTGATTGCTGCCATGAGACACAATCGACCCACTCTGCTCGTATGGGGCGGGACGATTGCTGGAGGTCGACATACGATCGATGTTCCCGGCATGCAAAGGAAAGCAGGCGATGTGTGTCAGATATCGGACAACTTCGAAGCGGCTGGAGCGTACGCTGTGGGCAAAATCACCAATGAGCAGCGCTTGGACATCGTGCGCAAGAGCTGTCCTGGCCCAGGTGCTTGTGGAGGCATCTACACCGCCAACTCTTTTGCGACATTTTTGGAAGTGGCGGGAGTCTGTTTGCCTGGAACGGCTGCTACGCCTGCGACGCACGGCGATAAGCTCAAAGAGTGCGCCAGGATTGGTCCCGCGATGAGGAGAATGTTGGAGTTAGACATCAAGCCGAAGGATATTTTGACGAGAGCAGCGTTCATTAATGGGCTAGTGATGAACTGCGTGATCGGAGGATCGACCAATTTGGTGTTGCACCTGATCGCCATCGCAAAGACGGGGGGTGTGGACTTGACGATCGACGACTTTCAGCGGATCACGGATCGGACACCTTTTTTGGCGGATATGAAGCCATCCGGAAAGTACGTCATGGAGGATCTCTTCAGGATTGGCGGCATCGCCCCGCTCATCAAATACATCGCGATGGAGACCGACCTGCTCAACTTGGACGTGATGACCTGCACGGGCAAGACATTGCGAGAGAACCTGGCAGATGTGGAACCGATGAGGTTCGACAATCAAGACGTTATCCGACCTCTTTCCAACCCAATCAAAGCTACGGGTCACTTGACCATCATGAGGGGCAACTTGTGTCCCGGCGGAGCGGTGGCCAAGCTGACGGGCAAAGAAGGAACAGAATTTACGGGTACCGCAATATGCTTTGACCAAGAGGAAGGAGTGATGAGGGCCATAGGACAAGGCAAGGTAAAACCGGGTAGCATCATCATCATCAGATACGTCGGACCTCGTGGTGCGCCGGGAATGCCGGAACAGCTGGAATCAACGGCTGCGGTCATGGGTGCTGGTCTGGGCAAGAGCACCGCGCTGATCACTGATGGTCGATTCTCGTGAGTCTCACATCAACCAGATCGTCGTGCTTCGTGCGCTGCTGTTTCGTCATTCCTCACCCGTTCCTGTCTGTGCATCATCTCAGGGGGGCTAGCCATGGCTTCTGTGTCGGCCATGTCGTTCCCGAAGCGATCAATGGAGGTCCAATCGCGCTCGGTGAGAGAAGCGAGCTGCTAGAACCAATGGCTGCGTGATGGCGCTTTGATTATTAACGAGTATGTGTAATTCCTGCTCCACATCTTCAGTCGAGGATGGTGACAAGGTGACGATCTCAGCAGCTGCTAGAGAAATCACAATTCACGTCGCGGAAGACGTTTTGGCACAGCGCAGAGCTGCGTGGGAAGCTGATCCCAGCAAGAAGCAGCTCAAGGTGAAAAACGGGTGAGTGTCAGGGTGCCACCCCAGCTTAGCGGCCAAAGGTGCTTATAGTCGCTATTCAACTTCATTCCATTTCGTCAAATTCCATAAAGCATGCTATACAAGTACGTATCGACGAGCGGCGCGTCGACCCAGCTTGACCTCACTCGACTTGCCCACACTGACTCTTGCTACCACCACGACACTCTTGATCGTCATCGCAGGTACGCAGCAACGGTCTCGGATGCTTCTCAAGGAGCTGTGACAGACTTTTTTTGATCGTGAAGAGCGTCGTTGAGGCAATGCGCATGGCATTGCCCCGCTCGCTGCGTGCCATTTGAGGCTGTGCCATATCCGTTCGCGTCAGGAAGCGTGTGCTCGGCTCACATTGTTGCTTTCACGATGCCTGTGCTCCTCGGCGTCTTGTTGTGAGATGGCCAAACTGATGCTTTGACGTGCGCTCGCCTTGGCCAAGACGCCAACAAGACTGCGAGGATGATGCTGACCATCCAATGGTGAATTCACAATTCGTGATTGCATGCTTGTCGGGCTCGGGAGCAAAAGAGTGATCGATTCGTGCATGCATGGCTGTCTGTGTGGGTTAGCGCACGCAGGCTGATCTGTGCACCCCTGCGCGGAGCCGCGCGCATGGTTGACGATCTTGCAGCGCTGCTGCTGCACGCATGATACAGCTATGCGGGGCACCAGTGTGAATGCGCTTCTCGCTCCATCATCATCCCTCACTTTGGCCGATCACGTTCAGATCTCATCCATCCTCGCTTCGCAGCTGAGCTGCTTCGACTCGCGAACGCGGAGCATCACGCCCCCCTTGAGCTAGCTCATCGTTCCGCAGAACTGGCCACATTCTGTACTATCGATTCCCGCTCGTTTGCGACCGCGGAATGCTACTGCCTCTCTTGAGCAATGCTGGGAATACGATAACGCAAGCAATCGACTTGCACAGCAAGCTCTTGGCCGCGCACACGATGCTGGCTCTCCCTTCCCGAAGCGGGGATGAATTAAACGGCGCAGGCATGGTCACAGTGGCAGCAGGCCCGGGGGGAATATCAGTTCCAGTCGCCATCGTCCTTGGACTTCTCTCCTCCTTCGTCCAGTCGCTAGGCCTCACCTTGCAACGACTCTCGCACAAGTCAGAGTCAGCGCGAGCATCTTCTCGACAGAGGACAGAGTGGAAACGTCCGCTTTGGCTCGTCGGATTCGCCATCTTCATCACTGCTAATATAGGTGGCACTGTTTTCCAAATCGACGCGCTGCCCATCGTCATGCTGGCACCGCTCGGTGCAGTCAGTCTGCTCTTCAATGCTTTGCTCGCGCGTTTCCTGCTCGATGACTTTTTCAGTTGGAACATGATTGGAGGTAAGCACTTTTCAGTGAAGAGCGCTAGGGTGAGCGGAGCGTGTTGGGCAGAAGCTGACGTGTGTTTTCCAAACCCATCACATTTAGGGACCCTGCTCATATCACTAGGAGCAGTGCTTATAGGCTACTTTGGGGCCATCCAAGAGCAGCCTCACAGCTTGGACGAGCTCTTAGCTCTGTACTCGCGTCCTGCATTTGTGGCCTTTGGCTCTTGCTTTGCTCTGTCTCTAGCAGGGGTGTTGACTGGTGTGAGTGGTACGGAGTGGCGATTGCTCCAAAGCAAGGTATTCTGGATAATACAGTTCTCGGCACTCTGATCAAGACGGGCTTGCGCTAACATGCGCTTCGCCACGGTACCATGTTGCGCTGCCAGGCGCACTTGACGGAATTTGCTTTGAACAAGCATGTCCGACAATTATCTTCTGGCGAGCTGGAAGGGCGCTCCCGCTCTCTCAAGCGGAGACGGCGCAAGAGCTCCAGCGGCTCCAGCGCATCTTCCACATCCTCGGATCGCAGTGGGGCTAGCGATGGGAACGGAAGTAGTAGGGGCGGCGTGCGGGCCTCGCTGGCAAGAAGATGGAGCGCACCCTCTCTGGCTCCACTCGTGGAGGTCTCAGAAAGCAACTCAGGTGTCGCCACCCCAGTCCTGGCTAGAGTAGACGAGGCGGCGAGAAGGCAAGGGATTTCTGCTGTTCTGGACAGTCAGGCGTATCACAACGGCTGCTGCCCGCCTCAAGGCTCGACTTTACGTCAGCCTGTGGACGCGGTCCCCCAGTCTCCTAGGAAATTGGCACGCAATGCATCTCTGAGAGCAGCTGCCGTCTCAAAATTCCTCGCGTCAGCACACGCAGCGAGGAGGAAGTTGATGCTGAGCGTTGCATATGGAGCCGCGAGCGGAACGCTCTCGGGTGCATGCTTGCTTCTTGCGAAGAGCGGAGTAGAGTTGCTGGTCAAGACGTTTGAAAAAGATGGAGAAAACCAATTTGGTAGATGGCAAAGCTGGGCCATTGTGGCGACTCTTGGAGCCGCTGCTATTGCACAGGTGAATCAGAGGTCGCTCAGCACGGCCCACTACCCTCTCGCGCCACTTCCTGACTTTCGCATGCTCTACTTTGCTCGGTGTGCCAGCTGTGGTATCTCAACAAGGCGCTGAAGCTTTCAGATCCGACTCTAGTCTGTCCACTAGCGTTCTGTGCCTATAACGTGGCCAGCATCATGCTTGGTGAGCGAATTCCTTTAAAGAAGCTCCTTGGTCGCAAAGACTGACCCCGCACGCTCTGCCACTTCGACAGGTCTGATGTACTTTGATCAGCTTTCAGCTTTATCTGCCCTCAGTCTCACTGCTGTTGTTCTCGGAACAGCAGTTCTGCTGACCGGAGTCTTCTTGGTCAGCACGCATGGAAGCGGCAAGGTACCTAAGCAAGACGCAACTGGAGCCGAAGGTGTCTCAGCGTACGGCTCTATTGAGCAAGGGGAGCCTGGAAGTCATTCAGCCCAGGTCGACGATATCGAATCGGGACTTTCCATTTCCCAAAACAGGCATGCCAATGGAGTAGAAGGCGTATCATCGCCCGCGTCGATGGAAAATGCCACCGAGACCACAGCCCTTCTTGCGTCCAACGCGGCAGGTATCGCGGGCCCGCATCTACCCCCTCCTTCCGCTCCAACGCCTCCGTCCAGTGCGCCCGCGCAGCTTGTTGCATCAGATGGGTCTCCCCGTACATCTCCTACGTCATCACCACTACGCTCGCGCTCTTCCGTTGTCCCTGGCAAGGACGGAAGGCGAATGGCTTCCTCAGGTGGCAGTAATGAGGTATCGAGCCCTCGCAGCCGACGAAGTAGGAGTCGATCCGCTAGTCTGATCGGAGGGCTAGGATTAGTTGTCGATCCCTCATTGGCGCACGAACAACGCACATCGGAAGTAGATGGACGCGCTCGATGTTTCTCCGCCTCCCACGCGCAGAACAGTCCATCGTTCCCACGGGATCAAGACGAGGGCGTGCAGGAAATCGTGCTTCCCATCGAAGGTGCCAGCTCGCACCGTAATGCAGAATCCAGCCGTCCTGGCCCGCAGACTGCATCTCCGCTAATGAGGTCGAGCTCACAAGGCGGAGCGGTAGGTCACGAGAGCGTTGGCGTACCATGGAGTCCTATACATTCATCTCGAGCCCTTGCAAGAGGCCTTTATGCCACGTTTCTCTCGCGAGGACTTTCCATCGGTCTATCGCCTTCCAGCCCGGGGTTCTATATTCCAGGAGCGGACGCGGCAGAGCAACTGCACGAAGCAACTTATGCTCGACGAAGCGGCTCTGCCAGGTGGAATGGTCGGTCAAGGAGAACGGCTAGCGAGGGAGACGCAAGTGCGCTCAACACGAGTGGAAGAGATTTGGATGCTCTGGGAGATCAGTACGCAAGACTGGACTCTTTGGCGGAGGAAAGCGGGTCCGCGTTTGATCGTGTGGCAATGCCTGCTCTAGCTGGAGAGCCGGACGTGGCCGTGCCGACGGAGCGCCAGGACTCGGCAAGAACCCTTGAGCAACCTCGGGGAACACCATCAAGCCAGCAACTAGTCGATGAAGAAGCTCTGTCCACCAGTCCACCCGAAGCGTCTGGCTCTGCATGGCAGAACCTCACGAGGGCAGCTAGTCAGACTTTGGACATTGGCGCGCTCACTCAGAGACTGAGCAGGTTGAGGAGAGGTCTGAGCGGAACCTCTGAGGAGCGCACCTAGAAACAGCTTACAATCCCCGGCAAGTACAGCACTCCATGATAGGTAGACTGCATCTCCCTGCGCCGTCGCGGCACTTCCTGAACGCCATTCAAGTCACCTTTGGTCTGTAATAGCTTGACTTTGCACACTGCGCGGAATCGCACTCCAATTAATAGGATCCTTTTCCCACTGCCTGGTTGTACGTAGACCTGCGCACGTTCGCTTGCGAGAGCGAGTGGCGCCATTCATAGCGTGCTGTATTTCCATGAGTCTGCACTGACAAGCGAGGTAGAAAGAAGGAGTGGTCTCGAGGCTCGGATGGCCACGGCAGCGCTTACCGAGGCCCTGAGCGCGGCACTTGCTCCGACATTCAGGGTGCCGCCGGTACATCGGGAGGGCCGAGCTGCGCGGTGCGCCTAAGAATGGGAAAACTTCCCGCCGAGGCCTGTGCTCATTCCGTTCCAAGGTGGCTCACTTGCTGCCGCCACTACCACTGGTATTGCCGAAACAGTGACGAATGAATCGATTGGCTTGCTCGCTGAGCGACGTGTTCCTGCTCTGTTCGCGAGTCCTGCAGCTCAGTGATCACAATGATTAGCGCTCAAAAGGCCTGCAGCCGTGGGTCCAGCTGGAAGGAAGGTAGCGCATCGGTGCTGATGCGGCCGATGCATGCAGGGTCACGCCTTGCCCGCCGGCCGTTACCATTCGGCTTTCGCTTGCCGACGATGCGTCCTCTAGTAGGTCCAGCGGGAACAGGCACTCGTCACTTGGGATGCCACCTTTCTCTTCCGCCATCGAAACGCCCTCAAACATCTCTTGGCCTCATCCCCTTCCACTCGTGCTGCCACGCTTGGCGGACCTCTGCTCGTGGCTCACACCGATCAACTTTGCAATCTTGCGCTCTCAATTTCTTCTCTTCCATATTGACCGAAGATCACCCATCAGCTGCGACCATCACTTCTGCCGCAGGCGGACGCCACTCAGCAGGATGCTTGCGGGCGTCGGTCGCTGTTGGGGAGGATCGACTGGCAGAGGCTTCGCCTTCCACTTCATCCTCGCCTCTGTGCTCATGCCCTGTGTGATGGCGCACGGTGATCATGGACACGGCGGCTTCAAGCCGTCCGACCCTTCTCTCCCAATCGATACGATGCTGTGGATGCACATAATTTTGCAAGGTGCTGTTTGGCTGGGACTCTTCCCTTGTGAGTCGCGCCAGCTGCCTTGAACTCTTAGCTTTGCTCACTTCATCACCTCTAATCTGCCCCGCAGTGGCTATGGTACTGGGCTTGACCAGGTCAAGGTGGCACGTGCCACTCTCCGTTACTTCACTAGTATTGACAAGCGGCGGCTACATACTGGGCCGACAACCTCGCGGCAAGACTTCTCGAGGCTTTCCCCACACAGCGCACGGCACCTTCGCATCGTTCTTGATCTGGTACATGCTCCTACAAGCTCTGATGGGCACATATCTCAAATTGCACCTTCGCTTCGGTGAGAAGCGGATCAGGCCCGTTATTGTCCGCATACACGGGGCCTTTGGCACAGGCTTCACCATCATCGGTTTTGTACAGTCCGTCCTTGGCGTCATCACGCTTCGCAATTGGTGCTTCGGAGGACACTTGGGCCAGTGTTTGGCACACGGAATCATGGGAGGAGCATTCATAGGCTATGGAGTCCTCTTCCTCATCTTCCTTAAAGCCGGAGCTCTGTGGCTGCGCAGACGAAGAATATCTCAGGAGTTCCTAGACAGCTGCGTAATCACCGCTTGGGGTCTCGTCAACGCTTTCACGGAGCACCACGGCGGACCTTGGACGCACAAAGACTTGCAGCATACTCTGCTCGGTGTTGTATGGTTCGCAGCAGGAGCGGCGGGCATGTGGACCAGCAGAAATGGGAAGAGAAGTGTGCTACCTGCTGTAGTCATAATTCTTACAGGATGGGCAATGAGCGGCCATGCTCAAGCCTTGGTGGGTCCTGCGCTCGATGCTGCGCGTTTATTTAGTCTTTGCAGTAGCTCAAATTCATCGCCCTTTGTTCCCGCAGATGCTCTCGACCATGGTGCACGCCCTTTTTGGTTGGACGCTCATGGCTGCAGGCCTCGCGCGTATCATCGAAGTTTGCTTTGTGCTCCGAGACCTACCTAGTGGAGGCGTAGCTGCAACAGGCTCAGGTGGGACGAGGGGCTCAGACGCCAGCGAAGCCGCTGAGGAGCAAGAGCAACAACAGCTCATCGCTCTCGGACATCCACCGGGACAATCAGGCTGGTTCGAAATCAAGGCGTGGCAATACTTGTGAGCATCATTGAAAGCTGCAGCCTGTTGCAGCGCCTGTTGAAGTAGTTCATCTTTCGCCCTCAGGCCAATCTACCTTCTCATGTCCGCGGGAGTCCTCTTCATGTCAGCCACGGATGAGGAGCTGCATTGGGCAAACGACCAGGGCGTGGACCACATCACGTGGGGACTGATCGAGTTAGTTGAGCAAACTGCAACAGAGGGTGCCCAAGTCATTCAGACGTTCTGACTTCCCCACCCTGCTCTCACAGCTTCTCAATCGCTAGCATCTTCTTCCTTTGGGCGAACATGCTGGTGGACTTGTACACTTCTTCCGGCGGTAAGAGAGGCATGGCACGCCGTCATGCTTTGGAGAGCACATCACGAAGCAACTCAAATGGCGGACATATTGAGTTGGCCTCCGGCAGGGGCTACGAAAGACTGGCCCGATCAAGCGTATCTGACGCTCGTCAAAGTCGCCTCACACGCGGACAGCAGAGCACAAGCGGAAGCACGTCAAGACGCTCGGAAGACAGCGCAAGCTTCGACATGGGCCACGTGGGCAACGATCGCATCGAACGCACCGCGAATGAAAAGTCGAATAGATTCAAAGCGGCAGACGCTGGTGTTTCCTCCGTCTCATCTGCATCGGACGACCAACCCCAGCATGTTCTCTTCGATCAAGAGGCTGGCGATGAGGACGCTGATCCCTTCGACGACGAGCACGTCCATCACAGGTAGCGAGGCAATCGTGGTCGTATCTCTTCAAGACCGCTTTGCAGTCGTGGCTTCTTCTCGAAAAATCAGATCGTTCATTCGGGATCAGCAAATAGCATGCAATTTACACTGGACCAAATCGCATTGCGGCTCACGAAGAGCTGAAAGAGCTGCTTGTTCTTGTGCTTTGATAAGGTAACGTTCAAGATTGGTTCCACAGTAAAGGAGGGACCACGAGCTTCCTTGCGGCGATCTACATCCATGCCACACCGTAGCGTCCGAATAAATTCATCTAGATGATCATAAGATCCCACCCTGCACTCAAGCTGCGACTTTTGCAGGAGGTGGCGGCGCTGCAAGTTCTGGATTCCTGATGAGACGAGGAGTCTCCGCTTTGGTCGAGTTCGCGGACACCGATGCAGCTTCAATGTTCATCTCCTGGTGAAGCGGCTGCAGCCACCCGGCCTGGCCGTGCCATCCTGCGCGACCCGACAGGAAGCGATGATCGCATACCTGGGCCGCGGTAGGTCTAAGTGCAACATCGAGCTGCAAGCACTGTCGAATGAGGTCGGCGGCGTCGTCCAATCTGCCACCCCCATCGATCTGACCACTGTCCTCAGGCGTCGTATCGGGCGCAGACGCTTCTCGAGGATCCCCAGGTCTACCTTCTCCAATCAAGCACCTGTCTCTAAGGGCGTTGTCTGCTCGTGTCCCGGCAGCGATTCCCTCGACGGCCTCTTCCCCATTCCAGAAGGGGCAGTCTCCGCATAGAAGCACGTACCCGACCACACCCAAAGCCCATACGTCTTGTTCCTTGCCGCCGTACTTTTCGCCGCGCAGGATCTCTGCCGCCGCGTAATCTAAAGTGCCGCTGAAAGTATCAAAAAGCCGACCAGGCCGAACATGCGCAGCGCTGCCAAAGTCGATGAGCTGTGCGTGTGCTCGCCCATCGCGGAAGTCCAATATGACATTCTCGTCTTTGATGTCGCGGTGCACGATCGAGTTGGCATGAAGGAAGCGCACGCCATCTGCGACTTGTCCGAAGATGCTGCGCACCTCGATGGTAGAGAGCCCATCCGGTGCCGACTCAACAAAGTCGAAGAGATCCTGCGAATTGTCTCTACCTGGCTGAGTACCAGTCAGGTACGGCATCACCAGATAGTAAAATTCGTGGTCTTCGAAGAAGTCTAGCATGACGCATAAAGATGGGTGGCAGACTTCATCAGATGACCCCTCGGGCAGGGCAGCGCTGTTGACTGGGTCGAGCTCCGGACTCGTGATCGGGGACAGTGTCCGATTTTCAGGCGCTTGACGAGCAAACAAGCGCTCGGGAGCCCATGGTGCAGCCACCTTTGGCCGCGTATACGGGAGCCTTCGCAGCTGATCCATGACGTGTATCTCGACAGGTATAGGACCAAGTGTCTTGTGTCGGCGCCAACAGTCTGCCAGGATGCGCGACTTGATGATGTATTTGACAACAAACTCGGGCTGCAGGAAAAGGACGCCAGATGAAGTCAACATCTTTCCAATGCTGTCCACAGGGAACCCAAGCGCACTCACTCCTGTAGGCTCGCCATTCTCGCCTTTGAGTCTGACCTTCTTTACGAGACCGTATGCACCTCTACCGATGTCAGAAATGATGACAAAGTCATTGATGCACCGGCGCTCGCCGTGAAGGGTTGCCGGGTAACCTAGCAAAGATGCAGCCGTCGTTCCTGAGGCAGCCTTGCGTCCTCGCTTTCCAGTTGCGACACTAGCATTCGAAGGGATGGGCAGGACGCTCGAAGGCAAAGCAACTTGGGCCAGAGGCGAGCTACTCGCAAGTCCTGCAGCAAGCGAAGGACTTGATCGCACTCGTTCTTGCACTCCTGTCCGATCTGGAGATTGCGATCTCGAGGTGATTGGTGTACCCTTCCTGCTAGGAGGGCGGGAGATCGCCTCGTGTAATGCTCTCATCCGTTCCACTGAGCTAGAAACACTGACACTGGATTCGGCTGATGAGACGCTGCTACCTTCTTCCCAGTCGTCCTCTTCGCCCCCGCGAAGGGAGAAGCTCACTGAGCGTGCACCGTCCCCATCTGCCTCTTCTTCCTCTTCGTCCTCGTGAACGCTTTCCAAGTCGGCTTCCGGAGCAAGCAAAGAACCTGCTCTACTTGCAGCTAAACGGCTCATCGACACTGCTTTGAGACGTTCAAGCATGTGCTGGGCTTGACCTGCTTCATTCGTATCCCCTGCAGACGCCTCTTGTGGATACCTCGCTGCTTCTACGTCATCATCCTCATCGGACCCGCTGCTGACGTCGCCGCCCGGCGCGATCACTGCCGAGCCTTTCCTCTTCGCATTGAGGTTGGATCCTGTACTTCTGGTGGTTGTCGTGCGACTGCGCGCGCCCGCGGGCGTCGGTAGACCGGAGGCATTTTGCCTTGCCAAGTATCTGCTCCACTCTTCTGTCGTCGGCGTGCGCAGCATCATACCAGCGAGGGAACTCGAGGAGCGGCTCATGGAAGGTCTTGCCGAAGGCGGAAGATGGCCGAATGCCGAAGAGGATTCTGCTGCATAGTCCAACGTGTTTCCGGGAGAAGATGCCGCCCCAGCAGACGGACCGATCCCAAGGCCAACAGCGCTCGTAGGCGAGCTGCTCAAGACGCGCTGGGAAGCGCTTGCTGGTGGCTGCAGCAGCGCCGTGCTGAAGGCCGGGACGTCAATAGGTTGCAGAGTCTGTCTTGCGTGCTGTCTCCATGTGGAGCTGCCAGAAGAGCCGCTGCTCGAGCGAGCGTCAGAAGTGAGCTCGTCAGAGGATGGTACAGTGAGCGTGGTGCCGGCGGCGCGAGAGCTCAGTGGTGGAGCGACCATTTCTGGCGGATCGCTCGGAGATGGAAGGTCGCTGCTGCTTGAGGAGGTCAGAGACGAAAAACCCGAAGCGTGTCTGCCACGCATCTGACTGCCAGCTGATAGCCAAGCTGCAGAAGTGGGAATGCCTGGAGAAGCGTGTGCGATCGGTGAGGCAAGCGAGCCCGCGATCGCACATGAATTGCCAGGCATTGGTGTGCGATCCGGTCCCAGGCGGCCAAGTGCAGTCGCAGCATCTGTGAGCCTTGGGCCAGTACGATTTAACCATCCGGAAAGCGACGTCCAATCCGCAGGCACATCAGAAGGGCTGACAGGTGTGGTGCTAGCTACCATTAGCGGGCTGGTAGGCACGAGGGATGAGACTCGAGACCTCGACGCATTGCCCTCCTGCTCCACAGACGCTGCGGGTCTCCGACTGGCTGCTTCCAGCTCGCTGAACGGAGCGTTCGGTCGTGGCAAGCTTGGATCATGCGACCGCTCCATTGCTCGCGCTGCAGCTCGACCGCCTCCTCCTGAGCTGAAGCTCATTTGGAGCCCTGCATGCTGAGAAAGCGCAGATCTGGTCCGTATTGCAAATGCCCCGCTGTGTCTCCGTGGCAGTTGTGGAGTAGCATTCAGCATTGTCGACTGAGGATCACCAGTCTGCGCAGCTTCGGCAGCAGCTGCGGCCAAGGAGCTCAGCGATGGAGAAGTCATTCGGCTGAAGTCCACCGCATGAGAGAGCGGTGCAGTACGCAGCGGGAACTGTGATGGAGGCGAGCGGGTGCCGCTAGATGCAGGGCTGCCCCAATCCGATCTCGGCTCGTTGCTTGGCATTTTCAAATGCAGAGGCCCTTGCCTGCGCCCAGCAGGCTGGGCACCTGAATCTACTCCGAATGCTTCCCTCGAGAAAGACTCCTCTCGAGCCGTCGAGCCGGGCGTCGACTTAGGTGACACCTGATGCGCAGAAACCGTCTCTGGACGGTGTGGGGAACAGATCGCTGATGCGGACTCCATTGGCGGACTGGCTTGTGCCGGCGGCACGGGCGCGTCTACTGCGGAAACGGTCGGAGTATCGCGCATCTCCAGCATCGTTGAGGTAGAGCTCAAACGTTCGGCAGGATATGTTGCAAAAGGCATTGGCGGCAGAGGCGGTGGAGATGCCTGTCGGCCGCCTCTACCGATAGAACGAATGCGACTGATGCCCGGCCCAGAGCTTGAAGGGCGTTGAGCCAAGGATGCGTCTCTCACCTCAAAGCTGCGTTCCTCATCCCTCGAAGGCGGCTCACTGCTAGTCTTCCTAGGTCTGTTGCCCCGACCGATAGACCGAATGCGTCCGACACTAGGCCCCACATTGGAAGTTGAAGGAGGGCGATCTTGGGAAGGTGATGCATCGTCATCTCCCCTCCAATATTCCAAGCTGCTCCGCCGCCCAATGGAGCCCTGGTCGTCATCGTACGCTGTGCGGCTGCGCTGAGATGTGCGGCTTTGTGAGTCCTCGTCAGCAGGCCCTATCGTACCGTCGCTGTACCCTGCTCCATGTCGAGAGCTAGAAGGATGGGAGATTGACGATGATGAAGATGCAGAATTCCGATTGGACAAGCTGCGCAAGGAAAACGCCGCACCGGAGTAAGAGGATGTGGAAGTGCGCGATGACGATGAGGGCACATCTGAAGAAGCTGACGAGTGAACCACATGTCCGGACTCTCCATTGAGTACGCCTGCTCTGCCCTTGAGCGACGCGAATGAACCTGGTGGGCTGTAGCTATATGCGGCGCCTCCTTCATCCAGATGTTCTTGTTCCTCGGGCGAAGCAATGAGGGATGACCTGCCGCCACCGCCTATACTTTTGAAGCCAGTGCCAACACTTGCGCGGCCCCATGATCCGGATCGAGTGACCCCGCCTACGCCACCCAATTTGCTCAGAAGATCTGCGCTTTCAGAAGAGGAGCTCGCCTCGCCTTTGGTGTGACTGTCGTCCCCGCTATACTGATAGCTTGAATGTGGGCTGATGGACGAGAAGCCTCCATAGGAGCGATTGCTCTTCCATGAGGAGCTGCTGTTGCTTCGGCCCACATTCGCACCACTCTCAGCGCTAGGCTCCTGTTTGTAGGCCGGAGCATCTCCGTCGAAGGAGAGCTTAGGTCTGATGCGCTCTAGCGGCATGATTCAGAGGCGCGAATGAAGTTTTGATCGCAGACACAACAGGCGTCGCAGCTCAGCAAGGTAGGCTCATCGCTTCTTGGTGTTAGGCGTCGAAAGGGGGACTGTTCAGGAGAGCGAGCACATTCCTGGAGGAGAAGGATGACGGTGGTGCCCGTCAAGTGCGAATGGGAGCGTAGCGCAGAAAGGGCTCGCAGACCGGAGCGGTGCCAACGGATGGCGGTCTATAGGTGTGGGAGCATGTGTTTGAGGGGCAGATGGAGACGTTGCAGTGGACTGATGACTGCGCCTATACATGTGCACCGCGTTTGAAAGCTTGGCCGAGGTCAAACATGCAGGGCGAACGCGGCGCTCTCTGTGTCTCTCTCGCCGCGCCCTTTGCCGGCGTGCGATTCATCTGCTATGCTGTGTGCCAAATAATCTGTTGTAGCAGCTACAGCAGCAGAATAAAGGAGGAGCACGCGCGTGGGGGCATGGTACCTGCCGCTGCTGATGCGTGATGCGCTTGTGACTCTCGGCGCGCGTCACAATAATAATAATCAAGAATTAGCTGCGCGTAAATTTTCTGGGCGCAGCACGCAGCAAAACACGATCACAATTTCTTATTCACGATTGTAAGCTTTTTTTGCTGGGCCCTTTCCCCGCGCTCATCGTGGCGTTGCGTCGGCTAAGCTGTGACGACTTGACCGACCCCATAATCAAAATGACGGTCGCGGCTTGAGCCCGCCGAGACATCCAGCAGTCGGACATGTGCTCATGCATACATTCACGCTGGGGAAGCATCAGGCATTCGTGGTTATAAGGGCTTGACATGGCAGCAGGAAAAGCGGCCGGCATCTGTGCATACAAACGTACATGTCTGCCTTACAAGCCTACTCACCTTGCTCGCAGCAGTCCATTCCAGAGAGGTTTTTTGATTCAAGATTGCGAACGTGCTCTCGCGACCGCTTGAATGCGCGAGCCCGCAGATCACAACCTGCCTCGACCTTCAACATTGGCGTGAAACGTTGAACTTTTTGCTCTGCTTCAATACTCAAAGTCACAGCACATTCCGCTGGGTGAATGGATGCGCGGTTGGTGGGGTGAAAGTGAACGCTTACTATCGCACGCATGCAGCTACGAGCTCCTTTGCGGTGGACCGATCCTCGCTCTGCTGCTCAGTCCACGTATATATAGGTGTCGTATCGGAGCGCAGGGTGAATTGAGTCAAAGTAGTACTCACGACTTGACTCAGGTCGCACGACTCGTGACTGTAGGGTATATTGTAGCGTCAGCTCTGAAGTCAGGAGTATATATAATACGAGCATCCACCTTCGATGGATCTGCTCCGAGGCGTGCATAAACACGCCCGCTCGTCGCCGTGGGGAGGCGTTAGCTCGGCTTGGCTGCATCAGCTCCGCTAGGGCGTGCGAGCCTTTTTTGCAGTCAAGAGTCCACGGTGTCATCAGGTGATGGAGTCACGAGTCTTGTACCGCGGTAACTGATTGGGTGGTCACGCGCGGGTCTCGCAGCTGCATGCAGCTTGTGTGCCGCAAGACATCCGCAGAGCCCTGCTGCGACGTGCGGCATCGTAGGCATCGCCCACGCCGCGGAGTTCGAGCAGCAGTTTGATGAGTCGAGTTTGAGGACGTTGTCCTCGACTACAGTGACTCTCATCATGAAGTGGGACTGAAAGCATACACCGTAATGTCCACGACCGCCATTCACGACTGCAGGTGTCGTCTTGTCAAACTCGGACACAGACTCTTGACTGGTTGTCTCCCGCTGTCAATCGACGGTCGAAGCGCCAAGATCGTGCTAAATAGGCTGGGTGGAGGTCATTCCACAGCAGTGTGAGTCTCGGCCACACGTTGATTGGGCGAGGCTGACGTGGTCGCAGGTACGCAACATCGCTCCGAGGTGCTCGTGCACGAACCAATATACATGTAGCGTGCCGCACGCCGAAAATACATTCACTCATTCGCGATTTTGAGCTCAGGACAGTAACACGATGAGACTGTCGCCGGAATTAGCCTAGACAGCAGCGCAGCAGCCTGACCCTCGTGACTGCGCCGGCTATGACGGTCGCCGTCGCACTCGGTCAGCGTCCACAACGTGCCCCACCAAGATGCCCCCTTGACTGCTTCCGAGGGTCAAATTGCACATCTCAGAGTGGGAGGGGCGACAATCCGGCTCTCCTATGACGTCCTGCTCTCACCACTTCCCCGCCCTCGGCTGGCTCCTGCTGAATGCGCGGACGTTGAAGCTCAATGCGTTTCCAGCAGCGCTCTTCATCTCGTCTCGATTCGACATTGGCCTCGTCTTCAAAGATGCTGTATGGAGCTCATTCTCCTCGCCTTCCAGCCCATATTAAGATAGCGGAAACCCGAGACGAGCATGCGGATGATCGACTATACCTTGATTCAGGGCGCCTAGACCGCAGTTTTCTCATTCGGACCGTGGTGGGCGCGATAGTGACGCAGACATTTTGCTCTTTGGAACGACCTGTCAGACTATCGTCTGCTCAAATCCAAAAAGCCGCGTCAGCGATGTTAGAGAGTGCACCGAGCATTGAGTCTGCACGACCACCATGGGTAGGGGAATCACCAGCACCGCTCGACCGACCAGCGACCTGCGAGCCGCGACACTGACCAGGCCCGCGCAACTTCACACCTGTCGCACGTACGAGACCCTCTGCAAAAGTGTCGAGCAATGCCACAAGGTCCAGATGTAGCTCATAGTCGACATCACATTTGCGCCCTTTGGTGTAAGAGTGGTCTAGTCGAGCGATCTTCAGGCCGCCTTTTCCCACCGCGGTCCCTTGATCGGCAAGGCGTTCTAAATCGAGGTCGACGCAGCCGCCAGGCTGGATAGATTGAACTCCGGACCGGAGTCTGCGATGAGGTTGCATCAAAATGGCCTCTCTCCAGCACCAAAAGGGCTCAAATAAAAACATAAAGGGCGCACCGCATCCACACCTAGACTCATATCTCTGCATCTCGTCTCTTGTGCTGTGCGCGATCCTCTCCCTTCGTATCTCCCTTTCCTTGCGGTGCCTTCGCTGCACTCCGTCTGCTGGACGACGCGGAAGAGCGCAATCCGTCCTTCGCTGGCGCGCCCAGCTACACTGTCATTTACGGCCTCCCTCACATCATCGACGCCTACAACAAGCGCTCGTCGACATGCGGATTCGACCGTTGCAAATCGTCATAGCCAGCTGCATGGTGCTGGGAGCGTTTGGGAAACGCAAGGGTATGACGAGCGTCGGTTCGAAGATTCAAGACATCGGTCCAACTACAACAACCGATTCGGTGGAGCGCCAAGATCACATCTCTAACTTTCTGGCGGATCATCCCGATGGCGCTTCAAAATTGCAGCGAACGGCCGCCCTCGATCACCACGTGGTAGCACCTGCCGCAAACATGTCTGTTGCCGAAGAGAAACAGGGCAGCACCACTCTTTCGCCCCCCAAAAACAAGGTCAAGGGAGCTTATCTCGTGAGTACAGCTCAGACAACGCCTAATCCACGCAACGACGCTTACACCGTTCGCTTCCTTTCATGGCGCTAGGTGGAGCTAGATCCTGCAGGCCACTCCGATCTGGTCAGGCGAGATGGAGAAGACATTCACGATGCGTTTCACGAGTACCTTTCCAAACGTGCAGGGCCTGACGCCAACGGTGTCAAGTACGACAAGCGAGTGGACATCAAGGCAGAGGGCGTCTTCTTTGGCGCGTCGGTGCAGCTCGCTGCAGACATTGACCACGTCTCCCTGAGTCAGATTCCGGGCGTCATCAGCGTTAGCGCCGTTGGAGAGGTCCACCCGGCTGCTTTCTCCAGCGCGAAAGCAAGCGCAGAAGCAATCAAAGCTCTAGCAGCTGGACCGCTACCTGAACATGTCATGATCGGCGTGGATAAACTTCAAAAGGAAGGGATCACCGGCAAAGATGTTACTATTGGCATCATTGACACTGGTGTCGGTGAGTGATCGGCCAATTGCGGACCGCATCGTACCACTGTCCTTACGTCTGCTATGTCCCTTGGATGATTCCAGACTACACGCTGTCTGCACTCAACGGAGGCAAGAAAGCTGGCGAAGCGTGCATCGGACCGGAGTGCCCGATCATCAGCGGTATCGATATCGTAGGTGCGTGGTGGTTGCTGTCACGTTCATCATGATACAATCTGAGCCGAGCCGCCACATTTGCAGGCGATGATTATGAGGATCGCTTCGGAGGCAAGCCTGTTCCGGACAAAGACGTCATGCCAAAGTGCCCCACGAAGAAGACGCTTTCGATTGCCGCTCATGGGACGCACGTGTGAGTAGCTTCATAATTGCTGGTCTGCACCTGGTAGTCACTGAGGACAGCGTTTGGACTCCTCATCGCCAGAACCTCGACCATCATTGGCAACGACCCTGAAAGGGGCTTCAGAGGTGTAGCGACTGGCGCCAAAGTCAGAATGTACAAGGTTATGGCTTGCCAAAATGGTATTGGCTCCGATGCCTTGCTGCTGGCATTGGCCGCTGCTATGAAGGACGGCGTCGACTTGATCTCTATGTCAATCGGGGGGGTAGGTGGATGGGCAGACGCGCCCGGTCTCGCTCCATGGAATGCGGCTGGAAAGAAAATCCCAATCGTGGTGTCCTCGGGCAACGCCGGTGGAGTGAGTGCAATCCATGGAAGAATTGAATAGGATGGCAAAGCGTTGAACCCTGACAGATGTGTCCGTTGCACAGGAAACCGGAAGCTTCTCGACGACCGACACGGGCAGTGCCGACGATCTTCTTGCAGTGGGATCAGTCGACAGTACACATTACATCGGCGTCAAAGCCCAGGCAATTGGACTTGAAAAGGCGAAGGACATTGTTGTCTACAGCACTTACGCCTTCGTCGAAGAAGCTGGCAAGCCCTTGGACCTGCCGCTCGTAGTCCTCGACACCAAGTACAACGCTGGATCCGCCTGCAGACAATTCCCAGAGTCCACCAACTTCCAAGGCAAAGTCGTCATGGTGTGGCGTGGTCAATGTCGCTTCACAGTCAAGTTGAAGAATTTGTTGGAGAACGGAGCCAAATACGTCTTGATCGCGAATCGGCCGCCTCCTGGAGCACTCTTTTACGTTGAACCAATCGAGTGGGACAATGGACAAATGACTGTCGGCACAATTTCTTACGAGGACGGTCTCGCTCTCGCTGATGGTGCTGCGAAGGGCTCGAAATTGAGCGTAAGATTTCTGGATAGCAACTTCACGATTCTCGAGAACCAAGATTCGGGTGGCGCTGTTAGCGGTTTCAGCAGCGTCGGCCCTACCCTAGACACATTCTTCAAGCCAAACGTTGTGGCGCCTGGTGGCAACATCATCGGTGTAGAACCCGCAGCGGTCGGTGGATACAGCATTATCAGTGGCACCTCCTTTTCAGCCCCAATCGTCGCTGGCTGCGTGGCTCTGTTCAAGGAAGCGCGAAGAGACAAGAAATGGACGCCGGCAGAGATTCGAGACCGCATTCAGTCCACCACCACGCAGGTTTTGGAGGACCCGCACGGCTTTTTCGGCACCGCGACAAATCCTAAGATGCTCAGCAGCGCCGGTCGGCAGGGTGCCGGCCTGATCGACATCTGGCGCGCTGTCCATGCGACAACGTCGGTAAGTCAATCTGTATCACGCTTGTCACCGCGAGGCCCTGCCGGACGCACATTGAGCGGGTCTGACAACGACCTTCCCCTTGACAGGTTACACCTACCCTCATCAGCCTCAACTACACGAACCACTTGGCGCCAACGCACACGATCACCATCACAAATGACGGCAAAATGCCTCAGGAGTACACCATGCAGCATCAACCTCACGGTGCATTGGTCGCAGCAACTTTCTACGAAGACGATGGCTTCCTGAATTGGACCCAGTATCCTTTCAACCACACGGATGACGCCGCCAAGGTGACCTTCGAGCCGGTAACCTTCAAAGTGGAACCAGGCGCAAAGCAGCAAGTCAAGATCAGTTTTACAAAACCAGCCGATGACTTTAAGAACAAGCCTTTCGAAGTGTATTCAGGGGTCATTTTGGCCAAGTCGAAAGAGGACCTCGGGACAGTCTCGGTCAGCTATGGGGGCATCATGGAGGATCTCAGCAAACGTGTTGTCATGGACACCACCGTCAACTATTGGGGTCCTGACGAGGGCACAGCGGTAGCACTTGTTGGCAATGCTCAATTGCCATTCACGCCGTCCGACAACATTACTTTCAATCTCAATCAGACCGACTTACAACCCAGCTGGTACTTTAGAAGCCTGTCGCCCACCTCCTGGGTCCAAGTCGCCTTGGTCGAGCCAAACACCACGTTTCCCGCAACTTATACTTGGAAGGCGCCTGAATCTGCACCTGCTCCTCCCGAAGATCAACCAGGACAGCACGCCAGACGTGATCTTTCTGCCATGGCACAGCGCTTCGAGAAGCGCTTCAAGGTACCGTCCAAGCGCAGCGAGCTGGATCGCAGAGGCGCATCGACCACTGATCCTGTCCAATCTGGGGACAAGGGTAAGACAACAAAGGGTTCGACAGAAGTCACGAAATCTGGGCCGAACCCTCCTCCCCCACGCGCCGAGACTCCCAAGCTGTTCAAAGACGTCAAGGTCATCGCTATCGTACAGCAATACAACAACGAAGGCCGCCACGACAACTATCACAACCCTTACGACCACGAGGCTATATCCGACATTGCTGTTGACCAGGCAGGCAAGCGGTACGTCATCAAGCCAGGGACGTACAAGATCCTCATTCGTGCCCTCAAGCCTCTCGCAGATCCTATGTTGTCGGAGAGCTACGACAGCTATCTGTCGCAAGAATTTGTGTATGCTCAAGACGGGCAAGGTCAACAGGGCCGCGATCTTGGTCATGATCGTGATGGCGAAGGCGATGACGAGGGGGACCCGCCTTGATGATCATCGAGGTGTGGAATGCCCGTGTCGGAAGAGGAGAGCGGTCAGGCGCTCAGTATTCCGCGGGTCATTCGCTCTCTGCCCCTTGTCCGGTCGCTCCCCTTCCTGTTGCCAAGCCAATAATGATCCCACCTTCCTTTCACTCTGTGACCAGTAATGCGATTCCTCTAATAGGCATTTTACTTTGCAAGCCTTCATTGTTTGTCTTCTATTGTGCCGCCGGCATGCTACTATGGTTTGCAGGTCGCCATCAGGCAACGGGCTTCTACAAAGGGACCGACGCATGAATGGCGAGCAGCGGGAAAGTTTGCGCTGCACAGCAAATGCGTGGGCTTGATCTGCATATCAGGTGCGAAGGACCGGCCGGCATGCGGCAGATATGGCAGTCAGGGAGAGTCATGAGTATATCCGACGATGTGGCTTGATCGCAACCGCTTTTAGCCACAACAATTGCACAAACACGCTCCTCGAGCTGCCGGAGTTTCTATGCTCGCGACCGTAGGGTGAGGCAGCAATAAGTGGCGGCGAGCGAATTTCACGTGTACGGGATCCAAGCCACTGACAAGAGTGGCTCACGTGGTTGCGACCTGTGTCCAGAGAAGCCCCACGCTGCCTCTGCACCGAGTTTCATGATGAACGATTGGCTTTTCCTACGGTGGGCCCCCGAAGGTGAGGGTCGGGCGAGCTCGCTCTTACTCGGCGCGCTGGCTATGAAGCAGGGTGCTGCAATTTGGTGAATGATTTGTGATTGCCGTACGGCGCGCGCGGGCTGCAACTGACCTGAGTGCAGTGCACTCAGGCTCGTCACCGGAAAAGGCTGCTGGCGAGCCAGCAAGGCAATCACGCTCACGACTCTCAGCACAAGCGCTGCAAGACTTGATCAGGAGAGGATTGTTTAGGGAGGTGCGGCGAAGAGGCCTCTACGCATCTATTATTGAACACTCGCAACTGCATGACTGGGGGCGCACGCCATGCGTGTATGTGCTGGCTCGATCGATCAGTACGACTTCGACCGGCGGCGGCGCAACCAGCAAAGGTCCGAGCGTTCGGCCCTTTGGCACGAATGACGCAAGTGTTCCTTTCGCCTTGGCTTTCCTCCAGCAACTCCGCCAGATGAGCGAGACCCGACCGAGCATTTGCTTTGACTGAGATTGCCGTGCGGTGGTGCCGATCGACTCACCGTCCCACGTCCTCGCAAGGGAAGGCACGCAAATGCTGCATGGAATCGTTGAGGGAGGGGGGAGTGACGACCAGCAAGCGCCAGTCACTGAGTTGAGGGGACGCACTCACGGTGCCTCCTGAGCACTGCGCACTGCGCACCCAAGTACAATCATGAATTGTGGATGTACATCTAGTGCAAGTGGAGTACCGGTACACTTCAAATCGTGAATGATCCAGCGATGCCAGGTGAAGAGGCAGATCGGAAAGCTGCTGTCCGAACCGAGTGTAGGGCGCTGAAGCAACAACGATCTGTGAATCCCGCGCGTGCAAAGGTACCAAAGTCCGACCATCGGAAAGGTTTCAAACCACGCCATCTTGATCCTCAAAGAAGCTCTCGCTCGCCCGCTTGGTCTCCTGCTCCTGCTGCTCCTCCTTCTTCTTCTTGCCTTTGGTGCATGCCGCCTCGGTTCAGCGCGTCGGAGCTTGAATTCAAATGCAGCTGGAGATCGGGTCTAGATCCTGAAATGGACCTCTGCTGCAGCGTTGCAGCATGCTATAAGCTTTGGCTGCACTCATGACTCTGACCCTCACGACTCTTCACTCGTGACTTGATAGCGCAGTGCGGTGCCGCAACTCACGATTGCGCGGTGATCATGGGTGCTGTTGTACGTACATGTACGCGCGCGGAAACAAGCCGCTGGTGCGCTTATTCGCGATTCAAAGTCTGATGAGTGTGAGTGCGATTCTTCATTTGGGGTTTCGCCGCTTGCTTTGTTTGCGTCATACGTATCTCACCCGCGACTCGTGGTGACTACAGCGCGGCCCTCATTTCGTCGGTTTGCGCGTTTGTGCATGGGACCAAAAAGGCTGCTGCTGGGCGTTCGCGTCGGTGCTGCTCATCAGGACTCGCTACAGCCAGCACCTGATTTGATTGTGCTTGGAAGGAGCTCGAAGCTGTGCAGCACAGCACCGTCTCCCTCGTCTATAGGCTCGATCTCCCTTCCTGAACACAGCACTGACCTGCTCAAGACGCCGCAAAGGCCTGCGTGACTGACAATTCGTACATCACTAGTCAACTTCAAGGCCGCAACTTTTACGTTGGCTCCGGCAGCTAGCACAAGCGCAAGCACCAGCATCTATCACTGGAACATTGCAGCTCCTTGCAGGCTCTTCAGCCCTTCAGACCGTGCCGGTCTCTGCATTGAGCAAGCTCTTTGCTACGCAGCGCGAGGGAAGTACCTTGTCAACGCACGGCACCTCGTGCACGTTCAAGAAGGTACGCACGCCCTTTGACAATTTCGCGAGTCTGTCCGCTGGCGCGACGATCTCAAAAGGTGGGGCCAGCAGACGCGGCGAAGAAATCTTGCTCTTGCACGACTGGCGCCGATACTGCCGAGGACCGTGTTGCCAGCGGACAGCACCCTAATCTCTGTCATTCTTCTGAGCCTTAAGACATCTATCTACACTCTCGACGATCGCCGACATGGCTGACAAGGAAGCGCCGAGCGGCTTCGTACCTGGCAAAGCGGATGCTACAGCAGAGAAGTCGTCACCGCCATCTTTAGCAGGCAGCAGCGAGCAGACGTTGCGCTCAGGAGGCCCTGCTTCGCCCAGGCGCTCGCATGAGGGCACGCGGATCAGGAGAGCAGAAAAGGATAGCTTGTTACTGGCGGAGGAGAGGCGCGAGGATGAGCGGAGAAAGGCCCACAACAAGAGGAGAGAGAGGGCTATAAGTCGACTGATGGACTCGGATCGGGTGAGCAGGCACGGGCTTCAGGAAGGCTATATGCACCCTACGTTCGAAGTTGAGCTAGCTAGCTGATTCTCAAGTTCTGTATGGGCCGACCTCCTTGTCAGGCATTGGCAGATCTGTTAATGCAGACTGCTGGCTCTCTCTCTGCGCTTGTCACCATCACCTCGGACGGGGAGAAGGCTGTAGCTGCGGGGAGTGATAACGCAGAGCACCAAGCGCAAGCGGCTCGCGATAGTCTACCATCCACCGCAAGCAGCGCTGATCGCGTCAAGGTGTTCGAGGGTAGAGCAAGTCAGTGGTTCGCGACTTTAAATGTGAGCAAGGAAGCCTGACCCAGGTGCTTCGCAGGAAGGAGCCCGCGCTGACCAGCCCCCCTGCGAGCTTGTAGGACATTCAAACTTCTCTGAGGACAGCAACCGCGACCTTGCGCGCAGATGGCCGACCGGCGATCTCGGATGGAGTGAACCTTTTTGGACAAGGAAGCTCTTATGCTGCTCGGACAGAGGCGGGGAGCGCAGGTCGTGGGCATACGTTGCCTCTTCAGGGTGCAATGAGCGGTCACGGGCCACGCAAAGAAGACAGAGATGCCTCGCTATCGCTCGGCGCCCTGAGACTCCAGCAGCAAAGTTGGAGGCAGTTGAACGATGCCCTCGAAGAAATTGCTACGGGCTCCGCGCACCTTGAACCTGATCAACACCACATCGCCAGAAATCGATCCTCAACTTCGGAGGAGCGGACCAGGGACGTCACTTCAAGCGTTCGCGAACATCAGCTGACGGCAGACGCCCGACTGATAGGGGCACTCCTGGGCTCTACCAGCACACTAGGCTCTCACCAGAACCCGGGCGAAAAACACCAACCAGCCTCCGGCTCCAGCTCCACGGCTTTAGCATAGGCCGCTCACACATCCATCGCCCGGCGACCCCTTTTCCTCGCTCAGCCGGACTGCCTCCAAGCAAGCCACTTTAGCGTCTCCGCGTCGTGCAGCTACTTCGATCTCATTGTACTAATCCATTGCATTGCATTCCATTTCGTGGTGGAGCGGAGCCTTGAAGCACCTATACAGCGAGCTGTCTTTCCAGCTCGCTCGAGTCAGAGCTGAGAAATGATCGGAAAATGTCGCACGCTGAGCACCTGCTATCTTCCCTCCTCCAGAGCTCCGTACGTAGCTTCATCTTGGAGACCTTCAACGCGCTGCCTCTCTTCCTCGCCGCGGTGCCATGCACTTGGTTTGAAATCTCCGAGGCGCACCTCTCCGCCCTGAGGATTGCGCACTCGCGTGTGCGGTCCAAGTCTGGAAATGGCAAAGAAACGTAAGAGGTGCAATCCTTAGGGACTGGATGACAGGCCGGGACCGCAAGAATGGACTCACTTGTGACCAGACGAGATCCTCCAGCTGGCTCGTTCTCCCTCGACCCAGTTTCCGTCCGCGTCGTAGCCTCCGATGATATCTGCTTGCTGGCCGCTGATGGCAGACAAAATTGAGTGCCTTCTCTGACTCTCACTCATCCGCCTATCCCTCCTCTCTGCTGCCTCGTCGTGAGGGGCATGGCCCTCTCCAGCTTCGTACCGCTCTTCTTGCAGTCGACTCGAGGTTTGTGAGCCGACGATTGAGGCATCGTCTGCCACGGCGTTGCTCTTGATGCTTTTGACGCCGAATTTGGTGAAGATCAGCTTGATCTGCAGATAGTTCGTAGGCATGCGGACGTCAACAATCACGTTCTTCGCACAAACGCTGCTGGCATAAAGCTCACCACGGGAATCAATAAGGTGTGGCCAAGCACGCTGCCTAAGACGAGAGAATATCTGCCCGAGCGCGAACGTTGAAGAAAGTCAGACGCCGCACCTGAGGTGGAGCTGCTTAGTGTAGTGCTCACATGATGGGCTTGATGATGCTATCAGGCGAGGCGAAAACAATGTGGTGATGAGACAACCGAGCCAAAGCACACAGAAAGCCTGAATCACTCACCTACGAATGCGAATTGCGTCGGGGACTAGATCGCCCTCTTCAATGGCATCTAGAACCAGGAAGGCATAGAACACCGCGCCGGCACCCTGTGAGAGTGTTTCCCGAATGGCTGTCAGCGACCTGTAGAGCCAAGCTCGCGGCGCTACACCCGGCCGAACGCACAATTGGTCCAAACCACCCCATGAATGCCGCCTCTCCTTGATCGATGATTTGCGGAATGAACGGCTGATGGAGCAGCATGGCAGGCAGACGGCGGAGTAAGAGCACGAGTACGTTCAACAAGATAAGCCGCACTGGTGTGATGCCGAGGTCTGGATCGTTGAAGCTGGTCCAGTCGATTGTGACGCCAATGAAAGTGAAAAAGACAGCGTTGCAGAGAAGATCGACGATGTTCTGCAGATCATCGTCTTCCGTCTCTCTACGGTACCCTGTGAGTGTGCAGAAGTAGAGGCCAATCAGCAGGAAGGACGACGCCGGCGACCACTGCGTGCTGTACCGATCTCACAGTCGTCCCAAGTCAACGCGTTACCCTGAGCGTAGAATCGAAGCGTCAGCATACGTTGAATTCTGACCATGCTAGCTGCAAATGCTCACAGCGATGAAACAAGCGAGCAGATCATCGACGCCCAAGAGTCCACCACTTCCGACAACGAACGTGCCCATAGCGACTCCGAATAGCAAGAAGCTCTCCTTGTCGATGAGAGAGTACCTCGTGGCCACCTTTAGAAGATAGTTGGCCGTGAAACCGACTACGGCTCCCCAAACTACACTTCCGACGACCGACCACAGCACCACTTCTAGCGCCCAGGACTTGAGCGCCTCAGCTGTCGATGCTTTTTGGATCAAATTCAGGGCGAGAAAGCTGGAGAATGGAATACTTTTACTGTGAGAAGAAGCCATACAGCCATGCTGACTTAACTAAAGCTCGGACTTACGTAAATGGTAGGCCAAAGCCGTCCTAGCGAGCGCCGAGCAAGAACGGCGCACAGAGGCAGCTCAGTAGGCCATACGAAAATGCTAGAGAATGTTTCGTCACTCACGTTGGCGCCACTCTCTGCGCTGATCAAGTTGCGGATCCTAGGGGAGACGTACGCTTCGGCAAACGAGCCTTTCACGATCGCGTTACTCAGGACAGGCTGTGAAAGGAGAGTGGCATCAGCAGGCCCATCCCAGAGGCACAGCATCTCTTGGTGCTGAGCCGCTCACATCTGTCGGAGTAGCGCACGAGGCTACTGCAAGCGCCACCAGTGGAGACACGCCGGGAATGACCGCCCAGATCGAGAGCGAGGTGACCATCCACATGGTCGTCATGACAGCTAAAGCGATCGAGGAGGCGCCTGCGCTTCAGCGTCGTCGTCCACAGCTGTGCGTTTCGATTTTTGAGGTCATCTGTAGCGCTGTTCACTCACGTAACAGTAGCATCGCTAGACTTCCCATCTCAATGACGATGTATTTGTACGGCAATTCAATGCCGACCAACACCAGCTGCGTGCCTGCACAGGGCGCCAAAGAGAGTTCGGGAAAGATAAGCGAGCCAAGGGATTGTCTGACCATGCCATACGACCACTCACCGATGATGAATCTACTGAATCCAAGTCCAAAACCATCGAGTGGATCCGCGCTCTGACCAGGCGAGCCCTTCAGGTACTCTGGCACGCCATACTGAGCCAACAATATGCCGAAGAACAGAGCGAACGGCGCTTCTCCGAGGTAGAGCCTCTCTTTGATCCTGTGCGAGACTATTCCATATAGCAGCACAAAAGCTCCAAAAGATGTCGAGATGACGTTGAGAGGCGTCACTTCCAGCTCGAAACCCATCGTGCCCTGGTGCAAGCGAGCGAGCCTGCTCGGTATGAAGCTGATCGTAGACGGGGTTGGCTATTCGAATGCTGAGTTCGAGATGCTCTATCCAGGCTACTGTTGGACAGCGTAGCTGCTTCGGGCTAGGGACTGATTGTGGCAGCGGATCTTGAGCATCGCGCACCGATGATGAAGGCTGGAGAGAGTCGCCAACCTCTGCGAAGGCCACTCTGACGACTCCAAGAAAGTCGGCTCTTCCCGCATGCATGCATGCATCCATCCAGCACCCTCGAGCCATGCACCCTAAGCCCAAAGCTTGCATTCCGGCGGCCCTCCTCCACATTCGTGATCCATCATGAAGGCATGCATCGATCAGGGATTAAAAAGAAAAAAACAAGCGCGGCCACGGCATCGGAACGATCAGCGCCGGCAGCGCTCATGCAAGATTCACCATTTGAGTGGCTTTCCCCGCAGAGGATCAAGAGCGCGACGACGCTTCCCTCCTTATAGCGCGAAAATAAGATCGAAATGCTACCGCGCATCCATGATTCCCTTGGCCGCAATCTGGTCATGCGATGACTTCTCCCCGACAACGACAGGCCAAGCTTGCTCAAGAGAATCGAGCGCCAAGGGTACGTTCATTTGACTTGCTCGTGGAAAGTCGGAAGAGGCGGGCAAATGATTGGGCTATATGTACTGCTGTTTGTCTATTCACAGTGTGCCCGGGTTGGGTAGTACAGTGGTGCTAGCCATCGTCTGGAAGTTTAACCCTTGAGCATAGGGTGTTCGCAACTGGTGCATGACGTCTCGCGCGGAAGCGGGGCGCATCCCCGATGGTTCGCCTTTTGTTTTTTGGTCTCTCCGAGTTTCGAAGAGGTCCTTGCATCCGCCCCCACCCAAATGTGACTGTCGTGGGTGGTCTGTGCTCCTGGCCCGGACTCTCGCATAAACGACAACTTTTGAATGCACGACTCCATGCTCTACTACCTCATCTTTGACGAGACACACAGATTGAAAGCAAAGAGAGGTTTCACCGATCGCATTGCTGATTAGAGGAGAGAGGAGTATCTCAGAGGATCACGCAGTCGCGATCCAGCAGACAAATCATCAAGACCACAGGAGACTTTTGCGAGGGGCCACGGGAGTAAGCACGTGTGGTATCAAATGTCGACCGATAACCCTTTGCTGTGGGCTTTGGAGCGAGCCTGCAAGACGCGGGGAGAAGCAGCACCAGTGCTGCTAGTCATGCGTCTGAGGCCCGGCGTCGTAGGTCCACCCTTCGTCGTCGCAGCCTTTGCGCGTTGTGTCGAGGACTCTATCAAGGTACTGGGCTCAATGATGGCCTCTTCAAGATCCGAAGGCGTGCATCGGAGTCTGTTGGGTTCGGCAGCAGAGAATCTCATGGTCTTGCTCCTCTTCATGGGCTTGTCTGGATGAAGGATCGGGTCGCCCGACCGAGTGTGACGATACGTCCCGCCAGCAGTCGATTGCCTTCTTGCCTCGCTTGCACCTCGTCGAATTGCGCGGGTGCGCTCTTCAGTAGCAGGATTGGACACTACTCGGGGGTATGCTGGAGGGCTGCGGACAGCAGAGGTGGCCGGCATATCGATGGTCAGATGCTGCTGCCGAATCTGAGCAAAGTCCAATCGAGGGCTTTGCCAAACAGAACCAGCATACATGCTGGGGCTGGCAGTAGCGTCAAGAGGGACGTTCGACCACTCCTCGCCCTTTGCAGCGGGTGGCGTCTTCGCTGGCAGGGTTACAGGAGCATCGGACAGTTCTACACGTTCATGCGAAAGGCTCTCCTGGGGCACCAGAGGCAAATTGGACTTGCGGCTAGCCTTGACGCGAGAGAAAGCACGTGCAGCATTTGCAGGCTTTGCCGACAACTTAGGTGTGCGAGCACCCTGGTCCCTGGGGCTTCGGGTTGCCGAACCAAATTCCACAAGATGGTCATTCGCCTCATCCTTTACCGAAGGCGCGATGGCCCAGCTTCCAGACCCTTTGGTGAGCGTAGGTACGGCAATACCGTCAGGACCCAGCACGGATGAAGGAAGATCGGGTAGTGGCCGTACCCTCAAGCTGTCCCGGCTGAGAAGTTTGCGAGGCGGGAGAAACGTTTTGTTGTCCAGGTCAGGTGCTGGCCTAGAGCTCATGCTTAACCTCGAAGACAGCGCTTTGAAACCAGTCGTGAGCCGTTGACCCATGCTGGGTGCTCTGTGAAGAGGCTGCGCCGGCATGGGCAAGTATTTCTCATCGTCGACCTCCTTCCATTGGACTTCGCCGTCCTGTACGATGCCCTGACGCCATGATGAGATGGAGGGTGATCGAGAGGCAGCCTTGGGTCGATTGCCGCGAGCAACGGAAGCCATGCGCTGGACTTTCGCCTGAGCACGAGAAAGGGCATTTCTGGCATCGAAGGACGCTTGCGTCACAGCGCTGGCATTTCCGTGTCCTCTGTCGTCGTTCAGCAGCGACTGCATGTTCACAGCAGCTCCGTCATCGTCAGTCGCTGCTTTCTCGGCATGAAGATTGGCCCAATGCGCAGCGCGTTCGCTTTCGTATTCCGCAGCGACGCGCGGATCGACTGCGATGACTTCATTGCCGACGCTGATCAGCACAAGGCCACCAGTGCTTCTTCCAGTCATGCTGCTTAGCGCTCGCCTTAGTGACTTGCGCGATCCAAGGTTCGCCGTCCGCTGGTCTCCGACGTACAGCGGCTTGGGAACGATTCCACGCTTCTCATCATAGCGCTGCTTGCAATGTACCAAAGTACGCGCAATCAGCATCAATAGAAGCAGCGCCACAACGCCTGCTCCAACAATAGCAAGAATGAAGAGGCCCTTGTGTGGTCCTTGCAAGAAAGCAAAGGGGCCTTTAGGATCCTGATCATTTGAGGCCGAAGGGGAGGCGGTTGGACTTTCTTTCGAAGAAGTGGGCGAGGAAGACATCGATGAGCTTGGCGCCTTCGACGAGGTGGGCTGACTGCTCAGTGTTGACGGCTGTGCCGATACAGCCGCTGAAAGAGCAGAAGGCGGGGCTGTCGCAGCGGGTGCGAAGGACTGTCCATCCTGCGCGTTGATACCGATTCGTCCGCCATGATTAGCGCCTGTTGCCGAGTCGAGTACTTGTCTGGGCCAAACACGCTCGGTGGGGAACGAGACAGCCTCGAACACCTCGGCCTGTGCGGCAGAGGAGCTGATCTCTGCAGCTAGACGACGCAAAAGCGGCGGTGAATCGTCCAGCGTCACGTCGTCCGCCGCAGCTCGCGCCTGCACGCTCGCGACAGCGGGCTGCTGAGCTGCGTGAGTATCGTAGAAGCGAGCCACGGGCTTGAGGCTTGTGCTCAGCACCGAGGACACAAAAGGGGCCGCAGACACCACCTCCGTCGCGACGATGCCAGCTGCCACGAGGCTCTTGATCATGGACCGTTTATTGCCCACAAGCTTCTCTCCGTGTCGCTTGCGCCGATGATTCTTTGCAAAAGGCGAGCCTGTTTGGGATATTGTCGGCGAAAAGCACGCCGATCTGGGCGGCGTACTTGTGGGTGGAGTACCAGCCTCCATGGCGAGAGCTTGCGATCGCAGAGAGTCTCGAGTAGCAAGAGCGACGCACGCAGTACGTCTGAAAGGGTTGCAACTGTGAGCTAGCCTGAGCCCAAGAATGCAACAGAGAGGTAAGAGGGACGAAGAAAGGGAGAAAAAGAAGGTGGAAAGGAGCCAAGAAGTGAACGAGCGATGGTGTAGTCTTGAGCTAAGAGCGCCGATTGTCGACGTTTCGTGGACTACCTTGGCTTCCATGCCAGCCGCAGACTGCGCAGGCCTTCCTCCATCTGGACACTGACCTTGCGCAAATGTTCGATCGAGTCGTGCCTGCGTGGCTTGCATTCTCCAACTTCTACCGGACTCTGGAAAAATTGCAGATCAGCTTGGGTAAGAGCTGTATTGGCTGTCGCTCCGCCCCCCCGCCATGGCTCCAGCCAATAGCAGCAGCAGCGGCACCACGCTCTCTCGCGAGCATATTGTCCGATGCGCGATCACATTTGCCTGCGCATCCCCCATCTCTTTCAATTGCCATTCGCGGCTGCGATTCCTCGTGCTACGTCCATACTCGGTGGAGCGAGGACAACAAGACTTCAGCAGTGAGCACAAGGCGGTGCAGGTTGATGAGCGCTCTTTTGCTGAGCGTTTGCGCTTCGACTTCCGATTCGAGGTGTTGCGATCTACTTGCCTCTGCTGATGGTTGTAGGTCAGCCATTGCGGTAGTCGGCCAAGGAGGCGCCGGATGCTGCTGTGGGTTGCGGCTTTAGCAGCGCGGCGCGCGCATGCAGCGACCGTTGGATGCGTTGCGTATACGCGAGGTCTTAATGGGCGCGTCTTCTGTGCAAGCGAGACGCTCTCACCCACTGGTCACCATCGCAGCGGTGATATGTGCACCCAGAAACTTTGGCTGTCGATGCCTCCTAGGCGCCTCTCATCATGCGACAGGCAGGCGGCAAGCCTTTCTGCCGAGAGTCTGGGAGTCGAGAGTGAAAGCAAGCCAGTCGCATCTCATGAGTCACGAGTCGTCAATTGCAATACTGCCCGCTCTTTGCGGCGCTCGCCACACGCACCTAGTATTTCGCAAGGTTCTCTTCCGCAACAAGCTGCTTCGTATTGGCACAGCCGAGCTGCTGCTTACACCGCATAGCTTCGCACTTCACAATCATCGAGCATGACCTCGATCACGAAGACATTGACTTCTCGAAAGTGACCACAAAGGTAGATGCTGACGGCTCAGTGAGCGCGCTCGCAGTCAAGAATGAGGTCAAAGTCAGGAAAACAAGACAAGTTCAAACCGCAGAGTCTAGCAACGCGTTCAAACAATAATGAGCTCAGCAAAACTCCAAGTCTCGTAATGCGTGAACATTGCATTGAATTGTCGAGGCACACCGGGTGCCTTTTCAAGCCGCAGCGGTGCATGCAGGTAGTGAGAAGGTGGTGTTCGCGAAGATTTGTGCGGTGGTGGGTGTTGCTCCTCTAGCAAAAGTGGCATGGAGCACTCTAGATGAGCGCAGCTCCGAAGGCAACGGCTGCAACAGCAGCAGCGCTAGCTACGAGAGCCTTGGTAGGGGCGACGTAAGCTGCGCCGTTGCCGCTGGTGCCAGTTCCCGAAGCAGAGGGAGCGCCAGAAGGAGAAGCGAGGCTCTTGCTGACGCTGGTAGCGAGGGCTTGAACGCTGGCGGACTGGACAGCAGCGGTGGAGCTAACGCTGGCAGTAACCTCGGCAGAGTTGTCCTCGATCAGCACAAAGCTGGCGGCGACGATCTTGCCGAGGTTGGACTCCGAAATATAAGAGGCCAAGCTCATTGTGCTCAAAGCGGTACCGGGTTGAGAGAGGTTCTGAGGAGCCTGGAAGTTGGATGGTTGGAGGGCTACGACCTGGAAGTAGCGATGAGGACCAGAGCCAGCTGCTGGGGCAGGAGAAGCGTACTCGGTGATGGCAGGGGTGGAGTTCTGAGGGCGAGTGGAGTAATAAAGTATGAGCTGGAGGTCACCCTGCCATGACGCAGCCGAAGCGACAGCTGTGAACTCACGGTGAGACGGCCATCGTCGCCCAGCTTGAAGTTGTTGCCGAGGAAGTGACGGGTGAGGAGGCCATCTAAGAGAGCTCGGGGATGATCAGCATCCAGCATTCCAAAGAAAAGAGCATCCACCACTCACCTGGGTTTCCAACACCAGCAGCTCCGGCGTCAAGGAAGAGAACGGTGAAGGTAGCACCATCGAGCTCATCGGCGACGGACTCAGGGTACTCGATGGAGTACTGAGGCGTTCCCTTGGCCTGGTCGACGCTAACAGTCTGACCAGTGGCAATGTCACGGGAGCCCTCTCCGAAGCGCAGGCCGAGGGCGGCGGTGAGATTGAGGGCGGAGGTGGGGACGGGGTCGGGAATCAAGCCAACAGCTTGCATCTGAAGGGTCGTGTTGGCAATCGAAGTGGCCACTTCGGTCACGGACTCCTTTTGGGCCGCAACAAGGGCGGGTACGAGGCTCAGAGCCAGAGCAGTGATGGAGCGTGAGAACATCGTGGGTGGATGCGTTGCAGTGAGAGAGTGAGCGAAAAGACTGAAAGTAAGAATGGGTTCAAGACGTTCGACGTCTATATTGTGCTGTATGAGCGAGTCTGAACAAGTTTTCTGGAGAGAGAGAGAGAGAGATGGTTGTGGTCGTAAAGCAAGCCCAACCGGTGTTGGCCAGGCAACTCCAGTGGAATGCTTGCTGTGCCTGCATGCGAGCTCTGCTGCTGGGGATCAGTCAGTCAGTCGTGAGTGAATGCTGGAAAGCACGCCGCACGCCTGCCTGCATACGTGACTGTGTTGTAGTCAGAGTCACGAGTCGCGCAGGAGAGGTGCATCGCGCGACTCCGGCGACTTTGCGAGCCTTTCTCTCCCCTTTCTCTGCATCGTGCAGCAGTAGCGCATCTCGGCGCCAGCATACGTCTGTGCCCTGCTCGAACAACGCTCCAGCAGCACCAGCAGCAGGTTATATGTACATGCCTGCTTACGCTGACATCGTCTTGGCTGGAGGGCAGTGCACGATGAAGGATTATTGGCAATCGTGCTGACTCGCTTTAGCGGCCAAGGCTTGCCCGCATTATTGGTGTCGGTCGTTGGAAGGATGTCCGTTGCCGGCTAAGCGGTTGTCAAGCCATGCGAAGCGTGCTCACGACGCTTGCACACAGGCAGATCAGATCTACGTGCGCCATAGCCGCATGAACCGACGGGGCTGGACGGAAGCCGTGGGTTGCCAAGGCAGTCGGTCCATGCACTCAGACTTGTACACGCGAGCATCTGAAATCGAGCGGCGGGTCGCTTTGGTTGGAGAACCTGCAAGCATTCTCGAGTTCTAGCTGCCTCAGCGCATCCACCAAAGTCGAGGAATTGCAATCAATTGAGCACTTTTATGGGTATAACATGGACGAAGCAGCTCGTCAAATGATACAATGCATGGGGAGGCATTCGGTCGCAGGGCTCGATTGCGTCCATACCGGTGAAAGCATAGATCGCGTCAAAAGAAGGAGGTCACAGCGCTTGTCAATGCCGTCGTCAACAAGATGAGCGAGAGGGGCTCAGCGAGCAACATCTTGCATCGCGTCAGAGTGGAAAAGTCTCGGTGGAGCCTAGGCCTCCTCAAAGCCATGCTCAAACTGGGTGCGGCCGAGCTACTGTGGTTGATGGAGTAGCTCGTGTCTGCTGCGTCGCTGGGATTGCAAAAGCCAAAGGGACCAACTGATTCTCGAGCGCAATGATCCTCCACTGTGACCATGTAGCAATCCAGCACTGCAAAGGAAAGAAGGAGCAAGATGTTATTGGCCGCCGATGGAAGTTGAAGTACGAAGTCTGACTCACTATCCGCATAGTTGGTCGTCCGGCACTCGGGGGCCCATACCTCCTCAGGAGCAGCATTGTCTGACGTCGGAGCTGGACTTGTCACATTGACTTCTGTGCCGCCCACTGCTATGCAGCAGTAAGAGGTGATATCTGGGATGCTGCGGGGGGACGTCGTGTATGCGTCACCAGGACAAGTCAGCAGCGTGCGCCAGTCATGCTCGACTCCTAGATCCGATGAAAAGAAAGAAACAGCCTGCCCTTCCTTCCAAATACCCCGCGTCTGCCTCGACACATGCATCAGCGATCGCCTCGCTAACTCACAAGCTGACGCACGCCCCCTGACCTGCGTTTGGAGGCAAGGTGTCCCCAGCTGAAGTCTGAGGCCCAGCTTTGCAGCTACCATTGAAATGTCCAGACGAATCCGCTACGACTCTGGCGCCGGTTCCGCTGGCCGAAGCTTGCAGGACTGGAGAGTTGCTGCCCACTGCCCACCTTCTGTCATCTAATCTTGCAAATTCCCATGGCGAATTCAGCTGTCGACGTGACGTCGAGGCGATCGCATACGCTTCATTGTCGTACACTCGAGGCTGTACAAAGGGCGCCCTTGCTGCGGGCATGGCAAGCGCGCTGGCTAAAGCTGGCATCCTGCTTGCAGTGACGCGATGGACGTAGAGATAGCTGCTAGAGTACGGCGGCAGGACCAGTGAAGGCCGGGTTGAGGGTGCGATAGGTCGAAGGTGTTTCTACCTTCTGAGTAGATGATGAAACGCGCCAGGTAAGGCGGTAACCCAACCTTGTGCGATGCAGAGCGTCAACTCTCGTGCCGTGCGCCGTGTGAGGCTTGGTAGCGGTGGATGAATTGATGAGGAACTTTGAGCGTGAAGTGAGCCGGCTATTGAGGGATATGTTGTAGGTGTGAGAGGTAGTGGTGGTAAGAGCAGTGCGGTACCGACAGCAGCTTTCATGAACAACGTGCAAGATCGCAGGTGAGGATGAGCACTGTTACAATCGAAGTGGGCTCTTGGTGGTCTTTTTTTTTCCTGGATTGTGCCAGGCTACTCGCAGCAATAGATGCAGACAGAAAAATGAAGGCGACTTGAGGGTTTGTCTTGGCAACGTGTGCGAAGCTGACGCGGGACGGCAGTGGAAGCCTGGGGCGCTGGTGTGTGCCGATCGAGCGCCGGCCGAGGTGTGAAGAGCAGGATAACTACTTGCGGATACGTCGCAATTCACTTTGAGCTCGAACGAAAGTCCGCCGACGTGTTGAACAGTCACAGTCCATTGAAGCGACTAATTTGATGGGCTTGTGGGCGCGGGCGGCGTGATCGTCGTCGTCGAATTGTCCACCTGTAGGTACCCCGATCCAGAAGCTTTAGCGCAGCAGATGAGGGACTGCATGGGCCTCGACATCAACGCGAAAGTGACTAATGACTTGCTGCCCGACGGTTATAATCACAAATCTATCAGCTGCTGCACAGCAATAAGCGCATACGAACACCGCATCCGAGTTTGCCGGCTCAGACTTGCTGCTCTGACTCTGGAGACACACGCACCCGCGCAAGGTATTCGTGCTGTGTATACCCTAGCTGTATCATGTCACAACCGCGCCGCAATCAGCCGCTTTGGTCTCGGCAACGTGCATTCAGCTAATCGTGCTCTTGCTGGGCGTGTCGTCTACTGTAGCAGCTATGGACGGGCGGCTTCCTGTTGCTCAGCTTGCAGGACCCTAATATGAACACTCATCACACACTATCGTTCAAACTTCAGAGAGGTCAGCTAGGAGGCTGCAGCTTTCCTGAAGCTGTGGTTTCCTCAAGGTGACACGGATGGAGGCATACACGCCTCGGCGAGCCAGGATGGACAGCTGCTGCTGCTGCTGTGGAGCAGGACACGGGACGGCATGCAGTTTGCTTCGAATATTTTGGTGCAGCAACATGTCTTGGCATGCAGTAGATTGCATGCACGCATCTCATCCAGCAGCTCTCCCTCCAACAGAGCTGTCGCCTGCGCGTTCAATCCATCCGAGGTCCGCTGCACTTTGCCAGCGTGAGTCTTGAGTCTTTCGCGAGCTGCACTTGGCAACTCATCAGGCTCTCTCGCGCAGCGTGTCGAAATCTTGGCGCGTTTGACGTTGTGGAGTCGGTGCGCACCATCGAGTCGATCGCGATGCACTCGAGAAGAATCTGATATGGGCGACGGTTGGCCATGTTCCATTTGATTCACTGATTCAGATTCCCTCAAGACTCGCACACTCGTGACTCGAGTGCGATTCAAGATTGCTCAAGCTGCTTTCACGATTCATGCCATCCTTGCTGCCTAGCGAGAGGATTCTCTTCCCACCAGTCTTGCCTTTCGATTGGCCTGGTCGCTCTGTTGCGCTCGCCGCCCTCGAGTGGAGGCAACGTGGGCCGCAAATAAGGTGTGTATAGTGATGGAAAGATGGCCGAGACGCGAAAAAGCGCGACGGACCATCATCCAGCACGTGTGAACAGTACCCGAGCGCCGTGTTGTAAGACTCAAGACTTGCGATGCAAAAAGCTCACATGAAGGGAGGGCGAATTGAGGTTGAAGGCAAGCCTTCGAACGTGTCATCGTGTCGGAGTTGTATCGAGGTCCTCCACCGAGCTCACGACTCTTTGACTGTAGTCAATCAAAAGTGTGAATGTGAATTGTGACTGTCCGTGCGTTGAGAAGGGACACCCATCGAATCGCCGGTCCATTCACGGGCGTACGCCCACGGATGCCGGCGCGCCACACCGTCCTTAGCGTCGATCAATTGAGTTCGTGCACATGAGCTGCACCCTGAATCAGCACGAATGGCGAATGCGGCGGCGATGCACACATAAGCTACGGTACACGGGCGCAGCTATGGTTGTAGCTGGCATCATGGGCTGCTGCAAGCTCAGCGAAGAAAGAAAGCTGAGAAGAACGCGAAGAGGGTCAAGGGAACGTGCTCTTCTGCTTCAGCATCAAACAAATACACCCGCGCCGCACTTCGATCCAGTAATGAACCTCTCCCCATCCTCTGCCATGCGGATTGCCATCACTTGCAGTCAAAGTCCACTTCGCTCAATAATCGGACATTCGAGCTTGCTGCTCTCCGACGCTCCCCTCCACTTTGTTACGGATGCGCTGCCGGCGGCTCAAGACCTGCGGAGAGGATTGAGATGACGCTGGCGCGGATGGGGAGAGCATGCAGCAGCGATCGAGCACGAGAGCGGCTCGATGTATATATGCATGGCGATGGCTGATGGTGCAATATCAATCATCAGAATGTTGTTTAGCGCCGTTTATTGTACGCCTCTCACCAACCTCTCAGCACCTTCTTCCCCCCGCCCTCTCGTCTACAGCTCGTCCCAGCATCAGAGCCCCACGCACGAATGTGAATCACGAATCACCATGTGAATGCAGTGCAATGTGCCTGCATCGGTGCCTACGGCATTTGATTGCGTCTGAGCTGATGCCTATGCTGCTGAGATCGGCGAATCGTGAATGCTGCTGCTCCCTCTGCCGCTGGTTGTTCCTGATTTGATGATCACTTTCCTTCGCCCTTGAAATTCCTGCTCGACAATGTATAAGAAGCGCCCTCCATTGCAGCGCTCAACCTTACCATCCTCCTCACCCTTCCACCCACCCACACCAATCCACATTCTTCCCCCGACCCTCACCTGAACACGATGAAGCTCTCCACTTCGCTCCTCTTCCTCTCCGTCCTTGTGGGCTCCGCTCTCACTGCCGCAGCTCCCGCTCCCGCCGAGTACGGCGTTGGCGCTGCCGGCTTCGCAAACGTTGTCAAGGCTCGTCGTCCCTTGAACATTCTCCTGACCAATGACGACTCTTGGGCCAGCGCCAACATTCGCGCGACCTACTACGCTCTCAAGTCTGTGCGTGCCTTTGCGGCCTTTTTGTGATGCCGTCATGATTTGTTGACGCATCTCCTCCTCTTTTCCTCCAGGCTGGTCACAAGGTGCTGCTCGTCGGCCCCGCTATGAACCAAAGTAAGTGTCTCGTGATCACCGCGTCCCTTTGCTCAGAGCGGGCCCGACTGACAGATGTTCTGCCTCTTGCTGCATCGCCACGCAAAGGCGGCAAGGGAGGCACAGTCGTTTTCCCCACCTCCAAGACCCTCACCGCTCCTGGCCGCAACAACAGCATTCCCGTGGGCGCTCCATTCAGCGGCAAGAACGCAACCGACTCCAACATTCGCTACTTCGACGGCACCCCTGCTGCCACTGCTCTTTGGGCCCTCGACTTTGACGTTCCTGACGTCTTTGGCAGCCAAGACAAGCTCGACCTGGTTGCCTCGGGCCCCAACGAGGGCAACAACCTCGGTGAGTGTAGCACCTACCACCGACTCACATGCGAACTACGCGCATGGCTGACAGCAGGCATCTCGGTGCTTGCCGTCACGACAGGCCCCTTCGTCAGCGACCTCAGCGGCACTGTCGGCGCTAGCCGTGTCTCTGTCGGCAGAGGTATCTCTTCCATTGCCTTCTCCGCCTCTTCCGCCCCCCGAGACTACACCCTGCTGGACTTGAACAACCCAAAGGACGAAAGCATCCTGATTGGAACTCAGACGGCTAACCTCATCTCCCGCTATGGCGATGCTCGTGGCAACAACCGCCTCGTGAGTAGCTACATTCTCAAAGTGCAAGCCAAGGAGTAAATTTGACATTTCTGCACTGGGGTCACGCAGTTCCCCTTGGGTCTTGGCGGCAATGTCAACTACTCTCCTCTCAACGCTACCTGCCCCGTTCCTACCTGGGCCGCAACCCGCATCTCCGGCGGCAACGCTCTGACCGACAAGGTGATCCTCAATGGCGCAGGTCTGCCTACTTACCAGAACCTCGTCGCTCCAGGTGTCAACGCCATCATCAATGGCCTGCCTACGCTGCAAGGAGAGACTGCAGCAGTCGCTGCAGGCTGCACCGCCGCCTTCTCCATCTACAGCCAGGATTACGATGCGCCCATCACTGCTACCGCTCCCCTCGCTCCTGCTGTTGGCCTGACTATCGCTCAGCTCAACAGGAAGTAGATTGCCTCTAATCGCAATCTCGTTGCCACCAGTCGTTTTTGCTCGCATTTTCATAATCTAGAATACACCACTTTCAAGATTGATGCCTGCATACACAGCAGAGGTCTGACGAGCTTGCGTACGCATCTACATATTCAGTACAGGTATCGCAGCGGCCGGGCGCCGTCGCAGAAGCGCTTCGTGTCAGGCTTCATCGCACTCCAGCAAGGATCGCGTCCAATTCCAGCTCCGTGTCCCTCTTGACTTTCTTGGAGCGCTTTGCAGCTTTGCCGCTCTTGGTTGTCTCGCTGGGTAGCGCAGACGTCTCAACTGTGCCGTCTTCCTCTTCAGCCTTTGATGAGTCTGTGCCTTTGCGTTTCTTGACAATCGCGCCTGCTTGTGCGTCGTCCGCACCAGCTTGCGCAGAGGCAGCAGACTGCTGCGCTTGCTCTGCCAGCCACTTTTTCCATTCCCCTACGCTTCGGCGAAAGAGGCCCAAGTTGACGCTGCGCTTCAAAAAGACTCGACCGCGGGGAGAAGCAAGCAGAAACTTTTCCCTGGAAAGCAGAAAGCGCGCATGGCGTTCCTGGTGCGGACGTGGACATGCAGCCGATGTGAGAAGGCGAGCATGCCTTCAAATGCATTTGCGTAGAATACCTGCTCACCTTTGTGAACCCGTCGCTTTTGTCCCAGAGCGTGTAGGCTACGCGCGGCGCAGCATCGGCAAGCAGGTGTAAATCCGCTTGCATCCACGCGATGAGGTCCTTGCGTTGTTTGAAAGATGCCGATTCGCTTGTGAGCACTGCGGTCAACAGAAAGCTAGCGGTTGTAGACTTGGCAAGCGGAAGCGAGCTTGGCAAGGCGATCAAGCTGTCGTGAAGAGTTTGTCAAGCGATGTGAGAACGTGGTGTTAAAAGCGACCTGCCACTGCTACGAACCTTTCGTAGAGGATGCTCTTCGCTGGTGAGCATAAGCTAGCAATGGACTGTAGTAGCACAGAGCCTTGTATCTTGACGTCAGAATCTTGCAGCTCTTCGTCTCGCTGCCAGGCCAACTTTCCGACGCCCTTTTCGGACTGCTCTTCTTCCCTCGACACCTTTGCGCTCCCTTCAGCTTCGCTCTCAGCCGCTGTCTCCCCAGTTCCCACAGCTTGTTCGGAAGCTTTGGCGGTAGTCTGTTCTTTGATTTGTCTCTTTCTGATCCTCTCGCGGTCTTTGATGACAGCCTTCCTAGGTTTGATGGCCAGCACAGCGGGCACCAGCCACGCCCGATGTTCTCTCTTGTCAGCGTCGACCCCGAAGCTGGAGGCGACACTTAGGACAGCATTAGTTTGGAGAGCGGTCAATACAGGTGCTTGAGCGTGTGCCGAAGAGTCAGAAGGAGAAAGCACGGCGACTCGCTCGATAAAAGAAGTGAGTATACCTAGCTTGGCTTCGCCAACAAGTTTTGGTCCTGCTGCGGCAATCTCGTCCGAAATTTTTTCGAATTCGGAGTGATCTTCCGCGCTGTCCAGTGGCAATCGCTTAATTGCACTCGCTACGACAAAATTCGCCAAAGGGTGTACTCCCAGCTTGCCTATCCTTCCCTCGACATACGTCTTCCAGAATAAGCGAACGGCCGCAGGACCTAGCAGCCCCAGAACATGCTGGAGCAGGTGTGACCCCACGACGTCTCGTAGCAGAGCCTCAACATGCGCAGAGCGCTCGGATGGGGTGGAGCTTGTCGCGGCCATCGAGAGCAGCCCATCGAACATGCGATCGACGGGGCCGTCTGGTTGATCGACATCTTCGTGTAGATCGAGCAGAAGTTGAAGGGTTGGGCTAGCAGTCGGTGATATCGAGAGTGCTCTGACCTCGTTTGCGCCTAAGCCCTGGAGTAGAGCACGTTTCACGTCGTCCAGCTCCTCTTTAAAGACAGGGCTCGCTGAGCTGCTGAGCTCGGAAGCAGATCGGAGATCCGCGACATCGCCTTTCGATCGATAAGCGGCACTGCGCTTCGACCGCAAAGAGTCGTCGAGAGGTCTGCCGCACAGGACAAGTAGTAGTGACCTTACTATATGTGTACCAAATTGGTCATGGATGAGGCTCGCCAGCGCAGGCAAGAGCTCCTACTCGACGATTTCGCGTGGATCGGATTTCATCAGAAGTTGCTGTCAGTCGCACTGACTAGCCTCGCTCACTCACCGCAGTCATCTCTGCCACCAAGGTGCCCGCACTTCTCAAGACTCCTTGGGAGTTGTCAGCGCTCGTCGCCAGCTTCGCCTTCCCTGTGCGACCCAACGAAGCCTTGCTCGTGCACGCACTCTGCAATGCACGAAAGGTAGACTGGAGCACATGCGACCCGAATCGATGGCCAGCCAAGACACCCAAGCTAAGTACACGAGAGGCATAGATCAGAGCGTGCTGACGATTCGTAGCCGTGTATACGCTCCATGTACTTACTTGCCTGCCAATCGGTCCGCAAATATCCGCACCTGCTTCTCACTCATGGTGTCTATCAGCAGCTCGAGTACGAGGCTAGTGTCCGGGTCTGTGGCTACCGCTAGCTCGATTCCATTGATCTCCTTGAGTGCAGCATCTCGCAGCTGTATGCGCTCCTCTTGAGAAGAGGTATCCTCTGTCTCGGCGTACTGGTCGTAACCTGGACGATGCTCGGCGACCGAGGTGGAAGCGTACAGCGCGGTCAGTGAAGAGATTGCTGACCTGAGATAAGCTTTGAGATCCGCTTCCACGTAGCCGAATGGAGCTCTGGGATCCACCTCTGATGGACCGGCGTCTCCATTGCCCATCCACGCCGGGAGCTGCTCGCTGCCGTCGGGCTGGCTCTCATGCACATCGGCATGCCGCAGCGGGGCGGAGGCTAGCGAATCATTGGCATGTCGCGAGTGGCCGCCTTCGCCAAGGGTTGCATCTGCGTCACTCTTCTTGTGCTTCTTTCCTCGCTGTCGAATTTTGTTCTGGCGTGGCATGTTGGCCAGCGAGGAGGCCTCGTCTCGATTGAAGCGTACGCTGCCGCAGCGCGGTGCCCCTTGAACGCAGCAGCAGATGCGTCGATGCGAAATGTGTGAAGAATGTACGCCTGGAATAAAGATCTGATCGTGAGTACAGTATGCCGTGATGATGTTTGCGCTCCTTGGTGCTGCCCACCTCCAATCGCGTGCCATCAGAATCACGAACTTCAAGAAACAACAAATTCACGATTCCTGCATGGCTAGCTAGCTGTGCATATGTTTGCCAAAAAAGCCTCTCGTGCGGGAGCGCGAAAGGAGCGAAAGTTGATCACCATCCGGCGACGCCTCTGCTCTGCGCCTGCCAACTTCGCCTGCCTCTCGACATCAAAGACGCGCAGCAGCATGTGTGATGTGGTGTGTGCAACGCATGCAGCAAATCACGGCGGGGTTGTTGCAAGGAATTTTGTGCGCGCGGCCCTGCCCGATCAGCCGGCCTCGTGATGTGACGTTCTCACACGACCTTGCCGCCGCGTCGCCCCGTGCGCGGCCTCGCAGCAGCCAGCCGGAGGCGCGCAGCCGCGGGTGCTTCTGCGGTTTCTTGCTGCTGTGCAAGCTTGCGAGACTGGTGGATTTGAAGCTGGTCACACGCGCTTGCGGCTCTCTCTGGCTCCTCACGATCTCGTCCGCTCGCTGCGCGCTCGCCGCAAGGCGAATCTGCACTCACCACTCACCATTCTCTGCGCCATCAGAACGGGCTTATTGGACGGCGGGAACGCGGGCTAGCGATTCTTCACCTGTGCTGGCGTGAGCGGTGACTCGACTCTCGGCGCTCATTCGATCGAGGATGAAGTGATCAGCTTCGACGGCGCTCATCGCCCAAACCCCAGGACTCAAGTTTCTGGACGTGATCCTCTTCCTCGCAACAGTCTCCGCTCAACTTCCGAAGCTCGCCAGCCTACTCGCTGCCCCTACTGTTCGAATCTTGCGATGTCAGAGCGAGTGAGGTATGAGTCAGAGGACTCTCCGGGGGGCAATTCGTTTAGAGGCGCAAGCGGCGCTGGAGATCACGGTTGGGTGGGGGCCTTTGAGCGAGTCCTCGGTGATCATGCGGACGGAGGGCTCGAGATTGAACGCAAGAGAGGACAAGCTGGGACTAAGAGCGGCACTGCTTCGACGACCAGTACCACCCAAAAGGAACGCGAAGGTCCTCCTCCGCCTCTCGACGTCCGACAGCCGAGTCGAGCCACCACTCAAGCACACATGCGTGAACCTCTTCGCTCTCCTGGCCTGTCATCTGTCAGTAGTCAGGAATACGAGCAGAGATATCGTCTTCACAGCCGGACTAACAGCAAGGCGAGCGGCGCCATTGAATCTTCCCTTCAGGTGCCGCAAGCTAAGTCTCCGGGACTTGGCGATGCAGGCAAGGGCCCCGGCAAATTTCAGCCTAAGGAGCAGGGAATCTCGGCCAGGGGCGAGCATGAGGGCTCGAACGCTTCCGCTCGACGTCTTGCTCTTGACGTTGGAGTGCCTCTGAACGGGCCCAAGTCGTCTGGTCCGCCTTTGCTGACTTGTGTCGAGGAGAGGATCGCTGCGGAAGGCGTGTACATCAACCACGCGCCTTCGCTATCCACCCTGACACTGCGCAATCTCAGTGCAGAAAGACGCCTTTTGGTACGTCTGGAGAGCGAGCTTGGTCGTGGGATCAGCTTCCTCAAACGGAAACGTACCTCAACGCGAGATCGTGAGTGTAGCTCTCAATGCTGATTGAGACAGCGCTCAATGCTCACCTTGTCACGAATCGATGCTTCAACGCAGCATCTGCAGTGACATGGCCCGCGAACACGGTGATCTGGGCGCAGAAAGACGGACTTTCCCCTTCAAAGCTGCGAGACCTGCGACATTTCGTCGCGAATCTAGAGCCAGCGGATTCCTTCATCCTCGAAGCCAGCTCCGAGATTGTGGTATACGTCTCTTTCCGACCTGTGCATTTCGTCTCTGACCTCGACGCGGCATCTTTCGCACCGCCTCGAAGCCCTGCCACTGATGCCGCCTTTAGTCCTCCGCGACCGAATGCCCGAGTAGGCAGCATGACTAGCCGTTCCTCTAGCAACAGCAGCTCAGCTGCGTCGCCCGCAGCTCAGGCGGAGACGTCGTCCGGAAAAGACCTTGCAACTGGTGTGGTGCATGAGTCCTTCAGCATTCACGGCTCCGCCATCGTGAGGAGCTGGCCTCTGGCCCTCACTGACTCGAGCAACGCTGTCTCGTTTGAGGACGGTGTTTCGCAGCCGTCCACAGGATCGAGCGCACAGAATGACATCTCATCGGGCGCGAGTAATTTGTCCTCAGCCTCTGCCTCAAGCTCCTCCTCTCGGCCCACCAGCACTTACGGATCTTTACTCTCTTCTGCAGGCGCAGCGTCTTCGTTCGCCACTACGACAGACGCAGCAGCACCGGATCAAGAGCCCCAAGTGATTCAGATTCCGTTCTCGGCGTGGGCCTGTAAACCTCAAATCGCCATCTCGTCACATCAGGCGACGCTGGCTCACAAGCGTCTGGACGGAGAAGACAAGACCTCTCCATATGAGCGACACAATCACGGTCTCATGGTCCTTGACTTTGGAGATCTCTTCGTCGGTCAGCGCGAAGAGCGAGACCTGGTGCTTTACAACCAATCAGCTATTGAATGCTTTTGGCAAGCACGTTTAGACGACGCCGACAGCATGCTGGCTTCTCCACCTTTGAGTCTGGTTAACGATACCGAGCGCACCCTAGAGACCGTCTCTTCAGCAGACGAGGTGCAGTATCGGCCTCATATCCTAGCACCCGGCAACGCTCAGACGATCAAGCTGGTTGTTTCGCCCACAGAACCATGTCGCGATTTCGAACAAGTCATCACGGTGAGCAACCTTCACAATGCCTCTAATTCGGTGCGGATATTAGTGCGCGCCAACATGCTGGGAGCGGCCACAGACGATGCTCTGTCAGTCCTGTCTGGAGACATCATCGATTTTGGAGATTGCTGCGGTGGTCATTGGACACGACAGCTCCTCGTCTTGAAGAACGCAGGAGATGTGCTGCTGGAGCTCGCGTTCGGCGTCCAGAAAGGCATCGAGGCAAACTTTCAGCTCGCCGAACTTGCACCTCAAGACGAAGACATAGGCCTCGGCGAGCCAATGCTTCCTCCAGTTGTTGCCTCGCAGCTAGATGGCCCAAGTGCCCACGGCCGAGATCCAAGCCAAGGTAGCTCAGCGTTGTCGACAGATGGCGGCAGCGGTTATGAAGCGGACGTCGCAGGTGATGAGACGGTTCACGTGAACAAGGCTGCTGGATCGCAGATGAGCTCGTCCTTGCTTAGCCCAAGCCAAGCTTCGTCTGCTGTTCTTACCCCTTCTACAAATCCTCAAAGCTGGGCTGCAACGGATATGGCTCGCACACCTACGCATCATGCACGGGCGACGCCATTGACGGATCCTCCACACTTTGAGCTTCCCACCAGCGAAGCAGTGCTGCCTGTGGGCAAGCTTGTGGGAACGAACCCTGGACGACCTAGAGGGGGTTCTGTTGCACGTGGGGATGAAGTCGACGCCTCTTCAGTCGCGTCTCAGGCTGGCTCGATACCTGGATCACCTGAGCTAAGCAGACCTTCGCTGAGCACACGATCTTCCAACGTGGAGCAGCACTGCGCAGGACCGGATAGAGGCGGCGCCGTTGCGCATTCTACCTATGGTGTTGGATCTTCTGACGCGCAGGATAAGCGGGGCGCCGCCAGCAATCTGCGCAGCAGACCTTCCTCAGCTTTCTTTGGATCGATCTCATCGTATGCTGTCCCGTCGAAGAGCGAGCTGACGGACGATGCTGCATTACAAGATGATGCTCAGTCCATGCTCTCAGAAGTCACCGGCATGTCAGACGGCCGACCCGGTGCTCACCATCCACCAACCCGCGTTGGCACAATGAGCAATGCGAGCGGTTCTCATTCTTCAAGGGCTCGAGTCACTGCCGCAGCTGCGCTCAGTGGCCTTCGCAATGCCGAGCAATCACACAGCAACCGCCTCGAAGAGCTTCTCCTCAGGCCCGGAAGCGAATATCGCGTGGTGGTCTCTCACCGGCCGGCTAGAGGTGAGCTCGATGCCGAATATTCAGCGGGACGTCTTCGTGAAGAGAACTTCCAAATCTCTCTCGATTATGCCCGCGCTCGTTCTGACGGTGCTCGAGCGCGGGGTGGCAGGCAGCGCAAGACCGTGCAGTGCCGTGTTGGCACTTGCACCTCATTCATCACCGTCTCGCCGAAGGTTGTTGACTTTGGCGAGGCTAATGTAGGCGCTCGCAAATTTGCTCACGTGGCCGTAGAGAATCGCTCAGAGCTCACAGCAAGAATCGACTTGCGTTTTGTGTCAAAGGTGCTCAGCATGTATCGCGACGAAGTCTCGATTCCTGCGCTGCAGACGGTCGAGCTTCGGGTGGACTTCTTTCCGCGACGCATCAACAAGTCGTATCGGAAGCAAATCACTGTAGCCAACCTGATGAACAGATCGAACGACCAAATCTTCGAAGTACGAAGCCGCAATGTGGATGAGGAGCGGATAGGACTTCATTCTCTGTTCTACCGCATTCTCACTCCCTCGGGCGCAAATTTCGTAGACTTCAATGATGTCAACATCAACTCGTTGCGCCTTCGCACCTTTTCCATTCAGAATCTCAGCGCTTCAAAGCTTGATTTAGAGCTGAGCTCTGCTCACCCGGAGGATCTGCGTTTGTTCGTGCGCAAGGAGGATAGCCGGTCCCCGGCCTCTCCTACCACCGCAGGAGTAGATCCTAAACAGACCAACGCACCGGCCAGCTCCTCGCCCGTCACTGACAGCAGCACAATCGATCCGCCCATCGCTGCCGCCGCTGTCCTACCAGACGGAGCTGCATCTGCCGCCGTCGACTCGTCCCTTACAGCTGTACTCGCCACCTCACCGGGCGTTGCAACGACGGACCTGCCGTCCACCACCGACGCGATGCCGGTCAGAACTAGAGCTGGCGCAGACCTCAAGGAACGATTCATCGAGTCTATCTCAAACGATGCGCCGGCGTCCCTTCGCCGAGAAAATGCCACTTGGAGGCTCGCTCAGAAGCACAGCCACTTCCGCGGCAAAAAGGATGGCAGCGTCAGCAAAGCTACCTCTTCAACAGCGAATAGAAGCGGGAATGGCAAAGAATCTAATCCTCTTCCCAAGCCAAAAGCCCAGATCAATCTTGTCGCAGCCCTCAAGAAGGGAGGGAAGGGAAGGATAACTCTGCCTTGGGGCAATGCCATCGCCTTCAAGGATCGGACTCTCATCACCAGCTTCGAGTATCTTGACCTGGCCAGCGGTCCACCTGTAGATCAACGACGGATATCTCCAAAGAGCAAGAAGTACATCTTGCTCGAAAGCATCGTCAGCGCTCACCGACCTAGAGGAGCTGCATCAGTGAGCGGGAAAGCTCTGCGAGACGTCAAGGACAGCGATGCTGACGCAGCTGGACGCTCGGGCAAGGCTCTGGCCTCGGACACCAACAAGGCGAAGAGCGACAGCATCGCAAACCGAAAGAAAGATCGAGGTGCTGCTCATAACCGCAAATTGCCCCAATTTCTCGCCGACGATATTCACCAAAAGGATGGAAAGCCTTCGCGTGAAGTCAGCTCCGGCGGAAGTGGCCGTGACGCAACCTCACATGAAGAGTCAGGCGCAGACATCAAAGACCTGTGTGACCGCGCTTCTCCAGCTCTGACAGGCAAACGGAAACCTCTTCCAGCCAGTCTGTCTGACCCATCGAGCGTCTCGAAACTGTCGCTCCAGGAGCTCGTGAGCGCAGTCGAGGCACAAAACCCCGTATTAAGCACATATATCATGGGAGGTCAGGAAGCGGAAGAGAAAGTAGTCAGGACAGAACTGAACCTGCAAAGAGAATTGCAAAATGCTATCGACACCGGCCAACTTGTGCCACTCAGCACTCTTGAGCTTGGAGCGCACGAGGAGAGACAGATCATTGGCATCTACTCCCCCTGTGGTAGTACGCGGCCTCACATTCAGGGCAATGCGCGCAAACAAGATTCCAGGATCTTCATGCGCCTTGTAGCGTATGATTCTGGAAGGGTGCGAGACTCAGCCGAGTTCAGCTCTATGGCCCTCCTTGAACCTCACGAGCTACCGGTTCGCGACTTGATGGTGAAAGCCAATGTGTGCCGCAGCCTCTTCGAGATTGGACAGCCCCACATCAATTTCGGTCATGTGGACAAAAGCGACACGAAGACTCGCAAGATTCTCATTCAGAATCGCTCCGAATGGGCGCTGCGTTATTGCGTCCGTAAAAGCGGAAGTATCGCGAGCAGTGACATTCGCATCACTTCTGGGCTCTTTGGCGTCGTGCCTGGCCACGGCAAGCGTGAAGTGGAATTCATCTTCTCACCCTCCATGTCAGGCCAATTCCAGGAGCGCCTCACTATCGAGAATGTGGCGGATAGGGACAACAATCAGGTGCTATCGCTGAAGGCCACGGTCAGGAAGGTGCCCAAATTTTCGGTCGAGCCTCTTTTGATCGACTTTGGGCACCTTTCACCGGCCAAGCTGACTGCCCCGCAGCACTTTATCTTGACGAACACTACATCCAAGGCTAGAACCTTCGTCGTCGAGGTCGACGGCGAGGACCTCAGGCAGCAAAGAAGCGTACTGGACGTGGTCGTCGCTGCGGGCTCAAACGAGTCGTCAAAGGGCACACTCTCAAAAGCGGAAGAGGAAGAGGTCGAGCATATTTCTCAGAAGCTGAAGATTGCAACACGCAAAGGTCATGACGACAAGGTGAAGAAGTACGAGACCCGGCTCGCTGAGTTGGGAGCTAGGACGGAACAGGGCGTGCCGGATCAGGAGCCCAGCTCCTCGACAGATGAGCCTGCGACCGCCACCACCTCGCTCAAAAGGACAGCGTCGACAGTCACCGTGACTCTTGCTGCAGAACAGAGCGCCAGGCTCTTGGTCCGGCTTCGGCCTCATGCAGCGCATACTGCTCTTCCTGCGGACCACCCAGCAATACGCGACACTGCTACGCCAGATCAGATCGCTGCAGATCACGTCAAAGTCCGCATCCAAGTCCACGAGGTGAAGAATCGAGACGAGATGCGGGTGGTCGAATTGCAAGCGAACATCAACTTGGCAGCCACGTCCGACCCGGGCGCTGTGGTGGAAGATCACCTGTCACCAGACCCCTTGCCGAAGGACGCAGGGGCGATCATCTTCTCGACCGATACAACAAACATCTCATAGGTAGATCGTCGGTATGAAGCGCTCTGGAACTGCGCCAGACCCAAAACCTTTATACATTAAAACACACGGAAGGAACGCTTCTTCCACGTCTTGCCTCATTGTCTCCGTTCGCTATAATGCATCACCAAATTCCACCACTTCCAGCACAAAGCACAGCACAATCTACAAATTCTCGCGCACTTGTCTTGCCCCTATTTCGCCACCTCACTACATAACATTGTTGCGTAGGTGCCATCTGTACGTATCCTGCGCCACGTCCTTTCTTGTTTGGTGTGCATTTAGCTGCATTCAATCGGCATATTCAATACCCGTGAAATCTGATCAACGAAAGCGAAAGTCGGTGTGAAAAGCTTTGCGCATGATCTAGGCTCACGGCGAGGAGTTGAGATGTGATAAGTGCTGTCAGAGTGAACAGAGTTCCACCGAGGCATGGAGGCGGGGCTTGGTACGTGCGTGTTCAAGGTTTCTTGACCTTGCGGATTCCGCCAGTGCCAGGGGCAGGAGCGAGGGGGGGCAAGCCAAGCCTGTCCTCTGGCAGCCGGCCAATTCTGGTCCAATGGGGCACGTGCGGCACCTGATGAGCCGGTGTATCCTTGACGTAATTTCCTTCTTTGCATCTCTGATAGCACGTCGGATCCCACTTTTTGATCCACGGATGCTGCATCACTTGGTCCAATGGTAGTCGCTGTGCTGGCTTTACCTGCAACAACTGCACGAGGAATGTGTCGCAGGGCGATACGAGTCAGCTCCACTACTCTGGACTTGCGGTACGTTGCGTTACGCACTCTGTTGACGAGATCTTTGGCCTGATTCGGCATCTCATCAGGAAAGCTGTAATCTATCGTCTTGATGCGCGCCTTGGTATCTAGAGGAATACGAAGACAAGAACGACCGCGTTAGAACAGCGACGTCTGGCTCTGCTCTGCCTGACCGGACTCACAAAAATTGGCATACTTTTTGCCGGTCGCAGCATAGTGGTTGTACGTTTCAAACTGATCTCTGTCCACGTTTCTCTCGTCCAGCGAATCGAACGGCGGTGTGCCGTTCAAGAATTCGTAGATCAGGATTCCAAAGGCCCAAAGATCCACGCCGTGTCCGTGCGGTGTACCAGGGTCGGTCAATTCGGGGGCCATGTAGTCCAAAGTTCCACACTGCGTTGTCCGCCTGTCACCAGGAGCATGGACTGACCAGCCAAAGTCGGCAATCTTCAGCTTGTTATCCAGCCCAATGAGCAGATTTTCGGGTTTAATGTCTCGATGAATGACATTTTTGGAATGCAAGTATGCAAGGCCGTCTGCCATCTGACCAGCAAACTGTTGAGCGTTGCCGCGACAAGGTTTGCAGTCCACGAGATTTGTCAACAATCGGAGTCGAGTTCAGACGTGCGCGCACAAGCGCCCGTCATTGCCTTTGAACTCACCGCACCAGCTTCCGGCTCAGACCACTTCCCATTTCTCAACTTGCTCATGATCTTATACATCTCTCCTCGCGCCGCGAATTCCAGCGCCATAAAGATTCTGCCTTGGTCTGTAAAGTAGCCGTAAATACGAAGCACGTTGGGGTGTCTATGGCAGCAAGTGGAAGGTGCGATTCAGTCGTGCCGCGGTTGCAAAGCCGCGTAAATACGCCTCTCACCTGAGGTTCATTTGGATCTCAATTTCTCTCCTGACTTGCGTTTCCAGCATGTCCGACACGATCTCCTTCTTGTACAGCAATTTGAGCGCCACGATGAATCCCGCGCCACTTCCCTGGGCATCAGCCTTTGTTCGAGCAATGTAGACTCTTCCAAACCTTCCCTTGCCCATTGCGCGGCCCACTTCGAATTCTTTCAAAGCCCACTTGCGCGTAGGCTTGTGAGCATTGTTGGATGCGCTGTCGATAGCCAATACAGCTGCCTTTTCATCCTCTTCCCTCGTCATCGTTCGACGTCCCTTGCGCTCGTCTCGCTCCATACTCCCATCATACTTCCCAATGTCTACGTGCCTCAATACCGCGGAAGAGGCAGATGCACCTTGCCCTGCAGCAGATGCTGAAGCAGCAGGCTTGGTTGTGTTGACAGCCTGCAGCGTGGCGCTCGCCTGTCGAGACGAGTTGTTGCTTGATGTTCCATCGACGCTCCCTTTGCGCAAATGACCCTGACCCGCATGATGCGGATGATGAGGTTGAGGTTTGATGGATGTGGGCGAGTGGGGAATGTTGCTGTGCGAATTGCCGTGGAGTGGTTGAACTTGAAACGCTAGGCGGGAATGAGCATTGGCGTTGCTGCTGCTGCCAGCGCTTGGAGCCAGAGAGCCTTTGAGGTCCAATCTGGACGTTGCTGATTGCAGGTTCTCCATGTCGCTAGTTGACACTGACTGCAAATGGTCGCTTCGATGACCGTGTGTCCCTGACTGGCTTCAATGCTGACGCTGTGATCCGCCAGACCCTGGCTTGGCCCTTGCTGCGAATGGTACTTTGTTAAGGCAGGAATGCTTTCCTTTACCTTCTGTGCTGCGCTCGGCGACCGACTTGGTGTCCGCGTTGGAGCGGATAGCTTGGTGGACGCGTGGTTCAGGTGCTTGAAGGATTCGATCGCGTTGGAAGAATGAGGAGGAGAATAGCAAAGCTGGCGCATACATGCTGTGGGATGCCTCGGTCTCGATGTTGACTGCACATCCACAACACCTCGCGACCCGCCTTGGCATGAGCGGCAGCATGCATCAGGCAAGAGCGCGCCTGTGTACGCGCGACTTGACACGTGATCGACTTCACGCGGCGAGAAAGGCTGACCGGAACCCCGCGTGCTTTTGCGCTTCACAACCATCTGCCTGCCCCTCCCCCACCTGAAGGTGGATCGAGCTCATTCTGATTCCCCGCACAGCACGCTGACGGCGTCGAAAGATGGAATTGCCAGCGAGCGGCGGCCCGTCCTCAGATGGAGCAAGCGCCATGTAGAGTCAAAATGGGAAGCTCAGCAGACACCAGATGCGAAGAACAGGTATAAGATGTCCTCAGTCAGGGAGTGTGCACTCACAACTGCTGTCGTTACATCACGCACGAGCGCAGTGATGTGGGGACGCGCACAACTCGAGCCGGCATCGTCAAGCGAGCATGGGGAAGCTATATGGCTCATTCCTAATGATTCATCATCTGACTGCAACGCTTTGGCTCCATCTTCAGCCCGCTGTAAATTCAATTACAATGCATATGAACTGCTTTCGTCTCCTTCGCTTGCTGACCACTGCTGCTGGCGCCGTGACGTTCACAGAATAGCACAAAGGGCAATCTCCAATCGTGAATCGTGCGTGATCCTCTCGTCCGCTCAGGACGCTTACCGCGGTAGTCGAAATCGCGATTCGAGATCTCCGAAAGAAGCTTTCTTTGGACCGCTCGACGCCCCGCCCCGTCAGGATCTTGCAGGGATTCTTGACTCCGATTCCAGCGAATCAATTTGCGGCCTCGGTCACTTCTCATCGCCCTTGGCCCGCAGGGGCAGGGAACGCGGCGTGACAGACAGGACCCACGCGCATGCCTGTATTGGCTGGTCTGAAGGGTCAAGGGCGGGGCGCCCATCAGCGCCGATACACGCGGCGCATCCATGACGAATGGGCGCTTCGGCGTACACGACGAACATCAACGCAATTTTTGTTCAATTGTCTGCGGCCATGTGACTTCGGTTGCTGATGCAGGTATAACACAGTAGTACGGTACACACAGCCATGCAGCAGGCACAGCAGTGTCCGCGGCAGAAGAGCCTGCTGCTTGGGTGCACACGAGCGTATCGAGAGACGGAACAGCAGACGCGCGGGGAGGGCGATTGGTCAACGTTGGATCTGACCGCGGCGAGGTGCGCATGACCCGCTATAGCTGCTCAAGACTTGCCTTAGAGCAAGTCACCCGCGACATGCATATGGCCATCCATGCAGACGAACAAGCCGCCGCCTGCAGAATGCTGTCGATGCATCAGTCTGCTGATGGTTCGCCATTCAAGATTCACAATTGGTGCATGCGTTGCTGACAGCTGCTGGCGCCAACTGCTGCTTCCGCTGATGCATATATGCAGTAGTAGCGATTGGGGCACAGTGCCGCGATCAGGACTCGCAGACTGCAGGACAACGCGACCGAGCTCGTAGCCTGCGATGCGTGAAAAGAGATTCACGACTGTTCATTCGCCCGTTCTGCAGCTATTCGCCCCGCGCGAGCTTTATTCCCTTCTGGAGGTCCAAGCGTGCAGCTTGAGGCGTGGGGGCCAGCGATCCGAACGATCGAGGGACAAGCTGCATGTCATGCCAGGAGCTCCCCCGCCTACGAGCTCCTCGATTGCTGGCCAACATGGACCAGAGGGGCAAATGACCCAAGCAAAAGTCCTATAGAGATAATGAGCTTTGTTGTAGGGCGCAAATGGCTTGCATCATGCTCACGAGGTTCGTGTACCGGCCATGCGGTATCGCGGTGTGCTTGTTTGTCTGCACCGGCCGTCGTTGCATGGCTGCCTGAATGCAGTCATCCATGCATCCCAGCAAGGCTGTCGACGAGTGCCTGCCTAATGAAGCGTGACGGATCCACGCCTGCTGCTGATGCCGTCGCGCTGTGCACGCCAATCCCGCGCTGCTGGCTTTTCGACTTACCGACGCGCTGCATGATTGCCTGCTGTAGTCCGCTAAAGCAGCGACAGCAGCAGCAGCAGCAGCAGCATGAGGCACAAGCCAAGTGCAATCTCGCTCGTTGACAAAGAGCAGACCCGAGGATCCTTCATCCCGTGATTCGCGATGCCGCCGTAGCTCTTGCCCTCCGCATGCAATCACAAGTAAGGATCTGCTGAAGTGACTCAAACAGAGTCTAGCTTGAAGATTGCTTTGCTGCATCTCTTGTTCTCTCTTCACTGCTGTTCAGTCACGTCACACGCGATATTTGTGACGCGCCCGCTCATCACACCCACGGCTCCGCAAAGTTGGTCACATCCTCAGCCTTTCCAGACTACTCGATCGTCGCCCATCGACGCTTGACTCAGCTGAATCAAGCTGGTCAGAGAAACATCACTCATAGCCGCGCGCCGGCGCCGCGACGAGTCAACGCTCAGGGGCATCCCGCGGCCGCGCCTTGCTCAGTACGCCCTCTTCATCTCATTCATCATCATCAGCCCTCACCGCCTCGACGAAGCTCATCAGAAAGTAAGCTTCATACCCTATCCGCTACGCTCCAGATCATAAGAGGCGAGCAAGCAAGTCGAGAAGCCAAGCTGGAGCATCAATCCGCGAGACCTACGATAGCCGGCAGCTATAAAGTGCTCACCTTGGGCCCCCTCGTCGAGTCAGCCCGGCCTTCTCTGCAAGACCGTACCTCGAGCGCCCTGAGCAAGCAAAGGCTCGACTGAGCGCTCGTCTCACGTGCCGACGGGAATCGCGTGCTAAGCTCGAGTCGAATCGTCAGACCTGGCGCTGCGACGAGATTGCGCCAAAGTCTCCGTTCTTCCATTCATCTCAACACAAGCAAGGGAGCAAACGCTTCGATTTCCTTTGCCGCCAGCTCGCATTTGGGATCGTTGGTCTCATCGTCTCTTCAACGACACCTTGGCCTGGTGTTTCTCCTCTGCGGTACACTCTACTCGACGTACTGCTCAGCATATCGGCTCATTCAACTCTACCTTGGCGTCGCAGCGACTATACTTTGGGACATTCAGCCTTAGAGCCTGCAACTGAATAGCAAGCCCTTTATCGAAGAGCTCGCTTTGCCCTGCGCTCACTGAAGTCGCGAGATAGCGCAATGGCGACAGCCATGTACAACGGCAATGGCTCTTCCTTTGCCACTACGCCCACTACGCCTACAGGTCCAGAGGGCAGTGGAAGCAATGGAAGAGCAGGAGGCGCGGGGGACAGGTCTGGCAGCATGATGGGAAGGAGACTCACGGCTGCTAGTCTGAGCAACAGAAACACCAACAGGTACAGCGTGACTGCTCTGTACAGCATGGCTGCTGAGCAGGATGTCGAAGTAGAAGACGATCTGGCTAGAGGTGAGTCATTCGCGCTTCAAAGTCGTCTTCGCGTCCGTGTCGGGCTGGGTCACGTCATGCTCTGCCTGCCGAGTCGAGCAAAGTGGCAATTCTTCTTGTCCGCCACAATTGATAGGCTTCTGGGCGAGAAGGTTCGGTCCTGGCCAAATCATTGGCGTGCAATTGGCTACAATCGTCCTCGGAGCAATGGCGTGGGAGCCCGCATACGCGTACTGATTCACTCTTGCCTCATCCTTGACACGCAGCTCAAAAACGATTAAGAGAGCTCAAAGGCCGCATCTCTGCACAGAGCAAGAAGAACTTCGTCCTCGAGCGGGATGTCAGATATTTGGACAGCCGGATCGCACTGTTGATTCAGAACAGAATGGCGCTAGATGAGGTGAGTGAGAGGGTGTCGGCGACTCCGTTCTGTGAGCGCTCAAGGCTTACCGGCAAGATCTTGGTGACCCTAGCAATCGGAGGTGGCCTCGACGCTCGAAGACAATGAGTCGTCAATGGGCACGACACTGGATGATCGCAAGACACAGCAGTATGGCAACTTGTTCTTCTTGCTGCAGTCTGAGCCTAGACACGTTGCCGCGCTCTGTAGACTGGTCAGCTTGGCCGAGATCGACACTCTGCTACAGACAGTCATGTTTACGTTGTACGGAAACCAGTACGAGAGCAGGGAAGAGCATCTGCTTTTGACCATGTTTCAGGTGAGTTTAGTGTCCCAAGTGCTGCGCCTGCCTGGTCGCACAGCGCAGGCTGACGTCTGCTCGTGGCGCTCCCGTCTTCGCACCTAGTCCGTGCTGTCGGCTCAATTCGAGACAGCCACAGACTTCGGCTCTTTGCTGCGAGCAAACACACCGGTGTCTCGTATGATGACCACCTACACCAGGAGAGGCCCTGGTCAGAGCTTCTTGAAAGATGTGCTAGCAGAGCGCATCAACTCTCTCATCGAGCACAAGGACCTGAATTTGGAAGTCAACCCTCTGAAGGTGCGCCACATTCTTGCGCAACGCCGTGTCCTGTCGCGCTCGCTGATCGCCGAATCCTCCCGCTCTTGTCTTGCAGGTCTATGAGCAAATGTGTGCCCAGATTGAGGAGGACACGGGCTCCTTGCCTCCTAACTTGCCCAAGGGTGTTCCGCCTGAGGTCGCAGCGGAGAATGCAGATGTGCAGGCCATCATTGCTCCTCGCTTGACTATGCTCATGGAGATTGCCAACAGCTTCCTTCAGACGATCATCAATTCCATCGACGAGGTGCCGTATGGTATTCGATGGATTTGCAAGCAGATTAGAAGTCTCACCAAGCGCAAGTATCCCGATGCAACGGACTTTGCCATTTGCAGTCTCATTGGCGGTTTCTTCTTCCTTCGTTTCATCAATCCCGCGATTGTCACTCCGCAAGCGTACATGCTTGTGGACGGGCCGCCAGCGAAGCATCCAAGGAGGACACTGACGCTGATTGCCAAGATGCTGCAGAACTTGGCCAACAAGCCCTCATACGCGAAAGAGCAGTACATGATGAGCCTCAATCCCTTCGTCGAATCCAACAAGACGAGGATCAACTCTTTCTTGAACTCGCTCTGCGACGTGGCAGACTTTTACGAGACGCTCGAGATGGATCAGTACATGGCCTTGTCCAAGAAGGATTTGCAGATTCAGATCACTCTAAACGAGCTGTACAACACCCACTCTCTCGTCGCGCAGCACGTCGACACCTTGGCGCCAAACGAGAAGCATCACCTTCGAACGCTCTTAGCTGAGCTCGGTCCTTCGCCGGGGCAAGTGCCTCGCAAGGAGAACCGCACTCTGGAGCTTCCGTTGTTCAGCCGGTGGGAGACACCGATTCAGGATCTCACGACGGCGTTCATGTCGGAGAACAACGTCACTCAAAATGATATTCTGTACATGGAGACCAAGTCGATCTTTGTCCAGCTCATCCGATCCATCCCACAATTGGCGGAGAAGCGACCCATCAACCTGCCCGCCATCGCGGAGAGGGCGGCCACCACCAAAGACGCAACCCTTGTGCGCAAAGGTATCAAAGTCAAAGAGATGCTGCGCGAACTCGAGGAGCTCAAGGTGGTGGACAGACGAGATGGCTACAGTCTCATGACGGACGAAGTCGCGTCCGAGTTGGCGCACCTGGGCAATATGCGCGAAAAGGTCATTCAGGAGATGCGCAGCCTCGAAGCCGTCTACAAGACCATCGTCGGACACAACAACTACTTGCGCTCTCAGCTCGACACCTACAAGTCTTACCTGCAGAATGTCCGCATGACCAGTGGCGGTGGCAAGGACAAGGCGTCTGGCGGAGTTGGCGTGGTCAGCGTGGGTGGAAAGGAGAAGAAGCCGCAAAAGAGCCAGATGCTTGGCCCATATCGCTTCACACATGCCCAAATGGAGAAGGATGGCATCATCGTCGAGTCAAATGTGCCCGAGAACAGGTGAGCCTAGGGAGTACGCTCTTCAGATGCTCTCGTGATCGTTACTGATCTTGCTCTGCCTTCCTTTACAGGCGAGCCAACATCTTCTTTAACATCGCGTCTCCGTCACCCGGCACCTTTATCATTGCGCTTCATTACAAAGGCAGAGAAAAGGCCATTCTGGAGATGGATCTCAAATTGGACGACCTGTTGGAGAAGCAAAAGGACGATGTGCAGCTGCTCGACTTGGAGTATGTGCAACTCAACGTCAACAAGATTTTGGGTCTTCTCAACAAGACCTTTGCCAAGGGACGCAAAGCTTGAGCGCCCCGCGCAAGCGCCGGCCTGCCAGCTCTGTCTTCCTACTCTTCGACCTGCGAATCGGATCGGTTACTGCACATCTTTTACTTCTGTTATTCTACATTGTGCGACTTTGGGTTCTCTCTTGGCTTTCGTTTATCTCATCCCGTCTTCTTTTTTGGCTACCATTTGTTTTGCTGCGCGCTGCGATATCTCTCACCCGTTTGTCCGCACTTCCTGGTACAAAGAGTGATCTTTCCGCACACTGTAGTAGTCAAGACTTCATACCCTCCTCCAAATTTGATGGCTCTGCCGTGGAATAAGTCGTGAGGCCAGCGTGTGTGATCATAATTATGTGTTGTAGATCTGCTTTGCCTCGTACGGAAGACAACGATCACAGGATGGATTACTGGTATCCGGGATGCGTAGAAAATTAGAGACTGATGGCATCGTCCATGTCCTCATCGATGGGTTCGTCGAGCATTTCTCCGCGCGCGTGCCCAGTCGTCAATTCCCTCCTGATGTCTGGTCCTATAGAGTCGTGCTTTTGCACGCGCAGCAGATCCAAAAGAGCCGCTTTTTGATCTGGCGTCAGGTCTTGCTTGTACCTGCAGGCAGGCGGCAAGGGCGAGGATGAGCATGAGCAAGATTCGCTCCGATCACGGCTTGACGATTGTGCTGGCGCACCTTTGACAGAAGACTAGAAAGCTCTGATGCCACAGCACCGGCATCCTCTTCTCGCCGTCATCATTCTTCTCTACTCCCATCTCAGGATCGGAGAATCTCAAGAAGTGAAAGACAAGCGCATCGACGACCTTGTAAGGCAGAGCGTACTTTTTGTCGAGCAGAGTTCGGATGAAAAGAGACGTTGGTCCTCTGTAATGCATCTCCGAAAGACGCAAGAGCGCTGCAGCGGAGTGTAGCACGGGTATAGAAACACGAGACAGGACGGCCGACATGATGGCTGCTTCTTTGAGCGTGCAGCCAGCCTGTGCAAGACGGCGGGTAGCATAAGTGAGTAGGCGCCCCGCCAATGTACACCATGTCACAGAGGTACAGATTTGCAGTCTCACCTCTGCTAACGGAAAGAGAAGTCCCTTGAAGAAAGCCGCCGGCTTGTAGACAGCCTTGATGCAAGCTTCGAAGACCTGCGGAGTGACCTTTCCGGTGTCTTGAACCTGCTCCCTGAATTTGGGTAGCAATACGTACTTGAAGAAGCGTTGCGACTGCGAAGGTTTCAAATTGCTGCAAAGAATTCGTGTTGCTGCAAGCGTCGCGTGAGAGGTCCATCCGGAGGGATTTGTGAGGTACAAGATGGCATCCCAGTTGGGTAAAGATGGGATGATCTTGAAAGCCTTTGGCAGTGGACCTGACTTGTAGCGCGAAAGCAGCATCCCCACTCTGATGAGTGGAAGCAAAGCGGAAACGATTCAGTGCAGCTGCTAGCGCGCATAGAGCTCAATGGCCACGGTATGCTCACTTTGTGTACGCTTCGCCAACCTTGACGCTTACACCCGGTGGAAGGGAATTAAGAGCTGCATCCTCCTGAGCCTCTTGACCGCCCACAGCGCCCAACTTGAAGCTGGCGGTTTTGCCGCCGCGCGCTTCGGCCTCTTTGATCTTGGCCATGATGATGTCCGCCAGCGTCTGTCCTCCCCCGTCATCTTCGTCTTCGTCATCCCTCATGCCAGGCTCTCCTCGATACTCCTCCGCACCTCCACCTCCACCATGCTCCTCCGCAAACCTGGCTAGCAATGCCGCATCTGTTGGATCCATCTCTTCGGTCTCTTCCAGCACAGATCCTGCTTGTGAAGAAGTAACGGATGCGCCATCCAGCATTCCTTCGTCCACTTCATCCTCATCATCGTCCTCTGCAACCGGGGCGCCACGAACTTCAGCGTCGAACAGACGACTGGGACCAGCCTGAGCAGCGACCATCTCGGCTTCTCTCTCCATCTCCTCTTGCTCTTCCCGTGCCAGCTTGAGAATGTTTCTGCTCAACCTAGCATCGACGAATCCCTTTGGTGTGTCCCGCGCCTTTGCACCCCCACCAGCTTTGGATCCCGTCACTTTCAACCTCCTCGAGGAGGCCCCATCTTCTGCTTCATCTTCTTCGTCCGCCGCACCGTTCCGGCGCGCTCTTCTACCTGGCAGAGATACGCTGCCAAACTTTAAAGTGGCCCGATCGGCTTCCAGCTCGGCCGCTAGCGAAGCTTGCGGACGCTCGACAGGGCCTCGAGGACCCCGTCCGACTGGTCGGGAAGAGGGAGCTCTAGGCATCTTGACAAGGCCTGCTGGATGTTGTCGCAGAAAAGCGGAAAGCGGTGCTTGCGCGCGAATGTCACGAGAAGCGTTGAAGTCGTCAGACGCTGAAGGTCAGTCTCGACGTGTATGCGGCCTGTTGTAGAATGCCGCTCCAAGCTGGTGAGAAGAAGTCAGGAGTGTAACTCACGATTGTTGCACTTCATGTCGCTCGCTGCATGAATGGCCAACATTTTTTGGCCTGTAGTGGGACGCCTACGCGACCAAACTAGACCGTCCCACGTGGAATGCTCACAAGCACGCACGCGCCATCACACGAATTTTTTCGAACTCTCGATCATCACTTCTCGTCTGCAGCAGCAGCAGCAGCCTCGGTGCGTGCGTGCGCCGGCAGCTCAGAGCGCAACGCTTTGCATGGAAGGTGCAGATTCGCGCGCTTGCTCGCGCCACAGAATACAAGTCAGAGAGGGCAACGCTTCTACAAAATTGACACCAAAAGTCGCAGTCGAGCCCATCGCTCTCAGTGGATTCGTGATTCATTCAGCGCTTCGACAACCTCTTCCAACCCATCGCAAGGATACATTCTGTACAAGCACCCTCAAACACCGCTAAACATGTCGCTCCCTGCTTTCAACACCGACGCCGGCTTGGCCCTGCTCGACACACACGTTGGCACCCGCTCCTACATCAACGGGTGAGTCTTGACTTGGACCCCGTACGGGGAAGGGCCGGTGCATTTGGTGAAGGGGTAGCGGGCAGGAAGGGCTCGTCGCAATCTCCGATGCTCACCGCAATCCAATCATGAAGAGATGATTAATCGCTTTGGTCCGTGTTTCCGAGCCCCAATGCGGCTTAAGACCCCGCGCTTCTTTGCTCTGACGAAAACGCATTTACCAAGCTCTCTGATCCTGATTTGGTGCCGCGGCGTAGTACAAGGGAGGGCCTAGCGGCAGGCATCTGGTAGCAGTGAGCTTCCTGGCCAGGGAGCTCGTTTCGCTCGCGGAGATCTCGGGGTGGCTGGATGTTGAGGCGATTCCTGCTCCACATCACCTTGCCAGCCGCAATGCTGACACGCGAGCCCTTCCTTTTCAGCTTCACTGCATCTCAGGCAGATGTGGCCGTCTACGAGCAAGTAGGCTCTCGTCCCTCCGAGGACAAGTACCCTCACGCTGCTCGTTGGTGGGACCACATTGAGAGCTACAAAGCCGAGCACTCTACTCTTTCAGGCGACAAGACTGCCGCAGCTGCCGCTTTCGCGTGAGTGGTAGCATTGTATGCGTCATTGCGCGCTCCTGTTCGGGTGACTGACTAGGCAGACTCTGCATTGGCTTAAACCCGCAAGTCACCTCGCTGCCAGCGGATCTACCCCTGCTGCCAAGCCCGCTGCCAAGGAGGATGATGATGACGACGATGTCGACCTTTTCGGTTCCGACGATGAAGTAGACGAGGAGGCTGAGCGCATCAAGGCGGAGCGTGTCAAGGCTTACGAGGCCAAGAAGGCCAACAAGGGTCCGGGCCCCGCCGCCAAGTCTGTCGTCACTCTGGAAGTCAAGCCTTGGGATGATGAGACGGACATGGCCGAGTTGGAAAAGAACTTACGAAGCATCGAACAGGATGGTCTGGTTTGGGGTGCCAGCAAGTTGGTGCCTGTCGGCTACGGTGTCAGCAAGCTGCAGATCACCCTCGTCGTTGAGGATGCCAAGGTTTCCCTCGACGCCCTTCAAGACCTCATCGCAGAGGACGAGGACCACGTTCAGTCTAGCGACGTCGCTGCCATGCAGAAGCTCTAAACTGCTTCGGCATGCCGGCTTACAGACGAGGCCTTGATACTGTCATGGCACACCTTGTTGCAGCAATGTTTCTTGAATTAACCGCACCAATCACATGATGGCTGATTCGAGAGTCTTGCTCGGCTCGCCGCATTTGCTTGTGCCTGAAAGATCTCAATCAGACCTGCTTTACAACGATAAGTGGATCACAAAGGAGCAGCTTTTACTGAGAAGTGTCAATGTCACCGGCCGAATCGTCATACATCAACGGGGTGAACAAGCCAATATTGAGATTCACCCAAATCCAATTTCATCTTGGCCTGCATACAGTCTGACTTTCAAACCCTGCCCGAACCTACAGACTAGACGTGAGCGCAAATAGCAAAGCTTCATTTCGATTTCATTTGTAGACGTCCGCGGAGTGTGAATGCGAAGTGCACACATGTACACAGGACGTGTTGTACCCATGAGCCTTTACTTGACAGCAAGCAGCTCGACATCGAAAATGAGAGTGCTGTTAGCAGGAATGACAGGCTGGAGCGGGAGGGATAGAAGGTGAGAGAGGCGAAGTCAGCCTCACGCGTCAAGGCTCTCCAGCCGTTGAGCGCCTACTCAAGGGTAACTCACGGGGTAGCCCTGAGCACCGTAGCCGTAGTCAGGAGTGATGGTGAGCTTGGCGCGCTCGCCAACGCTCAGTTGAGGGACTGCAGACAGTCGCGTGCGAGAAGAAGCATAAGAGCGACGCCTTCACGCTGGCCAGCACTCTTGGCTCCACCACTCACCACCCTCATCCCAACCTCGGATCACACGGCCTACGCCGATGGCAGTCTGCCATTCGAAACAGATTGCAATGATGCAGAGATGATCAGCACATGTGCTGCCGAGCCTGAGCATCAACGCAAACGTCTCACCTGGAAAGGCGATCCGCGGTCGCGGCTAGAGTCGAACTTGCTACCATTCTCCAACGTGCCAGTGTAGTGGATGGAGACGGTTTGTCCCTTTTGAGGAAAAGTCTTGCCGTCACCGGGAGTGATTCGCTCGATTTGAACACCTGCCCGTAGCAGCGTTTGGTGGAATGCCCGGACATTTGCAGGAGCGAGAGAGAAAGGGAGGGAGGAAGAGGAGGAGCGCATCAGCCCTAAGCTCTGTCGCATACCTGACATTGATCGCGCTGTGAACGGACCCATTGTAGAAATGCTGAGAGGTGAATGTGAATTGTGGGGAACTTTTGGTGATTGAATTTGCGGTGGTGGTGAATGTGATCGACGTATCGAGTCAAAGAAATGAAAGCGGCGCTGTGGTGCTGTCCGTACGGAATGATGCTCGAGTGTCGTTGGTTGTATGCTGCATGACAGCACGTCGCGAAGACCGCAAAAAGGCTGCATGGCTGGCCAAACGTGCAGTGCCGCGCCTGCTCAATGGCGTGACTGGCGCTCGGATCACTCGACTCGTTTGCCTGCTGATGGTGACGCACGGACGCTCGATCGCAACAGCGCACTTCTCCATAGAACGGCGTGGATGCTTGGGATAGGCACGTCATCACGTGACAGTAGTTGCAACAAGCCAAGCTTTGGATTCGAGGATTCAAGAATTCTAGATTGTTTGATTCTTGATTCATCAGAGTTCTGACTTCACAAGGCTTTGTTGCAGCGAAGTACCGGCGAGATGGCTTCTCAGCAGACACCTTTGCTTGATGCATTGATACATAGTGACCTGGGACTTCCCAGCAACCTGTCACCTTCTTGGCTCACACTGCTCGAAATCGAGGCTTGCTTGCACAACTCGTTATTGCATTGATAACACCAACGATGTCGGCGGAAGCATCCTCAAGCACCGGCGACACGCCGAGCATCTCCAAACCAAAGGAGCTCACAGCTTCCCAGTACGACGAGCTTTCGGTGCCGGAGCGTCAAGCATACGACTCAGCTCGAGCAGCAGCTCAAGCGGCCGAGCAAGAGGCTTTGCCTTATAAATGGGACCAGACCTTGCAAAATATCAGCGTGCTGGTGGATTTCGAGAAGGGAACTCGAGCAAAGGAGCTGGACGTCGTGATCAAGAGGAGGAGCATCAAGGTTGGAAGAAAGGGCAAAGAGCCCGTCTTTAGTGTGAGCGCGGGGTCAGTGGAGTGAAGCTACGAAGATGCGGAGCTAAGTCCGCCATGCCGCGCCGCTATTCGCAGGGAGAGCTGTTCAAGGATGTTGTGGAGGATGACAGCACATGGTCTCTAGGTGAGATCAGATTGCGCGTCTGTGTCCTCGTTTCCATGCGCGTTGTCGCTCAAAAACGCTATGAAATGCTGCTCTGAATGCTTGGTAGAGGATTCTCAGACTGTCTCAATTCATCTCGAGAAGCAAAATCAGTCCGAATGGTGGCCACATGTAGTGACCTCGGCACCCAAGATCGACACCACCAAGCTTGTGCCCGAAAACTCAAAGCTGAGCGACCTGGATGGCGAGACTCGGTACGTGCTGCAGGCACCTTTGCCACCACGTGATCCCCACGCTCACACTATGTGAGGTATCTCCGCTTTATTTACCATTCAGCGCGATGGTCGAAAAGATGATGGTGAGTCACCTGTGCTCTTGGAAGTGCTAGCATTTCCACTTCTCCTCAAATCACCTCTCTGTGCGTACTGCAGTTTGACAACAGACAGAAAGCGCTCGGCAAGCCCACTTCCGACCAGCTCAAGCAATCAGAGGTGAGGTTCACTCAGGCAAATGCAGATTCGTATATGCGCGTGCCACGTCGCTGGCTGCACTAGCCCTAATCTTCTCACCCTTTTTCCCACGTAGGCGTTAGACAAGTTCAAGCAACAGGTATGTATGCGGTTCGAAAGGCTGATATAGGTCTCGGCGAAAGCTATGCTGAACATGCTCGTCTTGCCCTTGTTCCTGTGAAGCATCCCGAAATGGACTTCAGCAACGCAAAGGTCAACTTTTGAGAAACACGGGTATCCTCGAGCCGGCCACACCACAAGCGATGCGGGCTCCATTCTGACTTCATCAGTCGAACGCTTTTGGCTCGAATACAATCAGGAGGCACATCGCCGTTTCAAATGTCACCATCTTCTCCACCATCCGAATGCTCCTGGGTGTCGAGTGGTCGTGTCAATGACAAGGGTGCCCGGCGACGAGTCGGTGCGATGATGCAGGCTTCGAGTGAGGCGTATGATGATACGTAAAGGTGATATTGGCTACAATGAAGAAGGTGATGGACGAGCCTAACGTTGCAGATGAGATGGTGGGTCTGGGATTTGGGTTTCAGTTTTGAAGGTAAGTCTGCATTTGAGCAGATCTCTCTGTATTCAATTGGGCTTGAGTGGCAGAGCGCCGCTCGGCTTCGGCAGCCCGCAAAGCGTTGATGTCGAGTTCAAAGAGTCTAGCTATCTCTTCATTCGAGAAGGTATTATTCTCCCCCAAGGGCTGATCACGAATCGGCTCAGGTCGTCCGGCTGCCGACGGATGACCGTGTGCGCCACGTGCGGCGTTCAAGCGCTCCGTAGATATGTCGGCGATTTTGGGCTCGAAAGTATTCTCCATAAGGATGGTGACATTGGTCGTGTTTCGCGTTTGGCCAATTCTGTTGATGCGGCCACGGGCCTGTTGCTCGAGACTAGCGTTCAGACAAGGCTCCATAAAATCTGACAGAAGAAGGATCATACCGTGAGAAGCTGATTCAGGACGTACAGGGCACCTCCACCGAGCACTCACAGCTAACGTTGGCCATGGTCAAAGTCAGACCAGCCGCACCTAATTGGAGGGATGGAAGGCTCGGCGTCTTCGTCTGGGTCCGCGCGGCAAAAAAGACGTCGATGCAAGTCCAGGACTCACCCTCCGTGTGCGAAAGAGGTACGCAGAGCACATCAATGCTCTGGTCAATACGAAATTGAGAGAGCGCGGAAGCCTGAACACCAAGCTAATGACGTCAGTAAGCAGCGCACAGGCTTGATCTATTCGAAGGCATCGCGACCCACTTGCTCTTGCTCACTGCCTTCGAAAGTGAGGCTCATGATGCCTGCGGTGGTACAAGCTTCAGAGATGAGGGTTAGACAACGCTTCCAGACGGAGAAGACGACAAATCGAGCCTGAGGATCGGCGAACTTGCGAGCTCTCATGTCTAAGATCAGAGCATCAATCTTCGCTCCAAATCCGAGCTCAAGTTGTTGAGCGGTGGCGCCGGTCGCTGGCGCCTCTGGTAGGATCTCAGTAATGTTGGAGCGTCGAAACTTCCGTCTGCAGATTGGACCTGAGAGAGAGAACAGCGTCAGTGCCTTGCACGATACGATATCGCTCAGCGCGTCGTACCACCTACAATCTGCCGCCTGATGGCCTTTATTCAGCAGTACGCTGAGACATTCCAAGCAGGCACCATGCAGACCTGTGAATACAATTCAGCCAGTGCGCTGCTAGCACGACATCGCTGCGGTACAAGAGGTGACTCACATGGCAACAAACCACGATGTTTGTCATCTTCCAGACAGATGCAACACCGAGCGTTAGACGGCCCTGCGGAACCCTCGCGTCGAGCCTGGCCTTCATCGACGATTCGGTTTCGCAAAAATTCAAGCTCCTTTTCTTGCTCGAAGAGCTGAGCTGCAAGGGCGATGTCACTATCTTGATGAGAGATTTCACACAGAAGCCGTTCGTCATGCAATTGTACTTACTCAAAGCAGCGTGGAAGCGTTCTATCAGTCTCTCGAGCTTTAGACGAGGGCTGTAGTACCACACCTGTGTAGCACCGCGCTGATTGGCCCCTTTCGTCTTACTTGTGCCTTTGATGTTTCCTCGCAGGCGATTTATCTTGAGAGTAGGGTTTTCGAATTCATTCCTCCCAGATCTCGAGGCGTCGTGCGCGTCCATTCGCTTGTCCATGTCTTTGGATCCTGCATCGAGCACGACATCATGGTAACGAGGGTTGTTCGGGTCTACGCTTTTCTTGGCGACCCTTCTTTTTTCGAAGAAAAGGTTTTCGAGGCGCTTTTCATCGTGTAGCTACGATGAAGCCCGGGTGAGATGATTGATAAGGTGATCATTGGAGGGAAGTCCCAGCGGACTCACTTCCGGCGGCCCTCCTGTGGGCTCTTTGAGGAGAACTCGGCACCAGTACTCGGCTTCATCCCACCGCATTCGGCGTTTGACGTCTGCAGATGTTCCACGCTCAGGCCGCACGCTTGGATCGTCCAGCTCGCTCTCCGCCTCGCTAGTTGGATCTTCCTCTTCTATATCATCGTCGCCCTCGTCGGCAGTGTTTGCAGCGAGATGGAGCTCGCAGAGTCCGATTGCCCTTCGCAGAGCCTCTGTCAACACGTCGTCTGCCCACACGGGCACACCTCCACGCCATTCCTGGGGCTCAGGCTCCTCTTCGAAGAAGCGATGACCAGCAGCGATCGTGATCACAAGCTAGACAGTAGGATTGCGAGTAAGAACCGAACTGCAACAGGAACTTGAGGGCTGAATTGCTCCTCACCTTGACCACTTCCATGTGCTTGAGCGTAATCCCTTTGTGCAGCCTTGACAAGAGTCCCATGGTCAGATGTTTGAAGCTCATTCTCTTGTTGCCTGCGTCATAGCCGAGACTCGTCGCAATCTGAGGATGTGATATGAGCTGCCGCAGCGCCAAGATAAGGTTGTGCAAACGCTTTCGCTGCGAGAAATTACCGTACGTGAGTACTTTCTCCGCTAAGTTGCGCGCGATGCGCATCTCGCGCTCAAAGATTGTCAGCTCGAAATCTGAAGGCGAATGCTGTCAGCGCAAAATGCATCGCGCTGTCTCAATGGTGAGTTTATGAGAGGCAATGCTCACCTTTCATCGACACCTTCAGATCGGAATGATTGGGTCCGTAAGCGCAAATGTCGCAGTGTCGCTATCGTGGAAACTCACCCGCATTTCGACGTCAGAGGATGAGGGAAGCTCAAGCTCATCGGCGACATGCTCTCGGGTATTCCTCCAGAAGATCTGAGAGAAGAACCCACGAGCACGTCTAATGTGCTCAGAGTCACCAGCAGCAAATCCATTCGAGATCAGATTTGCGAAAGCAGTGGGATTTGCGAGTGGGTCGCTGAGATGCAGCGAAATGTCAGAAGCCTGGAAGTGCTTCGATCGCGATACTTTTCACTCACTGATCCAAGAATGACACAATGCCAGCGAGCTCTGCAATAGAGCTAGATGCTGGCGTGCTGGTAACCACCTGCTCAAGGGAGTGCGCGTACATCCTTCAGCTACAATTTAAATTTGCGAGCACGTAGACATAGCTCACCCAGCCATTTGTTCTCCATAGACACGCGACCCCCTCTGCAGCCGCGCCCGACGAGTTAGCAACTGCGGTGACGGATAAGGGATCGGGTTGGAAAAAAAACCACACGTTACATTTCAGGCCTCGCAGCAGCTTGCATGCCGTACACGAACCTAATTGAGCTTCGTCCAGACAGACTCGATGCCACCAAATCTCCAGGAGTGGTGTATGCGGACTGTTTGCGTAAGTCTTCTTCTTGCTTCTCCTGAGCTCGTCGCGAAGCAACTCGTAGCTGCACAGCACGATATCCGGATCGAACTCGTTCAGCCAATGCCGCGCTCCTGCGCGAATGTCGTCCATCGTGGATTTGATGGACCAATCGATCGTAGCTTGATCCCAGCGGAAGATACTCAAAGATGGCGCATGCTGCTCGCATTCCATTGTCCATTGGCTTATCAGTGCGGCGGGCGCCACTATCAGTGTAGCCTTAGAGATGAATGGTCTCTGCGATTCCGGTAGTTGGGCGACCATAAGCGCCGAGCGACTGGTGTCTGCAGCGTTAGGAGCGCGAGGACGAGCCGCAACAAGACTTAGGATTTCAAGGCTCTTGCCTAATCCCAGGCCGTCCATCAGTCCTCCTCCGGGTTGAAAGCCTCCATCGCCACGGAAGGCTTTCAAGCTGATTGTGCCCGTGAGAAGATCCAGATAGAAAGATTGCGCCGTAGTCATCATTTCGAGCGATCGTTGGCCTGCGTCAGACGGTGATGGGGGTGGTGAAAGCGGAGAAGAGGCTCGTGTCTCAAGGCTTTGAGTTCGCGACTCGCAAATTGCTGGTAGACGGCCCCATTGATTGCTTATAGAGACGAAGGGCTCGTCTAAATGTTTGAAGCGTAAAGCGATCCATTCAGGGTATAGAAGTTCATGAGAGACGCCTTCAGGCTCCTCGCGACTCGCCATCCATGCCACAGCACGAGCCTGGTAGCGCTTCAAAGGCGTGACTATTAGTGATGACGGCGGGAATAGTTCAGGGCTGTCTGTCGGCGGGCGACATGCCTCGAGTAGCGTTTCGAGAGCTGTTTGGTGGAGTCGGAACGTCAGTAGCCCATCAGACGCGCAAACAGATTAGCACACATACAGTTGTTAAGTGGCAAGTGAGGCTGTCCCATGTCACGAGATGGTTGGATCTCCTGCTTCGCTGCGTCGATGGCCTCGTCTCTGGAACATGTCGTGTCATTGCGCAAGCCGTCCTCCGGCTGATCGGGCCTTGAGTGCCGGTCGCGGGAAGCGTAGCACTCTAGCAAAGCTTTGTTATCTTTTTTCTTCGCCTTCTTTGAGTCACCGCGCTGTGGTCTGGCAAAGGTGTGCAAAGGCAGTGGCTGACAAGGCGAAGGTGCATAGTAATTGTTGCCTCGAGACCAGACATCCGCTTCCTGGCCATCAAGCTCAACGTTCCCATTGGGATGCTGGCGTCACAGGATTAGCCGGATGGTCAATCTTTCCAATGCTTAGTCTGTCGATCTTAGCTCACTAGTAAAAGCGCTCCAAAGAACAACCTCATCTCCTCAGCTGGAGCTTTTCTGTGAAAATTCGCGGCGCCCAAGACGTAGTGATCATGATCTCGCTTCCGGCCATACTCGAACGCCTCATTTGTTGCGACCACGTCAAATGTCAACTGAGAAGTCGATGATGACACTGAGCTACCTATACCTGCAGCGAACAACTTCGAGTCTGGACTCACTTCGCCAAAGAGCCTTTTGGGCGTCGCTCGACTGCGCGGATCTACCACCTGCGGTCCTTCGGCAGCCGAACAGCTAGCAAGGAATGGGCCCGTGCGTATGCCCCTCCTCTTCCAGTTCGCTTTCTCTCGGTCAGTTCCCGGCAGAATGTACAGATGCTGATCGAAGTGATGCTTGGTGAGAGGGTCGTAAGAGCTTACAGGGGATCCGCTTGGCCCTCTCTGAGCCCTGCCCCATGGGCTGTGACTAGAAGGTCCGACCACGTCGTCTGCGTCGAGAAACGGCGCGCTGAGTGTGACCTGGCACTTGCTGAAGGTAAAGGATGGCTTGTGTGCAGCAGCCACAAAGAGCGCTTTGCCTCAGCGACAAACGTTGAGAACAAGGCGCAGCTCACTTCAAGCTCACACAATCCCCCCTAAATGCTGGGAGAGGAAGCCGACGCAACGCTGCTGCAGGGTCTTTAACAGCGCTGGGTATCTGTGGTCGATTGAAAGGATGTTAAAGCGCTCAAATGAGCATGCGGCTGAGGCAAACCTGCACCACCGGGTACAACGCACCAGATGCCCAATCAGCAAGCAGCAATCGTCTGAGCTATCGTCTACATGGATCGCCAGCCTGTCACTCATGTGCCTGTTCGGGGAGCCTGCATCACGCGATTTCAGCTCCTCGCGCAGGCGATGAGCAGTAGCTTGAGGAGCATGAATGATGACAGCGAAGGCATTGACGGGACGAATGCCATAGACGCTGTCCGAAAGAGATCCGAGATATTCCGCGCTCAAGGCGTCGTCAAGTAGAATCACATCTGCATCCAATGTGTATGCTTCAGGGTTTGTCTCCGTCTTGACCCTTCTACGTTTCCTTGGCGTGGTCTGAGAATCAGGGTGGGTGCCATCCTGTTGACCGAAGGCAACATCTTCTTCTTTTGCAGAGGTGGATGCCTCCTGGTCTGCGAGTCTCCGTTGCTCTTCTGCGTCCTCGATGGCACTGCTTCTGCGAATACCAGCATCAGGAAACCACTGCAGTAAAGTTTGCCGTATATCTTCGTAGGGTGCCGGGCAAAATGTGGTGGGACGATTGAGCCTGTCCTTGCTAAGCTTGTCCACAGAAGCATCGAAACCGAGCTTGATGGTTTGGGTGAAGAGTCTCACAGGCTCCCAAAGCCAGAGATCGTTCTCTTCGTCGCTCTCCATCTTGCCACCGCGGCATAGACCTCCGTCCTTCGACGGAGGTGACCAAGTCTGGCCACAGGCGGTGGAGAAGTGATGTAATATTGAGGACCTAGTATTGCGCTGCAACAGAGTACACCGTCTTTCGCTACAATGTATCTTTCGGGTCGAGATGGTGCGCGCAGAGTGGATTTGTGTGTGTGCGTGGCAAGAGCGCACCCCTCTTGATGGATGTGGTATCGCGTGTCAAGGCGCCTGTGACATTTGGCCGTTACCGTGCTCCTGGCCGGCGGTGCCTCTACAGCACAGCCTAACGAATCAGTCGCAGCTGTCGGTCACGTGAGTCAATTTTGTGAGCTCCTTGAGCGGATGCTTCCACCTAGCTGCTTTGAGCTACCTGCGAAGATATCATCAAGAGACGAAACACTTTTTCGACTGCATTCCATTCAATGCAACAGTGGCGCAGTCACATCGGCGAGCGCTCTAATCATTCACAACCTACACAAAGGGGTGCAAAGTGATGACCCAAGCTTGCCTACAACCCACTTCAACGCGATCTTGGCAGCTTCGCACCAGGTTTGGGAGGGTTCTTGCACACGGCATACACTCTTCGAAGCGGACCTTCATCACAGTATGATGCAGCAGAATAATAGCTCGCTGTATACAGCTCTCGACCTGTCCAGGATCTCTTTATGCATCGCCTGCTAGTATCCTCCTGACGCTCTCCCTCTTGCGCTCGTTCTCGCCAAGACCTGCAGTCCAGTCCTCCTTCTTTCCCTGCTCGTCAGAAGTCAGCTGCTCTGGGGCCCCTTTCGTTGGAGCTGGTTTGTCGGTGCGTGTGCCTATCCGGATATCCGTTGCGATTCGTGGTGCCTGCGAGAAGGCATGCAGCGGGTGAGCAAGATTACACCGCTTCGACATGGCATTCATCGTGACTCGGGGTTCCGTACGCACTCCTTTCGCGTGCACTGCCTCATGGCACTGCTCAATCGCCGCCGAGACCTGTGAGAAGGTGCCTTCCAGATTGGTGCCGTAGCCGCTGAGGGGAATAAGTTGACCTCAAATTGAGCGAGTGTACGCTTCGGCAACGGGCTGTGTCGGCCGACTTACTGCATCTGAAGAGGTCAACGGAGAAGAACAAGAAACGGATCAGCTATCTTGCCGTCAAGTCAAGCGAGAAATTGTCGACTATGCGCCATCCTTCTCTGCATTTGCGCACCTCATACGTTGTTAGATCGCCCCGCTTCACGAGCTTCTCCAGCACCCTTTGACACTCTGCGATGTAAGGTCCTACGGAAGTGCCTGGCGTTCCCATCGGGATGAGGCAGAAATCGCTGTGCAAAGGTTTCGCTGATCAGCCGGCCATTCGATGGACTTCAGAATCGACAGTCGGACGATTGATTGACCCACGCTACCGCATACAGTGGCGATCCCGAGGTAAAATGCTGGCTCGATCCGACTTGCTTTTGCTGTGCCATAATGGTGATGGGATGCGGTCGGGGCTTAGCGTGGAGGTGAGGCAAGTCTTAGTGCTTCCGCTTTTGAGCGGCACGTGAGCCTCAGGGGCGATTGACAGATTCTTGCTGGTACCACAGCGTCCTTTGTCGACTTAAAGTGCGAGGGTGAGGGGAAGACAGTAAGAGCGAGAAGAGCATGGTGAGCTGTGATGTCGGTCGTGACCCGTGAGCGGTTTCCCGATTCAATTTGATCTCGAAATTCAAAAATCAAAATGCTTTCGAGTGGAGGTGCAAGTCACGTTGCAGCATGCAACGCGCGCTTTTCGGTCTCACCGCAGACACACCGCGCGGCACAGACGGAACAGGCGACTGGGACGTGTGACTTTGATTCGAGCAGTGACTGTCGAGACCGAGGCCGGGTATACACTTCCATCTGGCTCTCGCCCATCTGCTCACACCCAACTCGATCATACTTTTCGACCCGAGGACAGGACATTGCAGGCAGTGCTCAAGACCTGCCCAGGGTTGCCCAGCATGCGAATGGTAAGTCGATGCGCTTCTCCTATCAGTTTCCTCGACCGGGCCTGACAAAGGTCTGCCTATCCTATTCACAACTTGCTTGTCCGCCATGCAGCTAGATGACAAGACATCAAATGACGTCGAAGTGTCCAAGGGAGATCAGGACTCTATCAACAAATTTTCGAGATTGAACAACAAGAGCGCAGATCTGGAACAAAGGCTAGAAAAGCTGCGGGACGAGAAGGAGGCCTTGAGCGATGCTGTAGGAGAGCTGGAGTTGCTGGAGTTGGATGAGGACGAAGATGACCTGGCGGAGGACGATGATGACTTGGAAGAAGACGCGAAAGATGAAAAGGCGACAGGTGGAGCTTCAGAGGTTGGCAAAGTCATGTGAGTGGCAGATGCGCAGACTGGATCCTTTGCCGCACACGCAGTCCGACTGAAGACGAGATCCATCTCACACGCCCGTTGCTGTTCCGGGCTCACCTTGTGCTACAGGTTCAAAGTTGGTGACGCATACATGCACCTCAAGCCAAGTGAAGCCGCTGAAATGGCCAACGTCGAGTCGGAAAGGCTGACAGCCGAGGTCGAGAGGCTGGAAAAGGAAAAGGCATCGTGTGAGGAGGGTATGAGAGAATTGAAGGTTAAGCTCTACGCCAAATTTGGTGATAACATCAGTGAGTCGCCTTTCCTGGCTGCACGTCAGGCCTTTCACATTCACGTTCGATGCTGAGTGATCTTCGTGCGCTGCCTTGCTGCAGACTTAGAGCGCTGAGCTGAGCGTGGATGCAATAGAAATACACACGGTTTGGCGGACTCACTGGCACCGCACTCGACCCATGATATCGGGTATGACCTAGACGTGCGCTGAAAGTGACCGACAGATCAGGTCAAAGGTTGGTGGTCAGTTTGCGGCCAAGAGATGGAAAGACACATAGCATTACGGGGTACTAAAAGGAAGAGAAGGACCCGCAGCAGGATCTACATGACCACGAGAACTCTCGACTCTTCTTGAACAACATTCTCAACGACCAGAATCACACCTTCAGGAGTCTGCACATCTGATTTGCCCGGATTCGAAGCGCCACGTCTATTGGCACCGACGGAGACCATCGAGGTTCTAGTCGGGGCGCCCGAGCTGATGCCAAGCTTTGCCAAAGCGAGGGAGCCTGGTTCAGTTGCAGGTACACCCGTGTGTCCACGTCTACGTTGGCTGGGTGTACGAGCTACGAAAAGGGTCGGCAGCGACAGCGAGCTGGACTTGCCTGCCACGCTGCGAGAGGATTGGGCAGACTTTGGTCGCGACGTCGATTTGCTAGTGGGAGGGACAGGCAGAGATTGGGCGGGGCTGACCACAATCCTCGGCGTTGAGCGCTGTCCGCTCGCGTAATGGTGCTGTAGTCGAGCGCTGTCGTCAAAATGCACGGAATGACGGATGTCGGAGGGTCCCTTCACGCCGGCCGTAGCAGCAGCACGCAGAAATTCTTGCTTCTGCTTGCACGCTCGGCGAATATCCTGCATCTCTGATGCGGTCAGGATTCCAGCGGGCTTGCGGCGGACCGAGTGCTGCACAGAAGAGATTGGCAGCTCGGACTTGGATCGCGTCATGGTGGCTGCCTGAGCTTGAAGTTGTGCGAGCAGCTCTTTCCGTGCTCCAGTAGCTGGTGACGCGCTTGGTGGCACGCGAACGATCTGAGGTGCCGACTGAGCAGAGGTCATCATCGAGGTAGGTATACTTGGCTTGCTCACAGAGAGCCTCCTAGCTTCCAGGTCGGGCAAGGCAGCACTCGTCGGCTTGTTGGCCACTTTCTCCCCGAGAGCGTGTTTCGTCTCCTCCCAAAAAGCTTGAGACCCATTGCGGCTCATCGCACGAGGTCCAGACTGGACTGGTGTGCAGCTCGGAGTTCCGCATTGGGCCTCATCGTTGTGTTCACCGACCAAAGTTCGCATGTCCAAAGAGCTCCTACGCTTTGGGACCGGCGGGCATGGACGAGTAGGAACGCTTGGTCGTCGCTGCTCCGAAGTCAGAGTTCCAGAGTCTCTCCTATGAGTTTGAGCGCTGCCACGAGCCTGCGCCCGTTCGACGTCCTGATACGCGCCTCCAAACAGCATGGAACCTCGCGTGCCTGGCCGTGGACGCTCGAGAACACTCATCGGGCGCGACGATGCCGCTGGCTGGGACTCGAACATACTGCTGGGTCTCTCGCTCGTGGAGCGCAACAAACGCTGATTTTCTTGCACAAAGTCTGGTCGGTATGATGCTGGAACAGCTGGGCATGACACAGTCGAGGCCAGAGCTAAGCGAGTCGGCTCGATTTGTTGAGTTGCGGGCATGGGTGAAGGCAGACTTTGCATCGGAGCTGGCGTGCCAATGAGGCCCAGCTCGTCGTCAGACAAAGCAGGACTGAACACCTGGCAAGGAACCGGTGAGAGAGCTGCAAGCGCGGCGTCGGCAAGATAGCTGAATTCATCCGCTAGGTGGTGTGGTGATCCCTCGCGCGTGGCGGCAACTTGAGGACTGTCGGTGACCTTGAGCGGAGTAGCCAGCAGACTTCGTTCGAACAATTGATCGATGCTGACGCTCTTCAGCAAGGAGCCTGCGTGGAAATGATCGGAAGATATAGACGTCACGGAAGACGCAACGGAAGGCTGCGAGAATGCAGAATCTGACCGCTCCGAAGAGACGCTCCCTCCAGGTGAATTCTGCGAGAGCGCAAGCTTGCCCTGCAGGATGGGGCTGTCGGCAAGCACGTACGCAGTGCTTGCTGTCGTGTTGCTTCGAGTTAGATCGGCACCGGCGCCAGTCCAGAAAGTCGCTTCGTCAGCGAGCGCGGCTCCAGCGTCGATGAGCGACGTCCAGCTCCTGTACATTTCCGCAGTCTGCTCTTCTTGCAGCTCAGGGACGGTGACGTAAGCGGAAGCTGAGGTGTACGCAAACGAATCTTGGTGGTCGTCGGCAGCACTCGTCTGGGTATCCCATTCTAGATCGCTACCCAACCCACACGCGAAGGCCATCTGCTCTGCCAATGAGGGTGCGTGGTGCTCCACACTGCCCCACTTGGGGAGTTGCAAAGGTGAGAAGGCCATCGACAGGCGCTCGTGGCCACTTGGCATTTCGGGAAAGGGATACTCGTCAGGCTCTGGGGAGTACGCCATCTTCTCTTCTTTTGCCGTGCCAGGTTGAGACACAGTGCGACGAGCCATTGGCGCTCTTAGCTTGTCCGACTCCTGCCTGTGGAAGATCAAAGGAGCAGTGCTTGCTGTCATTCCAAGCGCGGGCGATGGAGCGACACTGGAGTACGGCGACCAGCCTTGCGATCCTGTGAGCTCATCCGTGTCCGACCCTCGATCCTTGCGATTTGCCACCAGTCCTTCATCCGTACCTTCGCACAAAAGTGGACTGTGTCTGTTAATGTAGGTAGTCGCGTCCTCCACCCATTCGTGACCTCTTGGAATCCTTCCATCAGTCGCAGCGCGTCGGAAAGCGGCTTCGACTTCTGGCGTTGCGCGCGATGGGGCGTCCGCAGCCCCCAGACCGAGACCTAGCCCTTGGAGGCCACCACTTGGAGGTACGGGAAAGACAAAGGCTTCTGAGCGAATGCGCCGAGCCGAATGCATTCCCTCTTTGTGACGTTGCGCATTCGTGCGAGGCTGACGGCGTGTGGGCATGGGCGGCGTGGCGACGTCGGGCGATGAAGCGTGTTCGTCGAAGCGAAGTTCGAACCTCCTGACTTCCGCTTGACTTGATCGGAGATTCGCTCGTGCGTGATGCTCACCGGAAACGATCCTTGTTGGCACCACATTCTCAGTGACGCACCGACTTCGTGATACTACACGTCGGCGGTTGGCATTGCCGGATGATTTTCGGTGAGCTTGTTGTCGAGCACATGGAGATGGTCGGCTTGGCTGGATGATCAAAGGCCTGTCTGCACTGCAAGACACTGTTCGCGGGGTATAACTCCCCAGCGGACCTCTACTCTGCCTCGGCGCTCCTGTGGATGCGATGCTCGAGGCTGACGTCTTTGCCAGAACCAGCGGCTTCAGGGCTGGCGTGCGGTTCAGCGCGGTGCTCGTGGTTGCTGAAGCGTGCTCCATGGTGATGGTGTCCGAGGGGAAAAGGTGTTGATCAGATAGAACGTAAAGGAAGTAGGTCGGCCTGCCAGAGGCAACCTTAGTGCCGAATGAGGTGCAATCGGACAGCAGGCAGAAAAGCGCCACCAGCAGCGTCGAGCCGCTGGACTACGAAGAAAAGTGAAAAGAAAAGAGAGGTTGAGGAGAAGGTAAGAAGATGAAGCGGAGGCTGGCGGTCAGCTACAACCTTGGGAAGAAGGTGATCATCGTATCGCATGTCCAACCAAGGTCATTTAGCCGTCAATGGTGAGCCCCGCAAGTGCGCTTGAGGGACATGCACGTTGGCCCAGATGACGGCAGCTTCTGCCCACACGCGTCTGCAGCTCCAGAGGCAATTCGAAAGGGCAAGTCGACGAGCGATCGCATACATTCAAGTTGACGCTGGCCTGGTCCGTTGGATCGGCGCAGCAGCCGCTGAGATGCATGCTGTCTAACATCCCAACGACTCAGAAATGCAGTTGGCGCTTGTCGTCGCGAAGCACTACGCACTGCTATGGCGGCGTGGGTGCCGAGGTGATGGTGGAATCTTGATCAACCGAACTCGCCCACTCCTTGCTGTCACGCATCCGAAAAGCGAGGAAGCCCGACCCATTGTGACCGTTGACATGCATGCAATGCAGATGCGCAATTTGCTTACAGATGCTTCTGTAGGTGCTGTGCGGTTCCGGTACAGTATCCATGATTGTAGTTGTGTGCTTGTGCGAGGAGTGTGGAAGTTGAGGGACAAGCGCGTGTGCCTTCCGCTTGGCGCGTGCGATTTGTCGCATCAGTTGGGCGCGCAACTTTTTCCACGCGCAGTGTGAGTTGCCGCTCGATGCTTCCGGATCCTTGATCGAGGCGGTGCTGGTTGATGACGAACGAGTGCGTGCGTACCAGCAGTGCGAGTCCTCGTGACTCGTACTTCCAGTCGTCGATGAAATCGTTTGTGATCCTTTGATTGAATATGAATCGTGAATCTTGAATTTTGATGTCAGGCTACCACTCACCACTCAGGATTGTGATTCATCAAACCCGCGAGACTGAGCTATGAGCACAAAGGCATTATGTGATTTAGATGTATTCACCATTCGCGAAAATGATTGAAGATTGCGGAGCAGCTGTTCTGGGATGTCTCGAGCTGGCCGGCCACTGCGGCGCTTCCAAAGACGCAAAAGTGGCATCCACATCTCAATCGAAGTCAGCATCAGAGCCGCACTAGACTTGTGTGAGGGCGAGCTGGCGAAGTGAGGGACACTTGCTGTGGAGTGAAAGGTACGGTGCGCCTTCAAGGTGTCGATGTCTCGTACCCAAGCTTTCGACGACTCTCGCGATCGCGACTAGTCTTGAGTCTGGAGCGTCACTGGGTCATAGCCAGGCTCTTCCCAGAGCAAATTTCAGCTTCAGGCGGGACAAAGGTCATTTCTAAGAAAGAAACGGCACTTGCTCAGCCATGGTTTAAGCTGCTGGAGGACGCTAGTCGCAAAGTGGGGCCAAGCTGATTGCTTGCTTGCCTTGCCACCCCAAGCCCGGGTCTCGACAGCTCTCATAGATGCATGCATTGCGCTCAATACCCATCCCCCTCCGCACCTTCCGCACAGAAACCCCTTTCCCTCCTCAACACTTCTGACTTTTTGGCGTCCACCACCTTCCTTGCTGCAGCTTCCGCCTTGTGCGCTTCCAACAATTGTGGCAAGGCCGCAGGAGGTAGGGGCACCGCTGCTGGATTAGGAATGTCTTCCGCGTCGAGATCCTGCGAAATGCGGATGTACAGTCAGATTATCGACCAGAGACTAGAGCGCTTCTGTGCCGATACCATCGCTTTCCTTCGCCATCTTCATCCACACGCATCACTCACAATCTCTCCTAGCATAACCACATTCTCTCCTCTGACCAGGAACAAGCCCCGAGGAATGTCTCCATACCTGTTGCCGACCGATACCCTTTCCACAGCATCCTGCAGAACCAAATTAGCTGACGTTGGGCAGAACAGTGGTTATGAGCGCAGAGCTGTGCGCAGCCGAAAGCTGTGCACCCATGGCCGCTCACCAAATTGGTCGAATGATCGGAATACACCGATCAACTTGCGTCCATCTCTGAGAATGATGAGCACTTTCTCTGACAGTCCAGGAAGAGGGTCCAGCGGGACATGCATCGATGAGTGTTCCAATTAGACATCGTCTTTCTTTACTGGTCAGCCCGCTCACTATCTATGCAATCCACAATGGAGCCTGATGTTGTAAAGGCCACGTGAGAGAGGATAGATTCGGCATCCATGACGACGAATCCGACTGAGAGCCTATGTCTCGAAGTGGAGACTTTGGAGGAGAAGCACGGAAAAGTCTGACAGTATTTCGCTGGGCGTCTCTTGCGGTGCAGCGGTGTAGGGGTCGCGGGGGGAAATGTCGAGGGCGGACGATTGGAATCTCTACCGAACGGAAGCACTTGGTTGAGTTTGCCCAGCGCTGAATGAGGTGGGTTGAGCGTGAGACACAAATGGATGAATGAGAGCGTGATTCTCTATCGGGCTGCACAACAGGGACACGGAGAAGATGAGGATCGTGCAGCGAAATGCTGCTGGTTGGAACTTTCGCGATACGGTGTCGTCGAGGATGCCGAAAGCCTTGAATTCAAATTCTTGGTGGTAAGTCGGTGGAGCGCTCACGATGGCGCCCCAGGCTGGCAGCACTACGAATCACGTGATCATCGAGATGTCCCCACGCTTCACAGGCTTTCGGCATGTCATGCATCCGTTATGATTCTTGATGTCACGGCAAACAGCAAAGCGAGTCACTAAGTCTTTCGTGACTGAATACGAGCATGTCCTATCACTGGCATCATTCCAATCGCGGATGGACACATGAGACTCGAGGCTAGTGGATAAAAGTGCACAGCGCGACCTTTTCGTAGCAGTCCACGCTTCGTCTACACCTGACGGAAGTCCGCAGTGCGCCTCATTCAGCAGCAGCAGCAGCTTCCCTTTCCGCCTTTCTTCGCATGTACCTCTCCTTCGCGCTGCCAATTTGTTTCTCGTCATTCTTTCTCTCTCCCATTAGCTTTCTCTTCTTCTCCCTCATCTCTTCCTCTTCATCCCTCTCCCTCTTCGCTTGCAGTTCCATCATCTGCTCTTCCAACATCTGCGAGTGTCTCGCTCTTTGTCCATTCCTCATCTCCCTCGCTTCTTGCGCTCCGTCTCGACCAGAACGAGCTCCTTGATGTGCCGCTCTGCTGTTTCCACGACCAATGTCCATATCCTTGCCTTTGGCGCGTCTGGAGACGTGATTGAGACCAGCGGACAGCACGGACCTCTCATCGACCAGCTCTCCATCGTCGTTTAGCCTCACATCCAATCCCTTCGCCCGTGCTTCTTCCGCAAGCTTGCGATGAGAAGTCGCACTTGCCTTCGCCTCGGCTGTCTCTTGTGTTCCTCTTGAAGCAGTCGCATCTTCGCCATCTTCTTGAGGCCTGAGAGAAGCAGCAACGGCCGCATCGTGCGCCGAAGCTCTGGATGCTAGCATATCTTTTTGGAAAGTGGCCATACCACCAGCTTTGGCGGCCCTGTTGCGTTCTGTAGGAAGAGTGTCAGCAAGCACTTGCGCCGGAGCGACAGCGCGCCACTCTTCACTCACTCTCTTCCTCCTCCTCGCGCTTCTCCATCTCTGCTATCTCCTCCATCTGCTTTTTGTAAGCTTCGGTAACAAACTCCTCCGTATCTCCAAATTCAGCGCCTTCCGCGTCTCGTTCCCTAGCGATCTTCTTCGCCTCTGCTCTCGCTCTGTCGATCTTCCTCCTAGTTGCGGAAGCTGCAAACGCGGAGGAATACTTGGACTGGTAAAGTGGCGCGAGGGACGATTGGCGTCAGCAAGACACTTGATGGCCAAGAAAGCGTTGCGACGTCACGCACCTCTCGAGTTTTGACTTGCTCGTCTATTAATGCTTGCTTTGCCTTCTCTGCACTCTTCATGGCATCCCAGACCCCATCGTAATCATTGATGTTAGCATCAAGCTGCAACGCTTCCGCTTGACTAGCGGCGGAAGCTTTCGAAGGCGGGGCTGCGCCCATGCCGACTCTATTCGTCTTGGCCTTGGAGCTTGATTTGCTTTGCCTGCTCCCGCTCGCAGCAGACGCTACATCCTCGTCATCTTCGCCGCCCGAATCATCTCCGCCGAACCCGGTAATGGGCGTCGTCTTGGGTGCTTGCGTCCTCGAGGATGCCTGAGAGATCGAGCTTGAAGCTTGGCTAAGCGCATTGCCTGGGTATGCCGAGACGCCACTAGATCCAATGGAGGGAACGGTCTTCTTGAAGGAGAATGCAAGCTTTGGCTTGGCGTCCATGTTGATCCCGACTTTTGAGATTGATCTGGCTGTCTATGGTCTGCCAGGAATTCGAAGCGTGTTTCACCTTGATCATAGACCAGCCAGGATTGTTTGCTCGAGCTGGGCGACCCTGCTGAATGGCACCCACGAACGAGGGTGCAGGGACGGGTATGGATGGCGGGTCGAGAGGACCGCTGTTGATCATGCTGCATATGCATCCAGGCGGGCGGCGTCTGCGCGCACAGCCCGCGTCCGTCACGCAACGGCGGCGGCGCGTGCGTCCGGTGGCGCGTTCGGGCGATCGATCGTTCAAAATCAAGCGCGGCGCTGTTGTTGTTGTGTTGTGACTTGTGAGTCAGCTGCTGCGCGAACAGGCGTGACTATATATATAGGTATATATGGTGAGACGACCTACAAGCGCTCGCTCTAAGCCCATGTGTTCACAATTCCTGTGGCATGGATACATATATATGCTGACTATAGCGGTATCTGCAGCACCGCGAAGCATGCCCTTGGAACAGGGACGACCACTCGGACTACGCTTCCACTCTTGCTTGACCGCGCCTTAGCACATCTGTCCAGCGCCCATTCCCTTCGAGCGTACAGTCCATTGTGATCAGCGCTCTTGCTCACAGGTCACAACAGGAAAACCTTCAGCGTGGCTCTCACCTTGGCCCGGCAAGATTCTCGCGTCCGCAAGCTTCTTGAGGCCAAACCACGCCCTCAGCACGTGCAATCTCCCTCATTCCGCTCCATACATGCCATTCAAATAGAGCCGTGAAAGACACGCAGATCAAGAATGACGAGCGCTAGAGATGTGCGAGCTCAATTCAGGGCCATGGCGCAGCACACAAGTCTCGATACGAGCAAGGCGATCATGAGCAGCAGCAGTCAGGAGGAGATGGACACGAGCGCCGAAGAGAGGATCGATGAGGGCTGCGAGGTGGACTGGACCGCTCCAACTAGAGGTGAGTGGTATGCTTCCTTGAAGTGCCCTCTATTTCTATGCATACATCGGCGCATCATATTCATGCTCACCGCTCTCATTCGCTGCAGACTTTATCGGAGAATTGCCTCCTGAGCTGGCGTTGCACATTTTGATATTTGTCTCTGCACCTCGCGATCTGGTGAGGTGTCGCTTGGTATGTCACCTCTGGAATGAGAGGGCGATGGACGCCAGGGTGTGGCGAGCGCAATACTTGGACAGAGCTTCGCAGGGCTGGCTGCTGCGTCCCAACGCCCTCGAAATCTGGAATCGACTGTGGTCAGAAGTGCCAAACAACGGCAAAGGACCTCGAGAAGGTCTATTTGGCGGTTATGAGGCCACCTCTTTCTCTCCTTGCGGGTTTGGCGAATCCGCCAATCACCAACGTTCAAACATTTCTGCTGAAAGCGAGTGCGCAATTACCGGGGCGCTGTACGCCACCTTTGGCCACAGTGGCTTGCCGCTCCCACGTTCCCAGACCAGCGCACCGAGGATCAGTTGGCAAGCGCTGTACGCCGCACGATATGCTCTTGCAAAGCGCTGGAATCTGACGCCTACCGGTGCGGGCGAGCTTTCGGATCGTCTCTCACCTTCGCCAATACCAGATCGGCCAACTCCGACGACACCTTCCAGCGACAATCCTTTCCTCATCCCTGGCACAATCACATCTTCTCCCGTTCCTGATCCGACTCTGCCCACGCGTCTTCCTCGTCCAGGGGATTTCAGAGGACGTCATCGACGTGGTTCCTCAGGCGCGAGCGTGTTCGAGTCCAAATGGCAGCCGACGACCAGGTACCTGGTAGGTCACGCTGATAGCATCTACTGTGCGCGTAGCGATCTCACAGTGTGGTGGCCCCGAGCGTGCTTGAAGAAGCGCATCGTTCAACCAGACTTCGACGCGCACAATGGTATCGAGACCAACTTTCGGCTCCCGATGCCCTCCCAGGAGGGCCAGCCCCAAATCAGTCCTGCCTCTATGGAGGTAGATGAACAACTTCCCAACGCTCCGCACATTGGCAGCTCTACTAAGTGGGCTAAGCAACCACGTGATGCCAATGATCTTGAGGGGGTAGGTACCAGGGGCATCATCGTTTCTGGCTCAAGAGATCGCACCGTTCGGGTCTGGGACGGTCAACGAGGATTGTGCCTGTACACCTTGAAAGGACACTTGGGTAGCGTGCTGTGTCTCGACTACGATGAGGAAACTCTGATCACAGGATCGTCCGATGCGACCGTTATCATTTGGGACTTCAGGCTGTGTGCCACTCGAGCTCGAGCTACGGATTCCGGCATCGACGCAGGGAGCGGGGAGGTGTGGGTGCCGAGCAAGATCGGAAAGCTAGAGGGTCACGGAGCTGGCGTACTAGATGTCAGTTTCGACAAGGAATGGATCATCAGCACTTCCAAGGACACGACCATTCGTATCACGAGCAGAAAGGATATGGCCCTCAAGCGCGTTTATAGGCAGCATGTTGGACCGGTCAATGCTGGATGTCTGGGCAAGCTCGACGACGATCGGACGGTAGCCGTCAGCGCCAGTGGTGATGGATCTGTACAAATGTGGGATCCGGCCACGGGCGAGTGCCTGCGCGTGTTCGAAGGGCACGAGAGGGGGCTGGCCTGCATCAGCTTCGCCAACATGACGGTCGTCACTGGGTCCAACGATCAGACCGTACGCGTGTGGGATGCCAAGACTGGAGCATGCCGAGCCATTTGTCGAGGACATGCGCAACTTGTCAGGGCTACGGCTTTTGACCCCATCAGATACCTCGTTGCTGGAGCTGGCTACGATCGACAAGTCATGCTGTGGGATGCAGCCGACGCTCTTGCGGGTCCGACATGTGCGGTGAATGCCGGCACTTCTGGCACACCGCTTTCAGCACCGCCTTCGCAATCGTCGTCTCTTGCATCCATTGACACGCAAACCGCCTTCACGCCCACACTGACGCCCATCATGCGTCTCTCAGGCACCGAGGGTCGCATCTTTGACGTTAGACTGGACGCGCAGAGAATCATTAGCGCCGGAGAAGACAAGCGCATTTGCATCACTGACTTTGTGGCAGGCGAACCGCTCATGCGTCTGTTCCAGTGAGCATGAACACGCTGCAGTATTTGCCATCAATGCTACTGTGCGACACTTGGGCCCACTCGCCCCCAAACTGCCTCACGACAGGATAATCCCTGTACCGCACTACGACGATTCACACGCTGCTTCACACACAATGCGACCCCGCTAATACCTGTACCACCATGCGTTTCCCAATCCCCCTTGTATCCTATCCGCTCCGTACGATACGCGATGATTGCTTGTATTCGGCAGTCTGGGAGCTGGTGCACGACGAGAATTCTCGGTGGGCATCTCTCGGCAAGCAGACGAGCAACGACAAGCGATCAGTAGACGTAGTGAACCTTGATATTGCTACGCGCGAGTCTGTATCAATCTCGGCGCGAAATCTGACATCTTCACATGTCCTGTTTGAGAAGGAGGGAAACCATGAATTTGGTGGGGGCAAGCATCTTCGCCTCCATGTATGTAGCTATGTATCTGATAGCCAAATCGCCCAGCAGGTCTGTTTCTCTTATGCCCGGTAGACAAGTCCGACCACCTCCGTGCGCCTAGCGCACTCCACTACCACGGCGAACCTAGTCACCACCCGCAGCTCGCTGTGCGGCCAGAGACGCGTGTGCCCCAGCAGCAGCCTCTCTCGCTTGAGCATCAGCTTGAGGTGCTGCGGTCGCAGGAGTAGCCGTCACGTCCGAAGCAGGGTTGCTCGTCCCTGGAGGTGGAGAAGCGAGAGCTTCGTCCTCTGGCTTGAGGTTATAAGCCTGGGTAGGTCCGGCTCCTGAAGTGGATGGAACAGCACCGCTACCAGCTTCCGATACCTTTTCCCATTCTTGAGACGAGAAAGCGCTGCTTTGACCGTTTCCACCAGCGACGGAAGGAGCTGCACTGCCCTCAGGCTGCGAAGAATATCCGCTAGCAACGCCGCTACTGTTTCCAGCGCCTCCTTCTTGGGACGAGTAGTTGCTAGGTGGACCTCTTTCATCCTGAGAGGAAGCGTCAGCAACACTGTCCGCTCCATTTCCGGATCCAGATACGTTGGAACTGACGGGCGCGGATGATGGCGAGGCGGTGCTTGGGGTGGCGCCAGCCGCAGCTGCGGAAGAGCCTGCTGCGGCGGGCGACTCGTCGTCCACCTCATCCAGGTTGCCAGCTTGTTGGGCAATCGGTGCACCAGAGGCTGCTGCCGCCAATTCAGACAATCGTGGATCGACTGGCGCACTGCCTGGCTCAGGACCGAGTTTGGCCTGTACCAAGAAGGTGTAAAAACACGTCAGCGAATAGTCAGTGCGACACCAAGTTCAGACCGAGTCCTGCAACTGGATATCACTTACATCCAGGCCAATCATTTCCATGATCAAGGCGAACACCTCTGCAGGCACGGCCTTCTGGTAGATCATGACGAGCTCCAAAGGTGAAGGATACACCTTCAGTGCCTTGAAGAAAGCGACGGCAGCATCGAAGTGCGAAGCTGGCCCGCGAGCAAAGAGCTGTTCACCTTCACCGACCGAGATCATGAAGCTGAACACAGGCGCGGTGTGAGACCGAGGTAGTCGGCAGTGCGGCGGCCTAGTGCTTGACTCACTATTGCTCCCTCTCCTCGACACCACTGGGCAGAACACCAGGCTTTCGCACATCGCGGACAGCAGTCTCAATTTTTGCGCTGAGCGCGGCTTTCGATTCCTTATCGGCCTTCTGAGCAGCGCGAGCCGTCCGTTTGCTATCCCTTTTCAGCGCTTTGCGGAACTGAGGATCAGAGCGGCGCTTGTGGTCGAAGTATCTGCGCATGGAGATGCAAGGTATCCACGATGCCAAGTGATGCGAGTCAGCGTCTTCATCAATTCCTCTAGGCATGGTCAGAGTGAATGGAATGGTCCCCCACCCAGCTACGCCTTCGCTCGCAGCGCAGCAAGCCGAGCACCATGTGCTTCGATTACTCACACAGCGTAACCAACAAGGCCTGCAACAGCCGTGGCGGCCGTGATGCTAACGATCGTCCGAGTCTGCACCATTGTGAAACAAAAAGTGTGGGATGTGGATGGCGATCGATATAAAGATGAACAAGGGAAGGGTAGTCAAGTGAAGTGCCTTTTGCAATTGAACGCATTCGATCGCAGTTGAGTGAGGCTGGCGAGGCTTGCTGCTCATCTGCCTCCACTCGTGACTGCTCGAGTCCGCGCGCACCGACAAAATTTGAAGCGGCGAGCCAAGCGGCGTGGGCGTGAGGTGAGGACTCATCACGCGTGGCTCCCCGCTTGCGTGCGAGTCGCGGTCAAGTCGTGAGTGCAGCGGTGTATATCAAGAATGCATTTGCTGGATGTAGCGCGCTGACACGGGCAGCATAGTCTTGAGTCTTGAGTCAGAGTTAACAGTCAGCGCATTCAAGAGTCGTGCTCGGACTCGAGTTGCGCTCTGCTCGGATTCTAGTGTCAGGATGTGGCAGCCCATTCTTCCCGCACCAACCTGTGGTGCGTGCTGATCGACAGCAATAATCGTGAATCGTGAATTGATGCTCTGCTTGGTACGTTTGTGCGTCCAGGGGAGTGAGTGACTGACTTGAATCAGTCAAAAGCCTACACGTGACGTGACGCGTGTCCCCGGCTTGACTCGATTTGTCTCACGTGATATCGCGCGCGGTCATCTCGTGACGCGGGTCTGCATGGTATCTATATGTAGGTCTCTTGACCACCGCACCGCGACCTACCTCGTTGCCTCCACCTTCCCTTCGCGTATTTTTGTAATTCATCGATCAGACTCCCCTTGCGAAACCACCCCGCTCGCTGATGAGATCTTTGCAAGATGATTGCATGGCGACCAGGCCTTGTGTGCTTCACGAATGCGAATCATACGATAGCACGACGCACGACCCATGTCCAGCAGAGGAGCAGCGTGCTGCCAACGGTCACCAACGGTCAAGGTGCATGACGCAACCAGCGGACGCCACGAACATGACATGGCCTTTCTCACCGAGTCAGGCGTCTAGCGCTTCTCACGCACGTCGAAAAAGCACGTTGACTACCGCTGTCTCTCAGACAATCCTATAGTAGATGTGTGAAGCTTCTAGATCAGGAGCCAACCCCCTTCGAGACTTAGGGGTCTGAGCGCTCGTGCTATTCGCAGTGAGAAGGGCTCAATAGTGGCTGGGCGATCATGTGGGTTTAGCGAATTCGGACGTCTTATCGCCACTGCGACTACCGTTACCGCCCTCCTAAATGCCAATCGGGGTTCTGTTTGATAAAGAAGGCAAGGAGTCTTGAACAGCCTATCAGTATGCCCATGATTTCAACGGCGTACAGGATCTATGCGAGCCGTTAGAAAACCCCCGCTTTCGGCAACTTGAGAGGTTGGTTTGTGACTGCTATGGGCTGCAGCACAAGACTCGATTCGACCTTTGAACGCCGCTGTGCCTCACCTAGTCACAGTGTTGGCAGCTCAACGGATCTTCGCCATTGTTTGTCTCATGTTTGCAGTTCGACCACCAACATCGACGCTCCTTTGAACAAGTCTTGCCATCGCAGCGTCGTCAAGCCATTGGCTACTCGTGACGACTCGACCTCTCCGAAGCTGAAGTAGTCGTGTCTGACAGCTCGACTCTACAGATCCAGCCACCATCTCCGTCCTCTCTTAGTCAACTACTACAACGACACTACTCCTCCTTCCATTCGAACAACCTAACACAGCTTATCAACATGAGGCTCATCACTCTGTGGAGCTTCACAGCTTGGTCCATGGCCATTGTGGTGATCGTGCGCGCATCTACACTACCCATCACAGCGAAACCTCTTACAGCATCGCTGCCCACCATCAGCGAGCTTGAACAAGAGGACCCTGTTCCATCCGCGTACTCACGAGACCTTGTGCAGCCCCATGTGGAGCATCTAGCAATCCTGCAAGACGATACCTCCCCTGCACAACCCAGCTCCGGCGATGTACAATCTCCCTCTGCAACAACGAACGCCTCCGAGTCCCCGAAAGCTTCTAAGCCTGCCAGAGGCATGGTCAAGACCCGCAGACAGTCAAGTCCGCTGCCTTCGGACGACGCCACTTCTGACCAATACACGCGCATGCAGACCACCCACACTGACGGCAGCTCCGCGCCCAGCACTGGCTACCACACGCTCGAGAAGCGTCACTCTTTTAACGGGCGAGGAACTTACGTGAGTGCAAGCTTCTCCCTCTTCTCTGAGGACACCGACTTGGAAATTCGATTGACCCTGGACGTGCCTCGCGACAGTATCAACCCGATCGTGGAGCTTGCGGATGGGTCAACTCTGCTGATGATAGCATCGTCGCAATCAGCGTCCATCAGTGGGACGGAGGCAGCCATTGCGGGGAGAACATCAGAGGTAAGCCAGCCGAAAGCTGGAGAAGCTTGGTTTCAGCGTGCACTCATACTACCCTATCCAATCCAAAGTCTGCCACGATGGCCGCTGCATTTCCGTCCAAGTCGTCGACATGTGCCCTTCCTGCCGTAAGTCTCAATTAGCAACGAAGCGAGCTGGCAGCATTCAAGAATGCTGACATCCTAGGATCCCTTCTTTGGTCAGACGTTGGCTCGCTTGACTTCAGTCCCAGCGCCTTCTCGCAGCTCGCGCCCAAGAGTGAAGGTGTCATTGGGATTGGGTGAGTTGCTTTGCGGCCTCTGCAGCAGCATCCGCTGCAGGCTTTTACCTCAGTTCACATCGCCTTTCTTTCCGTGTCCGCTTCAGATGGGACTATAACTGAATGATCTCTGGTCCTGAAAGCCTTCTGCGTCGGCCTCCGTCGCGCCATCAGACGCCTTGTCATCTGCTGCCTTTCTGGCCCTAACAGCCACTTGAACTCAAAATCCGTTCAGCCACCACGTCACCATTACACACTCTCTCATCTCCATTCCAATTCATACTTGCGAACAGGGACACCGCAACGTCCGCGCTGATTTGCGAGTCAACGCTTCATACCCCTCCTGCTTCGCCAACACTCTTCTCGAGCGATTGACTACTCGACACAATAATACATTCCTTTGTTTGGTGACCTTTTGTCTGATTCTCCTAGTCGCCAGCAGCGACAGTGCTTTGGATCTGCTTAAGACAAGCAAGTGACGATATGAACGCGGTCTGTGTGCTGAGCGTAGCAGCATCACGCAGAGGGCGAGCTCTTCTGAGCAGCTGCAGCTTCCATACGCCTGTTCCACAAAGAGAAAGCCCTCGGGCCAGACAGGTTGTGAGCGAAACAGACCCCAGACTACACATCAATGAAGACTGCCTTAACTCACCTCCTGGCATTCAGGATCATTTGCTCCTTCCTTCTGCGCAGCTCCTTGGTCCTAATATCCGCATCATCGCTCCAGGCCTTCTTAACACTCTGAGGAGTAGGATCAATCAAAGCATCCACCTGTTTACCCTTGCCTTTGCCAATTCCCATTTCGTGCCCTACTGCAGCATCTGCAGCACCGAGCCTTGATTCTAGGCCGAAGCGAGCTATTAAGCTTGAGCTGCCTGTGCCCTTTAGCACTCCGCTGGTTGTCCGTGCTGACTCTGCCGGTCGTGTCTGCGGCGGAGGTCTTGCAGGTCCGAAGAGTCCAGTCGGCGGCTGACGTAGCAAAGTCGTGGGTGTGAGCACCGCACAAGCGCCGCTGGGTACGCACCATTCAGGCTCACTCACCTCTGGCAAACCGCCGTCGTTGAGTATCTTTTCGCAAGTCACTTCTACGTTGCCGCTCCTGACTAGATCGTATCGGATAGCTTCTGCAGATACGTGTGGAAACATAGTCTGTACTGTTTGGACCTGGAACAAGTTGGTAGGCAAGCCAGATCAGAGATCCAGGAGGGCACGTGTGCGTCGACCCTTCTTGGCTCTAGGAACTCACCATCTCTGCTGGTACATTGTTGACCCTTTCTCGCAGCGCTATGCTCTGAGCAGGTGCAGGTGCGGCGCCGCCTATTGCCGCTTGTCCGCGGCCGGCTCCAGAACTCGACGAGGACGAAGAGCCAAAGGCGAAACGGAAGACGAGCCAGATCAGGCCAATCGCCAAAAGTGCGCCCAGAGAGTCTTGCATCTTCAGAACCTTTCTTTAAAGCCAAATCTTCCGCCGCTGATGAGAACCACGATGTAGTCCTCGATGATGAAGGCACCTGCTGACGTCGAAATCACCCGACGAAATGAGAGTAGCTGCTGCTGCTGCCTCGCGAAGACTATGCCTGGGTCTCGAGAGCGTGTTGAGTTAGAGGTAGTGACGAGTGCAACCTTGAGGTAGGAACAGGTTGAGTCGACGAGAAGACGGACGGATGCCGTGCGAGCAATTTGAATACAGTCTGCAGGAAGCATGAAAGAGATGTCCAAACTTGGCCCGATCAGCAGCAGGAGAGCGTATACATGCTGATGTGGAGATGCGCGCCCGCGTGCGCGATGCGCAGTGCGCGCCGCGAGTCAGCGCGTGATGGAGATGATCATCACATCACCTACTCGTGACTGCTGAGGGTCACTTTTGACTCGCCAATCGAACTCGTGACTCTTGAACGTACACCGGTGCACAGCCCATCTTCTTGCGTGCCACTCTTGACTCGCCATCACCAACGGCCCCTCTGAACATCGTCCATTCCTTCGCACGCTTGAAAAAGCAGGCGCTCTTGTCGTCGCTAGGTGACGTCCCGGTGCGGTTGCAAGCAGATTAAAGAGAGCGGACATCGCATCGGAGCAAAGCCAAGGATACCGTGCATTGGTACGCCACCCTGGACCTTCTCTGTGCGCACTTGATTGGCAGTTGCTTACCATTCGAGAGCCTCGCCCGGCTACCCTCCGCTCTTATTGACTCTTGCTCTTCGAATCGTTCATCCGTGGTGGTAATGTCGTCCAGGAAGAGAGCGATTTCCCCTTCAGCTCATGACAAGCGGGATGTCACCTCTCGTCGCCAAGATGGCAGTGCTCATCAGCACCGCACAGAGTGGGAAGAAATCAGAGATGAGAGACGCAAGGACACTCACTCACCGGATAGGCATGGAGGTGAGCTAGACTCGGGGCGCGCTGTTAGAGCGCCCCACGACAGTCACAGATCAGAACATCACAGCTCGAACCACCATGCTCGACATCGTAGCCAAGGTGATAGAGACTCCAGAAATGGTTCTCGACATTCGCATCGCGATGCGATGCCAGACTCGGGATACCGGGACTATCCGAGGCATCATGAGCAGGACCGCCACATATCTTTCCAACAAGGACGCCTCTCTCGTGGCTCTCCGCGGGAGCAAGATGGTCACGTTGGTGGTCTCGAGGCATCAGAGATGCTAGAGGAAGGGCAGTGAGTCACGCTCATACTATTGCTGCGTGGCTAGCGCATGCTCAATCCTAGACCAAATTGCAATCCTGGGCAGAGTCAGTCCGGCTCAGATCAAGATTGTCCCGCCAGCTCGCGACAACGCAATCGATTTCGAGCTGGCTCCGTCGGAGGAAGAAGAGGCGCGTATGATTGAAGAGCGGAGAAGGAAGAGGGCCGCGATCCTTGCCAAGCATGCGGGCGCTGAGAGCAGCACGTCGACCGCTACTTCTGCAACGCGAAATCTCAGAGGCATCTCAATCAGCGGACAAGAGTCTCCAGGTGCGTCGAGCTTTGTGCGTACTTGAGTAAGAGCATTCATTCACGTTCTGTCACATTCTAAATTCGTAGTTGTTTTGGACACGCATCCATCCGACTCGCCAATAGGCGGCCAAGAGACAGATGCTGACTTTGCGCTTGCAAAGGCGGACACCCAAGGTGCGGCCGGGGACGGACACATAGGTGGTACTCAGATGTCCGCAGCCGATTACAACCCAGACTCTGATCGCTTAGAAGACGAAGCCAGGGCTCGAGCAAAGCTGCAGACAAATACTGGAGCGAACGGCGCGAGCCAACCAGTCGAGGGGGGGCCATCGCTTGCCGCTGGTATCGGCGAAGCTCAAGAACGTGTTGATGGCGCTGAAAGCGAATATGAAGAGATAGAGGTGGATGACGATGACGAAGTGGACGACATGTTCGCGTTGGGGAGCGATGACGAAAGTAGCAAGCCGAAGAAGAAGATCATTCGAGTGAAGAAAGGAGCAATTGCTTCACAAGCTGTGAGTGTATGCGCGGTTCTGCATAGCACAAGCTCAATGATGCGCACTCCTTGACTCACATTCACAAGTACTGCCGACAGCCTGTCATTGTTGCTGCACCCGAGGTGTCTGCAAATCTTCTTGACAACTTTGACGACGCTGACGGGTATTACAGGATCAATCTTGGCGAGCGTATAGGTCCGGAAGGACGCTACCTGGTGTTTGCCAACCTCGGCAGAGGCATGTTCAGCAACGTCGTAAAGGCTCGAGAAACCATTCCTTCCACCAGCACCGAGCCTGCGCGTGAGCGCGAAGTTGCCATCAAAGTCGTACGATCTCAGGAGACCATGTGAGTGAAGTCTTGCAGCCAACAGTGTGCACCTCTCCTCAACGGCCACTTCCTAATACCCCACAGGTATAAAGCCGGCATCAAGGAAATGGCTATCTTGCAAAAGCTGGCATCGCTGGACCCAGAAGATAAGCGCCACGTCATTCGTTTGGACAGCCACTTTGAACACAGAGGTCACCTTTGCATGGTGTTTGAACTTCTAAGGTACGCGCAAATGTCGTGGATCATTGAGAGAGACGTCAGACCGCTCATGCCACGCCGTCATCTGCTTGCAGCATGAATCTGAGAGAAGTAGTCAAGCGTTTCGGTAAAGACGTCGGGCTCAATTACCGCGCTGTCCGAGCGTATGCCCATCAGATGTTTTTGGCCCTGTCTCTGCTGCGCAAGGCCAACGTCATCCATGCCGATATCAAGCCGGATAACATACTGGTAGGTGATCTTTTCCAGCCGCGCTTTAACGACAGGAAACTGATCATCGTGTCTTGATCGCCACTCTGCTCATGGCAGGTCAACGAGGGCAAGAATGTCTTGAAGCTTTGCGATCTGGGTTCGGCATCCGATGCCACCGAAGTGGAGATTACGCCTTATCTGGTCAGCCGATTCTACCGTGCTCCCGAAATCGGTGAGTGAGATTCCCTCTCAAACGGACTCTAGCGTGAAGCTTATCCGCCTTGCGAGTACGCAGTGCTTGGGGCACCGTACGATTCTGCAATCGATGTGTGGAGCATTGGATGTACTCTGTACGAGGTTGCGACTGGCAAAATTCTGTTCCCGGGTCGCACCAACAACCAAATGCTGCTCTTGATGCAGGAACTTAGAGGTCGCTTCACCACGAAGCAAGCAAAAAAGGGCAGATTTGCCGCTCAGCACTTCGATGACACAAACAACTTTCTGAGCATGGAAAAGGACAAAAACACTGGAGTAGTGAGTAGCGGTGAACAAAGCTTGTCGAAAGTCGCGCCTCGCCAACAAGAATATTTTTTTGTCCACCTGCGTCTAGGACGTGATCCGCAAAGTCAATTTGCAAAAGCCTGTCGAGGATCTGCGCGCGCGCTTACTGCCGGCAAACACCGCAAAGAAGCTATCCGACGAAGAGTTGCGATTGACGAACAACTTCATCGACCTCCTCAATCGCACGCTGGAGCTCGATCCCGCGAAGCGCATCACACCCAGAGAAGCTCTCAATCACCCTTTCTTGTCTTAGCTTGAGGCGTGACACGCATGGCTTCTCTTCGATTCACTCCAACGGCCGCAATGTCATCGTATCATCAAGTCATCTATTGCGCGTCAGTGACAGAGTCGAACATGCAGGGGTCTTGGCAAGCCAAATTTATCCACATTATAGCGAGAATAGTTTCTCGTCGAGCTCGCGCCAAAGGTCAGTACACCTGTTCTGAACAACGTGGATCCTTTCTCCAAGCTCGCTCACGACCTGCAGAGTATGGGAACAAGTCCGAACGTCGTTAGTGTATGAGTTGCGATTATCCCACCAATGCAGTACCTATGAGCACTCACGGAGATGATTCCGCTCTTTCCGTCCTTGCCGTGAGTGGTCTCCCACTCTTCATCTCCGCATCCTGGCGCTTTGACAATCAATTCCTTGACAGGGTCTGCAGTGTGAGCTTCCTTGGCTACCATGATCCACGAGCCGAACATGACACCATCGAAGGGCATGGGCTGGGTGCCGAATTTCTCCTTGCTCCAATCGCCGGTCAGGTAAGGCCAGAAGTCGTCTGCTGAGCCGAATCCTGATCCGCCGACCAAGGCCAGATTCGAATGCGCTCGAATGCGGCCGTACGTGGAGAGAATGGGCGAGTGCATATCCTCTGGTGAGTGATGTCCACCTGCACGTCCACCTGTCCAGCAAAGAATGATGCCAAAGGTGGGATTCTTCTCTGCGATGGTGCAGACTTGCCTGATACCGTCCACAGATCCGGGCTTGAAAGTGATGTGACGCAAGCCGGCCGCTTGCAGACCTTCGATCATCTCTTTTGCCTTCTCTGGGGAGGGGATGCCTGCCGCGCATGTGAAGCCCTGCAAGGGGTAGCCTTCCCTTCGCATAGCCAGCCACTCTGGATACTGCACGCTGAATTGGCGCTGGTTGATGTATAGAGAGTTGAGCGTGAACCCCACCCCGGGATCGACCTGGTCTTGAAGCGTGTCGATCTTGTCTCGCAGCATCTTGGCGTTGTAGTGACCCTAAAGGAGGACAAGATCGGGAAAGAAGAGTGAGTGTTGAGCTGCAGAATGTGTTTGACGCAAGTCACACTCACACCTCCAGCAAGTTCGATGTGGTACCCTGCTTGTGCGGTAGCAGCATTGATGCCCGCCTGCACCGTCGTCGGTGTCATACCGCCGACGGTGATCGGCGGCCTTCCGAGGATGCGCGAGAGAGGCGTGTCGAGCTGAAGGCCATTTGGAGTCTTGACGAGCTTGGGCGCAAAGTCGCTCCACGGTCTCTCTCTTTGCACAGCAGCAACGTCGTACAGCTCTGGACTGTACCTATGCCTGCCCGAGACTGTCACCACGCGAACACCACGCCCCTCCAAATTCCGCAAGGTCAGACCTCCAATGCCTGACAAGCCTCCTGTGCCAAAGTCGACGCAGTGCGTAGTGGAGGGTGGAACGTCGCAGGCCTTGGTCCAGTGGATGTGATGGGTGAAAATTTGGTCGCAGATGGATCGCAGGAGGCTAGTATCTTCTGCGTAAGCGCTCATGTCTGATCCATCATAGGTGTTGCGCACGACCGTCTTGAGGTCTCTCGGTCGCCATATGCAAGCTTCCTGGTAGTCGATGGACGCCACCTTCTCTGTAGCGCCGAGGAGATGTGATGAGTGATATGGCACGCCTACCGGCAAGAAGCGCATGTGGAATACAGGCTTCCGCTTGCTCCACGGAAGCTTGCTTTGGTCGGCGTTTGGATCGGCTCTCTTCGAGCGCAGATGCCCTACGAGGCCAAAGAGGGAACGAGGCGGGCCAGTCACGACAAAGGACGAAGGTCCGTTGAAGAGAGACACGTCGATCCTGTGTGCTGCATCCTGGATATGCTTGTTGACGGCTGCGACGGCTCCCTCGAGCGCTCGAATAGCGAGACCTTGAACAGACAGCATTGGCGTCGGCTCTCCTTCCCCTCCTTCGACGGAGTCTGCGACCAAGGCGGCGTCCAATGACAAAGCAGGGAAGCTTTCCTGTCCGCGCTTGCCAATGTGGAACAAGAGGCCGAGTGCCTTGACACAGTTCTCAATGAAAGAGGGCTCGTCATCTGAAGTTGCAAGAACGAGCGCAGCAACGATGCCTTGGCTGTGGCCTGTGGCGCCTAGCACGCGGTCGCGGAACTGTCCTGGGGTCAGACCACTGGCTCTGCATGACACCAAGAACTGAGTGAGTTGTGTAAGACCGATCAACGGCAAGCTCAAAGGAATGCTGGCGAGATAGCTGGCGGGCGGTTTCGCAGTGCGACCAGTAAGCCATCCAAATACATCCGCTTGGTGCACGTAGTAGCTTTCGAAGCCATTGAGTGTCGCCTCCTCAACTAGAGCCTCAAGTCGCTCTGTTGCAGCCTGCAGGAGGGGCGCCACCAAAGGTCTATACGTGTTGAAGAGCTCTTGAAGTTCGTCAAAGTAGACCTGCGCAAAAGCAGGATGAAGTCAGCTTTCGAGCACCTATGAAACCTGGAGGTTTTGCGAGACGCACTTCATTGTTTCCTTGTCCACCAAAGATTGCAAAAATGCCAGCTTGCTTCTTGGCTGCAAGGCTCAGCAAGAGGGGCGTCTGGAGGGCAGGCTTCTGCACCGCGCCTTCTCCCGATCCAGCCGCTCGCTCCAAGACGACCAGAGCATCGTAATATGACCTTAGTACCTCGGTGCGCAAATCAGAATCGAAGTTGGCGGTGACTTTGTGCAGGTCAGTGAGTTGCCTGACCAAGAATTGCTGGTTGAATGCCGCCCAAGCGCATTGAAGAATGTTCGACTCGTGAGTCATTGCCCCAGGCTTTTGGCTGGGACTGGTGCTTCGACTGCTCTCGCGCGAGGCAACGCTGTGCCTGCGCTGATCAGCTGCAGACGCAATGCGGCCGCTCCGCTGCGTTTCGTTGAGCTTTGCTGCAAGGAAGCCGAGGAAGCGCGCTGCCAAGGCGATCCGAGCTTCCAGCTGCTGCGCTTTGAGCTTGTCTGATCGCCGCTTCGCTGCGCCTTCATCCTCGTCTTCGTCTTCGTCGACCGCTGCAGGCTTGCTCGCCTCTTCCGAACCATCTTTTCCAGAGGCTGCAAGTGCTCGATGAAAGTCATCTCTCACTACGATGGCTGTGATCCATGCTTCGTAAGGCTGAGTTGGGACTGGAACTCGCACTTGCGAGATGCGCGTGCTCAGCTGAATCGGTCGCAGCGTTCCTTCTGACAATTGTCCTGAGATCAAGAGCGGTGAGCCCGAAATGTCTACGTAGTCCTCGTCAGATCTGACGGGACTGCCCGGAAAGAAGTCACTGGTGGGCATCTCGCCAACGGTAAGGCTGAACAAGCCTTAGCTGTAGGGTTCTCTATTGTGGCCCAGTTCAGCACGAACAGTGTGAGAGCTTGGTGTACACTGCACGAAACGTGTGATGACACGGTCAAGAAGAAAGGGCGCTGTGGTTGTCGTGAAGGTGGTGTGAGAGGAGGGGTCGCAGGAAACAGGAGACTTCCGTTCATGACTTGAGTTCAGACCGTCCTCAATCTCTTGAGTCGTGACTGAAGATACCTTTCGGCTGTGCCTGAGACTTCCACAAGCCGGCAAGCTTGGGCCGAATCTAAAGCGTTGACACGTCGGTGCCCCTCGTAACTTTGAATCGCACCTTGAACACGACTCTTTGTAGGGGCGGGTCCGCTCCGCCCCTACCCACTCTCCAACACTCAGACTCCCGCACCTGACTGGAGACTGTCCTGGAGTCGCCTCGCCATTCGCGTCAATTCAAGACTTGATTCGCTACTGATACAAAATTGTGGTCCGCGCAATAACGGATTGCATGGATGGATCAAATCCTATGCTTTGGGTTCGTGCCGCGGCGCTTCATTTGCGGATTCGCCGGCCGGGCTGCCCAAGACGTCCGTAGCCACAAAATCTGAGATGAGTATAGGATCAGAGACTTACGCATTCAGTGATGGATCTGCTGTTACATCTTCGAACTGTCCATTTGTGTGGGGATCGGTCGATCGTGCAGGCGCGATTACAGCTAGCGAAATTAAGGGTCTGTGCACGCCACCGCGTGCGCCGCGCGGGGTGAGCCAAAAGTTCGCGTGTTGCACCCCAACGCGCGGACGCCGCGGCGGGATGACCATGCCTATGCAGTCAAAAGTACAAAAGGTGAATTGGGACTCCGCCCACGCACTCGCAGGCAGCAGGGGTCCAAACCGCGAACGAACATGGCGGCGCCGCGAGGTTGGGGCAAACGTCGATGTGAGACAATGGTTTGTAAATCACAGTCAAGTCGCAATGGCGGCTCAGCTCATAGGTGGGTATACAAATCTCATGATGGCTTGATTTGCACAGCCACGAACGGTCCCCTTCAGCAAAGTGAACCCAACAAGGTCCACGCTTACTATACTTACAGCCTGTACAGCGCAGAGCAAGTCTTGCACAGATTAGCTTTTGACGAGGAGGCGAGGTTGGGCTTGAGCGGTCCATTGGTGGTTGATGTGCCGGAATGAGGCCAAGCAAGCGCATATACTCATCAGTAGGGGCCGCCCCAAATGGATTTGCACTTGGCACATTGGCTGAGGAGACCTCAGCAGTAAGAGACTTCGATGCGCAGCGTGGTATGGGTCGCAGCTGGTACTCACAGCCGCGCGTCTAGGGTATGGAGTTCAGCAGCAAGACGACTGTTGGTCGTAGCGCGGCTATGGCTCTTTCGCAAGGTCCGGGGTTCGGAGCGCCTTGCTCAGGCAGAGAGGTGAGGTGTGCACTTCTTTGATGAGGAAGGGACATGACCATCGGCTGGCAATCCTTCCAAAGGCTGCCTTCAAGGGCTTCCGAATCCTTCAAACCAAGATTGCGTTGTGACCCTCGCTCACACCCTTCGCACAGACTCTTGCACACACGTCCACCCATTTCAGACCGGAAATCCTTCGTCGGCTGACATTATCTCTCAGCGCCTCAGACTTGCGCATGTGGCATTCCAAAGACGAGCCACATCCAGCACAAGAAGCGTCTAGCAGGTGCACACCGATCCTTACCCCTCGAAGAACGAGAAAAGAGTCGACACCATGGCTACACACTCACAAGACCTCAATGGTCTTGATCTGGACCAGGTTGTCGTGGCAACTGGCTTTGGAGAGGTGCGTGACCTTCGTTGCTCAGAACTCTGCGAAACGACCAGGAGCTAATGTTCGAGGCTCGCATCCGTTTACAGATCGGACCATACGGCTCAAGTCGCACAAGATGGGAGATGGAAGTCTCAGGGAGCTTCACCATTGAAGGCTGCATCGAGCTAGGTGAGCTAGTGCAACGTGCGGGCGCACAGTAGGTTGTCTCGATTGCTGAAATCTCAAGCGCGTCCCTTTCCACAGCGTGGATGATGGGATTCATCAGTTGGACGAAAGGACCTCTCAAGAATGGCCAGCCTCACGTGGGCTGGGTCGAAGCGAAGTCGGGCGAGCCCATCTCGGATGCTGACGTCAAGGCCAAGTACGAGAAGGAGATTCGAACGCATACAGGCGTGAGACTACTAGAGCCGGAGCTTTTCCGCGGCTATGATCCTCTGCGCAAGACGTTCATGCAGGAAATTGAGATTCTGCACGACCTCGAACCCTTGGATGTGTCGGAGGAGGAGGCACAAAAGTACAAGAATGAGCAGGGCGAGAAGGTCGACGTTTGGCCATCGGCAAGTGGCGGCATGCACGTTCAGCTCAAGAAAGGTGCTAGAGTCTTGGTACCGCAATCTGTGAAGTTCTCGAGAACTGTTGCCGGACAGATTCCTACCGGCTTCGATCCCAAGCGCTTTGGTATCCCGGAGGACATCTGCGCCAACGTCGACCGCTGCGCTCTGTGGACGCTCATCGCGGTCACTGAAGCTTTAGTGATGTCCGGCGTGACGGATCCCTACGAGTTCTACAAGGTGAGCACACGCCTGGGGCGCGGTTCACAAGCTGTAGCTGATCCCTAATCTCGCTTGCTCCTAGTACGTTCATCCTTCTCAAGTTGGAACAGCGATAGGGTCTGGTATGGGTGGCATGGAGTCGCTTAGCAAGATGTTCAAAGACCGAGCACAGAATCAGGACGTGCAAAAGGACATCCTTCAGGAAACTTTCATCAACACTATATCGGCTTGGACACAATTGCTACTCATGTCCTCAAGCGGCCCGACTCTTACACCGGTGGGTGCATGCGCCACAGCTTTGCAGTCGGTCGCCATTGCCGTCAAGGCAATCCGCAGTGGCCAAGCCAAGATCATGCTCGCCGGTGGTGCTGATGATTACGGAGAGGAGGGTGCGTACGAGTTTGCCAATATGGGCGCAACGGTCTCTTCCGTAGACGAGCTGGCGCGAGGCAGGGAGCCTTCCGAAGCGTCGCGTCCTACCACGTCCAGCCGTTCTGGTTTCTTGGAGAGTCAAGGTGTGGGTGCCCAAGTTCTGATGTCGGCCGCCACCGCCCTGGAGCTCGGCTGCCCTATTCAATCGGTGGTCGCGTATACCTCTACGCACACCGACAAGCAAGGAAGGTCCGTTCCTGCACCTGGACACGGAGTCCTGGCAGCCGCCGAGCCTCTGCGACGTGCTCTGGCAGAGTGGAATCTCGATGGCGACAGCATTGGCGTCATCAGCATTCACGGTACCTCCACGAACGCCAACGACAAGAACGAGAGTCACGTTTATCACGAGCTTTTGAAGCATCTTGGCCGCACACCCTGTCATTCGGTGCCCGTCATCGCCCAGAAATGGCTGGTCGGTCACGCGAAAGGTGGTGCAGCTGCATGGGCTCTGAACGGATTGATGCAGTCGATTCTGACAGCGACCGTACCTGGAAATCGCAACGCAGACGACATCAGTGCAGAGCTACGCAAATTCACGTACTTGCTGTACGCCTCTCAGACTTTGCATCGAACCCCTGAGGACCTCAACGTCGGACTAGTGACGTCTTTCGGATTCGGACAAGTCGGCGGCATTGCGGCAATCCTGCACCCTGCCCACCTGCTCTCTCGCGTCTCGCAGCAAGAGTATGAAGCATACGTGTCGAAGCGCGAGCGTCGTGAAGGCAAGACTCATGCTCGCATGCACGCGATGCTCACTAGCAATAGTCTGGTACGCATCAAAGACGCGCCACCCTACCCTGACTCGCTTCAAGATGCCGTCATGATCAACGTGAGCGCAAGAGCCGTTGAGATCGGTGACTCATACGGCTTCAAAGCTCCATTGGCACCCATGCCATCCCGAGATCCCACCAAAACGGCGTCCGCCCAGTCTGGCACGGCCATTACAAGCACGGCATCCGACGATCTAGCTCAGGGCGCATTAAACGCGTTAGCTGGTAACATGGCTAGCGTGCAAGGTATTGGCATTGATGCTCAGCAGGTGTCAACATTCTCCTCCGACGAAGCCTTCCTCAAGCGGAACTTCACGTCAGCCGAGTTAGATTACTGCAACGCTCAGCCAGATCCCACTGCAGCCCGAGCTCGCAGATGGGCAGCGAAAGAAGCCGCATTCAAGGCTCTTGGTATCACGGGACACGGAGCCGCTGCCCCTCTGATCAACTTCGAGGTAGTCTCTAGTCCTCAAGGCCCTTCTTTCAGGCTGCATGGAGAGGCTCACGACGCTTGCAAGGGTTCGAAACTTTTGCTTTCCATCACGCACAGCGGCGATACCGCCGTTGCTGTTGTTCATCGTGTACCAGCCTGATGCAACCGCTCGCCTCACCATTTCGATCCGCCCACGACTTCCCACATAGACCGATGATTTCTTTGTCACGACACTGACTTCCGCTGAATACATCGCTGATTCAATGAGCACCCTTGTGCGTAATCTTGATCGTACAAGCTTGGTGATCTAATGTTAGCGAAAAGTCAAGGCAGCGCGTCGTGTGTGGATGGATGCATTTGTATCGTAAGCTGGAACTGGACCAATGGACTGGATGTAAGAGTCGTCGTGAGTGTTCGCGGTGGAACCACGTAATCAACAGTGTGAGGATCTACAAAGAGAACAGGAATTGCAAGTCCGAGACGGTGAGACGCGTCATTGCCGTGTCGTCTGAGCCGATGGCTGCTTCGATCATGGCTCCTTTCTTGTCTTGCAGCTGGATGATTCTGCTTTCAATCGAATTCTCAACGACTAGACGAGTGACTTTGATGGGTCGGTATTGACCCAGACGATGGATGCGGTCCATCGCTTGTACTTCCACGGAAGGATTCCACCAGGGATCCATGAGGAAGACGCGCGAAGCCTCTGTCAGATTCAGCGCAACACCTCCCGCCTTCAGGCTGACAAGGAAGACAGAGACCTCAGCGTTCTCCATGAAGTACCTGATGGTGGCGTCGCGTGCTGCCGGTGTCATGCCACCTTCGAGGCGGCAAATGCGGTAGCCTGCCCTCTGCAGGCGGTAGCCGATGAGGTCGAGGAAGTTGACGAATTGCGAGAAGACGATGCTCTTGATCGTCTTGTCTTCCGACTTGAGACGCTCAAGCTCTTCGAGTAGCGCCTCGATTTTGCTGCTGCTGCGCCACTTGCTCATGTCGAGGCGCTCAAGAATGCCTTGGCGTCCTCGGGCATGCGCGTCCACTTGCTCGGGCGGCTCAAGCGCATCGGCCTCCAGGTCGATGGTTAGGTTGTTGTGACAATGAGGACAGTCTGGAGTGTGGCCCTCAGCCACAGCCGCTTCGTAGTAGCTGGTGACGCAATCACGACAAAAAATGTGGCGGCACTTCGACATGATCGCGTCCTCCGCTTCTTCCGTGCAAATGCGGCAGAACCAGATGCTCTCCGTGATATCGTCGCCAAGCAGCTTGTTCTGGATGCCAGATTTGGAGCGAAGAACAAGATCGGGATGGCACGCCATCTGACGCATGCGGGTGAGAAGCGTAAAGATGTTGGAGTAGTTGTTCAGAACCGTTCCTTGGTCGAGATACGTCGAGAACTTGCGCGTTCCTTCAGTGTATAGACTTGCATACAAGTCTTCTTCCTCCTCGTTAAACATGTCTCGGCGTACGACGATGGTGCGCGGAGGCAATCCCATGTCATCTGCGCGCTCAATCTTGGTTCGACGCAGCATCATTCGGCTCAAAAGTAGTCGAAGACGTTTGAACGCATGTCCGCCCTCGCCGGTCGCGGCACCAGTGCGCTGGATTGGCTTGAGAATTTCCTGGTTCCATAGGTTGATGTGTCTCATTGGAGAATGCCCGCATTTGTCGCAAGTCCTTCTGTCACTGAATTGCCAATGCAAGGAAGTGCAAGGGCACGATTTGCAGTAGTACATTGCCAAAATGCGCGCTGTATTGTCAGGAGTGACATCCAGGGTCACAGCTTCTTCAACGCGTTCGTTGAGCTTCTGTTTGCCCTTGCGTGATCTTGTGCTGGCCTCGGGCACCCATTCGTCATCTTGCTCGTTCAAGGTGCGTTCGGTTTCAACCAAATGGTCATGGTCTGACTTGCTGACGCTAGCTTCTACGGGCTCGGACACAGTCGCTGACGCATCCAGCTCCGCCAGTTGGCGCTGCTCAGCAGCTTCCTTCTTCGTGTCGGTGGCAATGTCGCTGCCCAGGAAGCGCACCATGCTATAAAGCTCGCCTACTCGGTTTTGTAAAGGTGTGCCTGACAGACACCATCTGTAAGTTCCTCGCAGAGCGAAGGCGGCCTTGGCGGTATTTGTGGCGCGCTCTTTGATGTTGTGCGCCTCGTCCAACACTACGCGGTGCCAACGCACTGCGTGTAAGGCACTTCTCTCCTTGTGCAGCTCACCCTTGCGTCTAAATCCAGCATGCTCTTTCCGATAGGCGCTTTCGAGGATGCCGTAGCTGGTCAGAACTACGTCATTACGTCGAATTTCATCGACGTCAGATTCACGAGTAGCCCCGTGCCATACCATGACTTTGAAGTCTTCGGTGTACTGGAAGACGGGCCTGCTGAATCAGCTGCGAGCTTCTCGAGGGAGATCATCCATACTCAACGGCTCACCTTTGCGATCTCGTGCTTCCATTGCATGATGGCTACAGTCGGGAGCACAACCAATATAGGCTTTTGGCGGTCGGACAAGAAGAGCGAGATCATTTGGATCGTCTTTCCCATGCCCTGCAGAAGTGTAGCGATCGGTTTAACATGGCTCGCAGCATTTGTCTACGCTCACCGCCGAGTAGTTGCTCACCATTTCGTCCGCAAGGATGCCGCCCTTCCAGTGCCCAAGTTCTTGCTGACGAAGCCAGTACAGGCCCTCCAGCTGGAAAGGCAAAAGCTTAATGGTCAAGCCGTCTGGTTGTTGAGCTCCAGTAGGCTCTGGCTTGGGCGTCTTGTTCAATCGCTTCCACAAGCCTTTGAGGTGCTTGTGATGCACAGCTAGGGCGTCCGAAGTTTTGGCATACTGCACCATGTGGAGGAGTATTTGTCAGAACGCCCGGCGTGCCAAAAAGCGGCAAAATAGACTCACCCGAGATCTCTGTGCTTTCTTGAGACGTTTGCGATGAGCCTCGCTTCGCAGGCGAGCGGCCCGCTGTTTGGCTGTCTCCCATCGCTGTTCTTCTCCACCAGGCATGGTACTTCCTCCTGCTTCATCGGCAGGCTTTTCATCATCGCTGGTGTCGAGTCCAGTATCACTTTCAGATTCGGCTTCAGGCAGAGCTGGGGCCAATCTGGCCTGGAAACTTGCGCGACCGCGCTTCGTCGGGCGGTATGCTTCGAACTCCGAGTCGGACTGCGCATCGCCTGCATCCCTCCACTCATTCCAGGCACCATCGTCTTTGAGATTGGAGATATCGAACGGGAGATCTTGGGAGACGTCGGTGAGTGGAGAGAAAGAGGGCTCGCGTTTGAGGAGTCGAGGACGTTTGCGACTACTGCTGCCACCCGAAGATTTGGCTGTGTCGCGTTTGGAGCGTGGCGAAGGCTGGAAAAACCCTCCATCGTCCTCTTCCTTGACATCGCTCAAAGCCTGATGAGCTAGAGTCTTTGAACGCGAGCCCTCACCTCTTTTGCTGTTGAGTGCACGAAGACTTTGCTTGGAGAGTAGCGCTACCTGCTCGAGCTCTTCATCCGTGTTGTCGCAGTACATATCCGCCAGTGACATGCCCGATTTCAGCACCACTTCGGGTATCGCTTTTCGGCCAGTCTCAGGACTCGCTAAAGGGGAGCCGTAGTCGTACTCAGAGTCTGAGGTGACGTTGCGTCCTCCCCGGCGCGAGCGTTGCAGCTTGGAACGAGGACCGGGGGAGCTTTTGGGCTCTCGAGCCTTCGCTCTGCGAGGCTGCGCATCATCTTCAGCGTAGGAGGGACGGTTGAGCTATAGCAAGGCAGCAGCAACAGTCAACATACTAGCAACGACAGGATGGAGAACGACGCACATCACACGTACCTTGGCTTTGCGTTGAGGACGCGCAGATGCTACGGAAGTGTTCGGGGTACTTAGTCCAGAAGGATTTCGGCTGCCGCTTCCGCTCTCGAAGCTTTTCAATGACTGTGGCGAGACTGCATCGCTGACGCTGTCTGGTGAGCGTTTTAAGGCTTGTCGAGGACGCGGCATGTTGAAATTGGCCTCCGTGTGCACACGGACTCGGTGGCAAATCGCAGCGCTGCGCCTTGGTGCGTCCTGTGCACTCTCGGAACGAGAAGAGATCTAAAGTAGGGGTCTTCTAAAGACGGAGGAGAATGAAGCTTGGCAGTGATGAACACCACTTGGAGGATGTGAATGTGTCGTGCCTAGCAACACAAAGAGCACGGGGACGAGTGGTGAGTGAGAGTGCCGTGTAGTCTTGATGCGGCCGCTGCAATCGCAATCAATTGAATGCCTGCCAAACCACGATGAGTAGTGCCGTGAACAGAGGATGGGCACTGGATCAGTCATCGAACGGCCACTTGCCGCCCCGATGAGCCTGGCTCAGGTCAGGCGGCTACGAGACTGCAAACTTCTTCATGCAAAGTAAAGCCTGCTGACACTCCGATCACGTGGGCGTGATTTACGCGAGTGCTCATCATCTCGCGTCGCGCCGCGTCTCGACACGTTGCAACGTCAGCGGTGGGAGGTCACGTGCAGTGTAGACCTCCACCCCGGAAATCCTCGCTCTTTGCCCGGTAATCTTCCCTGGCCCGCATGAACTTGTGCTTAGCCAACAAAAAGGGAGCCCAACGTATCTTCCTAGCGGGCTTCATAAGCACCGACGGGCTCGCCTGATCGCTTAAATCTTCATCCTACAACACATTGCCCTAAACGTGCTATTCTAGCATCATCCATTCAGTCAAAGTACATCTGGAGCTGTCAATATGTCCAACTTCGCCGCGAATTCAATCTTCAGCCTGGCCGGAGCCGTTGCGGTGGTCACCGGTGGAGGAACAGGCATCGGTTTGATGGCAGCCAAAGGACTCGCCTCACAGGGAGCCAAAGTGTGTGAGTCTCCGACGCTTTCAGCATCGTTCCTGGTGGAAGAGCTAACATTTGGATGTCTTGTTTGATCACTAGACATCACCGGTCGTCGATTGGAGGTGTTGCAGAACTCCGCAAAAGTTCATGGCACTAATCTGAGTGGAGGCGGCAGCATCGTGCCGTGAGTTCGAGGACCAGCATCGCCACTCACGATGTGCTGCCTCGTGTAGCTAATACACTCTCATGGACACGGGATTGCATTTTCGACACCAGCCTCCAAGCTGACGTCACCTCCAAGGATGACTTGCGCGCTCTCGCTGCTCAAATCGAGAAGGCTGACGGAAAGGTGCACGTGCTGATCAAGTGAGCTGCGCCCTTGCATACCACTCAGTCATGTACACGCTTGCTGACCTCAAACCTTCGACTCGTCCCTGTACCGCAGCAATGCAGGCGTCGAAGGTCCAGTCACACGGCTTGAAGACAAAGAAGCGCTGTCTGCGAAAGACCTCAGCGAAAAGCATCTCGCCAACGAGGAGTTCGAGGTGCGTGTGCGCGTCGAGATATTTGAGCATGCTCGACGGCTGAAAACGCTCCCTGGGTATGGACGGCCTGTTGCAGAATTGGGACTCGACCTTCAAGCTCAACAACTCGGCCGTCTTCTTTGCTACTTTCGCCTTCTTGCCTCTCCTCGAAGCAGGCAACAAGAGTCCTCCATCCTCCGTGGGTAGCGGTGCGCCTTGGAGCGCCGCTGTGATCAATATCACGTCCATATCGGGTCTGGTCAAGCTTTCGCAGTACCAGTGAGTGGCCACATACGCCGATGACGATTCATCGCAGAATCTAGATTAATCGATGCACTCCACGCAATGCCCGCCTTTAGCTACGCGTACAATGCTTCCAAAGCCGCAGCCAATCACCTCACCGCCATGCTTTCGCACGAGCTGAACTTCGCATCCAAACTCAACATCCGAGTCAATGCGCTGGCTCCTGGCCTTTTCCCTTCTGAGATGACATCAGGGCGTCCTTCAAAGGACGGCTCAACCGATCCAGGCGACCTTGCCAACCACGCAAACCCAGCTGGAAGAACGGGTACTGCCGAGGAGATGGTGAGCCTTTGTCTAGCAAGGATGGCCACCGCGCCTAGCAAAAGCGTGTCCTGACCTTTTCATTTGCATCCAATCCAGGCGTCTGCTGTGCTCTTTCTAGCTACCAACACCTTCACCAACGGTCAGATCCTCGCAGTGGACGGCGGCTTCGTGGCAGCGGTCCCTTCCACTCGTTGAAGTCTCAATTGTAGCCAGCAACGATGAAGCAGTGCTCATTGCATGCCAACAATTGGGCATTACAATTGCAGAGCTCTCAAGCGCTTCATATCAATCGTGAATCGTGAACATCGTCCGCTCTGCAATCTCTGCGTGGCAGCTGCAACTTGTTCCGATGCTGAACCTCTGTCCGCGTGATGAGAATTGAACGCTGTAGCGCAACGGCTGGAGTGGCTGATTAAGCGTGCGGCAGCGACCTCCTCGGACCTCTGCTGGGCGCCGAATAGCGGCTGATGAGAAGACGCAGGACGGCGATACCCTTGTGCAGGTCGTGGCAATCCCGCAAATGGCGGGACAATGCCTGCCACGTTCGCGAGGGTGGGATGAGGCACGGAGAAGGCGCATGTAGAGCTTCATTCTTGATTAAGGCAGGCACATCTCGCATGACAGGTGCGAGGCAAGCCACCTCCACGCTTCGAGCGCAGCTGGGGCTTTTTGGAGCGAGCGGCCCAAAGCACTGCTTGAACCTGTCATATCAATCCTGAATGATTGGTCGGGGCTCTTCTTGCGTCGGACAGCGCAATCGGGCTCAGCGCTCACCATTGCGAATGTGCTGAGGTTCCGCAGTACTCAGTCCGGCTAGGAGCCTTAGCTTGCTGGCGGGGGACTGTCTTCGCATTGCTACAGCGAGTTTCGCTGGGCCGGCACGTGAGACCAGCCCCAGGTCGCTTGGTTTCATAGCGTGAATATGTCGTGAGCCCTGCTCGATTTTGGGCAGGCTGTGTGCTTTCCGCATCTGTTCATTCAGAGATTCTCGTCATGTCCGGAGCACAGACAGATCCCCGTGGCGGTGGCTGATATCCAGCGTTGGGTGTATCGCTGAGTAATGGCCGTGGCTGGAAGCGGACCAATCCGAGCGCGGTCCTTCAGCGGACTTCGTGTCGGTGTGCCTGTGAGTAGGGAACGCTCGGAGGCAAATGAAGAAGAACCACGGATCACGGATATGGATGCGGTCTGAGTTGCCCAGGGCAGTCGGTCAGCGGACCATGTCGTGTGACCAGCCCTCTGCTCACAAGGCGAGAGAGCGGGCGTCGTCGCAGTCCAAAATGGTGGTGCTCCTGCGAATGACGGCGATTCGGCCAATGACGGAGCTGGATGCTCGAGCCCTCACCGCGCTTTGTGCTACAACAGTCGTGACGTCGGTACTCATCAGACTTTGCTATGCATCCGAACGTTGGTAAATTCACAAGGCGTCCCATCGCCTGACTGCTTGGGAAGTTGAAAAGGTACCGAGGCAGGCAAGTAGCAAGCCGCGTGCATGCCACGCCGGCAGACTGCGGGGAGACAGCCTTCAAGGCTCATGGTTGGTCCATCCGAGCCACACGCGCGCTAGCAGGGGACACTGCACGAGACCTCGTTGGCGTGCATGAAATCCCCCGTAAGCGTGTAATAGGGCGAAAGGCCAGCTGGCTGAAGCTGCCTCGAATGATTGCTGCGAGCATTGACCTGATCTTCGCTCAAACAGCTTGCACAAGGCTCTTTGACCGGCTGTCTGCCAGAGCTGACCATGGGCGGATTGCTACCGCTGCAAGGTTCGAAGCGGCAGAGTGCTGTTCTTGCGATGCGGAAAAAGGATGAAGCTTCACGTCTGCAGTCGCGAGATTGAATGAGGGGCAGGTACGGGACGCGGCGTGCAGTGGCAGGGCGCTAAGGCACAGCTTGGCACGCTAAAGCGGACTCACACGCAAGACGTTCAAAGAAAATCGAAAATCCTTGAGCGACTCGGGATCCTCAAAGCTTCACGCCTTTGCATCCCTCTTGCCGACACGCATCAGCAGTCCGGGGGCCCTACTGATGACTGATGGTGAGGCCTTGCGCCGAGCTACGAGCTCCTGCGGCGGATCTGGCACGGCGAAAATTTCGTGATTGTGGGGTGCACTTCACGCAAGACCAAACTCCGTCTCGGCGCGACTTTCTCGCCGTTCTCCGCTCCTCGTTGAAGAAATTCGAACCAAAATGTAGCACATCGCCCTCCGCGTCGGTCATGAGTGCACGAAGACTGCTTTAGCCATCCCCGCCACTCACACGTCCTTTTGTCCGCTTCTGTCGCTGCTGACGGCCATGCATGCAGTAGACGAGTCCCCGCATGGCCGTTTGCTCCGCCGTCTCCGCAATCGCTTCGCCTTGCTCTTGCGGAGTGCGGCAACTGCCTTCGTGATCAGTAGGCTGTTGCGGGCATGCTGAGACGGAGCGGATGCCGAGCTCGACGAGAGGAAAAGGTACCGCGCAGGACCTGTGCTTGCCCAACCCCTCGAATCCGCACGATTCCGCCGTTTGAAAGTTGCTCGTCCGCCCGCGAAGCGCCGGACCGAGCGCGCTTCCCCACACTTACCGCGTCTCCTGCCAAACTCACCTCAGCCCTGTAGCTGCTGCGTGCTCGTCTCAGTCGTGAGTATATACTGCCCTGCCGCTACGGGTGTACGTTCCTAGCCACTCGTACCTCATTTCTGTGCCTGTAGAAGGTGTCATCTCCGGACGTCGGCTACCCCGCGCTCATGTCTCATGTCCGTTGTGCCCAATGTTCCGAGGTACAGCTCGCTCATGGTCTCATTATTTTCTTCTTCGACTGTGCGGAGGCAAATTGTGAATGGCTGTGGATGTTTTGCCCGCTTGCAGCAGGTCCAGACCACCCGCAGCTCCCTGACGGCGCTAAGGGATGCAGGCACTTGCGGGCTATATAGGGGATTGAGCAAGCTCTGCTGATCGTTTGCCTGCCCACTGGCTCCTCGGGCAGGTGGACCTGCCTCAAGTAAGCACGCTAGTCTTGTCTTGAAAGAATAAAGCGCGCATCTTTTTGGAGCTTGCGAGGGCTGAAAGCCTGCTCCCGTTGCAGCAGGGTCCCTGACGCTGATGAACCTCCAGCCCCCCCCCCCCCCCCCCCCGGGTAGGCCCGCTTGGAGGAACGAGACCGCGCCTACAGTAGTGCAGCAGGGTCGGGATATGGAACGGCAGCCATGGCAGACTGGGCTACGCTGCAGCTGCCTGCACGCGAGCATGCTTCGTCGTCGGATCGGAAATGGGAAAGTGAGCGTGTCGAGGTGGCGTTGTGGTCAGAAGTGGGTTCGCTCAGTCCCCTCGCGCATGCTTCGGCAGAATCTCTGCGTACTCCCTGTTTGCGGCAAGCGTAGTCACATCAGCAATCAGCGAGAATCATCTCTCACACTCCTTGATTTGCTTTCACAAAAATTGGCTTTGGGCACGGCGTCAGTGTTTGCGTCTCAGGACTACGCCATCACAGCCGCGGGGAGCCAGGTGCCTGTGCGTGTGTGTATAAATACAGCATGTGACCCCATCATGATGCGCAACCCGCCCTCCCCAGCTCCCCCCAAACTCCCCCCAGAGCCCACTCCTGCCTGTAAGCTATCTTACACTCCATCCTTTCACCTCCTTCATTCGTTCCACAATGGCTGACGTCTCTCACAAAGAGTCGCCTTCGAGCGAGAAGGCGTCTTTCACGCAGCAACAAACCAGTGATGCTCCCGCAGCACCACGCCTGGACTTGTCCAAGGAGAACTCCGAGGGCCTGTTGGTCAACGCGCTCTCCGGCATCTCTCAAGACCAGCTCTTCCGCGATGTTGACCAATTCTTGCAAGAGAAGCAGATCCAAGAGGACCCCGCCTTGTTCCACCGCGCAGCCCTCGCCGCTCAAGAACCCGCACGTTTCGAGTCAATCGATGGCTTGCAAGAGGATGAGCGCAGCGCGCTTCAAAAGGAGCTGACCAGCAGGTGAGTCATCGGCTTGCACGACGACGGCACGGAATACGCACTGACCTCGTCTAAACTAAATTATCACGCGATATAGATGGGCAGCCCCTTGGACACTCTACCTGACCATCCTGGCCTGCAGCATTGGTGCGGCTACCCAAGGTTGGGATCAGACGGGCTCCAACGGTGCAAACCTGTCCTTCCCCGCGGAGTTTGGCATTGACGGAACTGACCGTGGAGAGTGGATCGTTGGTGTGGTCAATTCGGCTCCTTACCTTGCCTCGGCCGCCCTCGGCTGCTGGCTTTCTGACCCTCTCAACAACATGTTCGGACGTCGCGGTACCATCTTCATCACTGCCCTCATCCTCATCGCCACCCCCATCGCCTCCGGCTTCACTCACTCTTGGCAGACCCTCTTCGTCGTTCGTCTCATCCTGGGTATCGGCATGGGTGCCAAGGGAAGCACTGTCCCCATCTTTGCGGCTGAAAACTCTCCCAACGCTATCCGTGGAGCGCTCACCATGTCTTGGCAATTGTGGACCGCTTTCGGTAAGTAGCAATGAGTCATTACAGGCCGCTCTCAGAGACTTACCGTCGATCTTGCCTTGTGATTCAGGTATCTTCGCTGGTTTCGTGGCGAACTTGGTCGTTGCAGACACTGGACGCATCGCTTGGAGACTTCAACTGGGATCTGCTTTCATCCCCGCTGTGCCTCTCGCATTCCTCATCTGGCTCTGCCCCGAGTCCCCCCGTTGGCTCATGAAGAAGGGCCGCTACACCGCAGCCTACCAAGCCCTCCAAAGACTTCGCTTCACCAAGCTCCAAGCCGCACGTGACCTGTACTACATTCACGTTCAGCTCGAGGAGGAGAAGCGCGTCATCCGCGGAGCTACCTTCGTCAGCCGCTTCACCGAGCTCTTCACCATCCCTCGTGTTCGCATGGCCACCATTGCAGCTTCGACTGTCATGCTTGCCCAACAAATGTGCGGTATCAACGTCATGGCCTTCTACTCCAGCACCGTCTTCAAGACGGCCGGCCTTAGCGACCGCGAGGCACTAAAGTCATCCGTTGGCTTCGGAGCCCTCAACTTCGTGTGAGTAAGCGCGCTGACATCAAAGATAGCGAGAAAGCGGGATTGCGGCTGACGCTCTTGACTATTCCCTCGCTATCAGCGGCGCCATTCCTGCCATCTTTGTCATCGACAAGTTCGGTCGCCGATCCCTTCTGCTCACGACCTTCCCCATCATGGCTATCTTCCTCTTTGCCGCCGGTCTGATGTTCCTAGCCCCCAACACTGCCAACCCTGACTTTGGCATTGTCCCCGATGCGGACCAATTCATCGCCACCAAGGGCAAGCTCGCCGGTATTGCCATCTTCATCTACCTCTTCACCCTGGCATACTCGATCGGCGAAGGCCCTGTCCCTTTCGCCTACTCTGCCGAGGTGTTCCCCCTTGCTCAGCGTGAGCAGGGAATGGGTTGGGCGGTCGCTACTTGCCTGTTCTGGGCCTCCGTCCTGTCCATCACTTTCCCTAGAATGCTGCACGTCTTTGGATCTCTGGGCACATTCTTCTTCTACGGCGGATTGAACCTGATCGCCTTTGTCCTCATCTTCTTCTTCGTCCCCGAGACCAAGCGTCTCTCCCTTGAGGAGCTTGACGGTGTCTTCTCCGTTGGCAACAGTCGCTTCGCCAGCTACCAGCTCACCAAGACGCTGCCCTACGCCATCAAAGTTGCGACTCTGCAGCACCCCGAGAAGCCCGTTCCGCTCTTCAAGAAGGTCAATGTGGACATCTTGGAGCAAGCTTAAACGCTTTCCCCCACGACGCCTCACCTTTTCATTTCAAAATCCCGCCCTGCCTTTGTCAGCCAGCGTGCTTGAGGTCTCTTATAACGTCACTGGTTCTCCTACTTCGTCCCTTCCTCTGACTAGCCATGTACTACTCTGAAACGTCTAAACGCGCGCGCCTGCCCACTCTCTCAAACGGGCGGCTCGCTCTGGAATACCATTGAGATTGTCATTGCGATTCGTGACCCTTCGCGAGAAGTTTGACCACGACGGAGCTTTGAGAGTGCACGGGCCCGACAGCCTGTTCGTACTCGTGTGCCTTTGTCTTGCTGCTGGAGCTATGCAGCCATGCCTGACTGCTGGAATATCCGCATTTCAGCGTCCAGATTTTGCAGAATTTCTTGTGCGTGTTTTGCCGCGTCTCCTCCGCTCGTGCCCTTTTCCTTGCCAAATCCAATCTTGAGCTCTTCGAGCGCCTGCAGCAAGAAGTTGCGGCCCATCAGAATACGCGGCATTCCTACAGCTGGAAGCTTTGGAGGGTTGGGCAAAATGGATCTGTCCACCGCTTCACTCTCATCAAAGGCGGCTACAGCGTCGGAGATGAGCAATTTACCTAGCGTCAAGAGCGCAATGGCTCGAGTGGGATGACCTTCGGCAAAAATGATGCCATTCGACACCGTCATGCCTGTGCAGACGAGCATCGCCAGCCGTGTCGCTTCCACCAGGTAATGGTCCGCCAAGGTTGTAGCCATGCTCTGGGCACGGACGAGGCTCTTTGACCTTTCAAGTACGTCAATGCGAGCAGCGATGCTCGTGAACATCTCGCACGCTGTGCGCAACATCGAGAGGAGCGGATACGCCGAAGGAGGCATCTGCACAGTCAGAAGTCCTACAGCATCTCGTAGACATGTGATGGTTTTGTCGACTACGAGACGCCACCGATTGTCAGCACAGGTTGCGTCCTTTGTCCTCATTGGCTGTCAAAGCAGTAGAGAAGAGACTCACCCTCAAGAGCACTTAATGCCTCTTTCGCCTCTTTCATTTTGCTCTGAGCAGACTCGACAGTCGTTCGCAACGTCTTCGGATCGATGGTTGAGGATGCACCACAGGCCGGACATCGGATCGTAGATGTGCCGGTCCCTTCTTCTACTCGAGAGGGCTACCAGAGTGAGCAGCAGCATTAAATGAAGGAAGGCAACTATGGTACTCACCTTTTGGCGCGGCACACCAACCACCGCACTTCTTTGGGCACCAAACCGAGTCTCTGGGATCTACCCATGGTGCGTTGCCAGAGAGACTTGATGCTTTTGAACCAACTTTGCAGATCTTGCACCTACACTCAAAGCTGTATGTGCAAGAAAGCGTCTTCCGTCGCTTGGTGTACGAGTCTGACAGGTCGACGTAGGCCGTTGTGATCTGTGAATGTTGCACATGTCATCAGCCACAAAGCAGTTGCTCCAGGAGTCTTGGAAGGATTTCACCTCTTGTCCGGGCTCTACATCCTTGATGGCCACGACGCGCATAGGCCCAGCCGTGTGCCCACTATCTCCCGGGCCAAACGGAAATACGACGACCGCATTTGGAAGACACGAGTGATTGATCAACGCGGCCGTGGGGCAGACAGCAAGCCCACAGGGACTGAGATCTGAGGAAGACGCCGTGAACGAGTTGGTCTCGAACTTATTACGAGCGGGCGCCGAGTCAGAGAGGCTGAAGAATGGATGAGCATCTATATCAGAAGCAACTGTGCCCTCACCTTGCAGACAAAGTCGAGCAGCTGCTGTACGCTGTCGAATCCTAGATCAGCGAGTCTTTGTCGATTCGCTTCTTCCTCATATATCTCCTCTCTTTCGGCCCTTGAAGATGTTCCAATCCCTATGTACCGACACAACCTGTAAGCCTGCCCGGCGATGGACTGTATTTGCTCTGAGGCCTTTTGAGCACGATCTACGGCACATCAGGTCAGCAGCGCGACCATTGCAGAGACCGAGCTTGCGTGGCGAAATGCCTACTCACTCGATTGCATGGAGTCGAGCTGATTCCACCACTTCTCGCCTTCCGTGGGTCTCTTCCATATCAGCCTGGCCAGAGTCCGAGTATGGCAGTCCGGTCGTGGATCTCTTGCGTTCGCGTGCGCTTGCCAAGCTTGAAGAGCTTTGCATTCTGTCTTGTGAATCGCCCAGTCTGTTTTCTGACAATTTACGCTGCAGTATCGAACATACCGACAGGCTGAGCACCTTTGAAAGCGCGAAGTGTGGCTTTGAGGCTCGAAGCATACATGACAATGCGACTCCACCTCTTCCTGACCAAGCACAGAAATGTGCGGCCTAAGACGGAGCAGTGTTGTACCTGCGCAGAAGAACCGTTGCTCAGCGTCCGGGACTCGCCAAGAAACGGACGACGTTGGACAAGCCATGTAAGTGCTTCACCTTTTTTGCAAAGTTCATCGCCTTGGGGCGCCCAGAAAATGCCTCGGCCTGCAAATTTGGTCTTTCGCACTTCCAAGGCTTCATTCTCCTCCAGGCGGTACGGTAGAGTATCGCTCGGTTCAAGTGAGCTGATACCCGTCGATGACGCTCTCCGTATGGATGAAGGAATGTCTGCAGGCATGATTTTGTCACAGACCTTCATCCTGACTGACCTGTCATTAGTGTCAGGTTGCTCGGCCCTGACTGGGTACTGCGTGGTTCCGCCGCCAGACGGAGGCGTGCTATCGGGCGTACTTCCATCCGCATTCTTCTCATCGACCGCAGACTTGCTGGCGTCACTAAATTTGGCCAGAGCACGAGCGTTGTTCGCGTACAGCATCGATCGGTTCAGCGCCCGCCTTTGCTTCAGATCTTTGAAGCTCGCCATCTTGAGACAGCACCACCGCGCTCGAGGAATGTCGCACGACGGGCAAAGGTCTGGGTGATCGTACAACTTGATGCGATGTGCCAATCTTTGCTCGCTCGACTTGATCAAGATGGAGCACTTGCGGCGCGTGGCACGATCTGCTAGTGGGACTCATAGTACAAAGTGGTGGGGAAGACGAGCGGCGCATTGGTCTTTCGGTCCCTTTGACTTCACCACCGTGGTCAAGGTGAATCAATCTTGAATTCGTGATTGTATGCAGAGGGCATTTACGCGGCTCGACTTCCCGTCACGTGCTCAATGCACATCTAAGTCCGCGCGTGATCTTCCACTTTTGGAGTCGTGAGTCTGCTGATGAGTCAACTTCAAATCGTGAATTCACGATTATCCAAGGCGAGAACATCATCCGAGGCCTCAAAGGAACCACAGCTAGCGATGTGCTGATGACGACGCATCCTCGATGCAGCCGCATACACCCACCACGCAACACGAAACACTCACCCCCATTCCCTTGCTGCATGATCGTGCACTATCTCCACTAATCGCGCTTCCTCTTTCCCTTGCAAGCCTCAATGAGGCCGCCTTCCAGGCTGTACCGCCAGCCAGATGGCCTGCAGCTCCTCTCACGCACAGGCCTCTGCACTCAAAGCCATTCCTTGTCGAGCTCGCTTCTCTCGACAGGCGGAGCAAGTGGGAGGAATGAAGGTAGCTCTGCCTCACATCTCGCCTCGACCTTCGAGAGCAGACAGTCTCAGCGCGTCATTCGAACGCCACTGACCGGCTTGAGAATGCGCTTGCTGAGTCAGAGATGCCCTCACTCACTGCACTTTGCTCAGCACGAGCACAAGCAGAGCACGCTTGAGCCTGCTGTGCAGCGCCTCTTCTCTTCTCGCGCTGGTCCTAGAGTGGCACGCAAGCCGAAAGGCGCCAAGCAGGTCACCCAAGATGTCAATCCCAAGTTTACCTCATCCCAGGCGCTCGACAGTGGATCTATTGTCAGAACCGGACCAAAGCCCCTTATCAAAGCGCCACGTACGGCTGCAGTGGCTGGCCCCTCAAAACGCTCAAAGGCTGCTGCCACTGAGCAACAAGCGTCGCAGCCCATCGTTGCAACCAAGGAACACCGCTCCAGCACGGAAAATAACATAGCACTGGCAATGTCGCGCAAAGAGTTCGCCAAATGGTTCGGCACCACTGTCAGCGAGGTTGAAGCAGTCTTGGAGCGCGATCCGGCCGCAAAGCTGGGCGATGTGCGACGGATCCTCCCGTCGAGGCTGCAACGGGTCCACAAAAGGATCGAGGATCACATCCGTGCCGAGAAGCAACGACTGGACTCTTTCGGAAGCGCGCCTGGAGGCCATCTGCGCGACAAGATAGGCGTCAGAGCTGCTGCCGTTCTGAATTTGGTCGACGATGACGAGGACATCTTCAATCTCGCTCAGATGTACCTTGCCAGCCAGGCGGAGGAAGCCAAGGCTACGGCCGATTTAATGGGCGTTCACACCGTGGCAACGCGCATCGCAACGAGGATGGCACGCACAGCAGGCCGTGCTTTTCGACCCGTACAGATTGGCAAGCCAGACAACGACGACGTTGCTCCGTCACCGCCCGTGGAAGTGTCGACTCTCAAGGATGAGGCAATGCGCAGGTTTGACGTACTGAACGGTGTCAAGCAAATACAAAACTTGCATGCGGAGAGCGCTCCGAGAAGCATCGACATTGTTGGGGCTCATCAGCGGTTGCGGGGCGCTGAATCCGGTATCAGCGTGCCTGCGCCCCAAATAGCAAAGCAAGAAGAGGAGCGACGGAGAGCTGCCTTGACACATTCGCTCGAGGTACAGAAATCCCTCGAGCGCGAGGCACAGCGCGTGTCTGCGGCGGAAGAAAGGATGGCTCAAGAAGCACAGCTTCTAGTTCGAGCTCGTTCTGAGGAGATGCAATTGGCGCTGCAGAGACCGAAGATCAACATTCCGAATCCTGCAGCGCAGCAAGATCAACCACACCCTTCATTGCGACACAAAGCACCCATTTCTTCAAGCTTCTTGCCCGACATTTTTGGAACTCCGGCATCCGCGCAACCCGCTCTGCGAAAGATCGACAGCTACCTCAAGGGACATTTGACGCCTTTGCAAAAGGATTTGCAAAGAGGTCGTCATTACGCCGCCATTTTGCTTGACGGCGATAACTGCCGGTTCTTGCCCAAGTACGTTGTGAGAGGCAAGGAAGGTGCGCGCGACGTCATCAAGGAGCTGAAGGCGCGCGTACCGCAGCTTGGCCAGGACTGTCATTTGAGGATCATGGTCTTCATAGCGCTCTACAACAGTTTGGCATCGCACAAGCACTTCGGCTACGAAATCCGAGACGTCCTGGACTTTTACTCCGAGATCAGCCAAAATGGACCGCTGAACATCGTCGCCGAGGTTGGCAGGGAGCCTCAAGCGGCCGATCTGAAGGTAAAGACGCATCTTGCTGATCTTATGCTAGACTCGGATTGCAAACACATCTACTTGGGCGGCATAGATGATTCAGGGTACCATGAGGAGCTCAGGGCAGCCCAAAGCATGGGCTACCTCAGGCGCGTCTCCCTCATACATACTGGATCTCGAAGATCCACCGCCATAAAGTATGCGGAGTTCAAGGACCGGTTCGTCACCTGGGGCTCTCAGATCTTTCAATCAGGTCTCGAGATTCCTGCCGACGTAGCTGCCGAACATAGCAAGAAGACGGGAGTTTGAAGGCGCGTCCGGTGGACATACACAGACGCTTCCTCGCAAGGCCGAGGGCAGGGCTCGCCAGATGGGCACCATGAGACTACATTACAATTTCTGAACGATGCGCACCAGTAGCGCAGCTACGCATGTATCATACTCTCTAGCTCAGATACAATGACGGGGTCGATGCCCTGGAAAGCGAGGATCTCGAGCACGTTCATCAGGTCTTCAATCAGGACGGCTGAGCCAGCGGAGCTCTGACGCGACGCTGGTCCGCCAAAGCTTGCCGCCGCAAACGAGTCTGCGGCGTCTGAAATGAGACGCAACGCTTCCACAAGCCTTGCGATGAGGGTGCCAAAGGGGTTCATGCTGAAGTCGGTGCTGATGTAAGCCAGTCGATTGATGACACGGAACAACACCTTGATGACGCCGGGCGTGCTTCGGAGCACGCTCTTCACTTTTGGTGGTGCCAAGAAGCACATGTTGTAGAGACTCATGGCCAGCCTCTCGTTGTATGCTAGACGCGGTTCTGTCCTCATTAGTTGAAAATCCAGATCCGACACTGGTAGCAGCTTGACGAGAACTTGAGTGAATTGCAGAACCCTCGAAGAGGAAAGCAAAGCGCTCAGAACTTCCCTGTTCTCGTCTGGTTGAGCAAAGCGCGAGAAGGCCTCTAGGGCGATGTCCGCGTGTTGAGGCACTTTCCTAGCGACTGGTTGAGTGGACGAGTGTTGATCGTAGACGCCTCCAGACTTCTCTTCAATGTCCCCAGCATCGACTATGAAACCTGCGATCAGCTCGAATAGGGCGACTGATGCAGAGGGACCTAAGCTGGCGAGACGAATGTGATCACAGGCGAGTGTTGCGATAATCTCAAGAATGTCCTTCCGCACTCGCAATGCCTCAGTGAGGGTCAAGACTGTCCGAACTTCACCTTCGACTTCTTCTTCCTCGTCTTCCTGTGAGACTTCCGGCAAGCGCTGACGGAAGCGCCTCTTGACTTGAGCATCTGTCAGAGAGCAGATGCGCGCAAGCAGACTGAGTGCTCGTGGATGCTCGGCGATGACGACGTTGTTCTCGGTCATCATTGCAAGATTGCGAAGAATCTCCAAGACGGCAATCGAGGTAGCTGCAAAATGATTGGCACGTCGCTCATTGGCGCTTCGAGCATCGACGTCTTGTGCAGAGTCACGCAGGTCTAATAGTCCGTCTGCGTCTTCTTCAACGGCAAGTACTTCCTCATCACTGTCGGAGTGGTCGTCTAGGCGGAACGTATTGGCATCGCCAGAGCTTAATGCCGCTCCTTGCAAGCGCTTGCGGCGCCAGACTTGATTCTCTTGCTGTTCTTCCAACACAGCGTCTATCCACTCGCGGTGGGAAAGACCAGGAGAGGTAGGACCATCTGAGGCTAGGGAAAGAGTGTCGTCTCGGGGCCGCTCGGCGAGGAGCTCCAGCTCTTCGTCGCTGCGGCCGAGCACAGAATCCTCCAGCAGCTCCACAAGCTCGTCGAGGAGATCGTCGCATGAGCCTAGCGGAAAGATGAAATCCACCTGCGAGGATGATCCGCTTCCGGACGACAGAATGCGCAGTGCATTCAAAGCATAGGCCACTTCAATCTCCAGGCGGCTGCGCAGTGACATCGTCAGGCCGCCCACATCGACGTGACCTGCGGATGGAAGGCAAGGTTAGTTTGAGCCTTTGCTTGGAGCTCAAAGCCCCGGCAAACCAAGCTGCCGACCTCAACTCACCTAGTTCGCGTACATGCCTCGGTACTTTGCCTCTACCCTCGAGCTGCGTTCCAATCGCATCTTGTATGTGGTCCAGATCCCATCCACCGAAGCTCTTGAGATCCCGTCTAATAGGCATATACTCGATTTTGTAGAAGGGACGTTGATTGCTGACGTCTGCAGCAGAGAGTGGCACTTCGGCTAGAGCTGCGGCGGCAGCGCTACCAAGCCCTGGTGCCAGCTGAGGACCACCTGTAGCTGCCTGCTTCGCCTGCTGCTGTCGGACAGCGTCAGCGAGAGACGACGGCGGTACATCTGGCCCGGCATCGGCGCTTGCGGGTGCGCCTCCTTCAGACTTATCAGCATCAGGGGGAGTGGCAATTTGACTGGTCACTGTCTGCGCGATGGACATTGCACGAGCCTGTGTAGGTGGATCCAGCTTTGGAAATGCGGTCTTGATAGCTGCGAGAGCCCCTTGCTGCTGTTGCTTGCTCAAATTTCCGTGCTGTAGCGCCTGCATTGCTGCGTGCGCTTGCTGAATTTGGTGGGTAGCTAGTGCTTGTTGAGCAGCGGCGTCGCTTGGCATACCAGAGGAGGTCTGGGTGCTGGGCGCTCCAGACTCGTGTGGCACGGTCGGAGGAGCTGGAACCTCTCCGGACGGACCCAATTCAACAGAAGCGGTGGACTTGCGTGGCTTTTTCGCCGGGCGCTTGCTCTCTGCTTTGGTCTTGTTCGCCTCTGCTTGTCCGCCTGGGGGTGCAGTGGGTACTGCTTCCTGCGGACGCTGCAGCTGAGCTTGTTGCTCGAACGCAGCATTCTGCGGCGTTGGCGGCGGCTGCATGATCTGTGCCTGCAGCGGGCCTTGCTGCTGTGGGGGCTGCTGCAGCTGCTGCTGCTGCTGCTGAATAGTCTGACCAGACGGAGTCGATTGCGGAGGCTGCTGCGGTGTGCTCGAGGGCTGTTGTGCGTGGGCCTGGTTTTGACGAGCTTGTCCCTCCTGTGCGAGCTGGACCGCGCGCTGACTCGCCGCTTGAAGCTGCGCGGCCCTCTGCCTGGCCTGTTCCGGCGTGATGCGCTGAGCTTGGACCATGGCCGAAAGCTGTTGCATGTGTCCGGGGAGAGCAGCTACCATCGCAGACGCCTGAGCCATAGTAACATTTTGCAGAGGTGCGCTAGCGTTATCTGGAGCCTGGCCTGCCGGCTGTTGAGATGTGGTATTATCAGATGGTGGCTGCACGATCGACTGCCCATTGGGAGGCTTCTGCTGCTGCTGCTGCTGCTGCTGCTGTAATTGGTGCAAGGGCAGCTGCTGCTGACCCCCAGCGGGCCCGCTCTGCTGATTGGCCTGAGTCTGAGGTTGCGCTTGTCCACTCGCACCACGCATCCGTTGCATCCAGAACTCCTCGAAACTACCGAGGCGATCTTTGTAGAAGCTCATCAGACGATCTGCCACTTGGTTGGGTGGTGGCACACCTTGTGCGATATCTGCTGCGCTCAAATTTGCCATGCCCGTCGAGTGCGAGACATGCGTGGCAAGGTTCAAGCGCTGGGCTGCAAGAGCCCAGCCGTTTGGAACGGTCCCGATTCTTGCTGAGCCCCCAAGCCCCACGATGGACGCAAACAAGTTTTGCAGATCTACGCTTCGTGTTGATTCGCTCGAATTTAGCGATGGCCCGACGAACGTCATCGACATGTTCTGTGGTAGAGGCGTTCCCTTCGACGACATGAACGCCCGCACCGTGCCCAGAAAGTCTCTGGGTGGCTGAGGTCCCGCAGCAGCCGCTCCGCCAGCCGGCCCTGCGGCAAGTCCCTGTACACCTTGACTCGGCTGTTGGTTGCCTTGAGAAGCGGCTGCACCAGGAAACCCTTGTTGCGGCGTGCCCGAGCGTGGCTGATTTGGATGCTGAGCATTCCTTTGGCGCTGCGCAAACGCCTGCAACGCCGCAAGCTGGTCCTGGTGGTGCGCGCCATCTCCCACCGGCGGCCCTTGTCCCGGCTGCGAAGAGGTTCCAGCTTGTTGAGGCTGCTGCGGAAATGACTGCTGTTGCTGCTGCTGTTGAGGCTGCGCCTGGCCTTGCTGTGCTCCCTGCTGATGCTGTAGGTGCGGTGGGGGTGCTTGCTGCTGCTGCTGCTGAGTGGGCATGGAGGAGCCCTGTTGCGCCGCCTGCATTTGCTGGCTCAAATTTGATAGCTGACCCGCTTGCCCGCTGTTCTGTATCATTTGTAGGACCCCGGCCTGAGTCGCTTTTATCCTTTTGATCTGCGTTGCTAGCTGTTGCTGCGCATTTTGTTTCTGTGGGGAGTCGGGATGTCCAGCGACCGTTTGCCATTGGCGCTGAAGGGTCTGCATGGAGCTTTGTAGAGCCTGTCGAGAGGTGAGAATGGAGGAATTCAGATACGACGAATCGGACGAAGGCTGCAGAGTTCAATGCGAGACGCCCACGAGGCCTGCTCACCTGCAAAGATTGATAAGGGTTGCTGATCCCCTGAGGCACGTTTGGTCGGGCTCCCTGAGGCTGAGCTTGACCATAGGGCTGAGACTGACCAGTCTGTCCGCCTTGTTGCTGGCCTTGCGCGGATGCAGGCCGCTGCTGATTTGCTTGGAACTGCTGCTGCTGGGGCTGATGTTGTGGTTGTGGCTGCTGCTGCTGCTGCTGTTGCTGTTGCATGTAATTTTGGCCCTGCGAAGATTGACCAAACATGTTCGCAAGGTTCGACAGCGTAGCGTTAGACATCCCAATGCCTCCCGCAGGATTCGTAAGCGCGCCAAATTGGTTGAATTGCGGCTGAAACTGCTGAAATTGATTCTGCTGCTGCTGTTGTTGTTGCGGTGGTGGTTGATTTTGCTGCTGCTGCTGAGGATTCATCGTCTGACCAAAGCTCCCCACACCACCAAAGCCCATGTCACCCAAGCCAAATTGAGCATTTCCGATCATCTGATTGGATCCTTGCGGCATCTGCGGTTGCCCCAGACCGTACAGGGATTGCTGTTGACCTTGGCCTTGCTGACCACCTTGCTGAGGAGCCAAGCCCAACTGGGCGAGCAGCGCAGGGTCGAGCCCATTTATCCCTGATGGCAGCATGATCCCGTCGCCGCCGGAAACGCGTGAAAATGTGCGATCGGATGTGGCACAGCTAACGCCAGCTGACCTGTGATCCTGAACACCGCGACGCGACTTGGGTGTGTCGCGACGTGTTGTTGAGCAAGCACCAAGTGTGGGCGAGCTGGATCACCAACTTGCTACCCAAGCGCCCTTCACTGCAACATGCAGTGTTGAGGCGATGCGAGCACTTGCCCACGTCCAAGCTGATAGGAATCCGCAGGAGGAGACGCAAGAAAGGGGGTTCACAATCAGAATAGGCACGAAGATGGATGGCGCGAGACGTGATGGCGCTTCCATCGGTCCATACTCATCAGCCTCGCGACTAACAGCAGTCACGAGTCAAGACAACAAATTCGACCCGCGCGCACGCGGGCCCGCGCCCGCGGCACGCGCGCTCTCGCTGTTGGCCAAGCCGAGTGCACGTGACCCGTCCAGCTACACTCGAAGTCAGCAACCGTCAACATGATTAGCTAAGACACCACAAGCAATTTTGAGCAATCCTTCGAATCAAGCTCCAGCGATGGTACAGGTGGCGTGATACTCTTCGAAGCGTGAACGGTGACTCGCTTTTCTAATCGTCCGGCTGAGAGGCAAATCGTTGAAAGAGAGAGGGAAGTTGTAGAGGGCTCGTTGTCCTCACGTGACCCGGGCTCAAGCGCCGGCTTCCTGTGCGCCGTGCACCGGCCCGCATATGCATGGTGATCGAGGGTATGTGCGCTACGCTTCCCCGCGTCCGGTCAAGTTGGGCCGAGCCCGGCTGTATGCGTGCTGTGCTCTCTCAGCGACCTCAGATAAAGAGGGTAGAATCACTTCAGAGGAACCTCTCTTCATGGACAATGTCGACTACTCGCCTCCATTCACTTGTCGTAATTCAAGCTCTCCAGGATTCGCGCGCTTCATCAGCTGAGCCAGCAAGCAAGTACATTCACTATGGCGAGCCCTCATGCAAAGCTCCTCACCCGCTCCAAGACGCCATTCGCAGAGGCGCCTTGGCAGCAAGGCCTTCCAAGCCCTTACTACAAGGAGACCCACTATCGCTTCAGAGAATGGCTCAAGAAGTGGGTGGACGACAATCTGATGGAGCTCGCTGACGAGTGGGAGGAGAGTGAGTGTTGAGGGGACTGTCATGCTGCTGGCAACCATCACGCTCACGCTAGCCGCCGTGCTCTGTCTCCTCTGCTCTTAGTCGAGGATGACGCCAAGCTGGCGAAGGTCTTTCAGCTCTTCGCGAAGGAGGGCTTCCTGCTACCATTTGCTCTTGGAGTGCGCGTTCCTCAGAAGTTCGTCGACATGGCCGGCGGGCAAAAGCTGCCGGGCGGAGTACCCCCTGGCGAATGGGACAACTTCCATGACTTTATCCTGATCGATGAGCTGGCACGCACTGCATCCAATGGCGTTGTCATGGGCAACTATGGTGGTCTAGCATATGGTGCAGGGCCTATTGTGCACTTTGCTTCGGAGGGGCTGCAGAAGCGTCTGTTGCCCGACATCCTCACTGGCAAGAAGAGAATCTCGCTTGCCATCACAGAGCCCAGCGCCGGCAGTGATGTTGCAGGTGTCAGTACCGTTGCGAAGCTCTCCGATGATGGCAAGCATTATGTTGTCACGGGACTCAAGAAGGTCAGTCGCATGTTGATGTCGCTTTGATTAGGTCAGATAAATGACTGACAGCACCAGTGACTCCTTCGCGCGCCACTGCGATCAGTGGGTGAGTTGATCTTCTCATTGCAGGGCGCGATAAGCAAGTGCTGAGGGCATCTTCTCAACAGATCACGAACGGCATCTGGAGTGACTTCTTCACAACGGCAGTGCGCACATCAGGCAAACCTGGAGATCAAAAAGGCATCTCGTTCCTCGTCATCCCTCGCTCTGAGGGCGTGCGAACGACTAAGATGAAGATGCAGAGCGCCGGTTCAGGAACCACCTTCGTCGAATTCGACGAGGTCAAAGTTCCAGCCGAAAATCTCATTGGGAAGGAGGGAGAAGCTTTCAAGTACATTGTGAGTCCGTACCGCGGTGGCCTGTGTGACGAGACCAGTGACGTCCTAAATCTGCGCCTGCACCCGCGTTCGCTCCCATTCTGCAGATGTGGAACTTCCTGCACGAGCGAGAGACAATTGTGAGCAGGCGTAACCGCCTCACTGCTGATCGCTGATGCTGATCAAGCACCTTTTTGACGGGCCAGATCTATGTCGCGCTTCGTTTCTGCAGAGGTGAGCCCACCAGTGCAGTCGCTATGCACCGTCGCACCGCTTACCATCGACAATTCTCCTGCTCCGTGCTATAGTCTGGTGAGCAGCATGGCCTGCTCCTTCATTCGATGCGCAGCGGCTGACATTTCAGGAGCAATCTTTTGCCATCATTCAGCATTGAGGACGCTACTAATCACGCCAACAGGCGGCAAGTATTCGGCAAAAAACTGATTGAGCAGGTGAGAACCCGGTTATGACTTGAAGTTTCTATGATGCCCTCTCTCATACTCTGCTGCGCGCTGCAGCCGGTCGTCCGCTACAATCTAGCGAACATGGCACGCCAAACGGAAGCTCTGCAGGCGTGGACGGAAGCAATCGTGTACCAGCACTCGAAGATGACCACCAATCAAGCCAATATTGTGAGTCTCCTTCGCTGCAAACGTACCGTCAGGTCGTGCTTTCCTGACGCCACGTCTCCACGACTCGTAGCTGCTGGGAGGCAACACAGCACTGCTGAAGGGTAAGTCATGGAGATGTTCTTGTCAGCCTGGACGGAGTCGATCCTGATGATTTTGCTTCTCGTCAACTTCATCGCTCAGCTCACGCGGCCATTGTCGTCTCTGACATCGCACGAGAGGCTGGCTACTTGATGGGAGGTACAGGTCTGACAAAGGGAGGGATTGCAGCTCGCATTGAGCGCATCTACCGCGAGGTGAACGGGCTTGCAACGCCTGGAGGCAGTGTAGCCGTCATGCTTGATGCTGTGAGTGCTCGGTTCCCTGCGAGGTCCTTGGTCTTGAGAACCCAGCATTGACTTGTGACTTCCTGCTGGATGTGTGCTAGGGTGTTCGCCAAGCTATTAAGACTGTTGGTCTCGATCCATCCAAGCTCTGAAGTTGGAGGGTCGCGATGTGCATGCCTTTTTTGTATCCTAATGTTAAATCCACGGCCAGGTGCCACAGCAAGCAAGTTGCTCTCGACCAATGCATGCGTGCGCTTCTCGTCACAACCAGCTCCCTTGACATTCTGGACATCGAGTAGTGAGCATCATTGTCGTGCAGTTGGAAGCGCGGCCTGTCATTTGTGAGCGGTCCAAGGGTTTTCGGTCACGAATGCCAAAGCGCGGGACTTCAGTGTCGTGTGCAGATGTGAACTACGTTGCTTTGGTCAGGCGCGGCCAGAGCTGGGCTATTTATGGAGCTGCGGGCGAAGTGGAGGAGGCCCGTTCGCAGTTTAGCGTGTCGGCGCCATCCGCGATCTCTGACCTTGCATGGCGTCCAGACCTCGCAGCTTCGCTAGCTCAACCTGCTTACTCCAGTCGAGAGTGCTTAGCTCCATAACACACCTCACCACCTCTGAGATGGCTCTCTGAACGACTTGGTCTCTTGTCTGAGCTGCAGCGCAAGATCAATCGCTCTCCGAACCCGTCTCACTCTCAGTCGCGCTTACCAACGCTACCAGATAGCACACATACACCTCGCACGCGCTGACATGACTACCCGCCAGGCAACGCACGCTGGTTCTTGGTACACTTCCAGCAGATCTCAACTTGACAGCTCGCTCAACGGCTGGCTACAAGCTGTGAAGCCATCCGAGATCCCTCCGAGAGGAGTCAGTGCTGCGGATGTGGACGTAGATGGTCAGCTCGGCTACAAGAGGACACAACAAGCTGGGGGCGATGCAGAGAAGTTGAGCTTGCCGGTGGATGGCTGCAGAGCTGTGATAGCACCGTAAGTATCAGACATAGACGTATGCTTCAGCTGCAATATGGACACCGCAGCACGAGGCAAGGTGAATCGCGTCCCAGTCGCAGCAGCTCAAGAGCCTTGCGTTCTCGCTGCAGACATGCTGGTTACTCATACTCTGGACCAGCCGCTGCTTGGGCGTATGCTACTATCGATCCCGAGAAGCAGTGAGTCATCCTCGCCCCGAAGTCTTCACGCGAGTCTGAGATTGAGCCACGCATGTGACGCACCCACATCAGCAAGCGCATCTTCATCCTCGGCCCCTCCCACCACCACTACCTGTCGGGCTGCGCTCTAAGCAAATGTCAGAAGTACGCGACCCCCATAGGTGACCTACCTTTGGACCTCGATAGTGAGCCACGCACTGACATGACTTGCACTTGTGCTGCAAGGTCGCACCACGCTGACGCTCACACTCGATTTGCACCCAGCCATTGGTGAACTGCGGAGGACGGGAGAGTTTGAAGACATGTCTCTTTCGACCGACGAGGACGAGCACAGCATCGAGATGCATTTGCCATACGTGCGCAAAATTTGGCAACAGTGAGTGAGCTATGGCGAGCAGAGTCATGGATTATCTCAAGATTTCACTGCTCTTCCCTCAACTCGTCAGAGTGGCCTTGACCTCTTGCCTTCCTTGCGGTCTCGTGACAGGGCAGAAATTAAGATCGTGCCGATTCTGGTGGGATCCACGAATGTCAACGCCGAGACCAAGTACGGTAGACTCCTGGCGCCGTATCTCGCTGATCCTGAGACTTTTGTCGTCGTCAGCTCGGACTTTTGTCACTGGTCAGTGATTGTCTCGTTCATAAGCTCCCGGTCTTTCTTGCTGACGAGGTCTGGCGCGTGTCCACGCTCACCACAGGGGCTCGCGCTTTCGCTACACCCACTACCACGCTCCTCCGGCAGCGCCCACGCAATTGCGAAGCTCATCTACCGTCGCTACCACTACGCCAATCCACATGTCCATTCGGGCACTTGATGCCGAAGGAATGTCCTGCATTTCCTTTCCAAGCCCGGCACCGTTCCTGGGCTCCAATGAAAGCAACACACCGACTCAGCGCGAAGTCGTCCCGGATGCGAAATCTGCCAGCGAGGCCAGGAACGTTTGGAACGACTATCTGGAGGCCCACCAGAACACAATATGCGGGAGGCATCCCATTGGCGTGCTATTAGCTGCACTTGAAGAGCTACAAAGGAGCGGACACTCCTCAGAGTGTCGTTTCACGCGATACGAGGTGAGCTCAGTCCAGCGTACCGCGTCTGCCGGGATCGACTCGAAATTGATCCCGCGGAACCGAATTCTTCTCCCCCGGTCTTGCGTATCCGTATCAGCAAAGTTCTCAGTGTCTGACCGCCCGAGATAGCAGCGTCTCATACGCCAGCGCCTTCATTCGCATTCATTCAGCTTCATCATGAGGCGCGCACTTCGACTCGCAGCTGATTATCCGGACTTTCCAACACCGCTGAGCAATCATAGCTGGGCGTCTACAAGCAAAGTGGAAATTCGCACCAGCATCGGAATATGACGGGCATGGGAAGGAAGCATAGCCTCTGGCCGTCGCCACAGGGGGAATACAAGCGTTTGTGCTTTCGGAGTGCAAATCCGGCGCTGTTTCATTGGATGTGCGGACCGCCGCTCACTGTCGCACGCCGAGTTTGGACACGGATATACAAGCACAACATGGCCCCACAGATGGACTCTTGAATTGATTCTTTGGCGTACAAAGCCCTCAGCCGAGGGACAGCAACGACGGACATGGAATCGGAAATTTTCTACATGGCCGCTCAGCACTCATGATGACCCTTTGCCCACGGCGCAGGACGGTACAGAGCGTTCGGCGCAGCCAGGCATGCAACACACTATTCAACCATATAGTCTTTCGTCGCCGGTAGTCCTGACCTGATGCAATCTATCCGTCCATTTTACGGCACCCGCGGTGTCTCGTGTGCTCTTCAATTGTGAAATGTCGCACCAAAACAAAGCAAGAGCGCGCGCAGACTCCCGGCGCGGCCCCGCAAAGCCACCGACTCAATCACAATCAATCCGAGTGAAGACTACGTCACAGGCTCTTTGATACTGGAAGGTGGATCGCTTGACTCGACGTTAAGTGGACCGAGAAGGTCTTCGTCAGGCGACTGTAGTAGCCGATTGGATCTGCTCTTTCCGTCTCTAGAGAGGTCCAGACTTGGAGCGCGGAATTGTGAGCGCTTGCCGCGTGTATAAATAGTGGCCTTGGCCTGCCTTGGATTCCTTCCACTTCCATCAGAGTACCTCCCTTCTGCTTCCATCGCACCTTCCCCTTCCGTCCCTCCCTCTCAAAGGCCCCCTCCGCTTTCCCGTCAACCTTCGCAATGATTCGCGCAAGTGTGCTCCTCGTGGGCGTTGTCGCCCTCGCCCTGACTGTCCTCACCCCGAGCACTGCCGTTCTGGCCAGTCCCACCCCCGAGCGCGGTGAAGCGCAACTAATGCCAGAAGAAGAGTTGACTGGTGCGAAACTCCCCACCTGGGGCTCGGACTGCCTGCGAGGACAGTGTCAGCAGGTCGTCTTCAATCTCAAAGCTAGCGGAGTCAGCTCGTCTGATGAAGCTTGCGATGCCTTCGAGCTCACGTGCTCACGCCGTGACGGTAAGATCCTGAAGGACAGCGATTCTACGTGCTCCAAATGGACCGACGACAACACCATCATCGCCAGTTGCACCACTCGTGGTGACATTGGTGACGTCGTATACGGCGTCACTGGAGACGTCGGCCGGGTTTCGAATCTGCTACAGCAGGATGGCAAGGTCACCATTCCTGCCTTCATTGTTCGAGACTACCGCAACGTCAAAGACGACTCAGACTTCCCCACCGTGAAGGATCAGTGCGCCGGTAATCCGCCCGACAGACAGTATTGCGATATGCACCGTAAGTCAAGTTTATAGCAGACACTGTTCCTTCTTCCTAGCAGCTGACCAACAGCGCTCTTTTCGCTTCCAGTATTTGAGTGGATCCGCGCGTTCAGTGAGAGCAAGGAAGCACCGGCTTCGCTTGACGACATTTGCGATTACTGGGCCTCAACGTGCGAGGGCATCCCCGCTTTGCGAGACGTCGTCTTCCGCCCAAAGTGCCACGTCATCGACGCCGCCAAGGGCATCATTTCGGCCAGCTGTGCTCGTAAGGAACCCACCGGGGTTTGGCTCTCGGACACTCGTTCCGCAGCTTTGAACTTGAAGGTACAGGCCGTTCAACCTCAGCTAGGCCGCCAATGCGATGAGTGGACTCAAGTGCGTTCTTACACGGTCGCGCCGAATGCCTCGCGTGTCCCAATGTCGAGAGCTGACATGACTTATTTTCTTGCGTGCGAAGGGCTACTGCACTGCCGATTACCCCGAAGTTGCCGTCTTCTTCTCAGAATGAACACCGTGCCTAAAGCAATGAAGCAATGAAAGCGGCTGTCGTCATCATCATAGCCTTTGGGCCAAAGATTTTGAAGTTGCCCTTCACAATCCAATTTTAGCCACCGTTCATTGTCCCATCTCAGCTGTTGGCAAACCTTACCACAGCTTTGCCCCTTCTCAAATCACAATCTATCGACTACTCGTACCGCTGTGTGTGTGAAGAACGTAAGGCCATTCAAAATTGTGATTGCGAACAGGAAAGCATAGCCAGTCAATGTCCTTTGACGCACAGCGCAAGTCGAAGCCGAGCCTGTGCGCTCGTCGAGTGAGTGACTTGCTCCCCTCCTTCAACAATTAGCTCTGCCCCTAGCTCCAGCTGAGACTTTTGGAGACGAACTGTTGTGAGTTGATCTTTGGAGCTGCCGACTTTCCATCAGTACACTCCCGACCGACCACACCTCGACCGCAGCGTGAACTTGCGGAGATCTGTCAGTCATGACCAAGCACCGGTAAACAAGTGACTGTCTCGTTCGTGATTCTTCTGACTTTCTTGCGTCGACAAGAAGAAGCTGCACCTACCCCGCGCTTCAAGACGCCGGCATATCTGTGGAGCGGGGTCGAGCATACTACTCACTCGATCATGACTGCATAGCGAGCGACCCATGCAGCAACGACTGCGTCTTTGAGGCCCCCGCGGCTGGCTCCGAGCTTGCGAGCGACTGCTGAGGGCAATGGAGCAGCTAGTCTTGCAGGACCATCTCACCTTCAGCTTGCTGCTGCTGGGCGCTACGCGGGAGGTGCAGAGGGGCCTGCCGCTTGCTTTAGCGCGTGCTCATTTCTGCGCTTTGGGCGTGGCGGACCAATCACGAATCTGAATCCTGCGTCGTGAATGGTGGCCGGGCAACGATGCTGGTGCACCTCTTGTCTTGATTCCAACTTCTTTTGATCGTAAGTTGTAGTCTTGAGTGTGGTGACGGACACCGGTAGCAGACTTTGAACTCTTACACTGGTGCGGTGCCGGAATCTGGTCCGTAGATGCTGAGGTATGTTCTGCTCTGAGCGGTCTACATGCAGCGCTCTTCAACGGCTTGCCCTCAGCACTTGACTTCCTTGGATGCTAAAAATTAAGCGTCATGTTCCCGAGTCAAGAGTCAAAGCAAAGGCTGGCTGGCTGGCTGCCTTTATCATCGCATGTGTGATTAAGACTCAAGTCTTTGAGCCGACATCTAGTGATTTAGTGATTTCAAAGGTGCGGCCTCTTGGCAGACTTGAACATGACTAGGCCGGATTACACTCCGCTCCGACTGCCCAGATATATGCATGACGCCTGTTCACGAGATGAAGAGTCAAGAGTCGAGTCGAGAGTCAGCATTCAATTCAAAATTTGAGGACATGCGGCAGACATTCGTGATTACAGACTCATCCATTTCGAATCAAAATCACGAATGGAGGGTGTAAGAGCCCTGCCTGCTGGAATTTGCCGACAGCTAGGAGCTCCGCGTACATCCCCAATCAAGAATCACGGGTCGAACCTGAGGACTTCTGTACTACTCTTGACTGAATGCATAACCTTGATTTATAGAGCCTAATCTTGAATGTTTGCATCATATGCCAGGCTGCGCGAGTCTGCATGCACACTGCTCATAAGCCATGCTCATGGCTCGCCCAGAGTGTATATAGCTATATGATGGACACAAAGCAGTCACGATCAAAATCGTGAATCTTGACCCGCTTCCCAATTTTGAATCAAAGAGCAAGCAAGAGTAAGAGCCCGCCGCGCGTTGTAGTCAAAGTGGCACCGCACCAGTCACGATCGCGATCAGCATAGTAGCCGCGGTAGCGAGTCTCCGGGGGGCACATCACCAGTGTGATTTGCCACTTACAAGACCGGATGTGCAGAAATTAAGTGCGTATGGGCCATTTGCCTAACGCCGCGTGCTAGAGAGTGAATTCGTCCGCGCTGCAACACAGTGTGCACTGCACGCATGTATAACCCATACCATACCATCTATATAGGCAGGTGTGGCCGGTATAGCGCGCGCGTGCAAGCTTGATGCATGCATGGCTGCATGGCTGCTGCTGCTCCCGCGAGCGGCGTATGGCGCGGACAGGCCAAAGATCACCAAAGCTCATTTTGAAGCTAGCTGCTGGCGTTGCTCATCCTTGGAGGTCCGTCCATGCAATCAACTGTCCCTTCTTCCACCATCGCCACCACCACGTCAGGCCTTCGTTGTGCACACACCTCATCGCTGCCCTCGAAACCTCCCCCGCTAGATATAAGACCTGCCAAGAGGGCAGGCCCGCAGCCACCACCCAGCAAAGGCAAGACCCTGCTAGTCCGCGTGTCCTTGGCACCCAAGTCTTGGCAACCCTGCAGGACGGAGCCTTCGCGAACATGGGTGAGTAGTATGCCCTTACCAGAACCGCTTTGGCCTTGGCCTTTCAGTCCGGGCAATGTTCACTCGCACGATGAACCAAGAGGTGTGCCACGAGGGCAAAAGGGTTTTTACGAAAGTCCAACTAGAGGCTTTGCGAGTGCGCAGTGTGGATGAGAAACGACGAGCAGTACTGCTGAGTCGATCTCGCACCAGGGAGCAGGCAGCACGTATCCCTTATCTTGGCCAATATCTGCTGCGCGATTCGTGAGAACGTGGGCGCCGATCCGTCTGCGCCGCCTCATTTGGAACCGCTACCTTTCATTCGGTGGTAACACCTGGCACACGTGCGACCTTTCGGTTGGCCAAGTTGTTTCATATTGTCGCATGGTTCGTCAAGTGATTCACGTGGACCGATTCCGAGCGGAACTGCGTTGCTCGGACATTTTGATTGCGAATCACCATTGCCCGTTCAGCTAAGCGCCGACACCTTACCTGTTTTTGTCCAAACCTTCACTAGCTGCTACCGGATCAGGAAGACAACAGCACGCCGCTGTGCTTGCAGCGCTATCTGACGTGGTCACGGTCGACAACAGCGACCCAGCATCTACCCACGCACGAGCTGCTGACGGCAGTGGCGCTTATTACGCTGGAGCTTCACCAATGACGACCGCTTCTGCCCCTCCCGGGGTTCCCACCAAGGACAGCTACGACCCTTTGGCTTCCGCCCCGCCTACAGCTCCACCTAAAAGCGGGGGCATGGGAGCAAGATTTGCGAACGCCTTCAGGCGCCAAACCACCGAGGAGAAGGAGGCAAAGCGCCGTGAGAAAGAAAAGCGCATGCGCGAAGAGATGAGCAAGCACGAGAGCAAGTCTTCCCGCATGGACGTCATTGACCGCTTGGATTCCACCGGTCTGTATGGAGCTAGCTGTGAGTGTCATCCGCTGAAGAGCACGCGACTACGCACGGCATTCTGGAGGTTGGAGTCATCTGGTGATCTGTCGACTGAACTCGCATCTAAACCTAATCCCTCCACAGTGTTCCATCACGACAGCCCCTACGACGCTTGCACCCCGCATGCCAACCGTCATGCTCGTAGGGCGCCTGTTGGCGCTTTTGATCCAAACATCGACCCAGTTACAGGCAAACCAGTGGTTCGTGGCGGAGGTCAGGCAGCTTCTTCGCGTCCTAACGCCAATGGGAAGCAAGGCAACCTCTCTGAATTCGCCCAAGGCACTCTTCGAAAGCTCAGTCAGAACGACAGCTTCAATGATCACGACACACGCGTGGTACCGGCTTTGTACGCGGGTGGCAACAATGCCAGCACGCCTACCGCCGAAAGCATCCCGAGCGGCTCAAGACGCCCCTCTGATGCGCCAAGCAGTGCTTGGGGAGATCAATCGCACGACACTCATAGCGACGCAGCCAATCCCCACGCTGAGATTTGGGGTGTAGCCAGCGAGCCGTGGCAAGACTTCGCTTCCCCAGCCGCGAAGGAGAGACAGGCGAAGACAAGCAAGAATTCTTCTGGCCTAGCCGTTCCGAGCGGTACAAGCAGCCGTGCAAGCTCTGTCTACGACATGGAAGCAGTCATGTCTGGTCGCAAGCCCGGTGATCTCAATGACGATGGTAGTCCTGCAGGTGTCGATCACGCTGGCGTCAGTCCCTTCCCAGAGCGCGACTGGAGCAAAGTTGGTGGGTCTGAGGCTCCGAAACGAAGCAAGAGCCTCCTCAAGCGCGTCAAGAGCGCACGTCGTGAGTGAAATCAGCCAAGGCACAAGCCTTCGCGGGAGGAATCCAAGACGTGGTGCGCAGAGCACGGGCGCAGGTTCCGAGCGTTGCACATCCCTCTGACATGATCGCCACCCTTGCGCTGCCGCAGAGAATCCTAATGTCCCACCACCGGATGCATCGGACGTCGAGCTGGCAGCCATGGGCCGTGGCAACTCTCGAAGAGGAGCTGGGGCTGCCCATCGTCATTCGCCATCCACGCCTCCTATGGGCGCGGATGGGACAAGCTACATGGGAGGGTATGGCGCCTCGACGCAACGCCAAGCAAGCAACCTTGGTCGACACGGCACATTGAGGCCTCGTGGAGCTTACGACAACCCCGAGGGTGGCAGCAGCTCTTCGGTCAGCCCCGCAGGCACACCCAACATAGAGATCGAAGCTTACGGGTCTGCGCCCGAGGCGCCAGGAGGAGAGATCCAGCCTTCGACTGGCAACCTTGGGCGTCAAGGCTCCATCTTTGGTCGATTGGGCAAGTCGAAGGGATCGCGCCACGGCAAGAGTGGAGCCGCGCCTGAACCTCAGGTGGGCTATGCGCGCTAGGCAAAGAGCGCAGTTCCTGTCCGACAAGAATAAAGAGGCTGCCTCGTCGAGCTCCGCCGAGCCCGCGTTCCTGTCTCGACTCTTTCTCGAAACTCTCGCGATTCCGCGCTCGCCTGCTTCGTTGTCCATTTTTGGCTAGATGATGACACGTAATTTGCCTTCCTTACAGAGTCGTCGCTCTCACATTCATTCACTCCATCCAATACATCACAATCTTGTCCGCACACAGATATGTCGCTCTCGGTTTTCATTGACATTCTTGCTATCCCTTTGCTTTCCCTTTATCGAGCTCTTAGTGCATACTGAACCCGTTCGTTGCATCGTGAATCTAAATGACGGATGATCTCAGAGCAATGCTGTGTCTCAGCTCGAAGGTTCCGGCTTGGGCAAAGAAGCGCGATGAACGGATACCTCATTTTGATCATTCACAATCGAAGCGAGCTAATGTACAGATGAAGTGGTCTCGAGCCGAGGTGTGTGCGAAGGCCGAGCAAGGGCTCTGCGGATCAACGCTTGCGCTTTCCCGCGCTCCTCGTGCTTTGTCTCCTGCCCGCTATTCCCGCAGATGCCGTCGCGGACATCTCATCTTCAGCTTCCATTCCGTCCGACTCTGCATCTTGCGCCGCTGCTGTAGCAGATCTGGACGACCGCCGTGGGCCACCCTTGGGTGGCGATGAGCTCTTCCTCGCGACTTGACCACTCGCCTGCTCCTTCGTTCCCCCAGATATTTCGACAATGATGCCTGAGCTACCTTCATGGTCTTCTTGCTTGACAACGTGACTATCTTGAGCATCTCGTCCGCCGCCCGCCTTCGTTTCATCGCCTGAGCTTTCGGAATCGGAGCTTGACGAAGTATCTGAGGAACCTTGCCCGCTCTGCCTACGCGTTCTTCCTGCGCGCAAGCCGTCATCATCGGAGTCTTCGCTCTCCGCGCCCGTTTCATCTCGCGGTGGCGCCAGTTGCCAGCTTACGCCGCGAATTGGATCAAAGGGAGGCAGAGCAGTGTATGCGGTCCTCAATGAGCTCTGCATTGACGTGAGAGCCGAGAGCTTTGGTTGAGCGTCGCGGCGTGCCGAGTGAGTGCGAGGTGATGGTCAAGAACAATGAGCGCCAAGGTTTGTCTCGCAGTGCCGTCTGAGAAGGTCGCCGCGAGGTTGCACCATGCTGCTAACACTCACAAGTCTTCCACCAACCAGACGATACAGATCTGGTGCTCGCATGATGTCTCCGCTGAGGATGAAGTAGACCTGCAGAAGCTTGACTTGGCTGTCCTCTGATCCCTCTCTTAAGCGTTTGTGAACGATGAAAAGGTCCGAGGCCGCTGACCCAGATTGGGGGCCCGCATTCAGGGATACCGCTCCTTTTGTACTTGTCTCCGCTCCATCCAAAGACTCAGCTAGAACAAACTCGATACCTCTGAACTTTCTCAACTCCAGTTGAAGCTCTTTGGGGTCTCTTCGCGCTGCGTTTGCGCCCAGCCTGGCCAAATTCTGCATGCGCAGCACCTCGTTGGTGCATCTCTTGTCGAAAAAAGATGAATGGGAAAAGTATTCGAGGGCCGTGAGGCGTGTGAGACCGGTGTTGGCGAGGTATTCAGGATCTCGAAAGAAGATGGCTGGGGCGTTGGGTCGATTGTAAGGCAGAGCCATGGCGGCGGACTTCAAGCCAATGCGTTGCTTCTTCGACACTTTCAAGTCTGGTTTGCGATACGGATCATCCCATCTGTCGGCATATGCTGACGAGACTGCGTCGTGGGAGTTGCGGAGAAGGTGAGTGATGACGGAAGAGGCGAAGGTCATGTCGCGGCTCTCGCAGGGCCCATGCACTCACCACGGATTCCAACTAAGGTGGAGGAGGCGCTGGTAGCGCGCGCGCATCGCGTACGTCCAAGAACTGCAGACACGCAAGAGTCACGGGTCTGCAGCTGCTGAGCCTTCGTCCACAAGCGCTTCTCATTCTGATCGCTTCCTCCATCCTCACTTCGGACCTGCTGGGAATTTCGCTCCTGACGTTTCGGCGGCGCGGATTCTCTTTCGAGCCTGCTCGCTCACACAGCTAGGCTGTCATGTCTGTTCTTCTCGAGACCTCAGTCGGGGACATCGTGGTAAGTGGCTGTTGAGCGGTCGATCAGGCAGTATGTGATCGTCAAACCGCTCGTGCTCTCTGACAGTGCCACTCCCTCCTCTTGTCTCGCTTTCAAACACTAGATTGATCTAGAGACGAAACTGGCTCCCAAAGCGTGCGAAAACTTTCTCAAGCTTGGAGCAGCAAAGAAGTACAATTTCAACTCGTTCTTCTCGGTGCAGAGAGACTTTTTGGCTCAAGCCGGCGATCCTTCTTCCAAGCAGGATGGAAGAGGCGGCGTGTGTTTCTGGAACACGTTGCCTCCCGACAACCCCGCATACAGCAAGCAGCCCTACTTTGTGCTCAGGAAAGAAGAGCAGCTCAACCACCGCAGGGGTACTGTATCGTTTGCGCTTTCTCCAATCAATGGACCAAGCGCAGATGGTCAGGACGAGGAGGAAGGGCTGGCTGGATCTCAATTCTTCATCTGCTTGACGGACGATGCTTCGTATTTAGATGGCAAGCATGCAGTGTTTGGGAATGTCGTAGAGGGACAGGAGGAAGGCGGTGCGCTGGACCGCATCAACACTGCCTATGTGGATGAGAAAGGAAGACCCCTGCTGGATATTCGTATCAAGCACGTCGAAATCCTTGGTGAGTGCACGGAGTTTAGGAGGGTATTAAAGTGCCAAGATGACTACGCTAACGATGCGCAACACCACCTTATGCTCCAGAGGATCCATTCTCAGACCCTCCGGGCTACGTTCCCCCAAGCCGCACTCCCTCGCCCACGCCTTCCCAGCTTCTGAACGCCCGAGCAGATGCGTCTGAAGAGCTTGTAGACCCCTCTACCCGTCCAGCGGAAGAGGTGGAGAGGGAAAAGCGGAAAGCAGACTCTTCAGCTGCAGCTTTGACTCTGGAGATGGTCGGTGATCTGCCTCATGCGGACGTCAGACCTCCGGAAAACGTGCTCTTCGTCTGCAAGCTCAATCCCGTCACTCGGAGCGAGGATCTCCAGTTGATCTTCTCGAGGTTCGGTGTGATCATGAGCTGTGAAGTCATCAGGGATCGCAAAGTGAGTGCAGCGATGGTGTTGGAGATTCTGATTCAGCAGTCTCTCTCTCTGACCTGTGTTCTTCTTGTGGCCTATCAGACCGGAGACAGTCTTCAGTATGCGTTCATTGAATTCGATGAGCGTGAGCAGGCGGAACAGGTGCGTCCAAGTGAAAGCGAGACGCAGAGCCCGTTGGAATCGTAGGGTAGTACGCAGATCAGCTCCTGACAGTCAAGACCGATCTTTACTGCGGGGACCTGTAGGCTTACTTTAAGATGCAGAATGTCCTCGTCGACGATCGAAGGATATGGGTAGATTTCTCGCAATCGGTCGGCAAGCTGCACCAAAGCTGGATGCAACAACGAACAAAAAGTCGTGCGGGGTCTAGCTCTGCCCGTGCCGAGGGCAGTCGGACGCACTATGATCAGAGCCGTGGTCAGCGCCATGATCTTCCGAGGCGTGATGCCCCTTCGAGGACTAGAGACGACCGCAGGTACCTCGCGCAGCGCGATCGACACGATTCCTACGGACGAGGTGGAAATTCGCACAGGCGACACGAATACGGAGGCTCTCAGCAGGGACGAGACAATGATAGGAGATCTCATCGCGATCATCCTCACGCAGGCGACAGAGACCGAGACAGACGACGGCCTGAAGATCGAAGCGAGTACAATCAAAGGTATGCTGACACTAGAAGGAATCATGAATATAGAAGACCGCGGGACCAAGAGTATGATGAGAGACGCCAAGAGCGACCTGGACACGAAAGAAGGGACCATCGCTATGCTGAACGCGAGCGCAGTCCTCGAGGGTGAGATCGAAGGGACAGGTAGCTTCCGAACAACCGTTCGTGTTTTGAAAGGCATCATGCCTACGATCTTGCGGAGGTCTGACATTCTCAATTACAAATCCACAGTGTGATTTGAATGCTTTGCCATCCGTGTCTGAGATTGTTTCTAGAGCGTCCTTGCACGATGCTGACCTCAGCGCAGAGCGTGAGGAATGCTGAAGTGTGAAAGGGCGTTGGTCGTGAATCATACCGAGACCTTGAATGATAATGGACCCGATCTCACATCAAGTTTGCCAATCAAATCGCATGTTCATCTCTATAGGCCGTAGGTCAGAGGTGGCAAGCAGATGTGCCGCCGCGTTGCGGGCTCTGTGGCTGTGCGGGCGCGACCTGCTGCGTCGCCTCCACACCTTGCTGCCCGCATGCTGCGCGTCCGGATGCGCCACACGCCGCGAAATGCAACGTGCTCGACCGATTGTGCTGACAGCTGCTGTCCGTGCATCCTTGGAGCATCCATGCGGTTCCTCTAGCCGCGAGACCCTGTCGCAGAGTCAAGCCTCCTTCTGACCATGAGCACGCGCCTGACACCCCTCCTCGCGACCGATCAAGCTTGGCCTTCCTCCCGATCACCCAGGACGTCCTCCGTGGCGGTTCAAGGCTGGGCACAAGATCCTCAAATCATTCTCCAGACATGGCATCAAAAACAGCAAGCCAAGCGCCAGACGCAGCTTTCGAGCACGCGGGCCACGCTCTCGACGATGCTCAGAGTAGTAGGGACGACTCTTTGGAAGGCATTGCGAATCGTATACCAAGACTGCGAGATTCGCAAGATCCCCTAAAGCTGACTCCGCTGAGAGCGCACTACTTGAAGAAGACCTTGGTACAGCTGCAGGCAGAGAGAGAGATCAAGAGCCTCAGTCAGAAAGGTCAGTATGCTGCGGTAAACCTATCGGCAACCAGCGAGTCAGAAACAACGCTGAGCATATCTTCTGGTCCTCATTCGCAGATGCACTCTCCTCCTTCGGGCCTCCCTTCTCGCCCTCTGCCGCTGTGACGCGAGCCGACGTTCCTATCCTCCGCTTCCTCTTCCACCACTTCGTCGTCACTTTCCCTTTCCTGCGATCTGCACCCGCCAACTTCTGGCCCGAGAAGGTACAAGTATTTGTGACTCGCTTTCTTGAGCGGAACATCAGCGGCATGACTCCAGAAGAAGGGGAGGTCAGCAAGCGCAAGAGGCTCAGCAACAAGATCGCGAAATGGGTCACATTACTTGTTGGAGCGGCAGTGCACGTGCAAGGCGTGCAGGAAGAGGTTTTGACCATCGCACCGCAGGACCGGGAGAGGATGGCGGCGGCTCAAGCCAGGATGAAGGCTGCTCTAGCCGGTCTCGCGAGCGAGCAGGCCGGCTTTGATGTGAATGTCGTTGGTGTCAGAACAGTCAAAACCAAGCCTTCCAGACTGGCTCGCAGCAAAATTCACGACGAGTTTCTTATCCGAACACGGCGCCAAGACTTTCCCGATGTATTCGTCAGTCGCCGTTATGGCGACTTTGCAAGGCTTGCCGACACCCTGAAGCTAGAGTTTCCTGGAGAAGACATTGGAAGACCGCCAGCAAAGGACAGGAGAGGGACGCAATTTGCGGGCACTGTCGGAGGCAGTCAATTTAACGATGGGGACGCTGTGATTGATAATTCTCTGCAGTTTGGAGGAGTGAATCTTGAAGACATATCCAGCCATCCGCAGCCTAGACAACGGACGCTGAGCTCTGGAGCAGGGCTCTCCTCACGAGCAGCTGCGCACGCAGCTACTCGCGGACACGAATTCAGTGGTCGAGCTCGGGACGATAGCGAAGTGCCGCCTCCTCTTCCCGGGCAGATCGCACAGCCTTTTAGCAGGCCAGCGGCAGCCTCAGCAGCTCCGCTCGCTAGAGAGAAGAACCGGCTCACCCTTCGAGCGTATGTCCGCTCCCTCTTGGCCATTCCTTCAGTTGCAGACTCTGCAGCTTTATCCTCCTTCTTGCTCGAGGATGCGACGACCCTGTCCTCTGCAGAGGTTGAGGATGTGGCAGCTAGAGAGGCTCTGGACGCTGTGCGCGAAGATGAGGCAGGCAGATTTGCCAGTGAAGCCAGCCGCAGGATATCAGAGTTACGCGAGCACATCTCAGCTTTCAAGTCCGATCTTGTGCAACGCGACGGTCTTACTCGAGTTTTTAGCACCATCAAGCACACGCCGAATATTGAGGAACTGCCCGAAAGCTATCGAGCTCTGCTTTCTTGGGGCCGTATCAGTGCTGCCAGCACCCTCTTCCACTTGTTCATGGGCACCGACACATCATCGGACCTCTTCGCTCAGCTGAAGCGCATCCACGGTCTTATGCCATATTTCATGCTGAGGGGCATTCTGCGCATCTCCAATCCAGTATCGATGATCCGATCGGTCATCGACTTGTTCTTGGCTCAACCTTTTGGACAGAGGAGCCTACTGCAGCGTATGTTTACAAGCAGCATGCAAGAAGAGGTTAGAGAGCTGGAACGCATGTTGATGGCCGTCAAAGGCAAAATAGAGGACGAAGACTTGTGCGAGAGGGTCAAAGCATTCGTCAATGCGCCAGTAGAATATCAAAGAGCTCTGAAGGCTCAAGCTAAATCGGAGAGGCTCGACATTCTCACGTGCATCCTGAGGTCTCCACCAGCAGGTACCGCACCTTTGACGAGACCTCAAATCACGCGAGTGGTGAGGGCAAGCAGAGCTTATGAGGTCTACAAGCAGTATCGTGCAAATCTGGGTCGCGGCGAGGAAGATCAAGGGCCCGATGCCGTGGCGCCCGACGCCTGGCTTTACGAAGATTTACACATCTACTTGCGATGCTTGACCCGCCTTCGCGACAAAGAACAAATGATCAGCTTGATCTTTGAAGTGAGTCGAATGTCGTGTTCCCCACGCGACAGCGGGCTCACACGCAGCCGACTCGATCTTGTCAATGCCAGGGCGTTACTTCCGAACTGCTCAAGGATATTGTCACCATCTTCTACTCGCCTCTAGCTCAAGTCTACAAGGCTGCCAACATCGCTGACAGCTTGTCTGATCTGCAAGCCTTCATCAACGACCTGATCCGTACTGTTGAGGGCCACGAGGAGTGTGAGTCCATTGAGCTTTGCCTCTTGGTGTAGTCGCGTTGCTGACGAACACACCGCGACATCAGTGAGCTACGTAGACCCTCAACGCACAGTGCAGGTCTTTATCGACCTGGTAGGACGGCATGAAGGGCGTTTCTATCACTTTGTGCACGAAGTACATTCGAAGGGCTCTGGCCTCTTTGATGGTCTCATGCACTGGATCGAGCTGTTCATCAACTTTGTTCGCGGACCTGACGAGGGGCCGAATAGCAGTGCCTCTGCAAAGGCAGAAAGAGTCATCGATTTGACCACTCCAAAAGCCTACCAGCAAAGTTTCCAGCCTCAACAGCCAAAAGGTACTCTAACACGGCGCGGCGTTGGACAAGTGGACTTGGAGATCTGCATGCCTGCAGGCGGCGCAGAGCGACGCGCTGCTTTGGCCGAGATCGATGCCATCGTCGTACATGCCTACAGAATCAAGATGGTTCGTGAGCTGAAGCTAAGGCGCAGACTCGCCAACAAGGAAGTAGAGGGCGCAGCCACGAAGTTGATGGGTGCGGGTGGCGGTGATCTCGGAAGCGCTGCAAGCTCCGGGTTCGTTGATGATGACCAAGCATTCGTCGCAGCGATGGTGGACAATTTGGGCGTGGGCAATACCTTCACAGGCGAGATTGAAGAGATCGAAGCGGAAGTGGAGTTTGACGATGGGGACAGTGAAGGTGGCGAAGACGAAGATGAAGACGACGAGGAAGAGGAACAGTGGTACGAGTCGCGCGAGGCTAGGAGAGCGAGTAGCGAGACAAGCGACAGCGACACCGCCCCGTCTTCAAGTCGTACATCTGAGGACAGATCCGCTCTTTCCGATGCGATTGGTCGAACATCACGATCGAGCAACTCAACGACAGCAACCTCGATAGAGCAGCCTTCAATCAGCGCGCAGGCGAGCAAATGGAGACCTCCACTGCCTGGTCGCAGTGTGTCTCAATTGACAGCAAGGCCAGCAGACAAAGATCTGCCACCACTGCCGCCTGCACCTCTCACCTCGGAGCCCTCGGCGTCTGACGGTCCTTCAGCAGCTTTGACCCGAGCGAGCAAGAAAGCGAAGCCACCTCGCGCTCCTGAGCTCAAAATCTTGCCGGACATGGTCCCGCTGTTCACCGAGATGGTGAGTGCTATGCACATGATGACTGCCGAGCGCGCACAACTTTCCGAGGCCGACTGGGTTCGTCTGACTTGTGTGCGTCCTATCGCAGGTACGTCCTCTTCTGCGTCCTGCCAGAAGCCTCTCAAGCGATTCTTTGCAGAGTCCAATCAGTCCGTCAACAGGCTCAGCAGGATCGAACAGCAGGACTTTCAGTGAAGGTCTGCCACCACACGCCCGTCAAACTTCGGGTTCCGAAAGTCAGCAGGCTGGCTGGGGTTCCTCGACGTGGGGCTGGATCACCGGTTCCGCGCCGCAAGCTCCTTCTGGTGGAGGTTCTCGTCCCCAAAGTGGCCAGCGCATAGATGCGGGGCCAGAGTACAGCAGCAGAGCGCCTGGACCGGCTTCGCCTCCACGGAGAGGTGAGCCTCAGGCTTACTCGAGGTCAAGAGAGTCGTCTGCGCCAGGCACGCAGCCGTATGTGCCACGCGCGCGGAGAGATCCCGCTGGCGGAGGACGATGATCCATGCGCAGGAGGTCGACGCGTTACCCACTTATACACGTGCTTCTGAATTCGCACGCTATCCTCTTCCGAGCTTGCTATGTACTACACGCGGTGTGATGACCGGATGAGAATCAAGTGTGCAATAGAATCAAGGCCTCGTTCCGACACCAGACGCCACCAAGAATTGTCTCTGACAGCTAGCGCATTTCATTGTGTTACATTGATGTCTTCTCCATCGACTGTGACACCGGCCAAGACTCCCTGAGCATCTGCTTGGTAGACGAATTGAGTTGCCGGGGCAGGGATGATCTCCCTGCCGAATGTGCTGCTGAAGTGCTGGACCAGGTTTGGCACAACGTCTTCGACCTTTGTCCGAGACTCTGGCCCGACGAACAATTTCGCGCTCTCCCTAGGATCTCTGCGGCCGGAGTCTTGGGGCTGTACCAGCCCTTGCCTCTCAGCTTGCTCTTCTAGAGCTTTCACTCTGCCCTCTTCGACGCTGTCGGCTGCGCCTCTATCCGGTCTAGTTTCTTCTTCCCTCTTGATCAACAGCGCCCTTTCCCGCTCTATGCTCGTCATGCCCTTTCCCACTATTCCGCAAGCTACGATATGTTCAAACCACGGCAAGACGTGCATGCCAACGTTCAAAGCAAAGCCGTGAGAGGTGATGCGATGACGGACCTGAATGCCAATGGAGGCTATCTTGTGGGAAATGTCGGACCACACGCCCGTCTCGTCCGACTGCGCTGGCACGGTGGATAGATGATAAGGCGCACTGTGAAGCAGCTTTGTAAGGGCTGCCTGGATCTTATCCACGTAACAGCGCGTTGAAAGCTGTGGGATCAGGGCAAAGCAAGGTGGGCTGTGGATGAGCATTTCAAATCCTGCTGGGCTCGACCTCTGATGCCATTGAAGCGATACAGCGTAGCTCATCAGCCAGCAACTCACGTCCATCGCGCCTATATCCCAGATGGGGTAGCCTACAAGCTGACCAGGACCATGATACGTGACGAGTCCGCCCCGCCGTGTCTGTACATAATCTGCGCCGAGAGCTCGAAGCCTGTTGCCTTCTTGTTCATTGCCGCTGAGCTCCGTAGAGCTTTGCCTCCGTCCTTCTGTGTAGACGGGTGTGTGCTCCAGCAAGAGAAGATGGTCCGTGTGAGCTATGCTACTAGCACGCTCATATGATGCCGCAGGCTTGCTGTGACCGGAATGAGGTCCCTGGGAAGGCTGCTGCGAGAGAAATTCGCGAGCTCGAGCTCGACGGGAGACGAGATGCTCTTGTAGCGAGAGGCCTAGCAGGTATGGTACTTGATGAGGAATGTGCGTGCACCTGATTGCCGACAGGCCAGATTTGGCACTGGTGGAAGCGGCAGAGCTGCACGACATGGTGGGGGAAATCGCCGCTGTAGCCGTTGTACCCTTCGATCTCAATTGACAAGAGAGATTGTGGCAGTCCGCTTGCGAGTGCAAGAGTGTGAAGGGGAAGGAAGCGAGATGGTCTCGTCGATTAATTGGGTTTGCTATGCAGCATCCTCCACACTCCACGAGCAGCGCTCGAACTCACGACTTGCACTGTGACTCGTGCATGACTTTGACTGATGCTGCTCCCAGCTCAGCAGCGACGCGCTTCTTTACGCGCGCACCCAAAAAAAGTGCGCGACGCACGATTGCAATCCAACGCGTCGGAAGGAAAAGGTGAGACACGGCGGGTAGTCGTGAGTGCACTCTGAAGATGCCGTGTTCGTCAATTTGCTGGTTCACGATGCGTCATTTACGATCATTCATTCCGACCAATACTCACAGACTGCAACAAAAGCGACGGTGCTTGCGCAAAGGCTATCATACACTAGCAGTTGGCACACCCACCGATGTCTGCCGACACTGGATGCGGACTCCAACTTGCTCCTCTTTCCAATTCGGGCGCCTACCGTTCAACTGTAGTCAACCGACAAAGATACGAATCGCTTTCACCACGACGGTCACCGCGGCGTGAGAGGGAGTCGCAAATTGTCAAAAGGCAGGCAGTGCATTGACAGCATCCCTACGAGCATTCCACGCAGCGATAGCCCACCATCTCAATATCCTCTGCCCTGAGACTCGGTAACCCCAAGTTTCTTGTGGGACAGCTCGCTCGCCTCGCCCGATCACGCACTCGCAGAGCTTCGTCAATCATGAGTCACCACCACTCGGACGCCCACCCCAGCGAGCCTGGCTTTGCAAAACAGGGAAAAAGGGGCATGGAGTCGGATGATGCTGCTTCGCACAAGAGACATAGGGAGGGACACGTGAGTGGCGCTGAGTTCTTTGGTGGGGATGCACGGTACAGGCTGTGTGAGCCCCCAGAAGAGCTGCGTACTTGGGCCACTGGTCCCATTCATGATCGTCGCACTGTCGCTGGGACAGATTGTGGCATGCTACTACGTGCGCTCTGGCTCTTGCTGTCGTGATCGCATTAGCACGTGGGGCGGGGTGCTGGTTTTATCTAGCGTGTCACGGCAGCTTTGACAACCACGACAGAGCCCGCTGAAATCGCGACCGTGTGTTCGTAGATTTCACAGCACGACACTCCAGGCAATGACTTTGCTCCGCTTTTGGCGTCTGCCCTGACGACTGACCCGTTAGAGGGAGGGGTGCCCGCAAGTACTTCGTCCACATCCATCCCGCCTGCCGCAAAGATGGGCAGGAAACACTTGCTGCATAGCATGCCCAAGCGCGGCATTGAACGGTGAGTTTGAATCCGCAAAGTGAATCCCATGCGCCACTAACCTTGTGCCAACGCGTTGCCTCTGGCTGTACGACGCAATGTAGCGTCTTTCTGGGCTCCCACGAGATCAAGACGTGGTACCCGAGCCCATATCCGCTCGACGATGAGAGCGTCGACTCGCCGACCTCCGCTCATGCGTCGGCGTCGACCTATGGTGCTGGCGACTCCTCCGTGCTGACCAAGCGAGGTATCAACATCCGACGTAAGCGAAATCCAGAGCATCCAGGTCAGATCACGGACGATGGGCCCAGAAATACTTCAGGCAAGACTCAGCCGACTCGTGAGGGCAAGGGCTCGGATAGCAGCACCGACAGCAGCGCTCGACCCACTCCCGTTCCTCCGTCCGACTCCGCTGCTGCCGCGGTGGATGTCCGCGCCGAGCACGGTCCCAGCACTGTGTCGCAGCCCATGACGAGCGCATCCGCAGGCACTGCAGAGCTGACCAGTGTAGCAAGACCACCCGCCAGCGTGCCTCATCTGCCAGGCGCGCTCTCCGGTCTTCCTGCGTCAAACGGAACGTCCAGCTCGTCTTTGGCCGCCCCGGCAGCCCTGGCGACGCCTTTTGGCTCCACTCTTCATTCGAGCAGCATCGATACCCAGTCAGCCCGTGTTGGCGTGATCACGACGAACGACGCTCAACAGCAAGCCGTGCAGGCCCATCCTACGCTCAGCACAGGACGCTCTTTGTGGGTGTGCGACGGATGTTTCAAGTATGCCCGAACGCACACTGGCTATCGGGTACACAAGGTGGGTAAGACTGCCAGGTCGATCGACGTGCTAGACAAGAGGCGCTGCTCACGTGGCGTAGACTGACCTATTCCTTTCGCTGCGCGGTCGATCCCCTGTAGAAAGAGTGCACGCATACACATCCACCCGGACGCAAAGTATATCAACGAGGAGCTCACATTATCTGGGAAGTCGACGGTGCAGTGCAAAAGGTGAGGAGTTGTTTGAGCTTATGATATTCGGGCGTGCGGCAATAGACTGACTTCCTGTCTGTGCGCTCTACACCTAGCTCTACGCCCAAAATTTGTCATTGCTGGGCAAACTCTTTATCGATCACAAAGCCATCTGCTTCGACGTGGAGAACTTCCTCTTTTACGTCCTCACAGATGCCAGCGCGCAGTTTGATCATCCTATTGGATTCTTCTCAAAGGTAGGTTGAGCGCACCAGACTCACTGCAAGCAGCGTTCCGTGGAACTGATGTAGCATCGACTTTTGGTATTTATTGCTCCTAGGAGAAGCTCTCTTATGACGACTATAATCTTGCGTGCATCATCACCTTCCCACCATTCCAAAAGCGAAGCTTTGGAACATTGATGATCGAGTTCAGTGAGTGCCTTCGTCATTGCTACCTGGCCGCTCGGCCCAGCTGACAGGGCTCTTGTCACTTCGCAGGTTACTATCTCTCTGCACACGATGCAGTGGCAGGTACCCCCGAGCGACCATTGTCGTCACTAGGATTCAGAGGCTATCTGGCTTTCTGGTGCTCTGTCGTCTTGCGCGCGTTGGCCCTCGCCTTCGATGATACAACTGCAGACATTTCTTCTCGACTCTTGGCGCCTCCTCCTAGTGCTAGCTCGCCTCAGAAGGTAGGCTCAGGACCTTCTCGGGCTTACTCAGCTGCTCTGAGGGCCAGGCAGGTGCGAGAGTGCTCTCGCATCCGCAGAGCTTTGCTTGGTCTACCCGAGCCCAAGTCCCACGCAGGAAATGCTTTGATAAGCACTGGCGATGCTGAAGAGGATGAAATGCAAAGGAAGTGGCTTTTGAGGATCAGCAAAGGCTTTGGAGCTGCACCGAAAGCGCTGCCTGTGTTGAATGCAGGAAGCCAGAAACGAGGTCCAGGTCGAAGGTCTAGCGTTCGAAGCGCCTCTGCTTCAGTGAATGTACCTCCTCGTGGCGCTAATTCGCCAGAGCCTGCTCGGTCTGTTGGCGGAGTTAAGACGGAGGAAGACGCGAGTGAGACTGCAACTTCAGCTCACCTGGACGAGCCTACTCCATCTACAAGGGGCTCACGCTCTCATGCTGCGAAGCAGGAGCAGACAGAGTCGATGGAAGAAGACGAGCGCATTGAGGCGGTCATAGCGGCACACCCAGCACTGCAGATCCGAGCTGACGTGGAGGGAACGGGCAGCGGAGACGTCGCGCTCGTCACCACCCTCGAAAGGCTTGCTTCTGCGACTCGTCTCAGAGTCGATGACGTCTCATTCGCTCTGGCAGAATGTGGACTGCTAAGATTCAGAGTAGCGACGCCTGAAGTTGTCGCTCTGAAGCCCTTTGGTATCGATGCAGAGCACCCTGCTGAACCGCAAATCAGGACCGCAAGCGTCAAGCTAGAACACGCTCATGGTGCGGAGGGCAACGACCCAGCTCAGGCGTCTCATTCCATTCCCTTTGATGCGGCGGCAATTGCACGGCTCGACGCGCATAACTCGACGAGCGGTCAGAAGTCGGATCGAGCCAGCCTGAACGCTCAAAAGTTGGGGCAGCCGACGCCGCTGTTGGAGCCAGCGCTCCTCTTGACTAGACAAATGGTGCGCGAAGCGATCAAAGCTCGCAACGTCAAGCGGCCGGTATTGGATGAGATCTATGTACTTGTTTGAGACCTTCAGCATGCCACACTGCATTCGCCCAGCATTTTCCCCGTGGCGCTCAATGTCCATTACATTGCGACGTGAAGGCCAGAGGAACCAGCCTGCATCTCATTGCTTCGAGACAGATGTAAAGTGAGGCCAGGGTCCGGAGGCGCTGTTTGCCAGGTGAGCGGCGGCCTTCTCGAAATTCTTCTGCAAGGCGTCGTTGAGTTCCTGAGGTTTCCTGCGCAACGTCAACAACATCAAGTCGAAAGCATGGTCAACCGCACATTCCGAGCCGCAGGAAGTGCGAGCCGTGTTGCAACAACACACTCACTGTACGGGCAAAGCATGACCGGCATTCTTGTACTGTGTAAAGTCGGCCCTAGGAAGGTGCTTGTGCAAGTGGAACGAGTTGGCAGGATTGACGAGATTGTCTTGATCTCCCGTAAAGATGGCAATGGCAGGAATATCGAGGTTGATAGCTGCCAGCTCTTTAGGTGTAACCCTGTGAGTAGCCACCGCTCCGATCTGAGCAAAAGCGCCGGGCAGTGTTTGCCTCCGAGTGTAGGCGAAGCGCCACTCGAACATCTCCCTCATCACGTCTCGCCGTGTGCGGCCGCTGGGATCTTCGGGATGAACCTCTGCGAGCCAGACTTTGGGAAAGAGCAATTCGAGCACCTGTCCCACCCTCCACTGATCCGAGTCCATATTGAGGATCCTTCCTGCAATCACTCGCGCGATAGTGGTCACGCCGGTGAGCTGCCAAAGGTGCAGATGAGTCATGGAAGAGAAGAGGGGCAAAGTCAGCATTTCGTCCGATGCTAGGTCCATCCTTAGCAATTACTCACAGGCGGCAGTGATGTCAGGAGATTTTTCTCTCCCCTTCCTTGTCCAGACGTCGTGCTGACCAAATTGATGCTCGCAACGCGCTTGGGAGCCAGCTTGGCAATCTCCAGGGTAATCATCCCGCCCATGCTCACGCCGACCACATGCAGTTGCCGATCTGCGGTCCATCCAATCTGATCCAGCACCTCGAGGGCATCTTTCGCCATGGAGGATGTGCTGCGACAGACGAAATGTAGGGTGAGCGGATGAAGCATGGCTTTGCATATGACCTGTGAACATTCATCCTCTTATGCGTGCCTTGTCAAGGCAGCTGTAGCAGCTTGGGACACTCACGTGTAGAAGCCGGCAGGCGTCTCGGAGTTGCCGTAGCCGCGATTATCAATGACGAGGATGGAATAGTCCGGGTCTGATCCGAAACGCTCCACTTGCTGCAGCCAGCTGTTAAGACCGCAATCGAGGTGTGAGCGTCAGGAATTCGGTTCTGCTAATAAGCACGTGTGGGCTAGCTTGAGGTAGAGCAAGCAGCGCGACTCACCCGAAACAGCTGTTGTTGAGACCCATGAGACAGATAATCTTCTTGGGCCCTTTGCCATGCACCTCGTAGTACACATCGAATCCAGCCTCCTGAGATGGCAAGGTGGCTCCTTTAGAGATGGCGTCATCTGTGGGCCTCTTGTTCTTGCCTTTGGGCACCCTGTCCTTGGCCACCCTCTTGTGGCCCTTCTCCGAGAGCGTGTGAGGGGAAAAGACGGATGGAGCGTACATCTTGCTGGCCTCTTCGTTGGCGCGCAAAGCGTTCAAAGAAGCGCTGTCCCCGCCCTTGTAAATGGCCCCGATGGGCACTGGAACTTCGGCCATAATGGCGGTCAAGTTGTGCGTATGCTGGAAGCTTGGCCTTGGAAAAAGTGCTCCGTAGAAGCGCAGAAGACGGTGTGCAGCGTTGCGTGTGATGGTTTGGTGACACAAAACGACCAAAGCTCCTACACGTTTGTGATTTCACATGTTGCGAGTGACGCTCTTCCCTCTGCGACACCTCATTATGCGGGACAGCGCCCCTTTCTAGACAAGAGAGAGGTCTGATCGCAGGCAGCGCACATCATGTACCGCTCAGCCGGCTCCTTTCACATGATCCTTCAACCATGAACTCATCAAACTAAAAGGGGCACTTACCAAAAAATGCCCGATTAAGAAGCATACCACGCGCGCATGGACAAAAATCATAGAGCGCGGAACTCGTGTGCCCCGATCGAGCGAGCGACAGCCCATGCAACGTCCCTCCACATCGTCGTGAAACCCTTGTTCGTGCAGTTTGAGTGCGTTTTTGATTTTTGCGCGGTAGCTGTCCGGCCGCCGCTTTCGCTGTAGGTATAGCCTGCGTCCCACCGTTTCGCCGTCCAGCACGAGCTGGCCTCGCCGGAGCAAAATGACAGACAGCGTCGTGGCCGTACCTTACCTGATCACGATAATTCAATACCCGAGGCGCCCGCGACAAGCTTGACATTCTGATTGTCGCAACCTCTCAGACCTCACAGACGTGTCGGTGTAAGCGAAACGGGTTCGGAACTGCACGCGAATAGTGGTGGGACACTCAACCCATGTCTTCGATGGAGGGAGGGCCAGGCACCCGACGGAGAACAACAAAAGCGAGAGGATCGCGAAGGTGAAATGGTGAAAAAGGTCTGGTCATGTTTCGTCGAAGCAGAATACCTCGAGCTCGCCTCTCATTGTTGTTGGAAGAGCAGCCCAGAGGAAGAATCGTCGACTTCTGCGGCATCGACTGTCTCCGCCATCAAGAGCTCGGACTCGGGCGCTTGCTCGGCGCTATACTTTTTGAGCCAATCGATGACTTCAGTGTACCAGCGCAGACTGTTGCGCTCGTCGACTACCCAATGGCCTTCTTGGAAGACGAGCAGCTTAGATGGCACGCCTCTTCGTTGAAGCGTGTTGAAGACGGAAATGCCCTCTGACTCGGGAAGTCGGAAGTCGTCCCTACCAGCAATGGTCAATTGCGGCGTGTTCCAGTTTCCAGTGAATCGTTCTGGGTTCCATCGCTCGTAGCCCTCTCTGGCAATCCAGGGCACACCTCCAAACTCGAATTCGGGAAAGTACAGTTCGTCAGTAGAATAGAAGGTGGCTAGCGTGCTGAAGACACCGTCATGGGAGACAAGACCCTTGAACAAGCCATCCTCGTTGTGGCCTTGAATCCAGTTGATCGAATAACCTCCAAATGAGGCCCCAGCTGCAACTACGCGCTCAGCGTCCACATTGTCGAAAGTCTGCAGGATGTGGTGCACACCAGCACGAATGTCGTAGAAAGCGCGACCGCCCCAAGAGCCCAAAATGTCCTCCTGGTGCTTCTTGCCGAAACCTGTAGACCCGGCGGGATCCAGAGCGATGGTGAAGAATCCGGCAGCAGCGAAGGTCTCAGGATTCCAACGCACATTCCAGTTGTTCTCCCAGCTACCTTCTGGCCCACCGTGGATGAGCGTAAGAAGCGGCCAAGACTGAGACTTGTCGTAGCGGTCATAGCCGGGTGGCGGAATGATCCAGCCGTAGGTCGTGCGGCCCTCCGCTCCAGTGTAATTAAAGCGGTACGGTTCGGGTCCGAGATCCAAACCGTGCAGCAAGGAATTCTTGGTGATGTCTGTCAAGCGGATGAGTTTGTCCGACTTCTCGCTCAGGTAGAACAGGTCTGCGGGGCTGCGCATACTCGACTTCGTGATGACTGCTCCACCACCCGGAATAGTATCAATGAACCCGACACCGCCAGCTCTGATTACGGTCTCCAGCGTGCTGCCGTTCTGGGATGCCTCAGATTGGGTTCGTTTGTCTAGCACAGGCAGACGCCAAAGCTTGATTTGCTCGCGATCCTCCCCAACGAGGTACAAATTCTCGCCATCGGGCGCAAAGCTGAGGGAAGAAGGACTGCGGTCCCATTGCGTGAGCAACTGTTCCGTCTCCTTTGTTTCGAGATTATGCAATTGAACGACTCGCACGTCGGACTCGAACCCGTCTCTCGCCATCTGAAGCCAGGCGAGGTGGTTGCCATCGGGAGAAAATTCCGGAGACGAAGTAGCTCCGATGTCCCCCTGGGTGATTTGACGGGGAGCTTCGCTGCCGTCAAGAGGGACGGTATAGATATGTTGACGCGTGTGCCAGGCTGCATTGACTGCGGGATCCTTAGCCGTAAAAGCGACGAGTCCGGCTTCGGCACTGACAGCATAGTCGCTCTCGTCACCGAATGGTGGAACAGGTGCCTCAAGCCTGGTTCCATTGAGCAGATTCTTTGGCTCGCCTGCAAAGAGCCAACTCGTCTCGTAGCCCTTCTTGTTGCGCGTCAAGTCCAAGCTGAACAACTGACTGCGCTTGCCTGGCTTGAGCCACTTGTTCCAGTGTCTTATTGGCACATTCTCGTAGGACTTGACACGGGACCACTCCTCAGCTTCGGCATCGTCGCGTGCCTTGACGTCACTCAAAGAGCCATCTTCGTAGACCTCTGCGGAGAAGACGAGGGTAGCTGTGCCCTCGCCCTGACCCTTGGCGGTGCGGGCAACACGCAGAGAGGTGACTTCTGCTGGAAGGTGGCCTACACGGGCACCTGGGTCACGAGGGTCGATGTACTGCTGAGAGATGGACAGGTTCTTGACGTACATGACATCCTCGATGATGTATGCTGCTTCCTCTGGAGAGATCCAGAACGCAGAAGTGGCATTGTGTACTACTGGCACGAGTTCTTCCAGCTCGCTGGACTGTTCAGCAGCATCGTGGTGGGTCGGTAGGTGTAGAGCATACAGGGTGGAAGAGCGGGTCAGAGTGCTTTGGTTCCAGCTTCGAATGGCCCAGAGAGCTGCATGTCCAGTCGGGCTTGCGATTCCGACTCCAGGGCGGGGTGCTTGGATGAGGCTGAGCGGGTCGAGTGTCTTCGCCGCTACAGACGCAGCCAGCGTCAAGGCTGGGAGCAGAACCGAAGTGCGCATTCTGTCAACCGCTTTCGAGTCTGGAGTGGGTGGACTGATTTTGAATGGATGTGAGGTGGTGGTACGAACGTCTACATGGGATCACGATCGTACATTAAGTTAGCAGTCCCGCTTCCTCGATGCCATCGATTACGAGGACGAATGTGGGTACCGGTGAAGAGTCTAAATTGATTCCTTCTAGGAGCCCTTGCAGGCTGTTAGCCGCCATTTCTCGAAAGCGGCCCGGAAAACGAAATCAAGAATACAAAACGAAGTCGGAAGAGCCCTGATTTTGTAATCAAGAATCTTGTACGCAAAACCATCACGCAGCCGGGCAGCATGCAGTGCGCGACTGTGCGCGCGGACCTCCACAATAAGCCATGCGCCGTGCCGCGCGCGCCTTTGCCTTGACCCGTGCGAAATGAGGGCTTCTGCATGTCTTGGACGGGCACATCTTCTCATTTCGCAGCTCATGCATGCTGCAACACTCGCCCTTTTGGGCATCCCACCCTGCCGCGGAGTCTCATTCTACGACGGAGTCTTGGCAATGCCCACGAGTCCACGGGCTGCAACAAGCGAGCTGCGAGGCTCGCCCGCTTGTCGATACAGCTTTGCGGAGATCGACTCGCCGACTCACGATAACTTTGGACCCTTGACCCCACCAACATACTCTCGCATCCTGATGGGTGGATGCCCGCTCGCTGTGGTCAATAGCATCTATCTGCATCTTGCTGGCAAAGATCGACCATCAATCGGACTCGCGCTCCTATAGCTCTTTGGGCACATTCGCCGGTCCCGCTGGCTTCTTCTGTCAGCCGCATTGGGCGCCCATCATGCCATCCGACATTTCTCGTAGCCGAAGCACGCCCCTCATCACCATCTCATGCGCCCTCGTCTCGTACGTGCACACGCTCTTTGGATTTCTTGCCTTTGGCGGGGCCTTGGTGCTCGCACTTAGCCTGCACTACAAGAAGGTGGTCAAGAATGGCGTGGCTGGTTGGCCTTACGAGTATTGGCCGAGCGTCAGCGCTACTATAGGAGACTGGTACCCAGAGCGGTGAGCAGGGCTTTCGTGAATGAGTGTTGGGGTCACAGGCTTCCACTGACGCATTGCAAAAATCAATGCAGCAACATCTTTCAAATCTTCATTGCGCTCATGTCAGGTCCTAGGCTGGCATTGGTTTTGCTTTCAAGCCTCCTTGTCTCCCTCTCCAACCCGACTTCATCCAGAGCCAAGGTGCTGCTGGCAGTAGGCGTGTTGCGCACCTTTTCATGCGGTGGCTGGGTCTACATCACCTCGACGGATGACCACGATGTCCACGATGTATGCATGATTGCATACCTCGTGCTCACTCCAGCCTGGATGTACATCAGCAGCGGCAGTCTGAGTCTGGCATCGCCCACTTCAGCTGCGGAGCACTCCTCCAACGCGGTGACAGCATCCGCCATCGCAACCAAAGCGCGCACCATGAGACGGAGAGCAGCCTTTGCTTTCTGGTCAATGATTCCGTTCATGATCTTGTTCTTCTACCGACACAAGGTCCAGCATATACCCGGCGCATACACCCATTACTCCTTCTTTGAATGGGGCTTGATCGTCTTTGACTTGCTCTTTGACTTTGCAAGCGTCTACGATTTAAGCAGACTGGAGTTACACGTCGTCGAAGCCGCTGCGCCGCAACGTCCTGCTGGACCCGCAGAGCGCGAACTTGGAATTCCAAAGCTCTTCGGCGGTTCTTGGGTGGATGGCGGGACGGCTGCTGCTGTAGAGAAGGGAGCATGGTCCACGCCGCCACAGAGACTCGGCGGTATTAGCGCCGCACAAAAGTCAGGGTACGCATCTTTACTGCTTCCTAGGTGATGTTGGCAAAAATAGGGAAGGATGCTACAATGCCAATGGTTGAATCCCTCGGACTGATCCGATAGAGTCTGAACCACGTCTACACAGGTACAAGAGCAAGTCCAGTAGCCGTGACCAGGACCCAGTAGAAGCATCAGCCCTTCGAGACATCATCAGCCTGCTAGCCGAGACCTACATAGGTTCGTAACGATGACAATGCTTGCGGAGCTGAAACGCGCACTCTTGACCGGGCTTGCTGACTTTGTCCATGCCTCTAGGCTTCTGCTTCTGGACAACTTTGACGGCTCTGCACCCGACCATCTTCTTCTTCAGCGTCTACAATCTCGCAGTCGGAGGACACGAAGTGCTGCTAGTTAGCCAAGTTTTCGCGTTGGGCTTTTGCCTCTTACCTTTCGTTCGGCGAAGGCTATTGGTCGAGCCTAAATACCAATCTGCATCGGTCGCTTGTGTCGGCAGCACCGCGCTGGGTGCTGAGGTGACGCTCCGTACCTTGAGCCTGGTTGGAATGGGCTGCTGGTGGATCGCCAATCCGCTTGCCAGACTGATGTTGACTGCAGTTGGCGCCATGGGCTTTGCGGTGCATTCAACATTGGATTGGGCAGCTGCGTGGGAACGCGAGGAGCTGCAGCGCAAAGTCACTGGTGCGTATCGGCGCCGACCTCGCCTTGACTGCAAGCTGACCTCGGTCCGCTCGATGATTGTCCTGCAGTGTGGCTGCTCGGCCTATTTCTCTCTAGCTTTGCGAAGTACGCCAATCACAGCAACAATCCAGCCTGGCCATTCATGAACCAGACGAATGGCGGTCTCAACGGCGTAGCGCTCTCCCTTGCTGTGCTCGCGAATGTGGAACAGCTCTATGTGCACGTCGTAGCGAGACAAGCGAAGCTCGCACCTCTCCGTAACAGAGCTGCACCGCAGAGCTGGCTGTCCACCGTCGCGGCCGCTGTGTCGGCTGGCAGCTTGATCTACTCGTTGCACACGTACATCACCGACAGTGGCACGATGATCTCGTGGACTTGGACCGGATGGCCTGTTACAGGGTAAGTTGCCCCACAAACTTTCGCGTCGACCTGAAGCTGATTTGGCGTCTCTTTCCTCGGTACCAGTCCAATGGCCATTCCACACGGCGTTTTTGTCCTCGGTGCCTCGCTTGTGTCGCTCATGCTATCACTTGCTATCCCCGACCTGGGCTCTCACATTCTCTGGTTCTTCTTAGGCGCATTCGGGTCATACCAACTCTTGACTGCATCAGACTGGGACGCCTTCCTCGGTGCTATCGCCGTGGCAGTGTTCTTGCCGCCGATCGCTTTGCCCATTCTTACAAACGCAATGCAGCACCACCCCCTCAAGATCATGCTTGGAGCTTGGCTCACGGCAGACTTGATGACCTTCTTCCAAACTCTGACTGTTGCATACGCCTTCGTTCCGGGCGGGAAACCTTTTAGAGAACACTCGGATGCGTGAGTACAATACGGCGATGAAGGTGCAGCTCTTGCGAGGCTAACACCTTCCGGCCCTGACCGAAGCATGATGGTGGCACAATTGGCGATGCTGTTGGCCGGCATGACTGGCTTGAGGATGTCGCAGCCTTCAGCCGCGCCACGGACACGCGCATCGCTAGAAGTGTTGAGTAGGAAAGGGACGCGCTTGTTCAAGTACACAGGTGCCGTAGTCTTGGCGATTGCAGCAGCGGCAGCAGTCATCTCCTCGGTCCGCCTCGTGCCTGCTAATTCTGTGCAGCCGTATCGCCCGCAAGAGCGAATCCTTACGGCTGGCATTTGGACGGTCCACTTCGCTCTGGATCAGAATCTTTATGAGTCGTCAAGACGGATGTCGACTTTGATCGGCGACATGGAGTTGGACGTCGTTGGCCTACTTGAATCTGACTTGCAACGGAGCGTGTTTGGCAATCGAGATCTGACACAGTATCTTGCTCAATCGCTGGGCATGTACGCAGACATAGGTCCTGGACCGGACAAGCATACGTGGGGCGCGACTTTGCTCTCGAAGTTCCCGATCGTCAACACTACGCACCATCTGCTGCCCAGCCCTCATGGCGAGCTTGCACCCGCTATCCACGCCGTATTGGATGTGTACGGCGTGCACACACACGTCATCGTCAGTCACAATGGTCAGGAAGAAGACCCTCTCGATCGCGAGCTGCAAACGACGGAGCTCGCTCGGATCCTGCGCGAAGCATATCCGCATCCAGCCATCTTCCTGGGCTACGTCGTCACGAAGCCTCATGCAGATAGACCAGCCCCATATAAGATCCTATTCGAAGATGGCAAGATCCTCGACGTCCATCCCGGCGACGGCGAGAGATGGTGCCAGTATCTAGGATTCAGAGGCCTGGACCGCATCGGCTATGTCCGAGTGTCCAGGTACACCGTGACCGACACAGAACTGCAAGTGATCAAGCTGCGCGTGCCGGAGGTTGGGCAGGTAATCGACCCTGACACGGACTCGAGGTCCAGGATCACCTCTGACGATGCTTTGCCCAAGGAGTGGCGCTTCCCTCACAAATTCATCGACCCGCCTGCTATGGTCTACAACAAGCACAAGTACTCTCCATTTTATTTCCCTCTTGCCTTTGTACCCTAAGTGCCGTTTGCTCTCTGCAATGTTCTCGAAACGCATCTTGCTTTGCAACACCACTATCTTTGCGGTCGATACGAGCCAAGCTCTTTCTCACAGGACGCAACTCGAAAGCTTGGCATGCGAGCTACATGCGTGACGCAAACACTGCCGTGGCAAATCAATTCCCCTCACAGTCTGCGATTGGACCTTCGACGCTGGCCAGCTTGCAGCTTGATTTGCGGCCTTTTTGTACCAACCTACAAGCTTCTTTGTATGGCCCGTTCTGTTTGTCAGTCTTTTCCCCTTTCGCAATGCGGTCGCGCGTATCGATTTGAGAAAAGAAAAAAAGTCAAGAGCTCAGGTGCGCATTCGCATCCTGCTAGCCGTCACTGATTTGGACTCCGCAATTGGTTCCGCCGAGCAGTCAGTCTACTCACACATTGCTGCCGCATCGTGATCTGCAGCAGCCGACAAGACATGCAATCCGCCAGTCCCGGCGTGCTGGTTGGTGCGACGGTGGTGAACGGGAGTCGCTAGTTGGGCCAATCATCACCCAAAAGACATTCGTCGCAATCAACGGTCTTCGCGGCTGGCCGAGCTGACAAGTCACAAAGCAAGGGCAAGACCCACGTTGCAACGGGGATGCAGATGGTCCCACGCCACAATGCCTCTCTGTTCACGCAGCCGAATCGTCGTCTTCTTGACCTATGTTGCTGCGTACCTTCAATTGCGTTCAAAGGAGCAGCTCGACGAACGTCCCTCGCAGGTCTTGAAGTAAGCCGTCGCATCGTCCAGATAATGTCCAACTCGTGTGGACGGGGGCTAGCATCTTGAATGCGTGCCGCGTACAAGCGTTTGTGTGTAGCGCTAGAGCCGAGCGTTAGAAATGTTCTAGCGCTCGACGCTTGATGATGTGCGAAGTGGAAGCAACCACTCACCACGACTTTTGGCCCTGCTGCTGCGCTGTGCCGCCATGCAGATTTCGAGCTCCGCAAAACGCTCATTGCACGCGTGCCGCTCGACGCGCACGCCCTTCGGCAATTTGTCTTTGACACTCCGGTCTTGGAAGGTCTTCTTGCGGGTGGTGCGGCTATGCACTCGTAGCCAAAAGTCAGAGAAGAGTCAATTACACACGTCTGTTATGCTGCGGTACACGCGCGCTGCCTCCACAAGTCGCGACTCATCGAGCAATCACCAATCTGAATGCCTGCCATGAGGGAGCAGGCTCGATGGATGGGACTCGCGACTGACGCGTGCCTCGCGCCGTCTCGAGCCGTCTGGGGTGCATAAGGTCGAGACCTGACAGCGGCGCGGAGGTAGGTCATCGCTACCGCTGCGACTTTTCGATAGACCTGTCCATCTGAATGAGGTCTGTCCATCCGACCGATGCTTCACCTTGCCTCATACGGACGACAATGGCGGGCGCTCGTGACCAACGTGCAGCTACTTGTAGCTAATCTCGTGAATCAAGAGTTATGAGTGCTTCCCCGCACCACGATGTACGACTGCGTCACCATTCATGAGTTTTCAAGCAGTCGTGCATTCAAATTTGAATTCGTGATTCAAATGGCGAGTCAATTGCAGTCGGGGTCGGAATTTGGTCGCGCGCTAGCTAAAAGCACGATTTTACTTACGGCGACTTGTGTATGGATGCGAGCGTGCTCGGCCATCATGGATTTGGATAAGCTTGCTGGCGCGCATGTTACACGAGTTGCTGATTAGAAATACCTTTTCCTTTAGTCGGGAGTCCGAGAGGTGAGTTTGAGTCGTGATGAGTTGTGAGTGCACAGGTAGGAGGCAGCATTGTCAGGGTCCACGTTCGTTCGGTCGGTCTTATCGCACCTCGCTTGTTGCATGGTCGCACAATCATGAGATCAGTCCACCGCCGGGTTGCGCCTTCCTTTTGGTTCAATAGTGCTCAGCTAAACACTCAGTGACCGGCTTGACGACCAACGTGGTTTGAAGTCAGCCTCACATCGAATCGGATGAGCAGTCGCAGCCATGAAACGGCCCAGGATCGGATTGATTCATGATGCTAAGGGCGTCGGTGGGTGCTCTCAATTGCGCAGTGACAAATCCTGCGAAAGTTCAGATGAATTTTGATTAGCTTCAAGAGGAGAACGTGCGCGGTGAATTTTGAATGCTTTCTAACAAACAAATCAATAAGCGAGGAGCTCAAATTCATGAACAAGTAAACACACGGCTCGGACTTTTCGCAGCAGAAATTGATTTATTTTTGTCCATCGGCTTCCAGTAAGCCAACATCCATCGGCCATCCATCCAAGATCGTACGACAAGCGCACGCCCATGATGCGTGATGATTTCGCCGTTCTCTACGCGGCCGACATTCCTGCACAGATCGTGCCGTATACTTGCAGTGGCTGCTTTGTACGTCGCACGTCAAACGTCGTGTACGAGTCGAGTGGCTTCATAGCTCATCACAGAGAGAGGCCTAATGTTGAACTCGCTCAACCGTGGCTTAGAGCCGACACCCGAGACCTCTCATCGCGACGGACTGATCGGATGAGGTGCCTCGATCATGCTGCATGGCGAATCAACATCACCAGCAAGGCGGAGCTCTCGCGCGTCGTCGCACGTACACCGTGCAGTACGCGGATGTGGAGCGCCCACGCTGCAGCCTTCAGCCATGCATTGGTCTCGTGGCGCCCCCTTCCCCTTCTTTCAAATGGATCATATTAAGCGAACGACTTGCTTCTTTTGTGCTCCGCAATCAGTTCGTGCCCGCACGGGCAGCGAGCATCCGATTCACTGCACCACTGCACCCATGCACAGCTCCTCTCTGTGCATGCCAGGCGCACATGTCCACGTCCGAGCTGCCACCAAATGCAGCCTGCATATGTGTGCGACAGCTAAGGCTGACAGGCTGATCCTTGGCGGGGCGGGGCGGCATGATGCTTTGCTGCCCCCACCCGTGCTCCTCATGTTGTGTGCATGCTGCTGCTGCTGCTGCTGGTGATCTTTTATAGAAACCGCGCGGCGCTAGCGCGTACGTGATCTGTGCCGCGCTTTGAAGCGAATCACAATGGAACAAACCACTTTTCCGTTCTTGCTTTAGCGCAAACATCGCTCGTTTTCACAGCTCGACAATCCGCGGACTGACTGCTGCTGCAATTGCCGTTCCACTCACGCTCCTAGCTCATGGAGGATACGCTCGCCCAATATGATTCAGCAGAGTCGTGCGGCTGCTGCAATTACGAATCATGGACCAAGTAGCGGGCAAAGGAGACAGGAGGCACATCGCCCCTGCAACCCTCACTGACTCGCGAATGACCCCTCCTAGTCAGCATCGTGCCCCTCCTCAAGAAGCTCCTTCTGCTGCTGTGCTTCAAGTCTCGTGTTCCTCGCGAGGTGGGCTAATGCGCTCAGAGCGGCGCTAAGCAAGGCATCAAACATGGTCGGTCGCATAGGTCAATCGTCGTGGGGGATGGTGGGATATGCGATCGGTCACCCGGCCTTCATCGGGGCAGCTCTGTTGGTGTACAGCACGGCATGATGCTTACATGAGGTCGAAAAAGGGTTCGATGATAGACTAGTCGCATCGTCAAGTTCCAAGCACGCACGACTCTCGAAATTTCCAGGGTCAAGTTGGCCCTTTGCTCGTTATCGTCTACTCGTGACTCCAAAGCATTCTCGTACCGTACCCTTCCCAACGTGGTAGTGGTGCTCTGTCGTGAGCATCGGAATGTAATCGATCCTTCTCACTCACTCTCATTCCTTTTGATCCAACGTAGCCTTGCGCTAACACTCACCGTCCCTACTGACAGACCCGCCATATCTTCTCCATCACCTCCTACACTCACCTCGGCCGCGGTGACATCCGATGCATTGCTCTCTCCCTTTGTCCGACTTTCCCATAAGAATCGCATCGCCCTCTTGGTCCAACTCGGCTGGAAGTCTCTTCCATCACTGTATCACTCTCTGCTCCTTGCAAAAGATCCCCTTTCGCTCAATCCCTTCCACCGTCACCACCTGTCCGGCCCTCTTTTCATTCAGACCTCTACTCTGAAATGCGGACTCACGCCATCTTGGGTCTCACCATCGGCCTGCTAGCTCTCGGCATCGACGCGGCGAGCATCAAGCATGCTTCAGGCTCTCATTCGACCAGACAGGTGAATGGCGAAGTCATCCACAAGATCACCGATGGCCTCAATCGAGTAGTCACACCGCCAGGCAAGCCCAAATTGGTGCTTGGCCAAATGGCTCCCAAACGCAAAAGCCGCAAATCAAAATCCCTGCACACCTCGCTGTACAAGCAAGCAAGCAGCTCCTACGGCACGTCCACAAGTACCGCGTCAGCTGCCGATCCGCGCATTACGGACACACCAGGTGACCTGCGCGCTGCGACCGCACCAAAAGGTACCAGGAACTCTCTCGGCATGGGTCAAGATCCGAGTCCTATCGCACTGAAGAATCCAAATGGCACCGTATCCTACTTCTTTCCCGACTCCGACTTCAAGAACACTGCTTTGATGCGCATGAGCGCGGATTTGAACGAAGCGAACCGAGCACCACCTCAGGCTATACACACGTATGGAATGATTGGTACCGAAGCACCGGACGTCGCGGTGTGGCAGGGCAGCCAGCTCATCTACACCGTCTCGTCAACCAAAGACGACAAGTTGAGAGCTCTCACCAGCGATACCGACGATCCTCTGGGTACATGGACCAGCCATGGAGTCATCACGTACCGGGGCCAACCAGCAGAAGGCTTCGACTCGCACGTCTTCACCCATCCAAATGGCAAGCGGTACCTGCTCTACTCCAACCATGCTGCCATCCTCATCGCTGAGATGAGCTCGCCCAACACACTCGCAAAGAAGCCAAAGCCCATCGTCTCCTATGTCGGTCAAGGCGGTGGTCCACTCTCCATCTTCAACTGCGAAGCGCCCGCTACAGTCTTGCTGCCGAACAAGAACGGAAGCACCACCGTCAACCTCGCGTTCAGCACTGGCGATTTCCGCGCGGCCGACTATCAGACGCGTTTGATGTATCAAGATGGCTCCTTGGATCCCACCGTTCCCCACCATTGGCTGATCGCGGATGAGCCCATGCTTCGGACAGATTCGTCGGTCAGCGTCTACGGACCAGGCTCCGGCGGTTTCTTCGACTGCCCATCGGCCAACGGTGATGCAAACACTCTCGACGCCAAGTGCTTCGCCTACGGTGCTTTCTCGCAAAGTAGCGGTGAAGGCAACGCTCTATTCCCCACCGGCAATAGGCGAACGATCCGTGTTCAGCATGTCGACCACGACGAACACGGTGTGATTGAGCCCATGCACGTCATCGCCACGCCTGTCATCACTTAGAGATGCATGTGACCTAAAGATAAGGTCGCCTCGACCCATTCAGATCCAATTTTGGTCCCCTTCGCTTCCATCAAGCAGCCTGGACGTTGCTCATCACGCTCCCTTGACCCAGCATTGTTGGCGATAAGCAACTGCCCTCTGTCCAAGCTGCGCTTGTTCCGAACACGATACCCACATAGAGCCGGCCTCGTTTCGCTCGCGTCTAATTGTTGTACTACAACCATCTCAATACATTCTTTCCCGCTTTGTCTCCGGATCGCGAGTCTTGAATGAATGCCGCCGGTATAAAGGCGTTGGTGGGATTGCATAGAGCCCCTCTAGGCTTCCACGGCGTATACACATGCTCCTCCTGCCGGCTGACTAACGAGCAGACTCTGATTCACCTGGGTTGTGCCCAGCTCCGGAAATCTTTGAGCGTAGAACTCTTCACGTAGAGCAGAGAGCACCCCGTTCACCTTGTCCTGGCGCACCAGATGTACCGTCGAGCCTCCCCAGCCAGCACCTGAGTGCCATCACACGCGTGGCAGGTCAGCTTGCAGTTGAAGCCAGTCATGCAAGCCATAGAACTCACCGGTCGCACGACTGCCCAGCGATCCGTTCGCTCTTGCTATGCGCACAACGTCCAAAATCTCCGGACAGCCGTTTTCGTAGTCTGACATCAAAGACTCTTGGCTCTGATCCATCAGCTTGCCCAGCTCTTCGTATGTAGATGCCGTAGGGCTGGCAACGCACGCTGCCTTGAATTGCAGCACGCGAAGCGACTCTGCAAAGACGTGCCTTGTGCGGGCGTGGAGCTTGAAGGTGTCCGCTCGGACTGCAAAATAGGAAAAAGGCTCAGCCTTGCCATTTTTGAGAGGGACAGTCACACCTCTCGCTGTACTCACTCGGAAACTCGCTCAAGAACTCCTTGTCAAACGCAGCGCCTGCGTAGCCGGTCAATTGTTCCACCTGGTCCCTCGTTAGGGGCTCCTTGGGGAGGATCTCGTCCGCCTTGGCACCCAGAAATGCAATCTGTGCTGCCTCTTCTCCAAATTTGTTCTTAACCTCGTCCACAAGCTTGTTCTCCCCCTGGCCAGGTAAGGCATTGTGTTCAAAGTACACGGCCAGCAGCTTGCGAAGCGTTTGGGTGCTTGCGTCCTTGGGCAAGCCGAGAGCAGCACTCAAAGCTCGAGCTGCCATCCGTAACTCTCCAACGCGCAGATTGTACTGCACAGGCCCAGAGACCTTCTTGTCGCTTACTATCAAAGTATTCGCTACGACGAAAGTATGAGGAGGGTTCGACTTTGGAAGTTCGATAGCTTGGACTGCTAGGGACGGATGGAACGTGATGTGAAGCGCGCTGCCAGGAGTGCCAAAGATGGATGCTGACTGGTCCATGCTACAGTTGTGAAGCGGGTTTTGATCGAGTGAGGACAGGCATCATTGCAGAGCATGTATGCTGAGTACTTACCCTCCAGAAGCGACTCCCACAAGTCGTTCTGTGGGAGAAGATAGCGGGGTAAGCAACATCGCGCTACAGTCCTCAGACCCATACCCTCAGCTTGGCAAGCTCACCGCTCTCTATGGCCACTTCTGCCATTTCTCGCCTAGAAATGATCTCTCTCGCCTTGAACGCTTCTAGGATAACGATGGAGCTGCAAACTGTCATGGCAGCGGAGGAGCTCAGACTAGACTCGGGAGGAATAGTACCGTCTACCAAAACCTCTACGCGAGCTGGTCGAGAAGCTGCGCTGAGGACAGCGGGAGGAAGGTGAGGATGCAGTCCCTGCGACCCAGGACGTTTGTCAATCAACAACAATGGCGCATACATACAGCACAGTGCTGCAGTTTGACTCACCTTGAAGGCCACCTTGAAGTAGTTCGCCCATCTCGAGGCACCTTCGTGCTGCAATTGCACCTCTGTGGGGTCTTTCACGTCGCTTTCGAAGCTAGTAGCCTCAAAGCGTGGCGTAGTGTTGTACAAGTGGAAGGAGAGCTTGTCCGTGGACGAGGTGGCAGCGGAGACGCGAAAAGCCATGAGGATGTCCATCTCCAGCGCAGCCGGGAGCACGCCGAAGCCCATGTGGTCAATGTGCCTGAGAGAAGAGCAAATTGAGCAGATGAGACTCGGACGCTGCTCTCCCCCGGGTACACTCACTCTCCGATGATGTTTACCCGGCCTGGCGCTCTAGCAACGTATCCCGGCTTGTGCCCGAATACTTCGCCAAATTTGGACGTCAGCGCATCCCATCTTTGACCTTCCGGGACGACGCGCTCGGGGCTGTAGATATCTGCTAATGCTGGCACCATGGGTACCGGGTCTATTGACTGAGAAGCCATGTCTGTATGACTCAGAAGGCGCTGGCTCGGTGGGTGGGGCGTGACTGGGGAAGAAGTAGGCGTTGCTGGCTGTGAGGCCACTTGGGCTTGGGCTGAATAGCTAGCACTTGATTCTCCTGCTTGGTCACCTGAGTTCATGTGTGCACGCAGGGGGGCCATGAAGGAGAAGACGCAACCACGATCAAGAATCGTGAATGAGTGCTTCTTGTCACCGCAAAGCCTTGCCGGATGCTGCCTGCATGCAGCATGGACCTTGAGCCGGCGAAACTGTCGACGTGCAGCGTTAATCGCTTCAAACATCATGCAGACATAGATTGCCGACATCAGTCACGTGCCTCTCTATATGCTCAAGACGACCTGATCAAAGTGCGGGGCACGCGGCGCGTACCAATCCCCCGCGCCGACGCGGCGGACGCGTATTCGTGATTTCTTGATCTCGTGTTGTGTGATTGATGATCGAGGTGTGTTGGATGAAGCAGAGCATAATCACCCGCCACGGCAAGCACGCTTCATCGCGATATCATGGCAGCCATCAGGACGAGAGCTCGACCTCACACCTCCATGCAGCGTCATCCCATGACGTCTGTTCGCTCCTCGGATGGATTCTGATTCCTTTGACTTGCCGAGATCTCGAGACCTCGCATAGCTTTCTCCTCTTCCGCTGTTCTGGCGACTTCCTTAGCGGGTCTAATTGAGTCCCGTCCTGCCATTTGCTGGCGCTTGCAAAAAGCAGAGAGAGTTGTAGTGTACTCTCGCGAGGGCGCAGCACTCGATCCTCATTCTCTGTTACGCGGACAGCCCTACACCATGGTCAGACCACCTCCCTCAGCATACCGCAAGGTCGCCTCGCCCACCGAGAGCGACACTCCAAGACGATCTTCTTTCGGCTCCATGTCGCGCACCATGTCTTCAGAGTCCGTAGCTAATACCACGGAAAGCACCGAGAGAGGGCAGCATAGCTTGACAGATGCCAACAATGTAGAATCTCGGACAAGGCTGGCAAAGGTCTGTAGGAAGCTCGCCCTCCATGGAAAGGCGGAGAAAGAGGGGGCTCGGTACACGCTCTACATGCATGTAAGTCATCTCCAGTAGCACGTCGCGGCAATGAGCTGGTAACCAAGCTTACACTTTATTGGTCACACACTGACAGATTGAAATGCCAGAGCTCGCCAAGCCCAGGTCCTACCCCCTTTTCCCAGACAAGGATGTGACACTCCTGCAATTCTCGATCGACAAGTTGACTTCTTCTGGCGCAGCTCCTATGCTCAGTAGTACGGCTGCCACTGCCGCAAGCAGACTCAACATGAAGCTAGGAGCTGGTGGGGTCGATGATGAGGGCCCAGATGCGCAGAGTCAGTCCTTGAAGGTCACCACCGCCAATTACCACATCTGCCTGAATGCTGCTGCAACGCCAAGAGCACCGACAGGAAATGAAACAGCCACGAGAGAAACCGTCAAGCAAGGATATCTCGTTACACTACACCTTCGCGTGCCGTTCACTGCGCAGCCACCACAGTCACCTTTCGTCGTGAGTGAACATCGTTGACATCTTCCTACCGGTATACCGAGTGACCAAATGGCTGCATCCTCAGGTCAGACTTCCGATACCTCGCTGCCTCAACAACAAATTGCGTTTCGACCTGAATCCCGAAATCTTCGGCAGCGATGGAATGATTGCAGACGTTCAGCCGGGCACAATGAGGCCAAGCAAGTCCAGGCCCACATCGGCTGGCGTTGGCGGTCACGGAGAGGATGGGACAGCGGTTATTGAGGGGCCATTTCCCTCGACAGCTGATGTGATCATCAGGTGGGAGGGGCAGACTAAGGCACCATTGCTAAGCCCCACTGCGCTTCAGGCGGGCATGGCTGCTACCGCAACGTCCGAGGAGCTCAGATGTCTAGGTACGGAGAGGATGACTTCGATCTTGCGCGTATCAGCAGTGGCGAAACCACCAGGCAATCTCCAACAAGGCGAAGCAGCTATTGCAATCGCCTTTCAGGCAGAGCTAGTGGATCCACATTTTGTTGGTCTTGACTCGCAGGCCGCCATCGAGTTGAGACCGGACGTGTTTGGTCAAGCAGCTAGGTGGCACGAAGTCGACGTCTTTGGTTCGGCAGGCCTGCTCAGGTGGGCGCGAATCGGCTCCGAGTCCAGCCCTGACGGCGAGATGGCCAAGTCCTCGTCTAGGTCGAGTTTGCATTCGATCGAGTCTAGCGATGGAAGTCTCAAAGCGGCGATGTCGAGCAACCCTTTTGGAGCTTCGGAAGGGAATGACGAGAGCATGTTGATGGACATGCAAATACCTTCTGGTATAACGCAGAGCGACATGGACTTCAGCATTGATGAACAACCCCGCTCAGGAAGAGCGTCATCGAGCGCAGGACGTAGACTTAGCATTGGAGTGCGACAGCATCGGCAAGAGATGCAAGCCTCCGCGGCTGCTGACTCTGACGCCGGGAAAGAGACCGGCTTAGTTCTGGTGTTCGACGTGAACAGCATCCGAGAACGCGACACTTCGGCATCTACACCGTTGTCCATCTCGGTCCATGGCATTCTCATAGTATCGACCTTCGCGAGCCCTGATCTTTGGAAGGACAATGAAGTCGCCCTAGAACCCGCCAGTCCTCGAGCTCTCTCGATTCCAGTATTCCGAACCAAGTGCGCCGAAACTCACTCCTCATCTGTCACTTTGGCCAACGTGGAGGATGCTCCCAACTTGACACTTTTGCGATGCCCTGCCAAGGGAGTGAAGAGCTCGTCTAGCAGCCTCCTTGCGGACTCATTGGTCACGGATCTCTTCAGCATGGAGGTGGGCTCGACGTCGCCACAGATCCTTCCCGCACTTGGATGCGGATGGGACGTGGAGCACGGGACCCTTGCGATCGGGACCAAAACTTTTCCAGACCATGTCGTGAACGAAACTCAGGTACGCAGCGGTGAAAATATCTCGCTCGACGCTTCAAAACAAGGTCCCCTCGAGCCCGCATCAATGCGCGGCGCCGAGGTCCACGCGCCGCTTGCGGACCTATCGACTGATTCGGCGGTGTCCACCGGGACTATCTTGTCGATGACTCGCAAGAGTAGCCAGAGCAGGTTTCAACAAAGCACTGATGTGGATGCAATCGGCGCCATCGTCGAAGAGGCTAAGGTCGAATTCTGGCCTGCGTACTCGCCAGGGAAGGAGCCCCAGGCCAGCGCCAATGAGTCAGCCATGACAGCCGTTCCTGATCCAGAGTGGTGCCGCATGGTGGTTCGCTTGAACGTCACCTGGCCGACGAGCCTGCCGACAGATGACGATGAAAACGCAGACCTCGCTACTGCCGGCAGCTTGACGCCAGCATTGCTCTGCCACTTGCCTCCAGAGGCCCACATTCTCCACGCCAGCATCGCAGGGTTGCCGCTTCGCGTAGAAGCAACCACCGCTGCAGGAGGCCGGTCTGCTCTCACCGAGTTGCGGCTGTCATCGTATTCACACGCTCGGCCCGACGAAATTGAGAGCTCATCGCCGTTGCGCGCATCTATCGTGTACGAGACTCCTGCTGCTCAGGAGCTGGTGCTCCCTACCATCGCCGCGACTACGGTGCAGCTCACGGCAGTAGTGGCATTGCCAGCAGGTGAGTCGTTCTCTTTGCCTTCGGGATGTCAAATGCGTTGCTGAAGAGGGTTTCGTGGTGCACAGGTACACCGTATCGCTGTAGTAGCAGCGATCTGTACCAGGTGTCAAATCCATCTAGCTCCCCTACCTTCCACGCCTTTATGCTTGGCGCCATGAGCTCAAGAAGGATTACTCTCACAAAGGACAAGCCTGTCATACCCGCTGGAAATGACGTCCCCAAGACTGTGGCGCAACTTCAAGAAGGCTTTTTGAAGGCATCTCCAGAGCCCTTTCTCTGGAGTCCAGCTAAGGGGGCTGCATCGTTCGCACCCGCTGCGGAAGTCAAACCAGGTTCCTTGCCTGCGCACAGTACGGGATCTCGGAAGTCCGGCTTCTGGACCTTCTTCACCCTTGGCTTTATGACTGCAATTCTCTGCGTCGTTCTCGCGGGCTTCGGACACATGGAGACCAGGCACGACACTTTGCTCGATCTTATCAATGAAGTTCTGCTTCACGTGGACACGAGCGCGCCTCTGGAAGCAAATCTTCCTGTTTGGCAGTCCGGTCTCCGCGACGACTCAAGGCCAACTCATCGAAACGACCACTTTTTGAAGCAATACGACGCTACGGGCGCACCTTCCGAGGCAACTTTCGCTGACAAGCAATTCAGCCTGCGTGATGACACCAAATCATCTCCGCGGACAGAAGCCGGCAGCCCCCTCTACAGCGCAAATTCTGACCCTTTTGAAGAGACACGTGGTTCTCAGTCAAGAACAATCGAATGCAAAGGACGGGTGTCAAGCCTGATTTGGAGCATTGCTTCATCCTTTGGCTCGCTTTGGTCGTTCATCTTTGGATAGAAGGGCGGCCTTGGGTAACGCCTCCACCACCTCTTGTAGCCTTAATGTCTGAATTCACCTTGTCACCCATTTCTTGAAATGAATGTATCCACTACGCATGCCACCGGAGAGGCGCTTCTGAAACCCTGGAGATGTACCGTGTGCGTGAGTATGTGCTCGCGCGCCACGCGCTAAATCACCGCGCATGGTGTTGCGACCATATGGCATCGCGTGGCGCGCCAAGACGCGTGGCGGGCGTGCGTGCGAGGTGTTGCTTTAATTCAAAATTGTGATCGTGTTTGTTGCTCTTCCAAAACATCATTCTTGATAAATCCTTCACTTAGAAGCCCGGACATCGCACCCGCCACTTACCGCCGACCTGAGGGGTGTCCTGCCCAGACAGAGACGATGGCCAAGCGCGAGCATGGACTGCCCGACGCGAGCAGAACCAGTGGCGGTGCTCGTCCTAGCAAGAGAAGTCGGTCGGATGGAATTGTGGTCGGCAACGAGAAGATTCTGCCGCGACCCAAGAGTGCTGGCTACCTGCGCAGAATAGCAGGACCTGGCATATACGTCAGCACAATTCGAGGCAAGGAGAAGCGCGCCGCAGACGAGCTCGTTCAGTTGCTCGAAGAGGTGGGTCACGAGCATACTACTCGCATCGAGCTGATCCCAGCGATGGGCCTTGACGTTCAGCTACACCGTGTCTCCACCGAAACATCAGATCGTCGCGCGTGACTATCCAGCCACGTCAGTGAAAGCAGACTGGTGGCCGCAACATGCAGTAAATATCGATGATTGGACGGGCGATGATCTGGATGCTAGCAAGGTGCAACAAGAACAGACAGCCCTCTCACCCAGAAGGGCTGACTCGACCACGGATCCAAGCCATTCGAACGAGAACAATGCAGACGGAAAGGGGAAAAGCGAGGACGTGGAGACACGATTCACTCGCGAGCTAGCGGAACTTCAGGAAGAGCAGCGTGCCCGGCGTGTAACAACAAGTCAAACGCCTGGAGTTGCTGCGAGGGCATTCTTCCGCATCATCGAAACAGGCGCCGAATGCTGTGAGTCCTCCAGAAGGATGAGGGTCGTAGCTCTCAGGACTCACAGTCTCCGTCTCTGCACGTCAGTGCGCTTCGTGTCTGTCGCAGCCCCATTATGTCCCTTTGCACTGAGTCTCGCCCTGCTTGGAGATGTGGAAGAAGCTGGTCATGCACGATGTCGGTTCGTGCAAAGGATCACACCGGTCGCTGCTAGTGCCCATGCCAGTGCTTCGAACATACCTGCTTTGGCAAAGCATGTTTTGCTCAGGTGGCTCCCCGAGGAGACGCAGGCACCGAAGACCGTAAGTTCTGACCGATGCAAAGCTTGCGCGGTCGTGTGCGCCGCATGTCTGACTCTGGCACGTAGTTCAGGATCGACACTCATATTCGCAACCATACAACTCTTCAACGAGACGCTGTCATCCAAACCATGGCCGCGCAGATACCTCCGACGCCAGGTCACAAAGTAGAGCTCAACAATCCGGACTTGTGGATCGTCTTCGAGTGTCTTAAGGTGAGAGCCTAGCCAAAGGGCGGTTTACGAAGTGTGCGCAGGTGCTCATAGAAGGCGTCTCTCGCTCAAAGGGAACATGCCACATAGGGGTCTTGGAGCATTACGTCCGATTTGCCAAGTACAACCCACAGCAGCTAGCAGACCTCGTCCGCTCCAGGCGTACAAACGGACGCACGTCGACCGAGCCGCTCCACAGGTCCAAAGAGGAACCGCAAGAGCGGCTTTCGCGCGTAGGCGCGTCAAAAAGACCCTGATATGCGCAACAGCAGGTGCAACATAAGCACAGATGCTCCTTACTACGTACGGCCACTAAGAATTGATGCTTACTAGTATGCAACAGCTTTCCATCGGTGGACTATCGCAACAAAAGACCGTCAAGCATTGCCTAGGAACGTCGATCGGGCTGTCATGCAGCTTGTTCGTTGCACTCTATTGAAATCACATATCACGGACAGCGCAGCTTGAAGCCGCTCCTGCCACGTTCACCGTCGTAAGGCGCAAAACCGGCAGCATGCTGGACACGTCAGCCTATAGGAGGGTTCGCGCCGTTCAAAGAGCTGCGTGAGATATCATGTTTGAAGTGAGAATGCCAGTCGTATATGCTAGTTGTAATGCAGGGTCATGCTAGCATGATGAGTGCTGAAATGCCTGTGGAGAATGACGGCTTACAACCACGGGCAACATTCTGGTGGCGAGCGCCGGACTCCTTCATTTGGGGACGATAGGATACATCGACGCGATGCAAGCCTTGATTTGCCAGACTCCTGTCTCTACAGTCTCTCAGCGAACACATAACGTTTGTATCCTTGATTTTTCGATTCGAGATCCAACATTCAAGATTCTTGATTCTTGATTGTAGATTCTAGTTCTTAATACAATCCTTCACATGCTCAATTCTAAAGTCGGATCTGATTGTTGGTTAGTATTTGTTGAAATTGAGTCAGAGGCAAAGGACCCAAGTCAACAAGCGGCGCTTTGAATGAGATTTGAATTTTGAATCGGACTTTACGTGGTCTTGAATCTGATTCAAATTCGAGGCATCAGCGGCAGCAAGGGTGCAACATGCGGGAGGCGTTGGGCGCATGATGCGTCGGCGCAAGTCTATACAACCTTTAGCTGCGCCGTTGGAGTTTGGATCGAGTGATTTCACTAAAATCACGAATGGCCGAGATGGCTCATCGCTCGACGTGCACCAGCGGCAGCAGCAGCGGCACCAAAAGCAGCATGCATGCACTCACGACCTAGACTCAAGGTCGAGTCGCGGCCGCGCGCCTCGCCTTCGCCAGCCGCGGGGGGCGCATCCATTATACGCGGCGTATATATATACCGGTATACAATTGTGATCACGAGTAGATTCAAGATTGAAGTCACAAACTGCGAGCGAGACCGACGATATACGCGGGCGGGGGCAGTGAGTCTGGAGACCCCAGTCACGGGTGGTGCTTGGCTTCCCATACCCTTTCGTACACCTTGTCCCGCAAGAGCTTTCTTCCCTTCATCACTTCTCACAATCCCGCGCTGCTCAACATGCAGCGCTGAGCAATGTTTACACAATTCTGAACCTGTAATCTCCTTCATCTCACCGCAAGAACAGCAGTGCAGCCATTGGCGCAGGGTTCAGCGCTGCTGCCTTCGCACGTCACCTGGGACTCGGCGATCACTTCCTACCTGAGGAACATCGCCTACAACAATTTTCGAGACACTTATACAGCGGCCTTTCTAAAGATCATCGCCTCGTCAACCGAGAGAGACCCATCCTGCTCACTCAGAGGTGCTCAGATGCCTGCTAGGCACTTATGAAGAGGTGTTGAAGATCGAACCCCCCTTAATCTGATCCTCGCAGCGCCATGGCATCACCGGGCACAGGATATGGGACTCCCGAGTCGGCTCCCGGCTCAAGTCTCTCCACGTCGTCCCGCCCTTTTTCGGACAGGTCGGAGAGCATGTCCACATCTGCACGCGGCGTGCGTTCATCTGCGCTTTTCTCTCGACAGACGCATGGCGTTAGTGCTCACTCAAGTCCAGAGGACTCTACGTCACACCTCACTACCTCGGCGCCTTCTCCAAGCGCTCCGGACACACCTGTGCTTCCACTTACACTAGCTGGCGCTGCTCGCTCTTTGACTGATGAGCGAAGCGGCTCAGGCTTCGAGTCTTCGCCGGGACTGCCCAAAGGCTTGGCTCGTGGAGCCCCCAAGCGCGGCTTGAGCTTGGCAATTTCTGCCTCGAAAGCCTCGAATGATGACTTGAATGCACCGCCACAGACTGGCGTACCGCCTGAGCTCAAAGCTTTACTCTCACCCAAAGCTGCATCACACGACAAGATGCTCGGCGTCGGGGCGACCGGTGGCTCTGGAAGCCAAGGTGCCAGAGCTGGAGCTACGCCAAGTCCATCCAGCAGGGTACGCAAACGGCCTGCTCGGCTGTCTCTCGCACCTCCAGGTCCCAGCTCGTCAGAAGCGAGGAGCGCTCCAAGCTCCCCAATGTATCTGACGCCTGCTCACTCAGGTGGCGAGTTGAGTTCTTCCGGAGGGGCCACGCAAGACGAGCGAAGGGAAGACGAAGCCAAAGAACTGCTTCGGGAGACGCTGCGAGGAACGCCTCGAAGGCGACCGAGCATGCCCTTTGGGAGGCGGTAAGTCTGACAATTTGGGTAGAGTCGAGCATTGTCAGAGTTGTCGAGTGTATCAGCTGACTCTCGCCGATTGACTTGTCTGGCGTAGACCTGCACCCCTTGCCTTGTCAAGCCAAAACCCCCCGGAGAAGCCATTGCACGTCGGAAATAGAAGAGATTCAGCGGCGAAGCCACCTTCAGTGTGGCAAGACCCATCGGAGCACATTCTCTCAGGCAAGGGATCAACGCTTCAACACGCAAGAAGTGTGTATGCGTCAGGTCCAGTCGAGATTCTGCCGGGCTTGTTCTTGGGAGATGAACACAATGCATGTGATGCGGAAATGTTGAGCGACCTGCGCATCACTACAATCCTCAACGTTGCCAAAGAGACGGAACTGCCTTTCCAGAAGGATGCGGACGTGAGCCCACTTGCAAACGCGCGCCGAAACGGTCTGCCGACTGGACCGCCTCAGTCAGCTACCTTTCCTGTCAGACCTTACCGCAGTGGCTCTCGATCTGGCGATGATCTGCTGAGCCCTCAAGAATTTTACACGCCGGTCACGTCCATCTTTCCACCCGACACGCCGTTGCCTCCTAGTTTTTCCACGCCTACTGCAGGGGGCGCTCATCGCAAAAGCGTGCAGTACGCAGCCTCGTCGCTCAAACTAAAGGAAGCGCAGCCCGTCACTCCGCCACACTACTTGCGTAGTACGCTATCGACTCCAAATCTTCAACAGTCATACAAGGGTATGCTGCATGCTGATGGATCCTCGAACAGCCGGGAACCAAGTCCCCTGAAGCTCGGCACGCCTCGTGCTTCTGGGGCTGATGGCTTAGAGCTGCTCTCGCAATCATGTGATCGGACAGGCGAGCGCTCTGCTAGCCCGCAAGCTCATCGGACTGCTGGAGAAGATGCATCAGAAGCTGGCAGTGCTGCAACCAGCTGGTCCACATCCTCAAGTGTGGGTGGAGACGAGGCATCAGCGAGCTGGACTTCTAGCCGGACCACGCCTTCTTCATCACCGTCAGCTGAAGCACATGACATGCGAATTGTCGAAGAAGTCCAAGAGGTGGGGGCGCCTACTATTTCAGTCGCTGATGATCTAACGCCGCGCAGAGATGATCTTACAAGCAAGCTGTTCGACGAGCAGAGCAGCTCAGGTTCAGAAACAGAAGTCGTTTTACCGGCAGAGGCTATTGCCCTGTCCATTCCTGCCTCTCCTCTGGGCGGTCGGATGCAGGCTCTTCGCTATGTCAAGCTTCCTTGGACCCACGACGAGACAGAGCTGGCTGCTCCTGGCGGCGGCTTCAGTGTGGGGTGCGCACTCATTGCGGAATGTCTGCAAGTAGGATCGTTCACTCCTGTTAAAGTCGAGGGTCACAGCGGCGGTGTAGGAGATCAAGCGGACGTCCAAATAAGAACCATGCCAAAGCAACGGCCCTCGCCCGGCCGCATCCTTGTGCATTGCCAGTGCGGGGTAAGTCGCAGTGCGACACTGGTCATCGCCTTTGTCATGGAAGCAGCCGCACTCGGCTACCCTCTGGAAGGCGCTCAAGGACTGTCAGGAATGCACGACTGCTACACGCTAGTCAAGGATTTGTCAGCGAGCATATCCCCAAATTGCTCCCTGATTTACCAGCTGGTCGAATGGGAGCGGCATCTGTCTGCGGAGGTGAACAGATTGAGAGTGGCGTTCGGCATCGAGGGCGACTCGCACGGCGCAGACGAAGGAAGAGGGGTCACTCGCTCCGGGATCCGACCTGCTACGGGTGGCTGGGCTGGTGATGCCATGGATGAGGAGGAATGGACACGGATGCGTCAAGAAGAAGAGCGAAAGGAGGCTGTAGAGGAGGATAGAAGACGCGAAGAGCGACTGGCAGCTGCGAGAGAGGCGGCCGCCCAGAAGCTGGCTGCCGAGAACCTTGCAGATGATGGAGACTCGAAGCGACCAGTTGAAGGAATAGGGGCGCGCCGCAACAAAAAGACGCCAAGCCTCAAGTTGGGAGGCGCAGCAAGCTTGGCGGTGACCACGGCAGCGCCAGGTGTACTGGCGGCCCTGCCATCGGCGAAGCCACGCAAGGGACCTCCTAAACCGCTGCAGCTCAATGGCCAAGCCCCGCCTGTGACGACCTCTGATCCAGCGACAAACGCTCAAGCGCCCTCTCTTGGGCTTGCGTCTGGAGCTAAATTGCAGCCAGCATTGAAGGAGCCCGTCCACGAAGAGGAGGAGGACGAGGCAGTAACTCCGTCGGCTAGTCAGTTCTCCGCCCTGAGGCTAGATAATCCTTTGGGCCCGTCTGTGGCACCCGTTCAGAATGCCTCAAGCCCGCCGTCTGGAGCACAAGCTCAGCTCTTGCGATCTCAATCGGACGGAGCAGCTGTGAGGAGGACCACAATTCGGCCTTCGCCTGAGCACAAGGCAGCACACGTAGACGAACGACTGCCTGAAGGCCAGCAGGCGAATGGGTCACTGTCGGCATCGAGCTCAGGTTCTTCGATCAACACCATCGTGGCCTCCGCATCCAGCCCATCAATCTCCGAGCTACACTTCACGGATCCCCGCCGAAAGTCTGTCCACGGACTGGGAGCTAGAACACCGAGGGCAGTGGATCCCCGTCGTCGTTCAGTGCAGGTCGTGCCGAGCAACTCATCGCCCCGTGCTTCCATTGGAGCTCATCTTGCTTCCGCCATCGGCTTGCCCGGCACTCTGAGCTTCTCGGCCGCGCTGCTCACGCCATCGAAGAGTCTCCATTCTGGGTTTGGAGCGTCACGCCAGTCCGCAAGCGAGCGAAAGGACAGGCATCGGCGAACCTTTTCTTCAGACCTGCCAGCTAGCTTGCGTGCCTTCTCTCGAGAAGTCGGCCAGAAACTCGACAGTGCCAGCGCTGCCAGGGCTGCCGCGGCAGCTTCATCGGGCAGCACGACCTCTGCAGCAGCTCAGAAAAGGAGTTAGGTACTAGCAATAGATAATCGGTTCGCCACGATGCCCATTTTACCAACCATCTCTGGAGTGGTTGATTCTCGTTCTCGTCTTCACGTAGGGGCGCAAGTGCACCAGCGCCCTCCATCTCTCTGCATGCTTTGTCTGCCGCCACATCTGTACCGGTACCGCTGTTGCAATCTGAAACCCTCCTTTCCAGCAATTGCACTTCCTTCTTCAAACTACCTTTCTCCTGACCCCGGCTCACTTTCGTTGGGCACCGGTATTCGTAGCAACGCGCCTGATCGCATCTTGTTGGTCGCTCACATCTGCCGTGCACCCCGCTTGCCTCCACCTGCTCCGCGTCCGAGCGGAATCGCGATTTCGCGCCGGCGCGGCTTCACGCGTCCGCGCATTGCACTCGTGACTCTTGACACTATATAGCAGCAGGATGCTGTCAATACGAGGCGTCAGCCTCATGCTTGGCGTGACAACCACCACCTTTAACCCAGCATTGCCAACTTATTCATTCGCATAGCGTATGAGTGCAGACACTCGAACATCGCTGTGCAATGAATTAGGGACCATTCTATCACTATGACATATCAGCTCGACATCATCCCCTCGTATTCCTTGGGCCCATTCGTGCTAGGGCGCACTCTGCATTCAACGCTCGAGTATCTGCGTTCTCGGCCGCGACAGCATCCAGTCTTTGAGATCACACATGGTGCTACTGAAAAGTGCGTGTCCGAACCAGGAGCGCAAGCCCAGATTCCGAACCCTCCCTCTGCTACATCCGCCTTAGCTTCGCTGCCTGTGCTTGTAAGCGTCCCGGCGGGCTCATCAGGCGCGACCATCCATCTCAGCTTCTCGGCCTCAGCTCAGCGACTGCAGCTTGTTGTACTCCGCATGCCTGCTACTGTTGAGGCGGATGATCGGCAGACGGGCTCCTCTGCACAACACGTGGAGTCCTTCAGCCTAGTGGCCCTACCTCTGACGTGCGATGGTCGTACTCTGCCATCTCTCACTCGCGCAAATGTGCACCGCATGTTTGGGCCGACCTGGCCCGCCAAGCTACGCACACCGACCGACGGACTCACGAATCGAGTGCAGTCACGGGTGGGCAAGGGTGCTGCAACGAAGGCGCAGGAGGTCACGGTGCGGTATCCAGGCCTGGCTTTTGGGTGGGATGTCGATGCATCGCTTGGTCATCCAGGTGCGTGTGTATCGGCGAAAGCACGGCGGTCTGAGGATACATTGCCGGCAGGTGAATTGCTCGGTGAGACTGACTGACCCTCCGCTTGCCTTCAGAGCCGCCTGCACAAGCATCTGCGTCGAGGTTGTACGTGTATCAAGGTTTGGATCCGCACGATCCTGACGCCATTGACGCGCCGATACCAGCACGGCCTAGAACGGGCAGTGGGGTACTCAGCCATCAAGATAAGACTCCCTCCGATCAGGATGCAGCCAGTCGGGACTCAGTCACAATGCTGAGAGCAAGTGTTCAGGTAAGTGAGCTCGTCGACAACCACAGTGCGGTCCCGGTAAACGCCTGACTCGCAAACTTTTTCGCAGAGTGACCAGCCTGTAAAGATCACCCTGAGCACAGGTGCTTCAGTGGAGCTGATTCTGAACGAGACTACCGAGCAAGACCTGCTATGCGATCTGGGAACGCCAAATGCGCGATCTCTGGCACAAGACGAGCGTCTGGGGATACAAAGCTCTCACGCCAATCGTGGGTGGGGAGGCGCTGGACTCGCTTCAGATCCTTACAGGGGCTCACATCATCCACTTCGCAGGGGGAATGTTCTACAACTACACCTCACTCGGCATAGACGCGCTGGTGTCTGCGGCGACGAGCACAAGCTCAGGAGTTCTCACCAAGATCATCTTCCACTCCAATAATCCAGGCACCGCAGCCTTTGGCAGATACGAAAGATGTCCATGGGTGGTGCGCACCGCGAGAGGCGATAGCACCGTCACTGAGCCGGTAAGTCGGCTGCCAGCCAAAGGGCCGGACGTTGCGGCAAGCAAGGTGACCCACTAACCAGCGACCTTTATGTCGCTCCGAAGTTTGCAAGGCTTCATGCGATCTTGAGTGGCAATGCACACGAATCCAGCGCGAAAGGCTTGCGCCCCGATCCGAGCGATGTAGTCAACGTCAAGACCCAGCCAGATGAGACCATGGAGCTAGATCGGGGTGCGAATCCAGAGCTTGAGGGCTTACGACTCGACGTGCGTAGCACCCTTGTCGGCTTCACGTTTGGATCCGGCGAGAACGACAAGCGAGAATGCGAAGGCCTGATCGTCGAGGTGGATCGAAGCGGCCTCGTCTCCAGCCTCACGTTGGCGGGCCCAGCTGTCTTCTAGGGCGCGGTCCTGCCTATTATTAAGGCCCTTGGTGATGGCGACGTGCCTCTCGCACTACCACGTGCAATCGATGCGACACTTGCGAATTCATCAGATTATTCGTCGTCGCTATCATGAAGTCTCTCCCGCGCTTCTCGCTCTGCTCGTTCTTCCTCTTCGCGCCTCTGCCGCTCTCGCTCTTCCCGAGAGTACAAGGAATAATCGACCTCATTGCCCTCCACATCCTCAGCTTCAGCCTCAGCCTTATCATCGTGCATCTGACCGCCTTTCGCGAAGAGCTCTTTGCCAGTTGGCCTCGCTGCCAGCTTGCGGTATTCTTCGCGTTCCTGCACCGGCATTGGACAAGCCATCAGCTCGGACATCGCGCCTCGCATTACGGCATACCAAACGCACTTTAGCGGTCTTGAGTGTTGATCTGACGTACTCTTCATCGGCTTTCTGCTTTAGTTCTTTTTGCTCCTTCTCGAACGTTACCCTCCAAGCCTCAAAGCGCTCCGCGGTGACTGCAGTACCTCTGAATTTTTCCGCCTCGGCCTGGCAGCGAGCGGATTTGTCATCAACGACGTACTCTACCTTCCAACGCTACGCAGCGCGGACATGACATGCCGCGATGCCGATGTATCTCACCTCTATCTCCGCATTCCTCCTGTCCTGTTCCTGTGCCTCTGCAATTTGTTTCGTTCGAGCAATGTATGCTGTCAAGGATTCTTTGAGCTGTGAAGCAAGGGCAAAGACCATAGCCATGCCAAGAGATTCTTCGGCCTATATGGACGGGGACTCGAGTACCCTTGATCAGCGCAATCTAATGTGTGAAGCCGGCGAAGCCATAGGAGGACGTACAGTGGTGTGCAATTCGGCTTGCATCTCTTGAATGCCCTGCTCGGGCACACTCCCGCCTATACATTCGATGCTCATCTCCGGAGCTTCCTCAGGATATTTTTGGGTGTATTTGATGTTCAAAGCCAATGTGGGCGCTGAGTAGATGAGATTCATACTCAGCTTATGAGCATGCATCGGCCTTGACTTTGAGCTGACTCACGCTCCAATGCATCGCCTTCCTGACCTGCTGGTCCCGACAATCCTTCCTCAGGATCCACTCGTATTCTCAGGTTCTCCTCGTCGATCTCTAAGAAGGCAGATGCAAGCAGCGATGCACTGTGTCAAAAAAATCTGGGTACCATTTGATCAGCTACTTCGATGCCAAGCTGACCTTCAAGTTCGTCTACGTATATGCTTTGCAGCACTTCCCGCTCCTCTGCCAGCACCGCAGCTCGTTCCTCGCTCATGGTCGTGACCTGTATTCGGATGTTGGGTTGCTTCTGAACACGCGTAGAGCCTTTTGACTCGCTCGGAAGATATGTTGCAGTTCTCGATGGGCGTTGAGTGCAAAACGTGTGGTGATCACGCAGGAAGCCACTGTGCACTGACTTCAAAGGTGTGTTCGGCCGCGGTCACTGACATTCAAATTGACACTCGTGACTCACCACTCGATCACGTCTCGACTTGGCGTGATCTTGCTCAACATAATTGGCCGAGAAGAACGGTAGCACGTGATCCGTTGTTTCTCGCGTTCCTTCTTCCTTAGTGCACGGCATGTTAATTGCACATACGTTATACTCCGACGCACGACTGGGAAGACATGTGATTGGCAACTTGATCGCAACGACCGTGTCTTCCTGCCTCGCTCGAGACTATCTCTCTTTGAATCACAGCAGCGCATCGCCCATCCGTTCTCGCATACAACGCTTGCAGTCTGTGCTCAAACGTAAATTGCAGCAAGGGGACGTCAAGCGTCAGGCTCTCGGCCATTCTCCACCTTCCTCGCTCCTTCGCCCACAGATTTACCCGTGGAGTCCAAAGAAAGATACGTACCAGACGCTTATCACTACACACGTGCAGCCCCACAAGCTGTCTGTACGCAGGCATTATGGCGGATCATAGGACCATTGCTACAAGCTCTCGGAGCAGAGCAAACTCGAGCTCTTCCCATGGCAGCACCGATCTCTCGCTTTTCGCAGAACCTTCCGACTTCAGACCAGCTACGCCTCCACCCACAGCGGCGCAATTCGCACTTCCAGCAGATCCGCACATGCCAGCAGCCGTATCAGAAGACATTGAGCTGAATCTTGTCGGGTCTCATCCGCTTTGGGGTCATCACCTATGGAACGCTGCTCCCGTCCTATCCAGGTACGTGAATGCGCACGCCGACTCGCTCGTGAGGAACGCAGACGTGCTGGAGCTTGGAGCCGCTGCCGGACTACCATCTATCGTATGCAAGAAGCGGGGTGCAAGGACGGTGGTGGCAACTGACTGGCCTGACAACGAATTGATGGCGAATCTCGAGGATAATTGCAAACCCCACGGTTGCATTAGTCAGGTGAGGAGACGCTCGCATCAGAGATGCTTTCAAGATTCGAGACGCTTGAGAAGTTTGCTCCCCTGCTCATCGTGTGCTCTTTTCGCTTGTCGATCGGCAACATGCAGGGCTTCGTCTGGGGCACAGACCCCTCAATCGTCACACAACACCTGGATTCGGAAACCCGCGCTAGAACGAAGCGCTTCTCTTTGCTATTGCTGTCAGATCTCGTGTTCAATCACCAAGCACATCCCGCGCTTCTCAAGACGATCAGCGAGACGCTTGACGAGGAGTCGTCTGCCCCAAGCGTAGGTACCGCCGACTCTGGCCACGCTCAAGACAGGAGCACATCCGCGCAACCTTCCTTGGATGAATTATCAGACGCTGGATACTCGACATGCCCGCGACTGCCCTGCGCGCTCGTCTTCTTCAGCCATCACAGGCCACAATTTGCGCTCAAAGACATGCAATTCTTCGAAAGCGCGAGAGAACAAGGTTGGGCTACTGAGGAGGTGGGAAAGTGGAGGATGCCTGTGAGTCGGCACCAGCATCATTCGACTGAAGCACTGGATTGCCCTCCAGTGCTGACCATTTGAGCACTTCACACAGCCCATGTTCAAAGATGACCCAGGCGACGAAGCCGTTCGAGGTACCGTACACGGATGGAGGCTCTATAAGCCAGCAGCAGCAGGGTGATCAGTCGAGGAAGCCTCGGCGAACGACGGCACGGCTGAGAACTCTCTGTCGATACCCGCCACGTCGCCCAATCCCAACTCGCACTTCGGGGACGTGCAAACCTTCTTGCTGAAGGACGCTGGACTTGTTGCTCCAGCATTTGCCGTATTAGGCTTTGCGAACGATCAGCTTTCGTCCTCATTCAAATCTAGCCACAGTCGACTGGCAATCTAGTATCCCAAGACCGATCGACAATATAGCCCATCCGGCTGTAAGTTGAAGCGAGCATACTTGTGGACCAACTCGCGCGTGGCGAGAGGCAGCGGCAACATCTGACGACGACCCAAACGTACCGCATCTGGGATTCACAAGGGGATGCCTTATCCCATTGCGGATCCATCTTGATGCCTAGCCGGTGGTCTGGCCGTACGCAGCAACATAGCGATTTCACACCTCTCATTAGCGGTCCAGGACGCAAAAGTCTTGAGCACATCTAGCAATGATCACTAGCAATGATCATTGCGGCTCCAGTGATTGCGGAAAGAGTCTCGAAATGGGTTATACGCCTCATTGTAATGCAGAGGGCGTCTGCTGATGCGCTCAAGCTGAATTGCAAAATTGTCAACATCCGCCTGCCGCGAGGTAGCGCGCAACCCTGGACGCCGAGCGAGCTGCGGACGTATCAGTGACACCTTCAACAAAGCGTCACCTTGAATTGCTCTAGTTGAGCCGGTGCGGCATGCCCATGACCATTTCACCTTTGGCGATGAGGAGCGCGCCGGACGAGGAACCGCGTCATTAGGGACACGTTGATTTGCCTGGAACGTCGCTAGGCACGGACTTGTCGAGCAGCTTTGCCCTGATCCTTGATTACGACAAATTCTACGCGACGAGTGTCTTTGGGTGCACAATAGGTCGATTCAAAGTGTATAAGCAGCGAAGACGAAGGGAACATGACGCACGAAGGGGGGTATGTAAGTGCAGAGAGGGGGAAAAAGAGCGTAGGTAAGGCAAAAGAGCCTCTTCACGGCTGCGCAAAGCAGGGAAAGAGCAATTGCGTTTTGCGGATAGGTCAGAAGCATGGACATGGCGTACAGCTTCATGGATGTACTCACCCAGGTAAGGAGCGCGATGAGGGAATGCGAAGTGACAAACCGTGCGGTGGTGTAGATATTGTTCAGTCACTATCGGATGCTGGCATATTGATGATGAGAGCAACAGCAGCTTGCGCGCTCGCTGTCCAGAAGCTTCGTCTGCGCTCGTCCGTATCCTGCATTCTCTTGACGCAGTTCTCGGCAAGCTTTTCGCTCGCTTCTTCAGCGTGCACGATGACCTCATCGAGGGCTTCGCGAGCGTCTTCGAGCTGCGGAAGGGTGCTCTGGGCGCGCTGCAACCATTGGCCGCAGCGGAAAGCAGAGCGACGAAGCTGCTCGGGCGTGGTTGGAGGTACGGACAGCAGCCTGAGGGCAGGAATGATCCGAAGAATAAGGGCCAGAGCGCTCAAGACCGTTTCTGTCGGCAAGAACATCAAGTGTACGTCTCCACCGCCACCAGGAGCGAGGGATGCGGCACCAGCGGACGGAGAGTTGGGCGCAGTCGAGAAGCGAGAGTCAGAGCCACTGCCATTGGCTTCCTGATTCGCATCGGTCTCCTTGCCGTTCTTCTTGCCGGCTTGAAACGCGACACGACGTTGACTTGCAGTTGACTTGCCGCTGATGGACTTGGTGTCATCGCCAGAGTCCTTCTGAGTCTTGCTGTTCGAGCGGCTTCGGCCTTTGCGCTCCGCATCGCTCTCGGCGTCGCTGGGATCGAGGAAGTTACGAGACATTGAGTCGTTGCTTGTCTTTCTCGATCGAGATTTGGCATGTGGCGACGCATCGCCATCGCCGCCTCGCCAAGCCGACGGTGGTGCACGGACGCGAGGAGGAGCAACGTCCAGGTCGTCTCGGCCACTGGCGCTAGCAGCGTTGGAGTAGTAGCTCGAGACGGCGCGAACAAGCTGTTCTATTTCCGCCGCTCGACTCTCTACCTTTTGACGCAAGAAGCAAACGCGCTCAAAGTCATCCTCGATGTCTTCGCCAGTCGACATGGAAGACTGTGCATCCGTCAGAGCTCGGCGTTGTTGTTCTGCTCGCGAGCTCGAGAAGCTGAGTCGTCGTGAAACACTGCGGTCGTCTTGAGCTTCCTGCTCGCTGCGCGGGCTCTCCAAGATGAGTGCCAAGTCGAGGATGTCGGCAATGCAATTGCGCAGAGCTGCTTCTGCGAGAAGAAGCTGACTGTAGCAGAGCTTTTCGTGGGAGCGTAACACGCTCATCGCTTCACGCTGCAAGCTGACTGAGGTTCGCAGACCAACAGCGTAGTCGCCTTCGTCGCCATACACCTCCAAAGGCGAAGGGCCCGTGGTCATGGGTGTGCGATGGCCACTGTCTGAAATATCGCCGCCTTGGCCGTGATACTCGGACTGGGTAGTGACTCCTTCTGCGCCACCCGCGATATGAAGCTGCAAGCCGTCTTCGCTGCGGTAGAACTCGCTCTTGGCTTCCGCGCCTAACGTGAGAAACACCTCTGGTCTCAAGCGACGGAGTGTGTTCTCGACTCGTCGCATCTTCTCGAAGCGTTTGCGCTCTTCCTCAAGTCTCGTGGCCAGTCGAGGTCGCTGCTTGGCAAGATCGCGCAAGCGCGATCGCTGACGCGAAATGTCGATCTCGAGGCGGGAAAGCTTCTCCTCGAGCTCGGCGATCTGCTCTTTGTCCAAGGAATTATTTTTGGCGTCCTTCTTCGAGAACTTGGCCGGCGTACGTGTGGCGAAAGCGACGTGCAGCTCACGGACAGTGTCTCGCTCAAGGCCACTGGGCAAAGTCGATGCAATCTTCTCCTCGAGACGCTCCACTTCGAGCTCTCTTGCCCGTTGCTCCCGCTGTAGACGAACGCCCTCATTTGCAAGCTTCTGTACGCGAGCTTTGCCTCCTGGGTAGAGCATTTCAGCGAGCACGCCGGCCAGCGCCACGTACTTCTCAACCGGAGGCAATGTGTCAAAGTCGTTCTCGTCGGTGCTGACGGGTGGGAGCCTTGACAGAACCTTGCTGGTCGGCGATGGAAGGCTGATGCTATTGGAGCTGCTTCGCGATCCTTTCTCGGCGGCGTCACCCTCTGCTTGATGCCCCGCGTTCGAAGCATTGATGCTTGGCGCAGATTTGCTGGAACGCATGCGCGGCTCTCTTGTCTGCTCTGGGGTCGCTGGCGCTGTGACGGAGTCTGCAATTGCTGACACACCAGCGCGAGAAGCACCGGTGGCGGTGGAGCTCGTACGCGAATGGCGACCACCCGCTTTGCGTCGCTGCTGGGAGGCGCCAGGAGGTGGCGTTGGGGAGGTGATCGTGACATAGCTGGCCTGAGCTGACGCTGCAGATGCCATGATGGCTGAGGTAGAGCTCTCATAGCGACGATGGCTGTTGCGTTTGCGGGTACTTCGCAGGCTGTTGCGCTCGGAGTCAACGCCAGCGGGGTGTTGTGGAGGGCTAAAGGCTGAAGTGCGCGACCGAGTGTCATTGGAAGTGCTGCCACGCGCGAATGAGCGAATGCTTTGGCGGTCAGCAGCAAGCTCGGCGATGGAAGGTGCTTGGCTCGCGCTCGCGCTCGCGCGCCCGCTCCGCTCTGCCTTTTCGAGCTCTTTAGCGCGATCTTTGTGCGCCTTGCGCCCGAGTGACATCGTAAAACCATCGCCAAACAATTTGCCCTTCTTGAAGCTGAGCAGCGAGCCAGAACGCGCGCGGGTGCTCTCCTCTCTGGCGTCGGCATCCAAGACTTCTTGATCTTCCTCGTAGGGCTTCTGGCCGGTCCTAATCACGCGCACGTTACTTGCCAGTGCAGTGCTGTCTTCAGATGTGTGTCGACGCGACTTGTCGTCCTTTGGCCAGACACCGCTGTCGCGTCCAGAGCCGTGGTCCAAGCTAGTTTCAGGTGATTGCAGCATTCCCGCCATACCATGCGTGGCTGGGCTCTGGCCAGACGCTTCTCGTTCTGCGATGACCTGAGGGCTCTCTGCCGCGTGCAGGCTCCTGCTGGAGACACCAGGCTCGCTGGGACCGCGAGTGCGCCCATTCACGATATGAGTCGCCACAGAGTCCAGATCGTTTGGCAAATTCAGACGGCGTAGACGCTCCCTAGGCGAGAGCGCAAGTATGTCCGCTGACTGAGACTCTGGACTCTCCACTTGGTCCTGCTGATGGGGACTCGCCACGGGTGAACTGGGAAGAGGTGGTGGTGACGCCGGGTTCTGAGGGCCCAGTGCGTCGCGGGAGGGACTGCGCGGAGGCCGACCGGGGGGCGGTACGCTACTTGTGACAGAGAGCCGATTGCTATTGCGAGCATCTTTGCTAGATCCATAGTCAGACGCAGCTTCCGCTGCCTGCTTACGCTGCGGCGCTGGGAAGTATGAAGAAGGTGGATGAGCCCGGACTTGACGCTCGACGCTGTTCGGCGACTGAATTTCGGGCGAGCGCAATGCATGGCGAAGGCCAGCCGAAGGGGAAAGGGCGCCTTCAGCAGAGGTTTGACGAGAGCGCGCCCCTTTGAAATCATCGACGGAGCGAGCGTTGGAGAGCTTGGACTGCGAGCTTCCGTTGGAGCCTTGGCGAGGCAGACCTGGGCGGCTGCGCGAGTCAGAGTCGCCGGAGCGACGTGCTCTATCCTTTGACTGAGACCGGGCTTGGCTGTGCGAGTCGCTGGCGTCGTCCTTAAGCGAAACGCTGCTGCGCTTGGCAGAGGCGGCTGCGGCATTACGGACAAGGTCCCGAGCTCGCTGCTGAGAAGCCGAGACTGATGCTCGCTCGCTTTCAGAAGTGTACGGCAAACTGCTTTCTTGCGTTTCTTGAACATCATCGATCCCGTCAACTTCATCGCTTGAGCTCTTGGACTTGACAGCCGTCCATCCGGCCATTGCGGCCGCTTTGAGGGCTGCTGAAGGTGTCATGGCGGTAATTGGCTTCGCATGCTCCACATGAGCTGCTTGAGGTCTCTGACTAGATGTGGGCTCTTGAGCGCTGGTGGGCGAGACTGGGGTTACGGGGCTTGTCAGACTTTGTGCTCCGACATTGGTGGGCCCAGCCATCATGACTGCTCGGGGAGGTGCAACGTCGGCATGATTAGCGAAGCGCTGGTTGTTTCGATAGCTTCTGAAATCGATGTAGCCATCGGCTTCCGGGCCAGCTTGGTCCGCGATCCCTGTTGGCGCTGCTTGCTGGACCTCATTGCGCACTGGCTGAGACTGGATCGGTTTTGGAGACTGTTGACCTGCTTTCTTGGTCACGGTTGTTTGCGTGTCTGTCGAGGCAACACGGGTCATGCCAGAGGGGCGCGAGACGACCGTAACATTGGGAGGTGGTCGCTTGGACGGCTTGTGAAAAGCGCCAGGAAGACCTAGTTCGGGAGAAGACGACCCACCGTCAGAAGGTGCCGGTGGTGGTGCAAGGGCTGCGACGTCGCCATCTGAGTTGAACTTCGCAGCTATTGGAGCGGGCACTGCCTTCACAGCTGCATTTTTGGCGGAAGAGAGAGCACTCGCCAGCTTGCCGGCTTTTGGAGCACCTCTCTGAGGCTCTTGGTTATTTTGCGGCGCGGGGCGTGCGCGTTTAGATTTCTCCTCTCGATCACGCTTCTGAGCCTCATGCAAGGCTCGAGCTGCCGCTACGCGACGAGCAGCGGCCAGTGTGGCGCCATCCTTGACAGCTTTCGCTACAGCTGCTTGGGACCGCTCGCCGTCGTGTTCGTCAGTCTCCCACCCTTCTTCATCTGTCTGATCGCCCGCCACCGTAGCGTTCACGCTGGCTGGAGCTGCAGCGGCGGTGGCGTCGTCTTCGAAAGCGCCGTGTGCTGAAGAAGAATTGCCGTCCCAAGTCTCCCAGCCAGATTCACTTTGAACGTCTTCATCGGCCTCGCGATCAAGCGGATGCTCCGGGATTGGCTCAGGTCGATCCACCTGGTGGTCGTCGATTCCACCGTAGATATCGGTTTCATCGACCGACGATGCGGCACCCGACATTTGAGTGCTGCTTCTTCTTTGGGCGATGCTGTCGCGACCACGTAAAGAAGATGGTGTTTCTGGCTCTTCTTCAATGTCGGCGAGCGTCTTTGCGTGCTGACTGCTGCTGCCGCCCGTATGGCCACCTGCGCTGCCGTCGCGTTCGAAATCGAGGTCATCGTTGGGCTCTTCGTGATGTTCCCAACGCTCGTCTTCATCTGCGTCGTCGTATTCCTGAACCTCAGCAACCTCCTCGTCCGTTCCGTAATCTTGCGCTTCATGGCCGAGGTGATCATCCTCCTCATGCCTGTAGCCGTTGGAAGATATGCGGCCGCCGAACATGTCGAGGTCTCCGTCCCCCTCGGAGTGGCCATTGCTGTGTGACCAGTGACCATTGCTGGAGTGTTCACGACCTGCAACAGGCTCACGTGATCGCTCACCCTTCTGATTGGACGGCGCGGATTTGGACGTGTCGTAAGCTGAGGCTGAGGGAGGTTTGATGCGACGAACGGTGCCACCGTTGCTGTCTGGTGGGCGGGAGTACGCAAGTTGATTCAGACGCATGCGTCTCTCATAGCTCGTCTCTTCCCCATTGTGGTGTGCATTTGTGCTTCCGCTCCCGAGGCCAGAACTGTTCTTGAATGTGCCAATGCCGCCACTGCTACTGCTACCGCTGGACCGCCGAGCCAGGACGTTTGATACGACTGAAGGCATGTCAGGAGGCGTTGCCGATGGTGGGTCGCCGTTGGTGACGTCGAGCGGAACGGGAGGTCTGATGCGGGACTGAGGGAAGTTGTAGCCTGCGCTGACTGATGATGGGTCTTGGGTGTCGTTGGCGCCCTCGGGCGAGATCAAGGAACGCGAACGACTCCACCGCTCGTTGCCGTAGCGCGTAGAGACTGCCATAGTGGCGACCAGGGGTGATGGTTACCGCATAGGCAAGATGCGCGGTAAACAGACGGCACGTTTCGGGGCGGAGGAGCAATCGAGTGAAGGAGGATGAAAGGATGCGTGTGGGAATGTGAGTGTCAGCATCACTCGCAGCTGCTTCGATTTCGGGTCTGCGAGTCGGGTCGTGAGTACGAAACTTCGAGTCTCGAGCTTCGGAGCAGTCAAATTCACAACCAAGAGTCGTGAGTGTGCAAGCCGTCGCGAGGCTTGTCGACCGCGCATGTGCACCCCGCCGCCCCCCGCGTGCAGTATATGCATGTCCTTGCTGATGCGGTTTTCAAACGCAGGTGTCAGGCTCTCTCCTAGCGCGAAAATGCGCAATGGCTCTGCAGCTCATCTGGAGAGCCTTTTGACTTTTGACTTTGACTGCGAATATGCGCAGGGCCCAATCGTGCCGTGCCGTTCCGTCTTGCGTCTGCCTGTCTGGAACGTCTGCCCTCGATGCGACGACACGAAGGCCTCGGTATGACGTGGTCTACACCCGCTCTGCGATATCCGAACCGGTCGTGAGTTCGAAAATCAAGGCGGCCCTCCGCACGGTGACACGGTGATGATAAGCCAGGCACAGCTAATCCTTTCTTGGACATATGGCTCTTCTCCCGGCCCTGCTCGTCCGTTCGTGGCACCGATAGCGAGAACCACTTTGATGCTGACGTGCATACGGCCCCACGGGGAGAGGCAGCAGCCCCCCGTAAATTTTGAAGCAGCTCAAGCGCGCACGCGTGGGCCCTCGATGGTCGCACGGAGATCAAGAGTATCGAGAGGGTGCAAAGTGTCACGAACGGCTGCACCCTTGACTGTCTGTCTCGATCATAGCCCGCGATCATGGCGCTTGGCAAAGACTCTGGCAGGCCCATGCGTGCGGCTGTGGAGAGCGCCCCAAGCAGAGGGTAGCAAAGCCGACCCTGAAGAGACGCGCGCATCCATTTCGTGCTCGGCGCGCACCAAGGAGCTTACCCGATGCCCGCAGATCCACCTCTTCGCTCTTGGGAAACCTTGTGGATCACGCCAATTTTGATAGCAGACCTTCTCGTGACAATGCAGAGAATTACGACTCACCTTGCGCGCGGTCGGATGGATATCAAAGGAGAGTATGGGTCGAAGTTCTGCGCTCAGCGCATCTCAGAGAGACGCGCGAACGAGATTTAGGAAATTGTCGATAACGTCCAGACTGGAGGGTGTGCAAGATCGTTGCGAATGCGAAGGAATTGATCGAAGGATGTAATCAACAGGGTATGAAAAGAATGTAAGCGAGACTCCCAATGATGGTGGTCACCGTCAAAGACAAGATGTGTCGAGAGCACAGAAGACTGACGAAGAGATGGGACCAAAGACACGCAGTTGGGGAATGTTCGTCGAGTGTGACGGACCAACGACGCTGCGTCCCGCAATCCTCAGTTGTGAATGTCAGCTCGGCTTCTAAGCCACAAGTGAGACAGGCAGAGGATTGCTTGTCCGTCTTCTTGCTGATGGATGCATGCTGCAGACTGGACATCAAGCATGCATCCCGGTCTCAAGCCCTTGATCTCCGCAAAAAGAAGGCGAGCGCTCACTTTTGGCCCCTCAGACCCAAACTCACGTATTTACCACTTCTACTCCTACTACTCGTGACTACTCCTCTACTCTTGTGACTGCATGCTACATCCTTCTGCGCTCCAGTCACTTCTTTGCAAGGCTTGCCTCTCGTCGAGCGGAAGAGTCCCTTAACGATTCGGCGCAACCGTGAGTGGCAAGACAACGTGAGTCCCGGTGTGAGTCACAGTGCCAAATTGCCGGCGATATGCATGTCGGACACAAAGCACGACTGCGCGCTAAATACTCCTTCATGCATCACTTGAGAAAAGCGCCTCCTTGGCTCAGTTGCCGCCGTTGCGTCATGGGCTCGCTGTGGGGGGATGCAGAGACTGGGCTCCAGCTGCCGTCTGACCAGCGGGGTAGCCTGCAGCCCCGCAGGCTTTCACGAAAGCCATGCATAGTCTGATGATGAGTGGAAATGCAAGAGCGGGGGCTGCATGGCGATCAGGGCAGGCATCAGAAGACCCAAAAGAAAAAGATGGCGGGTGATATGCGCATGGCTCAGCAAGCAGGTCCAGCTGCAATGGTGCATATACTGGCATACTGCATGCTAAGCAGGCAAGACTCTCTTGGCCTTGCTCTTGCTGCCAAGCCGTCGTTTGCGTTTGGACGAGCATCGGCCAGCTCCGTCTCTGCCTGACACAAGACCGAAATACGCCCAAGCTTGCGGCCCCCTCAAGCGCTTTCAAATTGCTTGACCAGCGCTAAGCGGCCACCTGCAGCAGGTGGATGAGAAGATCGCCGCGCCTCTCTCTTAAGAATCACGAATTCCGCTGCACTGCTGACCCACCTCAAACCTGGATGGGTCGAATTACTGCAGAGCTCCACGGAATCCGTGGATGTTGCCTGGATTCAAGAGAACTCCTCAGTCGACTGACGGCAGATCATCCTGATGGGAGTCCGACCTGGATCACAGACTGACAGCTTCGGCCCGCCATACAGGTGGCTTCAGAGCGAATGAGGCCAACGGCCTGCTCGCGCTAGCGCGGTTTTACTTTCTGCAGTTGCAGTTTCCCCGCAACCGAGATTTGCTTCTCCGAGCAGGCAGCGCAGCTGGTGCTTACATCCATTAATTGCAGGACGAGTCGGGCAAGCCAGCCGCCTTCGCATACAAGAAAACAAAAATCAAAATCAAAATCAAACTTACCCAGAGACTGTGCATCAACTCTCTACACGGAGGATGGCGCTGATCGATGCCCGTGAGAACGTCTTATTTGAACCGGAATTAGCATGCCTGGGCTTGCGATTCAGGGTTGTGAAGCTCCCATCCAGCGTACCGATGCCAAGTGTCAGCTACGTCGAAAGACGTTGAATCAAATCTGCCCGTTCTTGGCGGAACCACAGGTCAGGCTGCGCAAGCGACGTGCTGAAAGAGGAATCTGCCCTTGCGGTCGGTACTGCTCCGCCTGCGACGGCTTTCTACAGCAGAAGCTTGAAGGTCATCGAGCTTCTCGGCGGTGCCAAGCATTTGCAGAAGAGTTGTCGAGCAGCTTTGGGGATTTGCTATGAGCAGGCTGATGGCGCGGATGATCAAGGCGAAGGACGAGCAGATCGTCGATCCTGAATGCTTTCACGCACGCCGGAAACGTAATGGAGGTGTGCTCCTTCACGGAGGCGTCGATCCCACCCCGCTTCCATCTGCGGTGTGTTGGCCACAGAGGCCATGAAGACGCCTCGGAGGCCCAATCCGATGCTGCTGGCGAGAGCGACCCGTGTTCCGGTCTTACGCTCCGCGAGCAAACCTTCTTCTTCGCCATGCACATCCTTCAAAAGCATCCGAGCTCCCTACGTTCGCGGCGCTCCCGGCTTTTGCCGTTTCGAGGCCCGTCTCGACGCATGCACGTGACACTTACCCCTTCTTCGCTACCGTGACCACACCTTACTCAGTCAATCTTGAATCAGTCAAACTGATTCAAGATTGAGTGAATGCAAGTCGCTCGGACGACGCAGACGAGTGCCTCGGCGTATTGACATTAATCGAGATGCAAGGAGAGCGTTATGACATGTTGCGCGATGGTCGTACAGTGAGTGGGGAAGGAGATTAGCGCGTGACGCCAACAGACGAGGACTATGTGAGTATGCAACACGGGCCGAGGCAGGTGAAGGGAATAGCCAGCCTCTGCGGGGGGCTGTTTGAAGATCTGGCGGCGCAACAAGACACTTGACCGAAACTGAGGCCGATGAGACGAGGGCTTCTTGGTCGTAGCAGAGGCGACACGCGGATGTTTCAGGTGTTAGAGGCGGAAGCTGTGCCAGGTTCACCTTCAGCATCATGCCAGGCATGTATGTATTCGAAGTACGCATCATTCTCGGCTTCGATGCGAAAGGGCTCTTCCTTGTCTGTCAATCTCACAGAGGCTTCATTGTCAGAGTTTGGGACAGGATCCAACCATTCCAAGAGCAAATGCTGGGATGCCACCCGCTGAAACCATCTCTGAAAGTCCTGCACCTGCAAACCACACACCGAAAAGATGGGGCCCATTCTTTGTTGCAGCTCCTTGCGAAGACCGTCGATGCCAACGCCAGGGAAAAGGGCTGGTCCTTCGTGAGCATACTGTGCTTCTCTCACGATGTCTGCGAGAGGATACAGAGCTCTGATGGAATGAGGATCGACATCAGCCGTCAGATCACCGAAGCTTAACGGTCTGGACTCCGTTTGCGCCACTTGGGCCGGTTCGCCTTGCTCTACTGGATGCTCAGCAGCCGCAGTGCGCACAGCCACGGCTTCTGGCATTGGCGAGGATCGGTTGTCGTTTTCTAGACGCTCTTCGACATCGATGTCCATATCCGATGTGTGCTGAGAATCGGCCTGAATTTGCGATCCTGGGATAGATTGCTCGGCTGGCGATGCTACCGTGCGACCTTCAACGGGCTCAGGTGTGATGACTGGCTGTGTCGTCGCGTTGTGGAGAGGCTCGGATGGAACCCTCGCAATGCTCTCGTTGGCTGATATAGCAGGCACTGCGGTAGGCGTGATGCTGTCGCCATTATTAGGGGCGCTAGAATTTGCCTGGGATTGTGAGGCTGACGAGGTTTTTCGTGACAACCGTAACTTGATCATGATTCGCCCCAAAGGGGGCTTGTCCCCAGAAATTACCTCAGTGCCGTCTTCGCCCTCCGCGGCTGGAAGTTGCGCGATGGAGGCTTCCGATGGGCTTGGGGTGTCAATGCCTCCGCCACGACCCGTTGACCCGTCTGTTTCGGTGGCCTCGGCTTGTCGAGCCTCGGCTTCACGTTTTGCAATCCATTTCAACAGCTTGTTTCCGTTGAGATTCCGAAATTTGCGCCACGGCATACTGGGATTAAGGAGTTGAATGCGCAACACGTCGTCATCGTCTTCCCACACTTGAAACGCGACAAAATCAACAGCTCCACGCAGCCAAGCTTTAAAATCTTGCCGATGAGGTCTATGCAGCTCTTTGCTCTCCACAGCTGATAGAGTATTAGCCCGCTTTGAGCGTTCGGAGGTCTTGCGTCTCAAAAACTCGACAAGCTGCAAGTACTTCTGGCTGCCGTAGACATTCCGTGGCCGATCTGCAAAGTCGCCCCTGTCCCACTGTGTTGGCCATTGTAGCCAATCTGGCGAGATAATTTCGAAAGGGGTTGTAGGCGACTGCGCAGTCAAGACTGCAGCTGACTCTCTGCTCGCAGAAGAAGAAGCTTGCGCTGTGCTTGACCCGCTATGTGTCCTATCCCGAGCTTCAGACATGAGAGCGATGCGGCGTGGAGAGAGAGCTGTGGATTTTCGCGGGGATCGCGACGAAGTCAGCCGCGGTGCGCTGACATGACCAGCTGGTCGTGATGACGCTACAGTCGAGCTTTCGGACATTGCACCGGACTGGCTTGGAGAGTAGGAGGCAGTGGAGGCATCCGATGGTATGGAAAGCTCAGAGACGAAAGTTGCTTGCTCTGAGGGGCTCGGCGCAGCCTCTGATGCCTCATACAAGGAGGAGGGTGCCGCAGTCATCAATGTCGCTGGCGTTCCGGGTGGACTCGAGAGGGCTGAAGAGCCGGACACCTCCTCGGTGATTTCCTGTACAGATTGTGCACGTTGGACCGCGGCAGTCAACGAGGGGGTTTTGATTACTTCGGCAGTCGAGTGCGTAGATGACGACATCGCCGCATCACGTTCGACAGTGCGTACACTCTGAGTATCTGTCGTCTTTCCGAGCTGCGCTGCCGATGAATCTTCGTTCGAGTTGCTTTTCTTGACAGTCTCGGCCAGCTGACCGAGGGCACTTGAAGCACGAGCTTTCTTTGATGGCGGTTGTTGTGGCTCGAGCGCCCGCTCCTCTTCAGGACTCGTGGGATCGACGGTGCTTTCGTCGGCTGATTCGACGTCCCAGCTTCCTGTGGAATGCCCGTTGAATGCAGGCGCGCAGCGCTGGCGATCTTCCGCGAGCTGAGTCAATTTGCGTTTGAGCGCTGTGCTAAAAGCATACTCGTCGGAACGATCAAGTCTTGCGTGATTACCCTGGTTCGTGGGTACAGGTGCCAAGCTCTCTGCTGAGTTTGCAATCTGACTCCGGGCCCTCGCAAGCGCTGCCTCAGCACCGACACAGCGCTCGTGAAGTTCGCCCATCCTTGCCGTCAGAACCAGCTGCTCTTCATTCAGCCTGTGAAGGTCTGCCTCCATGTGTCTCTTGCCCGTCTCGAGTACTCTCACTGCTGCCTGCAACGCCAGTGCTACCGACTCCATCTTGCCAAGCCGCTCCTCGAGTAGGTTCCGCTGCTCGGTCTCGATAGCGAGTTCTCTCTGAAGGGCCTCTGCCTTTGTGCGCTGCGCTTCCAGCTCCTGGCCATAAGACTCGAGATGTTCAGCAAGGCTCTCACGCTCTGCGATGATCGCTCTCAAGTCAAGTGACATGGGGTCCCTGGACAGTCGTTCCTCCTGCTAACAGAGGAATCGGCCGGCAAACGTTCTCAGCTTTGGCCGCTCAAGTGTTCGACTTGCGTCCATACCTGCACTCACCGGACCTGCGTTGGGCCCAGACTGCTCGCGCAAGGAGGACCTGTAGGGCCCTCCATACAGTCCTTCATTGGCTCGCGGCACGCCATCCGAGGGCGAGTGTGCCGAGAGCCCATGCCCTCTGGGTCCGATGTCTGGTCGCAGCGGAATCCCTGGCGGCCAGCTCTGTTGCCCGCTCGTCCGGTGCTCGGGTGCTCCATTGCCATTAAGACAGGGTCTGTGTGCGTACGGCCCTGCGGAACTCGGCTGTGCGGAGGTCGCGGATAGTCCTCGGCCCGTCCCACCTGGAGGCTGGAGTAGTCCAACATTCGTTCCGCTGACCAAGAACGGCGCATTGGTATGTCGTGAGACGTTCTCGCTAGAGGGACTGAGGCTCGGACCTGCGGCATTTGAACGATTATGCCCTGCGAATGGCGGTTGCTGCTCGGCTTCGTGTCCGTCGGATGAAAGGACAAGAGGCTGCTCGAAGCTGTGTCCCCCACGTTGTGTGGTTTGTGAAGCCTTGGTACCGGCTGCTACAAGCTCACCAGCTGTGGCAGAAGCAGCAGGCGCAGGCGCTCTTGGCTGGGATATCGCAGGAGCATTAACGTGCTGGCTCGCCCAGAGGTTAGGAGATGAGCGAAGTGCGGGTGGGCGGGAGAAAGGAAGAGAGGGAGGTCGCGACATTTTGTGGCTGATGTAGATGCTTTCACTCAGAAAGCATAGGCTTGCAAGGATGATTCCTAGGCGAGCCTTCGCCCACCCAAAGCTCCACAAAAGGCTGGCTCAAGTCACGTCTCATGAAGGCCCATCTCCTCCATTCGCGCAATGAGCAAGGAGCCTCCAAAGCTCATGTTGTCGGCTGCAAGATGAGCTTCCGATGCAGATGATGCTGGCAATCGTCCGTCCGGCATGCAACATTCGTGGGCGTTGGCTCAGGGAGCTGACCAGTAAGATCTGAATGGTGAATCAGGATCACGAGAACTACAAATCGTGGAGGTCATCTTACGAGTGGGAGCCTTACTGTGGCCGCCCCCGCGGTTGCACCTTTGCGGTCCTGCGCCCACCGCACCAGCAGCATGCCGCGGTACGCGGTACTGTACGCGGTACGCAACACCTACACGGCGCGCGCTGTCACACGGCGTGCGAACACGCTGAGGCACGAATCTGAATGACGAGCAGTAGATCGCTGTCTCCAACTTTGCGAAAGGAAATGAAAAAATCAGCCGGTCGCGCTGTGGGAGTCTGCAGAATTGCCTAGCTCAACACGACTATATAAGACGTTGTGGTCGCACGCCTTAATGCGCTCGGGCCGCCCGTGCCACGACTGCTGCAGTGTGGCCAGAAGGCGATGAGGAGGTGACATGCGCAGAGTCTAGAACGGTGTTCGGTTTAGGTACACACGCTCAAGAGCAAGCAGCGAGATGCTTGCGAGCATAGGCAAGCGTCAGCTCAAGGACCGCGTGTTGTGGTCATGTCTGGATCTCATATCCGCGAAACGCAAACGAACATGGTATTTGAGTCTAAGATTACAGGCATTGGCGAGGTAACAAAGCCAGACAGGAGCCTGTCAGCTGCCTTCTGTTCTCCCTGACAACTGCGCCGCCGCCGCAATCCTTCGTTCCTGGCGTCGCGACAATGGGCGAGTTTGTCGCGCCCAAAGAGGAAGACTTTCCACGTAGTCAAAGTATGCATCGTTCTCCTTTTCTGAAAAGAAGGGGCTATTTAAATCTTCAAGGCGAACCTGCGAAGTCTCCTTGACCCATTCCACCTTTACCCTCGAGTTGATTGTCTTGATCCAGTCTTTCAAGCGAGAGTAATGGGTTGTTGATGCTTTCATTACTTGCCCATACACCAGTCCCATCCTTGCTCTAAGCTCCTTGGCCAATGTGCCTGACCCATAGCCACGCTCAAAGACACCTCCTGGTCGCTGTACTTCCCGCAAGATGTCTACTAGAGGATACAGAGCTCGGTATGAGGCCGGATCGGTCTGCGGTGGCAGATGCGACGGGTTCGAGAGATCGCTATTGCGCGTTGGCACTGGCGAGGATCGCGGAGTAGGCACATCTGACAGACCACTTGACTCGTTGCTGTCTTGAGCACGGTTGCCCGAGCTAATCTCCATGTTGCTCGATGCTTCCAGCGCCGAAGCAGAACGATTGTCAAGCATGCGCATAGCAGCACTGCCAGCCTCCGCATCTCCGCTGACCACCTCAGACCCCAAGAGTTTGGGGTGGGTTCTGCGTCGCTTACGTCTAGGTAGGCCTGTCGACGAGCTGGTCAGTTGCCGTCCCTCGGCCTCGGATTGGTGACTGCTCGTAGCGCTGAGTAGACTGACGGACGTGCTCGATCCATCGCCTCCCTCACGGCCGCGGTCTGTGAGTGCGTCATTTTGATTCCATTGTAGGCCGTCGTCGCTAGCCTTCCAACCGCAGGTATCAAGCCAGCTCATCACTTCTCGGCCGCGAGGAAGTCTCTCTTCAAGCCATGGTAGATCCGGATTACGAAGCTTGATGCTGATGACGCCGTCCCGGTCGCACCACAGCTCGCAACCAACATAGTGACAGCCCTTGTCGAGCCAGATCCTGAACGTATCGCCGCTACTCGCGTGAAAATTGAGGCGCTCAATCGTCTGAAGGCAAAAGTCCACAGCTCTACCGTCGTTTGGACTGTTGTGCTTCTCGAGGAGATGATCGACAAGCGAACCCCACTGTCTTGCCCTCCACCTCCTCGACTGAGCGGTCAGTGCACCTGGAGAGACCCATCTGGGACAGCACAGATTGCTGGGTCTGCCACCGACTGAGCGGCTGGCAATTGCCGCGGCGCCTTCGCTTTGTAGCGAGCGAGGGGCGGCCTCCGCAATTTGAGCAGCAAGCTCGGCGTCTTGTTCAGCTAGCTCAGAAAACTTGCGCTCAAAATTGGATTGTCGACGAGCCATTTCAGATAGCCTGCTTGCGGCTTTGGCTTGAATTGATGCTTGCCACTCCTGTAGCTTGCCTTGTGTGCTATTGATCTGCGACATCAGCTCGTTGTGAGATTTTGTAACTGCTTTGTCTAACCTTGTCAGTTGACCCTGCAGAGATGCGAGCTTCTTGAAAGCTCTCTCCACCTTCTGGGAAGTTTCCTCTTCAGCAGCAGCTGACTTGCGATACGAGCTCCCAAGGTCATTGATGGTATGGTGCAAGTTCCTCACTTGGGTGTTCTGCTGACTCGACCTTTCTTCTAATTGACCGCGCAAGGCCTTCAGTTCGTCCTCCATCGCTTGTATGCGTTGCTGCAAAGTCTCATTGCGCTCCTCCGCGATAGCAGGAGGTCGGGCGTGGACATCATCGAAGCTGCCTTGATGACGTGACTGTGGAGACTGCCGCCAGGCACGAGCATCGGATGGAGTGCCTGAGGCCCTCACAGAATTGCACGCATCTGTCGTCGGAGGTGTTAAAGTCCGGTGATCTGACGTCGCACTATCGAGAATAGCTGAGGCGGTTGCGTTCGTGCAGGTACGGGAAGGCGATGCTTGTGCGGCCGCGATGGCAGCGGCCGCTTGAGCTCTGGCAACTGCGAAGGGATTGTGCGAAGGCGTGCTGGGCAGGGACGGCGCGGCTCTCGCAGCAGGCACGTTGTCCTAACAAATCGGGCCCCGTGAGTGTCGAGCTCACCTAGAGCATGGATCACTCTCTACACTGCGCTCACCTCTTCGTCATCGTCTGACAAGACCAGAGCATTCTCTACGCTAGTCCCCATCAGGCTGCCACCTCCGGGCGCACCCTGTTCCGATAAGTTGCGCAAGGTCGCCTCGGAAGGCGAAGCTAGGCAGAAATGTAATCGCGAGCCTGTGTTGGTCGTGTCGACTGACACAGAGGCCGTAGGATTGAAAGGTGAGGGTGTGGATGCTGTGTTGAGGGGAGGAGGTTGAACTTGAGGTTCGATGGCCATGAGGGAAATGACCTCGTGCGAAGGCGCCCAAGACATTGCCGGTTCCCACAAATTTCCAAGCCCGCCACCTCCAGATTCGCGGCGAGAGTCACGGTAGGCCTGTGCGGGCTGATAAAGTGAAGGCGACTCCTCCTTCTCGGGTTTGAAGGTCGGTATCGGGCGCTACCGCCATGAGCGCTGTCAAGCTTGCCTTGGACAGAGCGCTGACAGAAAAGTCGAGGCTGACTTGCGAAGTGCAGCCACTTGATAAGCTGGATCTGTGTCTCGAGATAGAGGCTAGAGTTGGGCGTAGATTCTCTTCTCCGTCCATTCGTTGCAGGTCGTCTGAGCGGGCCGCGATCCATCGCGCTCACACGTAGCTGTGGTTGCCAAGGCAGTCTCGAGCGAGAGCGAGCACGAGCACAAGGCAGGGCTTTGTCCGGCTGAGCATCGCTGCTACAGTCACAGTAGTCTTTTGAGTCGCTGTTGAGTGCATCCATGACTGACGGATCTTGACTGGTAATCGAAACATCCAGGCACGAAGAAGGCTGCTGTGGTGCCGATCAGCACGGGCGAGCCTGTGGAACGCGCTTATTTACGCGATGATGTCTGAGATTCTTGATTGATCCTGCACGACGAGACGCGATGAGGGCGTGATGGAGGATCCGACCGCGGCGGCGCACGGGCCGCGATGGCCAAACAAATTCGTGATTGTGTTGTCTTCGCAAATACAACCTGTCAATGGTGAATATTCAATCACAAACCGATCTGTTGAGGCAATAAGGTGAACTTGCAGTCAGAGTCATCAATCACGAATCACGAATTGATAGAATCAAGAATTCGTGATTCAAAATTCAAGATTGTTGCGAATGATCCTCAAAGACACGTCAAGTCTACAGGTCACGTGAGCATCAATGGCGGCGATCAGGAACGCGCGCAACGAGAAGAACAAGAAACCAAAATCAACAGGCTCGTGACTATAATCACTACAAGGGCAAGCGTGATATTCATCGTGATTGCACGATGGGGAAGGCGAACGCAAAGTCTTGAGTTTGAGTCGGATGGGCGGTCGTGTCGCAGCTGCTGGGTCATACGCACTTCTTAGCCCAAAGAAAGTTGAGCTTGGTGCGCTGCGCATACATCGCCTAGCTCATCTCACCCGTCAGCTCCATCTTTCGTCGATTCCACGAATCGGCAGCGCTTGGGCACCCATACCTTCACAGACCGGCGACCGGACATTGCCCAGAGATCAGGCGGCATGCAGCAGGAACAGCTGATGTTGCTCGCTTGAGACGTCCTATCAGCCTGACGCAGCGATATCGATTGGCAGCCATTAGTGATTCTCGACGCTGCATTTCTTTGCCCTGACTCGATCAGCTTTCGAGTCATCCGCTGCAAGCTCCTGCATCATCAACGTGCTGCGCGCCATTTGCCAAGCCGCACGCGAATGCTCCGCGCTCGCACACACCTCCAGCCCTTTATCGAAGGCCGTCTCAGACAGCAGGGCATCGAGCTTGCGATTCGGCCTCGACACAGGACAGTACCGCTATCACCACCGAGAGTACATATCACTCCGGACGAGACACTCTCTAGCGTCAGTCCCAACGAATCGCGAAAGTACGGGCCCGATTCAAGTGCTTCTGCTGTAGGCAACGCTGGCAAGTACGTGGACAAGGGCATCTACCTCATCAGCACTGCAGCTCCCTTTTTCGATTTACGTGAGCGAAGGAGGTATAGCCAAATGGCGGCGTGGCCACAAGCCGGAGGAGCTGGTGCGCATGCCTCTTACTACCCAGCATATACACAGAGCGGAGATCAACAAGAGCAGCAGCACTACACCGAGCAGTACCAAGGTGGACAAGCCACAGGCGGGCAAGTAGCGGAGTCGACTCAGACGTGGCAGAGTCAGCAGCAAGCACATGGTAACTCTGCTGCGTCTCGGAGGTACGACTATCAGCAGTACACGCAGCCTCAAGTAAGGTTGCCGCAACACCACCAGTCGACCCAGCAGCAGCAGCATCAGCCACAAGAGTACCGTATCCATCAATCGAGTCAGGATAGCGCGTGGCAGCACGGCAACTACGGCGAAACAGGTCCACAAGCGGCTCCATGGGCGCAGTCTCTTGCTTCGCCGCAGGCTGTCCATACCGGACAAGCAGCACTGCATCCCGCCGCCCCGCTGGGTCAGCCCGATCATCAGCAAAGCTGGGCGGAGTCTTACCACGATCAAGTGTACAGGCAGGGCTATCAGGCGGGGTACCAAGCCGGATTTCTTGCGGCGCAAGCTGGTCAGAGCTCCGGAACTCACGAACACGAGCTTAACAGACGCCCGACGAGCGCCATGCCTGCTCATCTGCTGGGTCACGCAAGCTCGGACATGTCACTCATCTCATCCTCGCCTTCATCTTACAGGCACTACACGACATCTCGTGGCCATTCGCCAGGGTCGAGCTCGCCATCTCGACGGTCTCCTTACACGCCATTGAAGCCTTTACCTCTTCGGCCAGGCCCACGTGACTCGTACTTCGAATCAGCAAACTCTGAGCCTCAGCCGTACCCTCCATCGCTTTTGCGTCCACCTCGGCCGCTGCCGTTGCTGCTTTTGGACTTGAACGGCACGCTAGTCTTCAGAGGTGGTTCTTCCTTTGCCAGCAGCTCGAACCCAACCAGGAGGCCTTACCTCAACGTGTTCCTCATTTGGGCGTTGGGACTTCCGGTCACAAACGTTTCACGAGAGGAAAGGCTTCGCCTATGGGAAGAGTGGGACACCCAGAGGGACGGAGATCAAGAAGAGGAAGGGGCCGAGGGTCTCGGAGAGGCTGTGGACGATCTCTCACTCAACTCAAAGTGGCCTGTTGGGACCCGCTTCTGGAAACGATCTGCGTCGCCGTTGTTGCAAGGAGGCCACGATTCGGATTCTGCCTTCACCGACTCTATCTGGCGCTCACATCCTGAGGAGCCGGTCGGATCAAGCCGTGCTCGAGTCCGTCTTTTCCTGTGGTCCTCAGCCCAACCTCAAAATGTAGTGGCGATGACGCGCGCTATATTCACACCTGAACAGGCAGCTGAATTGCTGAGGGTGTGGGCGAGGGATACCCTGGTGCCAAAAATCTTCAGAGCCAAGAAAGCTGCCAGCACCAAAGACTTGGAGGTGGTCTGGGCAGCGCTGAACGTAGATCGAGCCGGGAAGAAGGGGGAGCTCAGGCGCCAACATGAAGGCGAGAGGAGGGTGCAGGCAGACAGAAGATTTGAAATGGATGGTCAGGACGTCAATACAGGTACCGAAGAGAATGACGGGGGGCAGGAGATGCGCAATACTCCGCAAAGCTTGTCTTTGAGCCATAGCCGTGGCGCGAAGGATCCTCAGGCTGCATTAGAAGCGGCGCTCGGAGCTCAAGCCTTCGTCAAGGTCCCAAAGACCCGCCTCGACGTCCAGTCTGGGCAAGATGAATGGGTTCCTGGGAGAGGATATGGATCCCACAACACGCTGTTGCTCGACGACTCACCAGACAAGGCCCGCTTGCAGCCTTTCAACCATTTGCTCATTCCCGAATTCGATGCTGCTAGGGCTAAGAAGGCGAGACAGTGGAGAATGGCAAAGCGGTCCGGGAAGAGTACCGGAGATGACGCCATGATCGGGCCGATGGAGGACGAGGATATTCTGGACATGTCACGCGCGACCTCTAGTTCGGTCGACTCAGAAGCAGCGACGCATTCTACGGTGGAAGATGACGAGCAGCCGAGTGCGGATCAAAAGCGCGGGTCTTTGGCAGGATTGACTACACCTACGTTGACATCAGAGTCAGGGACCACGTCGTCTTTCGATCGCGGATCCAACCCCCATACCGAATCGAGTGCAGAAGAAGACCTGGACGATGTCTTGCTCCAACTCATTGGTGTCCTGGCACATGCCAGGTGGCAGCGCAACGTGTCGGCTTGGATACGATCAGGCGCGTTGGGCGCCTTCGGAGGCATGAAGCAACCAGGCACAACCGATGAATTGGTGTCAAAGATCCAGAGCGTCGAGTCACAGCATCAGACACATCGCGACGACTCGGCATTGTCATCAGAAGCATTGAAAACTGAAGCCGAGGAACACGAAGCAAAAGACCTCAGGCTACATCACGAATACGCGCTGAGAACTGAACAATTCTGGACCGAGGAAGGTCGAGCCGCTCTTCGCGCGGCAGATATCCCTTGCACAGTAGACTAGTTCAAGCTTAGGTGCCCTGCAGAAGATGCATCTAGCGCTGTCTTGCCATTGATCAAGCTTTCAAATGCGATGCTGAGGGTCTTGCCCTCGATTGTGCACACCAAGAATGATTTTCCTGAATTTCGATGAATGCTCTTCACGTTGCCGCGTTCTCCTCTCGTGCCAGATGCGCCTCCTCGGCCATTTGTAGAAGCAAATTGAACTCTGCGCGGCCAGCGGCACGACAAAGGCTGGGCGAGGAGGGAAAGAGAAACTGAGTTCAGCGCTGCTGTATGGAGGAATTGGATCGCTGTGCGAAGACTCACCGGTAAAAGCGGCTGTCGCGATTCTGGAGCAAAGCATAAGGTGTGTCGAGCTCGTCGACTTTGCCTTTGTCCAGTACAAGCAAGAGATCTTGGCGGATCACGGTGCGCAGACGATGCGCAATGGTGATAGTCGTGGAGTCCTTGAAGGCAGTCCGGATGCTATCTTGCAGGGCAGTGTCGGTCTCCTCATCTATCGATGATGTAGCTTCATCGAACAGTATCAATTTTGATCTCCAGAGCACTGCACGAGCCAGGCAAAGCAGCTGTCTCTGGCCTGACGACAAGTTCGAACCGTTCTCGCTGATTGGGCTATCCAGATTGCTGAAGTCGTGGCCGATCTGATCGCCCAGCGCGAATGCGGAGCTGTCACCGGCCACACTTGCGCTCCTGCTGCGCCTTTGAGGAACTCCAACAAGGCGGACAGTGCGCAGTGCGGCGAGCAAAGCTTCATCGTCGTACTGTCCATTGGGGTCGATGGTATTGCGAAGAGGGCCCGACAGAATGTCTGGATCTTGAGGAACGATAAGCAATCTACTGCGCAGATCTTTGAGGCCCATCCGACCGATATCAAGACCGTCGATCAGGATCGATCCCTCGGACGCCTCGATGAGTCTGAAGAAGCATGCTGCCAAAGTAGATTTGCCTGAGCCAGTGCTGCCAACGACCCCGAGTTTGGTGCCTGCGGGAATGTCGAAGCTCAGGCCTTTCAAGACGAATGGGAGATCCGATGTGTACCGTGCTCCGAGGTTCCTCACGCTCACGTTACCGTGAGCGGGCCAGTCCGAAGGTGGCCGGAAGTCTTTGATGACGGCAGGGGCTTCTTTCGGCAAGTCGGCCCACTCGACGACGCGTTCCACAGCTACCAACCGCTGCTCGAGGTTCGCGTAGAGGAAGACGACATGAATCAGGCGTTCCGGGACGTTGATGAGGAAAGAAAATGCGAACCCTGCTTGGGCTGCCGAGACTCGAGGATTGATCAACGTGGCTAGCGCTCCAATAAGAAGTAGGGTAGCACTGAGGATGGAGAAGACCTGTCCGACCCATCTCTGGAGGTCTGGCGCCCACACGTTGAAGCGCACCAGCTCCTCTGCGCGCATGAGCATCGTAGCGTAGCCGCTAGCGCAAGCGCCAAATGAGCGAATGACCGCAGCTCCTGAGATCAGATCTGCAAAAGTCGTGACTAGAGGTGAAGTAGAGGTCGATGCAAGTCGACGTACGTCGCGAGCCGCGGTAGAGTAGGCGACTCCAGTGAGCACAAACAGCCTTTACATGGAGAGAGAAATCAGGTCAGCGATGGATGCAGGCTCAGCAACACTTCTCGGTACGCTCTCACGGTGACAAAATAAGGGTCAGTACGAGAAGGGGCGCCGCGCCGCCGCCGATGATAGAGCCGATGAAGGCTATGACGACGGCCAGGCCTGCCTCCAGTGACTGCGTCACGACCATGGAAAGGTCGTTGTCCATCGTAGCGACATCTTCTCCGAATCTGTTCAATATTCTTCCCTTCGGGGTGGACTGAAGCCGCAGAAGCGCAAATCCCTCAGCATTCGTGTTTGCAGCGCACTCAAGAGGCGGCACCTGCTTCAACTCACCTCATGGAACCTCAGTGGCGCACCAAGAACAGCCGTCAACAAAGCTTGGAAAAGCACCTTCGAAGCGCGCAGCGACGCAAGATACAGAACTCCGCGCAGAGTCCACAAGAACATTTGAACTCCATGTAGGACGGTCCAAGTCCAGAGCCACCAGCGGTCGCTATGTGCACGGATAGGCTGGATGGAGTCTTGCGTCCAAAATTGCAGCCATTTCTGGTCGCCATCATTCGTGTGCATGACGTCAGCGTCGACTCTTTCTTGCACGCAGCCCGGCCACTCACTCCAACGATGATTGTGTAGAAGCCCGCAACGACATACACGGCCAGAATGCCAAGGGCCACGGTGTTGCCGCCTGCAGCATCCAGATATCGCCGATAGATGGACCACCTGACAGCGCCGACCGCTCTAGCTTCTTCTTTGACTCCGGCAGACTTGGCAGGTTGTTCACGTCGCAATTCATCAGCGGCTGGGCTCCTTACCGGAGCATCCTCTTGCTCTGGTTCTTTTGACTTCTTGGCATCAAAGTCCGCGCCCTTGAGAACAGGAGACTGCTGCGCAGGGGTGGGGGCCTCGGAAGGAGCTGCACTGCCAGAAGGCAATGACGCATCTGCCACATCCTCTGACGTGTGTTCTTTGCGCTCTTCATGAGCTTCAGACTCCTCGATCAGTCCGTGATACAAGTCGGATCTCAGGAATTTCTCCGAAGAGCCTCCGAACTTCATACGACCGTGCTCGAGGACCATGACCTGGTCCGCCATCGGAGCAACAAGCCGGACCTGGTGCGACACCAATATTATGGTGCGATCAGCCATCAGATGCAGAGGCGCGTCGGCCGATTGAGACGCTTGTCCTCGCGCGAGGAAGAGTTCCCGAGAGACGTGCGCGGCAGTCTCGGCATCCACGGCGCTTAGGCAGTCATCAAGCAAGAGGACTTGAGCTCTCGAGTACACTGCTCTAGCAAGAGAGACTCGAGCCTACCAAGCCGGCATGGGAAGTCAGCTGCAAGGTGAAGTGAGCATCACGACAGCGCGGACACACCTTCTGGCCTCCCGAAAGCCCTACTCCCTCCTCACCGACTTCGGTCTGGTCGCCATCCTGGAGCACTTTAAGATCCGGAAGGAGACCACAAGCTCGAATAGTATCCTCGTAGCGCTGCTCGACGTACCGCAAGCCAAACAGAATGTTGTCTTTGATTGTTGCGTTGATCAGGAAGCTTGATTGGGGGACGTACTATATGGCAAGCCCGTAGCCGTTGATTCAGTCTATGCTGTCTTCAATAAAAAGATATACACCATGGCGACGTCTCTCCAGGCACTCACAGCCGCTTGTTCCTGCGACAGCCAGTCTTTGCTGGCAATTGGTGGTCCGCTAGTGTGGTCGATAGGAATGGCATCGCTCTTGGTGGAAGGACAAATCACTCTTCCACTCTGTACGTCGCATTCACCGAGCAAACTCAGTAGCGCCAGCGTCTTGCCTGTGGTCGTGGGCAGCATGATCGAAAAAGGTGGTCAGAACCAGCGCTGCGAGTATACAAACATGGTCCTTGCACTTACCTGCGCCTACTCTTCCACATATCAAATTGAGGCCGTTCCGCTGGAATTCGACGGTAAGGTTCCTAAGCTTGAAAGCTTTGCTGATGTTTGAGCCTGCCCTCGCAGCGGCCTGATCTTCGGTCGAGCCAATCTCAGGTGAAGAAGTGGTCGGGCCAGGCCAAGCTACCGAAGCATTTTGGAAAGCTACGAGACCTGGTTCGCCAGGTGGAAGCGGCACCAAGTCGTCTTCGTCCTTCAGCAGGTACTGCGCGATCCGCTTGAGCGACACGAGACTCTGGAACAGGCCATTGATTCCGGTGGGAATGTTGCTGAAAATGCGTCATGAGGCACGTCACGAGTTAGAAGTCAGAAATGCGCATCACAAGCCATGAAGTGGCACTCACACGAAACTCCAGCGAAGCTCTGCCAGTACTGCAGAAGCGGTGAAGCCTACTGAAGGAGTGAGAACGTTGCCCTGAAGCAGCGTATAGTAGCCATAGGCCACGACCGTAATCAGCGTTGGCATGAGGTTGAAGATGAAAGAGTTGAGGACCTGAGCCAGAAAAAGCTTTCGTCTTCGCGGCGCCGAATACGAGAAGTCAATTGAGATGAACGACGGGACGAAGCATTCACGGGTCGATGTACCCTTCTACGCTGGACTCACTGCTCCAACAGTTCCTTCTGTCGCACGGACAAGACCCTCTCAGCCAGCAGGCCTTCCCACGCATTGAGTTTCAGCATACGAATGGCTTTTATAGCTTCGTTGACCAGTCCGTTGCGATCGTCTTTGGCCGCTTGAAGACCGGTAGTGGCGCGAACCATGATCTTCCCAACGAGCATCAGCAGTGGCTGCGCAGCCAACGAGACACCGAAGCCTACGACTGCAGCCCAGCCTAGAAGCTGAATCGCGAATGAGCCTCCCACCAGAAGTTCGGCGGGCGATACGATGACCAGGAGGAAGTTGAAGGGCATTTGTCCCACTTTGGCCGAGTCGACGGTAGCCAAAGTGAGCACTTGGCCTTTCGAAGAGAAAGCTCCTGTCGATGTGCTCGCTGCCGCATTCGCTGTAGACTCTTCCGATTTGTCAGCTTCCTTGGCCTCGGGAGACTTGGAAGCGCTTGGAGTGGAAGCGGCGCTTACATCCCTCCTCTTCAAGGCTGTAGCGTACAGAAGTGCGGTGATCTGGACTCTCAAACGACCGACCAATTTTCCCTGTGTGACGCACCAGCACTGTGCCAGGACGCAGGAGAGGGCAATGATCGAGGCAAACAGGCCTAGACAATACACGAGACCTTGAGACAGGCGTTCTGCAGATGTTGGGCGCGTTCCATTTTCTTCCAAGGTTTCTAGCTAAGCGCGCGCACGACCGCCGTCCCATTGAGCAAGGCTGAGAAGGCGTGTTGCGGGAAAGTGAAGCCAGTGCACTCACGTATTTCAAGAGGCGAGAGGTCAGGTATGCTGGCCCGTAGAACAGACCTCCTGCTACGAAAGCCAGCACAGTTTGTAGCTGAGCGCAAGGGCAGCGATAGATTTCAGCATTTGTAGAAAGGTGGTCATCTAAGCGCTGTCAACTGACTATAATCAGATTCTCGTTGGCCTTCAGGAGCACTTTGAACACAGGCCAAGCTCCTTGGAGAGTACTGGTGTGTTGAATATCCGGGGCATCTCTTTCTTTTCTCTTCTGTTTCTCCTCGTTCCAAAGCCGAAGTACCTCTTCCGAGAGCACCTCAGCGCGGAAAGGCCCATCAAGAACCGCCAGGTCTTCTGGTGCAATTGATCCTTTCTTCCAAGCAAGAAGGCAGATGCTCGTGACATGATTAAAGTAGAGTCTAGAAAAGATCGATGCTCCGCCATTCCCGCTCGATATCACTGGCCTGGCGGGTATCGTACCGGGTTTTGGAGAATACACGAGACTTGGGCCGACCCGAAGTAATCCGGCAATGAAGAAAGCTACTGCAGAGACTACAAGACTGCTGAACAGATACACTGTCCAGATGCCTGGGGCCAGATGCCCCGCAGCATTCGGTCTCTGGTTACGACTGGGATCCGTGAGTAGCAGAATGTCGCCGACAGCCAACAAGCCCGAGAGCGAAAAGATGTGGACCAATGCAGCGAAGCGTGAACCCGCACGTTGAGCTTGTAGCGTGACCACTAGCAGATCAATCTGTACCAGGATGCGTGAAGGAGACGTCAGCAGAGGCACCGTCTTTGCCGAAGCAACCCACGTGCAATCCGCACCCAAGCGACAGCCGTGATCGATGGCACGGCCAGAGCTGAAGCAGCCTCCCCGCTACTCCTCTGGCTCGTACGAAGCGCCTCGAAGCCTAAAAGTGCAGCGTTCGCGACGAGTCCCATCCAACAAGTCAAAATGAGGCTCAACTTGCCCCTCCTCGCTTCGGACCAGAAGGCCTCTTCGTCCAAAGGTTCTCCATTAAGCCTCCTGAATTCCTCTTGCTCCTGAAATTCTCGCTGCGCTTGCGTCAGATTAGCTTCGCTTTCCGCTTCTCTCTCTCCGAGCGCTAGACGGGATGTGCTGAGTTTGCTCAACAGCAGCAGATGCGTGAGGGCTGCTACCGTGCCAAGCGCAACAAGTGCAAGCACGAGGGTCTGCATTGAAAGGGCATCTGTGTATGTATTTCTTGCCTGCGCGCTACCGATGGAGCTAAGCTGGCCCGAGAAAGCCTGCCGGGTCTCTGCCATCGACCGGAAATGCAAGGGTAAAAGCTTGAAAGAAGACATGGTGCTGCTGTGACCTGTTTCGCGCTCTCGATGTCTTGTGTGACGCTTTCAAGTCTGCTCTTGTGCGGAAAAAGTCTGCTCAATACAGAAATTTGGCGGGCTCGGGGGGGGGGTGGGGGGGAAATTGGGAGACGCAATGATGCTTCATATGAGCGCCTTTGATGAGAATCGCTTGACTGCCTCCTCGCCAAGCGCTTGCTTGCTAATCTTCTGAAGCCAGAAGAGATGGTGGGCGGGATTCGCGAGGGTAAAGACTCTTGGCCTGAATTTTGGTTTCCTGCGACGTTGGGAGCTGATGAGTGACAACACTCACGACTCACGACTCGATCAGCAGCTCTATTGCTGCGCTGCTGCACATTGGCGGACGTCAGGTACACAAAAGGTGCATCGTCGCGCCGTTTGCTTGCTGATTCGCTATCAAGGATGGGAATCGCTACTCAAACTCACAACACCAATCAACTCGTGACTGTTGTGTATGTACGGTGCTGCGCACTGCGTTTGCGCCCTCTGCCTCGAGAACGCTAGCTGCTGATTCGCGCTGCATGATAGGCGGACGGAGCGTGCGTGCAGCAGAAGGATTTTGCCTCTGCAGCGGAGCACTCGCCGCATCATCCGGCGGCCTGACTGAGGCAGCATGCACACATCGCGATTGTGATCTTTGACTGCTTGTGGTGACTCTTCACGGCTCAAAGCGCTTTGCGTGATGCGACTTGCTCCATCCCATCTCATCTTGGAAGAGGATCACGTCCAGCCTCACACTGGGCTTGCGGAGTCTGGGCGCAACTCAACGAGGCCTGACGGACATTCTTCCGTAAGGCCGCGCCGAGCGGGCTTGATCGAGTCATGGCGGGGCCTCTCTTGCGCTTGTGCGAATGACTCGACCCCGCTAAAGGGAGGCAAGCGATAGCGCAGGGGGTACACAGGAGGATGCAGCTCAGAGCAGAGAAACGATCGATCGAGTCTGTCGAGGGAAGAGCACACCCAATACAACCATGCAACTCAGTCAAGTGACTCCTGTCGCTCTTTGGTCAGTCACGTGATGCTGGGTCTTGGGTCAATCAAATCTTTGAATTATGTTGAAATCTTCGAATATCACGAATCACGATGGAATTACACGCGTGTGCAGCAGCTGCGTATGGGTTGAAACGCGCGACCCTGCTGCTGGGATTCCGGCAATCTGCGTGACCGATGACCGAAGCGGTGCCTGCCCGATCTTGTAAGCCGAAGCGAGCTACGGCAGGTCGGGTGGGCATGGGCTTGCAGCTGATTCGTGATGATTGTGATTACAAGTCACCATTCACGACCCCACCCCCTCCTCGTGTGCTTCTCTCTTCTCTCGCTTGGGCTACATCTGTGACTCGCATACCCCATCGTCTCAATCAGGTCGACTATAGGGAGCACTCGGAACTCCACAAGACGTACATAGACACTTTGTCGTGATCCAACATGTCGTTAGCTCAAACGCTCAAGGGTAAGACGGCCTTCATCACCGGTGCTTCTCGGGGCATAGGACTCTCCATAGGTCGGGCATTGGCTTCACGAGGAGCAAACGTGGTGGTAGCTGCCAAGTCAGCCACACCGCATCCCAAACTGCCCGGCACTATTCACACAGCATCCAAGGAGATCGATGAGATTGGATCTCAATCGGGCAATGGGGTCAAGGGCTTGGCCATCCAATTGGATGTGAGGGATGCGGAGAAAGTCCACGAGGCTTTCGACAGCGCTGCACAAAAGTTCGGTGGCATTGATATAGTGGTGAACAATGTGAGTGGTCATGTTGTGTACCTGAATGGGGACACGCGGCCCAGGGACGGCTAGGTGCAGCTCTTGTGTATTGAAATCTGAGCGCGACTGCTGCCCTCTCTACAGGCATCTGCGATCAACATGCAACCCACAGCGCAGATACCAGTCAAGGCATTCGACCTGATGTCATCCATCAACTCTCGCGGAACATTCCTCGTAACTCGCTCCTCTCTGCCCTATCTGGAAGCCTCTTCAAAAGCAGGCAAAAACCCGCACATTCTCACGCTCTCTCCTCCCTTGCATACCGGCCTGCTCTCCCCATCGGGCGGATCTTGGCCCGCTCAGTTCGCCCAGACTGGCTCAGCATACACTGTGTCCAAGTTGGGCATGTCATTGGTCTCTTTGGCTGTCGCGGCAGAGACCAAAGGTAGGATCGGTGTGAATGCGCTATGGCCTTACACGATGATCGGAACGAGCGCCATGAAGATCGTTAGCCCGAATGCAGAGACGGAAGAGAAGAGGTGGAGATCGCCGGAAATCGTGGCGGATGCTGCTGCTAGAATTATAGAGCAAGACGGGTCAAAGTTTACGTGAGTAAGGCACTCTGGACAGGTTGAGCGAGCTCATGGGTACCCCTTTGCTGGCTTGACTCTTCTGCGCCCTCGACCGACTTTGCCCTTTGTGACCCCCCATGCACGCCCGCCCATCTTCATCCCAACCATGCAGCGCACAATTCCTGCTAGATGAAGCCTACCTGCGCAGCTCGCACAACTTCACAGATGAGCAGATCCGCAATTATTCCCTAGGGGGCGCAGACTGGCCCTTGGAAGATCTGGCAGAGGATCTCTACATCTCTGACTCTATGCGTCAAGAAGTGCTCGATAGTCGAAGGTCATGAGCCGGAACGTCCTTCTTCACGCTTCCTCTCTCGTCTCTTTGGTGCAGCTGGGTGGGCCTGCTAATCCAGGGTCAATTTTCTCGAGCACACCCCTTTCGACGTCAGAGACAAGCCGTGTGCAAGCATTCCCGCGGTCTTGGGCAATGTACGGTCATCGTCAACCCTACACACGTCACGAAGCTCGCGCAAGAGGAAGGACAAAACGCCGTCATACATTCACTCCTGTGCTTCTAGCGTTATGATACTCTTCGAAGACATTGGAGAATCGAGTGCGCATGTACAAATGCAAAAGAGTGTGTAGGGGGTCCGCGAGACCAGGGCTGACAATTCGCATCGTGATCTAAGAGCCTCAAGACCACTTCTCATCGGATGGAGCTTGAGACGGAGCTGATGGAGTTGGATCTGAGCGGAGCGAGCAGGGGCGTCTCGCGGCCACTCGAGCTTCCAACGAAGCTGGCGGCATCCGAGACCTCACCGTCTGTACCGCTCCCATCCAATGGAGCGTGCCTGGACCTCATGTGGCTCTTCTGTGGTCTGTGTTGCTGCTGCTGCTGCTGCTGGACCGCCACTCTGGGCGTGGCGGGTGCGATCTCGAATGTTGCTCGCTCTGCTTGAGGAGCACCGTCCTTCTTTTCGGTAGGCGCAGGCGCTATCTGAGCAGCATCAGCATGCGGGTTGGGAAACAGAAACTCGTCGGGCGACGCGTGCTGGACTTGCTCGGCATGCGGGTTAGGGAAGAGATGGTCATCTCCCCTCGTGTGCGTCTTGAGGTGCCAAAGGATCACATCCTTGCCCTTTGCGAGTCTAAGAGCTTCCGTTTCCGAGAGGCTGCCTTCGTCGTCAGAATCCAGATCTTGCTTTGCAAAGGTTTGGCACGCATCGATCATAGCTTGCGCAACCTCATCTTGGAGCTGCTCGACTGCAGCGTTCCTAGCTTGGTCGCCAAGCCTGTGCACTTGAGTTTCGGAGTGGAAGGCACGCAATTTGGTCAGCCCGTCAGGTCTTGGAGCCGGAGCAGACGGCTGGATCTCAGCTCTGATCTGCTGAACGATTTGGTATGCCGGTTGACCCAAGGGTGGCGTGATGGTCCTTTTGGGAGGCCTGGATCCAGGCTTGTACTGCGACAACGCCTTGCTGCTTCGTGCTTTGAATCCCTTGGAAGCGACCGAATCGTCACTGCTTTCCTCAGCTACAGAGGTGCCAACGCTCTGCTCGCCATCCGATGCGTAATCCGTGTCAGACTCGAAGAGCGAGTCGTATCCTGATTCCGAAGAAGCAACGCTAGACGCCGCACCGTCGTTCTCGCTTGCACGCGAGCTGATGCCCGACGCGTTGCTGCTGATACTGGCTTGTCGCGAGTGCGAGTAAGGGCCTGCGCGTCTCGTGCGCTGAAAGGTGCGCATGCGACTTTTGGCCACGGTTGGCGTGGGAGTGGTCAATTCTTCCATTGGCGTCTCAAGCGTTGAAGCTCTAGCTTGATCTGCTGGACGACGAGGAGGTGCCTCGATGATCTGCTCGACTTGCGACTCTGAAAAGCTTCTAGTCATGGTGGCTCGAGGCGTTGCTTGGTCCTCGGTCGAATTGCGAGGAGGCGCGAGGAGCACCTCGGTGCTGACCGATGAAACTGAACCAGCCGAGGACTTGGCTGCAGTCCTGGAACCAGCCAGCACCTCTGATTGGACGGATAGAGTCTTGAAGTTGACTGAGCTCGCCTCGACCTCCTCTGCGGCACGAACTTCGTGAACTATAGCAGGTTCGCTCGACGACCTGACGTGACCAGGTCTTTCGCCCTGAACAACCTCACCACAAGCGACGTTTTGTGTTCTCCATTCCTTGTCTCCCTCTTCTCTGATTGCTTCCGTATCTTTGATGAGCCTTTCGAGCGTGTCTACATCGATGGTTGCAGGGCCGAGCCCTTTACGAGGAATACCCATGTCAATCGTTGTGGGTCTCGAAAGAGACTTTTCCGGCAGTGGCGGGATTGCGAACATGCCTTGGGTCATCTTCCGTCGGATTGACGATGCTCGACTGGAGTCGCTGGGACGCCACATAACCGACTCGGGCGCTAGTCTGCGTGTGCGGGGAGTCTTGGGCGTCTTGGGGAGAGGTGGTGAGCTGGGCGAGGCTGGCAGTGCTGGCATTGGTGGTACTGGTGGCATCGAGGGCAGCTTAGCAGCCATTGGCGATGCAGACAAGCTCGCACTCTTCGGCGAGCCTTCAGATTTCTCCGTCACCTTTGCCAGCATCGACGAACGTTCTGAGAGGGACAGAAGAAGAGACGGGATTCGAGGCGAAGGCGCACCATTGTTGAGCACCTTGCGTCTCGTCAGTCGAGCGTACGTCGACCGTCGTTTTATGTGCTTATCCCTGTCGTCTTTGACATCCTGGGCGACATCTTTGCTGATCGCGTTGGTCCCCTTCTTGAACACCATGCTTTTGATAGGCGGTACAATGATACTGTCTCGGCGCAGCTCATGATCTCTCGGCAATTCGGAGTACATCAAGGCGTTGAGCATCTCTGCGCGGACCTTGTCCTCGTCCGGGTTCAAGGAAGAGCCGTCTTGCTCGAGCGGTGCATCCACCTGCAGAACTCTACAATGAGAATGGGTGAGCGTCGGTAAAGAGTGGAAATCGCGCAGTGGCGGTCTGATGCCCGCTCCGCTTCGACCCTTGGCAGGAGAGCGCGATCCTTGATGAGCAAGATCGACAGAGTCCGGTGGTGTGACCAGCGAGTCGACGGAATGAGTGGCAGAGCATAACGAGTCGGCGAGGGAGGAAAAGCTCTCGAAAGCTTCAAAGGCATCCGAATTGGCCAAGTCTTCAAACGTGGCACTGCTGGGCTTTGCGCTTTGGCTTGGCGTGCCCGGAGAGCTTGGCACCACAAGTGAGCTGCTAGCTGGTGCAGCTTGCGACAACGCGTCATCCCACCTGACAGGCTTGCGCCTCACCATTTTCGGCTTGAGCTCATCCTTGACACCAGGGTTTGCATGAATGCAAGCCGAGTCGAGCGCATTGACAGCGTTGCGCAGACGAGCCAGATCCTTGAGATTTCTGGGTCCAGCATTGCTCTTCAAGGTCGGGTTTTGAGCTGCATCGGCACCGTCGCCGTGCTCGAGGTCATACTGAAAGGAAAGACGGTGGAGAGCCGACATGGCCTTGCTGATGGCTTCGGCGCCCTCGGCTGTCGTAGACGAGTACGAGATTGGGTCAAGAGGCGGCACTTCGTTGGTGGAATCGAGGAGACCAGCACCTGTTGCCGCCGCCATAGACTCTTCAAATGCAGTGTACATTTGGCTCGCAGTGCACGGCAGCTCCTCGACTTGTTCAACGCGGGAGGCCGACTGACTGCGACTGCTTGCCGTCATTTGTTGCTGTCTCCTCAACTCCTTGGCGCTGCGCATCCCTTTTAGAAATTTCTTTGCGCCTGTGTTGGGCAAGTTACTTTGCACTCTCTTGTCGACAGTCGCAGAGGTCGCCATGTCGTCTTCGTCGATGATTCGCGAGGGTTACTGCACAAGATGAAATGGGGCGTTTTCGAAGAAGAAGAAGAAAAGGGGTTAGAGTAAAGTAGAGGTGTTAAAAGGCGTGTTCGAACGTGTCCAGCACGCTACCACTTGAGAAGGCAAAGAGGGAGGTTGTGAAAGGGGTGAGGTAAAGGGGAGGATGCACCGACCAGCGGGCTTGAACAGGAACACGAGAACAGAGGGCACTCGGTACAAGTGGCTCCTCGATTAGTTGGACATCTGGGATGATGGTGGAGAGGGACAAAGGTGGATGGCGTAGTTGGCGATGCGTCGTTATCGACTCGATCCCGTTGCGGTGGATCGGCTACAGAAGTGCTGCGCTGGAGACTTGTGCGATGCTATGCCGGTAAGAACTTTGGCTGGAGGACCACGAGGTAATTCTGCACTCGGGCCTACGTGCATCGATCGAACTTTTGAATGCATTCTCGTCTGAAGGTTGCGCTGCCCTTCATCAATCATAAGGTCCCTAGCACCTCGCTACTCAAGGTCCGCACACACAACTGGCGCTGTCGACGAGGTTGAGATCCGAGGGGCTCACACGAGGTTGTTGCTCTCGCAGGCGCCACTGTGACTTACTGCGTGGGCGTCGTCCAAGTCTACACGCGCTCCTGTGTGCTGCGTACATCAGAGACCTCTCCATCCGGGTACGGCGCAGCCGCGAGGCGCTAATAGCTGCGCGCTGCGCCAAATCCTGCGCCCCTGCGCCGCCCATTCGCGCGTGCGCTTCAGCGCAGTCACACTCGTCCTAGGCCCAGCTTCGCCTCCCAAGCCCATGCCTATATATATGCACCCGCCACGCGTCTCAACCTCCTACTTCCGAACCCGAGAAAGTCGCACACGCACTAACAGTCGTGAGTCACGAGTGTCGAGAGTCAGAGTCATGAATGACGTTTTCTGATTCGGAGTCAAGAGTCGAATCACGAATTCGTCGGTCACGACTGGTGAGTCAAGCGGTCGTGAGTGAGTCTTTGAGTCATGAGTCTCGACTGCACTCACTAGCGGTTGCTGGCTACGCTTCACGCCTCATCACCCGGCATGGTGCACGATTCACCCGACTCTGGACTCGTCACTCGTGACTGGCTACAGCTGCTGCATGACGATCGCTCATCGCGATGCGCCTTGGCGATTTATGTGTGGAGAGCTGCGCGTTTCACGTGTCGCGTGTCTCATCTTGTGCACTCACACTCTCGCGCCGACGCGTGAAGCGTGAATCGACAGACCAACACTCGTGACTCACGACTATTTGACTCACGAGTCGTGTTGGACTCACCACTCTTTGATCGACGACTCAAGACTCCCTGCGCTATAGCCATCGAGCGCCTCGATCTACAAATCGTACTCTCTTCAGCCAGCTGGCAAGCCTGACACTCGTCTCAGTTGCCCCACTGCACACACAGCCCCATGTCTGCAGCAAGTGTGACGACTGCTGGCACTCAGCCTGCGCTCTCCGCCGCCCCGCTCAAGAATCCACATGCTCCTCAAGCCAGCACTCAATCGACTCCCCACATCTCGGCTCGGAGCCAGGCCGATAGTACCCAGGGTGCCGCCAGCGTGGCAGGCAGAGTTGCGCCTGCAATGCCGCTGGGCGCCCGGGCTGCGCCCGACGCACCCAGTGGTTCAGGTCGACCTGCTGTGGGCGCTACGGCCGAGACCGGAGCAGCAAAGGAGCGGACTTCGCTCATGACCGTCCTCTTTGGTGTTAACAAGCATTTGCACGCGGCTGGAGCATTGATGTCCGGGTTGGATCGAGAGTGGTCTGGACTTGCATGCCAATGTACTACGGAGGAGATCGAACAGCGACATTCCCTTCAGCTAGTGGCGGCAGCGCGAAAAGCGAGGGAAGAGCTGCTGGATGAGCTGAAGCCCGAGCTTACACTTGCTCGCGCCATCCAGCAGTGCAAATCGGCGTGCGACGAGCAGTGGAAGGATAACTGGCGAAGTCGAGAATTGAAATTGCGGTCAGAATTTTCGACCGAGCGAGTTGAGCACACAAAGCAAGAAGCTGAGCTTAGACACCAGTGCGATCTCAAAATTCGACGCGAACGGCACGCAATGAAAAAGGAATGGTCGAGGTGGGAGAAGATTTTGAGAAGGAGAAGGCTGAATGGCACGAGGACCGAGAGGAGGAAGTCGCGCGTGCTGCCCGCTACCGGAGCAGATGCAAACACCTGAAGATCAAGTGTGCAGAGCTCAAAGCTCAGCTCGAAGATGCAAATCGTCTTCAGCGCAACAAGGCCCAGTCAGACAAGTCATCGAGGAGCTCAAAGTCACATGATGGCAGGCGCAAAAGATCTTCTCGCAGGGATCGTCCTGTCGAGGTCAAGCGGCAAGGAAGCGAGGCTTCGGTCAATTCTGTGCGAGATAGCGACAATGACGGTGTAACGACAAGCGACAGCTCAGCGACGCACACATCGGAGGAGTCGACGCCTGAATCTGAGGAATCTGAGGAGGAAGTCCGCGTTGCTGGCAATTCTCGAGGCACCTCCAGAAGGCACAACAAGCGAAAGAGATGATGACGAGTCGCCTTCATCCACAGCTCTAAGACTTGTGTCACATGTTGCACCAACTCGGGCGAAGAGCCGCCACCTCATTCGCTGCTTGCACCGTTGTAGACACCAATCCTAGCATTGATAGGGTCCTTTGCGCGTTTCTACGCACGGCAAGCTGTGCTTTTGCTTCGAAATTCCAATGTATGCATGACATCGTCGACGTTTGAGCAGGAATGACTCCCCGACCACCTCGGACTTGACTCACATATGCTCTTCTTCGAATCTCAAGAGCATCGATGCTGTTCTGGAGCGTCACGTGTTCATGCAGAGCTCGCATGCGCGCGCAAGGCTCTGGTGTGGCGCCGCACTGAATTGCGGCGCGAGTCTGGTTGGGATGTGGTGTGACTTTGATGTGACTTTGGTGGCCCACCAGTGGCCCACCAACTTGCCTCTCGACCACATCCACCTCGTATCTTAACTTCGTCAACGCAACCGCCGCCGAACGCAAGTCAAGGGCGGATCAGTGACTATTGAGGTCGCATCTGTCATGGCCGAGGCTCGCGTGCATCCACAATCGATCATGTCAAGACGTAGGCGCGTTCAATGATCCCTATGTTTGGGATGTTTGGGATATGTTTGGGCATGTTTGGGCATGTTTGGGAGTTTTGCGTTCAATAATTAGGGAGAGCGTGGCTTCATGCAGCACAGGTCAGCAGGCACAGCCGCGACGGATGAGCTGGCGATCGGGTGACGCGTTTCCGCTCACGCTCGGCGGACTTCGTGCGCGACGCGTCCGCTGGGGACATCAGATGCCAGGTATGCCCTCAACTTCAGGCTTTGACTGCAGACCATTATGACACACCCCCGACTTGTTCACGGCTGACTATCGTTCTGCCAGCTTCATAACTGCCGGCGACGGCTCGTCTCGCCATTCGCTGACTGTGAGCCCACACCACATGCTCTTACACATCGCTCCCAATCTCGCACGTACAGTCTAGCTCCTTGCCACGATGTCTTCAGCTCTCGCACCCGCCGTCTTCCAAGGAGCAGAGCTCAGCTCTTCTACGCAGACTTAGGACACTGCACAGCCCCAGCATGCAGACGATCCCAACTGGCCGCCTCTCGACTGGACCGACATCAACTTCAATAAAAAGGGAAGTTGGACGGATCAAGAGCTAGGAAAGCTCGCGCGCCACCTTTCTCGGTGTCGCTCCGACCAAGCCCTATTCATGGAGCGGAGACCAGACTGTGGGGAGGATCCCAAGACGATCAGGCAGCGCGAAGATCGTAGCATAGCAATCATCGAGAGGCTGTTCCCGCGTCGATTCGCCGGTCGCAGGCCAAAGGAGTTCGGTGAGATGGTCTACAATCAGGTGCAGAAAATGCTTCGACATCGAATACCCGACTACTACAGAAACAGAGACATGAAAGGCGCATTTGACCTTACCCATGCCCAGCTCGGCGAGATCAAAAATCACGAAAACGACCACGGCGACTATCCCGGAGATGCAAAGCGGGACTTCTGGAAGCTCTTGGAGTTGGAGGCACTTGTGCCGTGGTTCAAGGACCTCAACGACCTGCGTTTGAAGCGAGCACAACAAAGTCGATTGGAGAGCCTCGAACTTACATGTGCCGATGCCGCTACGGGTGGTGAGCCACAAGGCTTGCCACCGACAGCTTCGGCTCAGCACAATCAACCAGCCAGTACTAACAGCCAAGGTACGTCGCCCGCAGAAGAGTCAAATCCGACCTCAGTCACCGCATACGTCCCAGAATGGTCCATTATCGGCGAAGCTCTATCGAGCGCGGCTTCGCAGGTCAACGAGGCGCAAGCTCTGATGAGGAAATTGGAGCAAAAGCTGCAAGGAATTCCAGGCACCAGACTTTCGTCAGCGCAACGTCAGCGCTCGGATCAAGAAGAAGAGCAGCTTCACGTTGAACGCCTCGCGATTGAGCGAAGAGTCAAAGAGGATGCTTGTAGGCAAGAGAAAGCAAGTTACCAACGCAAGCTCAAGCGGGCCGAGGTTCGCATTGAGAAGGCGTGCGAGCGCAAATGGAGGAGGAAGTTCGAAGCCAGCGAGGCAGAGACGCAAGCAAGGCGAATGAATTACGACTATCAGTACCAGGAGCTGTGCGATAGAGAAGAGTATAGCCGGCATAGACTACTCCAAGAGCATGAAGCCAGGGAAGCGGAATCAAGGAAGGCAATCGAGAAGCTAAAGGCCAAGCTCAAGCAAGCCTTGACTGTACCTGACTGCGAGATCGATCGCAATCGCCGCATTGTCTCTGAGAATGATAGCGAGTCGGAGCTCTCAGCATCTGGAATCAGCACAGAGTGCCCTCTGCCTGCATGGGGAACTGAGTACACTCGATCGGCTTCGTACGGCGACCATCAGGCTCAGCAATGCAATTTAGAGGGGTTTGACTCGGCTGGGCGCGTGCCTAGCAGCCCAGCCAACACCCATCAGAGGACAAAGCGCTGGGTGTCGCATGTCGACGATTCGATTTACAAGATTCAGAAGCGATCGAGGGTCCTTGATCATGGCCCGCGCATTTCATCAGAACCCGCAAGGCCATGATCCAGTAAGCGATCGAGTATCTTTAATCACGGTGCGCCCGACACATCGGAACCAGCGAGCCCATCGTCCGGCATACGCGTGTCTACCTCGCCTGTCAGTGTCTTTGATCCCCCTTGAAAGTCTCGTACAAGCCACGCCTCTCCTTCGTCTGCGATGATTTACCGTCTCTGAGACCCGATCGTAATCTTCGGCCCTGTGCCCAGCCCTCTTTTCTAGCTGCACGGCCGTTGTACACCGCCTCGAACACTCGAACTATGCTGCTCTCATATCTGCAGTCTGAAAAGAGGTGCCGTTGCTGCACCGGTGAATTGAACCTGATTGTGTCACGCATACATACATCAACGAGCGAGCGCCCGTCTCTCCCGTGTCGCCTCAAATGAGAGTACCGATCTCCGGCAGAGGGCTTAGGAGCCGATGCCAAAGTTTGCTCAGACCCAGCTTTGCGTGCTGCAAGTCTACCAATGCCGGCTATCTCAGCACATCCTGTGCTGTCATAGGTTCCTTGAGCTCGCTAAGCTTGACCGCGGGCACCAGCAAGCACCTTGCTCGGTCCCTTCCACACTTGTTCAACATCCGAACTCCCTCGCAGTAGAATCAGCTCGTGCAGATGTGAGTTGATCGTTGAGCAAGGGAAGACTTTTGTGGCACATCCCGCCTCACTGCCAATTGACGCTTTCAGACCCTTCCAGACACAGCAAGATCTTGACCTTGTCGCTTACACTGTTTTCCTGGCAAGGGCATTGCTCCTCGACCTTTGCTGCATTTTTGCTCTCTTTAGCTTGCAGGCCACCACCACAACACCTCAAGCAACAACACCTTGCAGAGCAAGAGAACTTCAACACATTGTAAGGATGCTCTCAACCTTTCTGCTCACCATCAGACCCAGCATGTCTGAGCCAGCTTTTTCTGGGCTCAAAATTTCCCCTAGCAATGTCCCATGGTGCTTCAGCAAGAATGAATGCGAGTGACTGTCCCCTGTCAAAGTTGGGTTGTCTCTATCTGTCCTGAGGCTGTCATGCCTGCTTCCCCTCAAAGCTTCCACAGAGAAGTGGGATGCCCTTGTGCCAGCAGGGAGGCTTTGTCATCATGCCAAGGCTCTCAAACCAGCTGCCTATCCCACAAAATGGTCAACAAACTGATTGCATGCCTTGTGCAGGATACAAGCATAGCATTCACCATTTGGCTCACAGTCTGCTAACCTGCCAGTGACAGCTCAGAGCAAGACACTGCTCAGTGGCAAATTCAATAGCCTGACAAGCAGTGCAAGAAAGAGTCTCAGACGCCTGCTCATAGCACCCAAAGATTCGAAGCAATGGAAGCTGCTGAGGATCTGGCGGGCTCCAAGGTGGTAAATGCGCCACCACGTAAGGATTTTCAGCCAAAGAAGCAGAGCTGAGAGCATCATGGAGAGAGATGAGTGAGCGCATCATGGAGAGAGATGAGGAGTGTATTGAGGCAGCAGTGGCCCTCACCCTGAACCTTGATCAAGTCAAAGTAGTGGCCAAAGTAGGCAAAGTAGATCTGAGAAGCTGGACGGTGATGCATCCTGGGGTCAACTCGGAGGATTGACAGTCAACAAGGAATGTGAGCAGATCATTGACATGTCACTCTTCACTACCAGCAGCCTTCTTCTTTGAGCAATGCCTGACTTGACACTTGGCATCTTCAGCCTCAGCTGATGGTCAAAGAGGTCAAGTCAAAGACTGCGCAGACCTCCAGCCAGACTTTGTTTGCACTCGCCTTTGCGCTGTTTCGCTCAGAAGTGAATCTGGCCAAGCTTGTCCAACGCTCGTCACAAAGTGCTAGTCTAGCCAGCGGAGGGCAGATATATCGTCATTGGATGAATCGCCTTGTGGGCAGTAGTAAACCATGTATAGAGAGAGCTGTTGTGGGTAGGAGTCCTTGTGGGTAGGAGCTCTTGTGGGTGGGTAAGAATGTGCAACGCCGCCTACATTAGTGTGCTCAATGGGTTATCGAGTTTGACAAAAGGCGAAAGCCCTGAGGGAAAGAATGGCGCTGATGCGTGTGTGATGCGGTCCACCAGTGATAGGAGATTGTGAAAGAGCTCTTGTGGGTGTGTCTGTTGGGAGGGAGGAGGGGGGGG